CATATCGTGATATGCCAGTCGGAGGGGTCGATGGGTTGACCCCGATGAGGGTTCGGGTGGGCGTGGACGCCGGATCTGGGGGGGGGGGGGGCGCCTATCGGCGTGTGCTTCGTACACGGGGACGATCCGACTCGGAGACATGACATACCGGATGAGGATGGCGCTGGCGTTGGCGTCTTTGTCGGCTGCCGTTTGGTAGGCGAGGTTGATCAGCTTCTGGAGCGTCTCGCGGCTACCGGGGAGGTGGTTTTTGTAGAAATAGTATTTGGTGAGGCTGGCGGCAGACATCTTGCTGGTTAAGATGTCTGTGTCTTCAAGGGAGGGAGTGCAAAGATGGCTGAAGCCTCGAGTGGTGGTCGATGGCTTGGGAGGAGTAGTTGAGGAAGGTAAGTTGCCGGGGCGCCCTCGAGGGGGAAGGGCGTGGTTTAAGTACCCTGGGATTAGAGTTGCGATGGTGTTAAAGCTGGGTGATGATGATGGCAGTTTTACATCTGTCAGGCACCTTGTGATTCCATATGACAGAGGGATGATCCTTGAAAGTAGGGCCGGGCGATAAAAATAGGGCTGTAGGCCGTGCCTGACACCCTGACCCACGGTATGCCTGCCGTGCTTTCCTTCTTGGGGCCGGTCACACGCTGCTGGCAGGGCCCTTCGGATCTATTTGCAACTCTGGGATGCTGGGGCCTATCAACTCATAATGTCGTCAACTGAGGGGCTGCTCTGAGTCTCTGGGTCACAGCAGGGTACTAGTGAATGCTCGATAGGCTTGACATTCTGTCGCAACGTGGGATGTTCCAACCGGCAATCTAACTGTTGTAGGATGTCTAGCATGTCTTTGTTCTCGAACTGGTTTGAAGATGTATTCTCGAGGCTGGAATTTGGCATAGTTCGCCACCTCAACGAGGCCCATGAGTGAAGAAACAACATGGTCTTGCTAATTAAATATATATTTTGCGGAGGAGATGGGGATTATGCGGAGATTGTGGCCGTTCATTGTTTGAGGTGGATTTAGAGGGGTGGTTGAGGTTGAGGGTTGAGATTGAGGGTGGAGGTGGAGGTGAGGTATGGGAATGGGAATGGAAATGCGGGTGGGGGTGGGTTTGGGTTATTATATGATTATTTGGGTTCATAAAGATAGGACAGGCATTGATGGAGAGAATGAGAATTTATATGGGCAAGGTTAATATTTGGATGTCGGTGTCTCTCCTCGATATTACGCCAAGTCTCGTCATGACCACCACAGACTCATCCTCCAACTCGAGACACCTCCACCCGGACACACCGTCAGCGGTCTGAGTCTGACAGGTCATATGGTGGCTGACTCGGCAACTAGACAAGAACCTAGACTCGGGGCGATCCTGAAACACCAACCGGCGAGCAGGAGCTGTCATATTTCCCGTCCGCCGAATGACTGTTGTGTCGTACTGGCTGCTGATCACAACACAAGCCAGCGTTCTTGCACACACGGGCGGGAGTATGCATGGACTGGTAATTAGGTAGGTAGTGCTCTATTCTTAGCATTTTAGGAGATCGAGATAAATGAATAACGAGGAGGCTGTGGTTGGCGTTGCGGAGATCGAGATTCTCGAGTCTAGAGTCTAGACTCTGGACCGAGAGCCCCGCCGCGATTATCAGCAGTGCGCGACTCAGCGTAGTCTGTAGATGCGATCATCGGACTTGAGACCACCCGCATGTACGCCGTAATCTGTCCGTAAGTATCTATCCGAAAACCCTGCGTTCTGATTATTTCCGACCATCCAATATCCCCGTAGACTGTTCTCCTGCAGGGTGTTTTCTTTTTGTCCGGTCCCTGATGCGCCATCTCCAATCTCACCCGAAAGTGGGACAAGCCCTGCGCACTGACAGGCCGCGCTTAACAGATTAAGGGGTGGCGGAGGGGCAGCCTTACCAGGGGCACCACCAATACCAGTCTGGGGCTAAGCGAGCGAGTGAGTAATGGAATCAAATGAAAAGAACGGAGGTCGGGGTCCAATGGACTAACGGACTAACTGACTGATGAATGCGATCGAATTCCGCCACGGAGGATGGTGATTTCCACCAGAGACACGGTTTCTGGAGAGTTTCTGCCCCTGAAACCCCTGGAGGAGGGAACCCGTGGACGAGAAGCCCTAATGCCGAAAGGGGCCATTAGGGCTGGTCTCAGGCCTGCCGAATGGGGAAAGCAGGAGGCCCCAACCGCACCAACCGCACCAACCGCACTAACTCGCACTAACTCGCCCCTCTCCGCCGCCACTTTCTTTGTGGGTCTCCATTATTCTTCCTGCTTCCTGCTTCCTGCTTCCTGCTAATCGCTGCATCGCAACCAGCCCTCCACTCCGCTTCCTCTTCGGAGTAAACTTACTACTAGGAATTATTATATCATCTCATGTCCGCGTGGACTGCCCAGATTCACCCTCTCCTCATTGCCAGCCGACCCCAACAATGGGCCCCGGGAATGATCGGCGGATTCCAAGCCCGTCCAGGCCGATGACTGCATCATGAATTCGCGATGCGCCGTCGGCTTGGCCTGAACTGAAACATGCTCGCGTGGGTGCTCCTCTTTTTGCGTGGGATTCTAGCTCCTCAGCTCGGGGTTCTGACGGTCGCGTCCTCGACATTCCTCTGCCAGGCTGTCTCCCTCTTCCTTACTCACACATCACCAACACATACAACAAACACTCACTCGCTCCTTTCTCCTTTGGTGACCTTTGTCACTTTGCCTCTCATTTCCGTCCCTCCGTTCCCTGGTTCCCCCTTCCCGCCGCGCAACCCTCTTTTAGATCCCCCCGTCGCCGGTCCAGTCCACGCGGATTCGACTTTTCCTCGACCCACCGACCTCCACACGAACCGGTGGATTCGCACTCACCAGTCTCAAACTGTCCGATCCTGGCTGGACTGTGCAAGTTGATCGCTCGCCTCCCACCAATTGCGAGCCGCGTCCTGCTCGCTAATCGGGGCTGCAGCGCTGCGTCTAGCCTCGTTTTCTAGTCCGCCGTTCCTTAAATCCCTCCGCACCCTCGTCATGCCTGGCAGACCTGGCTTGACGGAGAAGCGGCTGTCGGCCCATCGTTTTCAACAGCTGCGCGACATGGCCCCCGACACCATGGCCAACCCCAACGATGTCACCATCGATATCCCCCTCCACAATGTCTCGACCCGGAGTCAGACTGGCGCCCGTAAGACGAGCAGCAACATCACCGGCTCGCCCATTCCCGGTCTCGGCGACGGCGACGAGAAGGAGAAGCTCGTCAACAACGGCCCCAACCCGGGCGTGCGCCGCCGCATCACCGATTCCACCGGACGCTCGCTCGAGGACCCCGAAGACGGTACCATCACCCGCATTGGCCGCATCTACCAGGCCATCCTAAATTACTCCATCGTCACCCGCTACTTTATCTATGTCGCCCCCATCGCCCTGCTGCTGGCGATCCCCATCATCATCGGCGCCACGGTCGCGCAGGACGCGACCATCGGCGGCGTCACGCTGCCCTGGTTCTGGTTCTGGATCGAGATCGTCTGGATCGGCCTATGGGTGTGTAAGCTGGCCGCCCAGGTGCTGCCGTATGTCTTCATGGCCCTGGTTGGGTTCGTCAGCTCCGGCACGCGCAAGTATGCGCTCATCCTGCGGAAGCTGGAGGTGCCCATCGCGACCGTGCTCTGGTGCGTGCTGTGCCTGGTGACATTCCTGCCAGTGAGTAATCCCCGGTTTCGACTCCGTGTTTCCTTGTGTGGGTGCTAACGGTCTAGATCATGACGCAAAACCCCCACCAGAAGGCGAAGAACGACACCTCCACCAAGTCGTGGGAGAAATCCATCAAGAATATTCTATTTGCGCTGTTTGTCTGCAGTCTGATTTTCCTGGGCGAGAAGAGTCTGGTGCACCTGATTTCCATCAGCTACCACCGGAAGCAGTTCGACGCCAAGATCAAAGAGTCCAAGCACCATGTGTCGCTGGTGGCTCTGCTGTACGATGCGTCTCGGAACATGTTCCCCATGTACTGCAAGGAATTCCGCGAGGAGGATGCCGCCATCTCGGACTCGCTCCTGCGCCAGGCGGGCGCGAAGCGCCTCCCGGGCAGCTCGTCGGCGCCGCTGCGGCTCATCCGCGCGGCCGGACACAACGCCAAAAACATCGGCAACAAGGTGACGGCGGCGTTCGGCGACGTGGCCCACGAGCTGACTGGCAAGCACATGTTCAACTCGACGTCTACGCGGTCGGTGGTCACGCAGGCCCTGGAACACACCCGCACAGCTGAAGCGCTGGGTCGCCGCATCTGGATGTCGTTCGTGATCGAAGGTCGCGACGCGCTGTACTTCGACGATATCTGCGAGGTGCTGGGCTCGGGCATGGAAGCCGAGGCGGCGGAGTGCTTCAGCATGCTCGACAAAGACGGCAACGGCGACATCAGCCTGGACGAGATGATCCTCGCGGTGTGCGAGGTGCGTCGGGCGCGGAAGTCCCTGAACAACAGTCTGCACGACGTCGACCAGGCGATCCACGTGCTGGACAACCTGCTGCTGACGGTGGCGGGCATCATCGGTATCCTGGTGTTTGTGTCGTTCGTCACGACCGGGTTCGGCACGGTCATCGCCGCGGGCGCCACCTCGCTGCTGTCGCTGAGTTTCGTCTTCTCGACCACGGCGCAGGAGGTGCTCGGTTCCTGCATCTTCCTGTTCGTGAAGCACCCCTTCGACGTGGGCGACCGCGTCGAAATCAGCGACAAGCCGTTCTTTGTGGAGCGCATCTCGCTGCTCTTCACCGTCTTCCGCAACGTCAACGACCACCGCGTCACGCAGATCCCCAACGTCATCCTCAACAGCCTCTGGGTCGACAACTTCACCCGCGCCAACGCCATGCACGAGCGCCTCACCGTCCCCGTCAGCTTCGACACCACCTTCTCCAACATCCAGCTCCTCAAGGACGAGATGGAGGCCTTCGTCCGCGACAAGGACAACTGCCGCGACTTCCAGCCCGACGTGACCATCGACGTGGTGGGCGTCGGCGACATGAACAAGATGGAGCTGAGCGTGCTGATCTGCCACAAGTCGAACTGGTCCAACGAGGCCGTCCGCGCCGCCCGCCGCTCCAAGTTCATGTGTGCGCTGATCCTGGCCGTCCGCCGCGTCCCCATCCGCGCCCCCGGCGCCGAGGCCGACGACAAGGACGACAAGGACGAGAAGCCCGACGCCGAGGAACCCATCCAACCGGGCCGCCAGCCCTCCATCGCCAGCGAAGGCGTGCGCCGCGCCTCCACCGTCACCGGCGTCGCAACCGCCGAATCGCGCTCCACCGGCTTCGACCTCGGCAACTCCACTGGATCCATCCAACGCCGCGGCGCCGGCAGCACCTACAGCGAGGGCCTCGCGCCCGAACACGCCGTACGGTCTCCCGGCTCGCGCGACGGCCACGAGGACCAGTACCAGACCCCCGTCGGCTCCCCCGGCCAGGAACACCAACTCAGCGTGAACTACGGGATCATGACCCGCGAGCCCTCAACCGGCCGTCGCAAGGAAGGCAGTCACACCTCGTACGCCAACACAGGCGTGCCCGTCCTCGCCGAGCCCGTCCCGCCGCGTCGTGAAACCGACCCCCCCGCCGTCCAGGAACCCACCCTCTCTCAGGTCCCGCCCGCGGGCACGCAGCCCGTCGGCGCCGCCGTCGTGCAGCACCCCCCGGAGTATTACAGCTACCCCGGGCAGTATTATGAGCCTGCGGAGGCGGAGGAGTACGACCCCAACCAGCCGTTCGAGCTGCCCGAGGCGAGAGGGGAGTATCTGTCGCCCGGCACTTCGCATTCCCAGCGTTCGCAGTCGCGGCATTCGGAGGAGGGGAGGTTTACGCGACGGTAGGGTGAGGTCAGTGAGTGTGGGATGGATGGGATGGATGGGACGAGTGATGAAAATTGTATTTTAATTGTATTGTAATGAGTATGAGTATGAGTATACACCACCTAGTACCTATGCTATATCGTACATGATTGGTTCTTTTATTGGTTTTTTATTGGATTTGAGGTGGAGTCGGAGTAGATGGTGTGCAGGATATGTATCGTAGTCATTTCCTGGTTGGTGGTTGATAGGTAGGTGGTCTGGTACTGGTATACCCAAGGTAGGTTCATCCTGTATAGTACCTAGGTAGGTAATCTGGATCCATCCAGGTGGTAGGCCAGTCCATCTAGCCGAGGGGTGCTGTGCTGGGTGCTGGGTGCTGGGTGCTGAGTTCTGAGGTCTGAGTCATCTGAGCGATATGGGGCAATCTGAGACCGGAGAAGTAGTCGGGATTCCTTCCTCAGACGTCCATATCCAGTGGCAGTTCAGGTCCCAGTACTCCCGTCCATCTATCCATTTATTCCCAATCCATGGCCAATCCAGAGGTATGGTATGGTATGGTATGGTATACCCAGGATAGGTAGGTAGGTAGGTAGGTAGGTAGGTAGGTAGGGAGATAGATAGTACAATTGCACACGCTCAGCATCAGCATCAGCATCAGCATCACCCACCCCTCACCACCGAACCAGACTTTCCACCTCCAGAGATTTCAGAAATATCCAGCAACCCTCCTAACCCCAACTTCCTCCCCCCCCCCCCCAAAAAGAAAAACTATTTATTCTCCTTATAAGGATACCCGACGACATCATCCTTGCGGACCCAAATCTTGGTTTTGCGATGATTGACCACATGCTCGACGAAGGCCTCGCGGGTGTACTTGGCCTTGAACTTGCGGATCCAGCGCGGATCCCACAGCTCGCTGGCGATGCCGAGGTCCTTGCAGCAGCGGACCAGGGCGTTGGAGCGACAGCCCTCCGTTGCGGTGGGGATGCCGTCGGCCGAGAAGTAGTCTTGTTCGCCGCGGGCGACGGAGACCAACCTAGAATTAATAATAATTAATATTAATGAGATGGGTGGTTTTGTGGTGTTAAGGTGGGTATGATGGATAATGGATAGATATAAAATATAAAAAATATAGGACCCCGAAAATAGCCACCTAGAGGTAGAGCCATTGCTCCAGATAGAGAGAGAGGGATGAGGGAAAGGATTGGGAAAGAAACATACCGCCCATGACAAACAAGCGCATATTCCCTGGTGACCAGCTTCGGCGTCACGATACTCTCCCCCCGCGGTACAAGCCCCCACCCGCCCGGTCCGAACGCTTTATTCAGGATCCGTCGGTACTTGATCTCCGGTAGGTAGAGGAGGCCGTCGGGCTTGATCTCGATCTCCTCGGCGTCGACGGGCGCGAGCAGGATGTCGGCGCATTCTTTCGGGAAGGGCGTCGCGCTGAGGCCGTGGAAGGAGGTGCTCCAGTCGATGATTTCGTTGGCGTTGTTGGTGGTGGTGGTGCTGGTGGGATCGGAGGAGGCGGAAGGGAGGGGGTGGAGGGCGCGGAGGGGAGGGGGGTGTCGGAGAGGCCGCTGGTGGCGAGGTTGGTGGTGGTTATTTTGCTGGGTGAGGGGAGATGGTGGTGGTGTTGTTTCTGGGGGCGGTGGTGGAAGGGGTGGGTTTGGCGGTGGTGGATTGGTTTTGTTGCGGGCGCGTCGTGGTGTTGAGGCGGCGGAGGGGAGTGAGGGTCTTTGTTGTTGGTGTTATGCGTTGAGCGCGCAGGGAGCGCGCCAGCAGGGGGAGAGACATGGTTGTGGTGGTGTGGTGAGGAGTGAGTGGTGGTGAAGCTGAAGCTGAAGCTGAAGCTGAAGCTGAAGCTGCAGTGGAGCTCAGCTGCGGTGGGGTCACGTGATATGCGACGGAGATTGGGATGGAGAGTGCAAGTGGAAGTGGAAGTGAGAGTGGAAGTGAGAGTGAGAGTGTCAAGAGGTGAGTGAAAGAGTAACTAGTGGACAGTCTATGTTTTAATGTACATGATGATCGACTTGATCTTACGCATCTTTGGTCTCGGTGCGCTGGTCGTTGCCCTGGCGCTTCCAGCACTCGCGGAAGGATTCCATCTGGGTTGTTAGTGGTGCATTCTTTGGGAGGGGGATGTTTAAGATGTGAAGAGTGTGGTGGATTCGGATTCATGGATAGTAGGATGTCAATGATAGAATGGGGCAGTGGTGAATGGATAGAGGTAAGATAGGATGGGATGGGATGGGATGGGATGGAACAGACACACCTCGCTCTGGCAACTGCGCCAGTCCTTCTTGGCAAAATAGCAGTCGTTCATTTTCTCCTGCTCCGCTAGCAGGATTAAACAATCCAGTCAGTGCTGTATATTCCCTTGATTGCCGAGCATCCCACCTGCGCAGCCGGTGCTGAAGATCCGCTTGTCCCTGGACGAGTCAGTCTCTCTCAGTCTCTCTCTCTCTCTCTTTCCCTCCACCCGACATCGCCCAACTCACCACTCATCCTCTTCTTCCTCTTCCTCTTCCTCCTCCACCTCCACCGGCGGGTTCTTCTTTCTCTCCTGGGTCGACATTGTGGTGGTGCTGTACTTGACAGAGAGTTGTTGTCGGCAAGATGGTCTCCCCCAACCTGACCGGCAAAAAGGTCAACGTGCTGGTCTACTCCGGTACCTGAACTCCCTCAACTCTTCTTCTTCCCCTCCTCATTCTCTCTCCCCTCTCCTTCCCCCCCCCCAAGATTCATCCCCCAGATTCATCCCCACAACCTAACCATTTCAGGCCCTGGAACCACCGTCGAATCCGTCCGTCATGCCCTCTACTCCCTCCGCCGTCTGCTGGCCCCCCACTACGCCGTCATCCCCGTCTCCGCCGACGCCCTCCTCCGCGAGCCCTGGTCCGCCACCTGCGCCCTGCTCGTCGTCCCCGGCGGCGCCGACCTCGGCTACGCCCGCGCCCTCAACGGCCCCGGCAACCGTCGCATCGAGCAGTTCGTCAAGCGCGGCGGCGCATACCTAGGCTTCTGCGCCGGTGGCTACTACGGCTGCCGGCGCTGCGAGTTCGAGGTCGGCGATAAAACCCTCGAGGTCATCGGCGAGCGCGAGCTGGCCTTCTACCCCGGCACCTGTCGCGGCGGCGCCTTCCCCGGCTTCGTCTACCACAGCGAGGCCGGCGCCCGCGCCGCAGAGATCACCGTCGCCAAGGACGCCCTGCCCGCCGCCATCGTGCCCGACCGCTTCCGATCATACTACAATGGCGGCGGGGTGTTCGTCGATGCCCCGCTTCTGGCGGACCAGGGCGTCGAGGTGCTGGCTAGCTTTGCCGAGGAGCTGAACGTCGATCCGGGGTCTGGTGCCGCCGCCGTCGTCTACTGTCGCGTGGGCGAGGGCCGGGTGGTGCTCACCGGCCCGCATCCTGAGTGAGTGCCTGCCGTGCCGTGTTTTCTGTCTTCTTCGCGCTGACGGCCAGGTTTGCCGCCGCCAACCTCGAGAAAACCACCGCCGGACCCGAATACCACAAGGTCGTGGAGGCGCTGGAGGCGGACGACAGGGCCCGCACCGACTTCCTCAAGGCCTGCCTGGCCAAGCTGGGCCTGCAGGTGACGCAGAGCACGACCACCGTGCCGTCGCTCTCGTCGCTGCATCTGTCCGCGCAGGACCCGACCGCCACCGCCGACATGCTGGCCGCGTGGGCGGACCTGATCCAGACCCACGGCGGTGAGGAGCGCCTCAAGGACGAGAACGACACCTTCCGCATCGAGCGGCCCGGCGCGTGGAACCTGTCCCAGCTGGAGGAGGCCCTGCCGACCGAGGGCATCGTCGACTACAACGCCATCGTCAAGCGGCTGGTCGTGCACGACGACGTGCCCTCGTCCAAGCTGACCCCGTCGTTCAACCACCACGCCTTCTACTCCAACCTGCGCCAGTACCAGGCGCAGTCGCGCGAAGGGGCGTCCGAGTTCGGCGCCCATCTCGTGTACGGCGAGGTGGTGACCAGCACGAACACGATCTTGGAAAAGTACGTGTCCCTCCTTCATCGTCGTCCCCTCCCCCGCCACGTTTACTGACGCGAATAGAAACCCCAAACTGCTACGCACCCTCCCGCAAGGGTTCACGGCGACGGCCACGACGCAGGTCGCCGGGCGCGGGCGCGGGTCCAACGTGTGGGTGTCGCCGGCGGGGGCGCTGATCTTCTCGACGGTGCTGCGACACCCGCTGGACAAAATCCAGTCGGCGCCGGTGGTGTTCATCCAGTATCTGGCGGCGATGGCAGTGGTGCAGGGGATCAAGAGCTACGACGCCGGGTACGAGAAGCTGCCGGTGAAGCTGAAGTGGCCGAACGACGTGTACGCGCTGGACCCGGCGCAGCCGGAGAAGCAGCAGTACTCGAAGATCTGCGGGATCCTGGTGAACTCGCACTACTGCGCCAACGAATACATCTCGGTGGTGGGGGTCGGGGTGAATGCGACGAACGCGTCGCCGACGACGTCGCTGACGGCGCTGGCGGCGCGGTTCCTGGGGCGGGCGGCGGCGCCGGTGACGCTGGAGAAGCTGCTGGCGCGGATCCTGACGCGGTTCGAGGCGCTGTACGTGCGGTTCCTGCGGGCGGGCTTCGACCGCGAGTTCGAGGCGCAGTACTACGCGGACTGGCTGCACATGCACCAGGTGGTGACGCTGGAGGAGGAGGGCGGGGCCCGGGCGCGCATCAAGGGCATCACGCGCGACTACGGCCTGCTGCTGGCTGAGGAGCTGGGCTGGGATGACCGGCCCACGGGGCGAGTGTGGCAACTGCAGAGTGACAGCAACAGCTTCGATTTCTTCCGGGGGCTGCTGCGGCGGAAGGTGTAGCCACTGGTATGATGTATGAAAGAGTATCTCAGTACTTTTTTAGTATACCAAGTACTGCGTACTGCTGTACGACGCGGGACCGACATAACCTCTACCGAACTGGGAACGATCGGCAAGGGTTTCTTGGATACCCCCAAGTACCGCGGGCCCGTTTGTGCTTTTTTACATTGTACCAGACCAGACCGGATGGACGGGTGTCACTGCCAGCATGCTCGACCCTAAAGTATCTATCTAGTATATCTGTCTTCTGCATGACCAACACCAACACCCCATCCGACTGGACGACAGATAACTACCCCTGCTAATTAATCCCAATACTATACCTATCCCGGTAAGTCGTATGCCGCCGATGACAAACCCAACCCGCATCGGACAGCCCGAGGCCAATTGGGGGCGGCTGATTGCAACGGCGGCCAATTGCAGCACGGGTCGGGGGGACTGCCGAAACAGGCATCCGCAGCCACGGCGCCCTAAACCGGTTCATCTCACCTGGAGATCTTTCATTCATATTTACTATGTAGGAGTAGTGAAGATTCAAAGATACGAGTACACGTCCAGCCCTGTGGTGACCGCATGGTTGCCTATCCTAAGGTAAGGTACGGTAGCATTGACATGTGTACTCCGTACTCCGTAAAGAATAATACTTGTTGTAGTAGTAGTACTGAGTACTGAGTGGGTAATGAATGATGCAAGAGCCAAGGGCCCCTCGGCCGCCACCTCCATCCAGTGGCTGCTCCGCGCCCCAACCGGCTGGGCTTCTCCGCTAGGACTTGGCCGATTGATTTCTTAGTAACGGGACGGGCATAAGTACGTATAATCTGGAGCAATGGGATCGGGTTGTACAAGGCCCGTCTGCATACTTTCACACGCTCCAGACCGACCCCGACTAATCAAAATCATCCCTCTCTCCACTCTCCTGAAAGCCACAGACAGATCTTCATGTGTGCCTCGGTTGACCCATCATCGTCCATCATCCCATCATTCATCCACTGCGGATACTATAAAGTTGCGATTCCTCCCGTTCCAGACACAGACACCCCCCCAGCCTAGTGAGTGGTGGTACGGTACGTATATACGTATATACGTATCTAGGGTTCAGAGTGAAGACACCATGTCGACCCTCCTCTTCGTCGCGACGGTCACCCCCGTCCTGTACCTCCTGTATACCCTGCTGCAGCGCTGGCAACACGCCCAGAACGCCCGCAAATGGAACTGCCGCCCCATCCCTCACTACCCGGGCGACATTGTCGGCATCAACACCCTCCAGGAGGCCCTGCAGCATGACAAGGACCGCGAGCTGCCCCTGGTCACCCGCCGTCGCATCGAGACCATGACCGCCCGCCAGAAGCGCTACTCGCCCACCTACCAGTTCCGCCAGCTGGGGACTGACATTATTGTGTCGTGCGAGCCGAAGAACGTCCAGGCCGTGCTGGCCACCCAGTTCAAGGACTTTGAGCTGGGTGCCGCCCGGCGGAATGCGATGCATTGGTTGTTGGGGAGGGGGATCGTAAGTCATCACCATCACCATCATTTTTCTTCCATCTCAAACATACCCTAATAATCACATCCAGTTCACCGCCGACGGCGAACACTGGACACGCTCCCGCGCGCTCCTCCGCCCGCAATTCACCCGCGACCAAATCAGCGATCTGGACCTGGAGGAGCGGCACGTGCAGCAAGCCCTGAAGGCGATGCCCGTCGACGCCCGCACGGGCTGGACATCGGCGACGGACATCCAGACCATCTTCTTCCGACTGACCATGGACACGGCGACGGAGTTCCTCTTCGGCGAGAGCGTCGAGAGCCAAGCGGCGGCGCTGAACACCGCGACGCCGCAACAGCCCGACAGCTTCGCCGCCCAGTTCGACCGCGGCCAGTGGTACGCCGCGCAACGCGCCCGCTTCGAGAAACTGTACTGGATCGTCGACAACAAGGAGAGTCGTGCGCTGGGCGCGGCCGTGCACGCCTACGTCGACCGCTTCGTCGCTGCCGCCCTGAACCCGGACCCGGAGAAGAAACTTTCTTCCTCCTCAACTCACTACACCTTCCTGCAAGGCCTCGCCGAAGCCACCCAAGACCCCGTCGAACTGCGCTCCCAACTCCTCAACATCCTCCTCGCGGGCCGCGACACCACCGCCTCCCTCCTCAGCTGGTGCATCCTCCTCCTGGCCCGCCACCCGGAATACTTCACCACGCTCCGCGCCGCCCTCCTCGCCGAATTCGGCTCCTACGCCTCCCCGCGCAACCTCACCTTCGCCAACCTGAAATCCTGCCGTCCGCTGCAGAACTTCCTCAACGAGGTCCTCCGCCTCTACCCCATCGTGCCCGGGAACCGCCGCACCGCCGTCCGCAACACCACCCTCCCCGTGGGCGGTGGGCCCGACGGCACCCATCCCGTCTACGTCAAGAAGGGCACCCCGGTCTTCTATAGCACGTTCGTCATGCACCGCCGTCAGGATCTGTGGGGGCCGGACGCCGATGAGTTCCGTCCCGATCGATGGATGGAGAGGAAGGTGGGCTGGGAGTATCTCCCCTTTAATGGCGGGCCGAGGATCTGTATCGGGCAGCAGTTTGCGCTCACTGAGGCCGGCTATGTGCTGGTCAGGCTGTTGCAGCGGTTCGATCGCTTCGAGGGTGTGGGGCCCACGAAGGAGGGCGAGATTAAGATGGCCACGAATTTGACGCTCGCGCCGGGGGATAATGTTACGGTTAGGATGAGGGTGGGGGGGAGGATTGAGTGAGTTGGTGGGTGATTTATTAGGGAGTTGAATTGACATGATAGATGGGGTTGGAAAGGGGGGGTATACCCGTATAGTCAAGTCAGTCTGTGCTTGTGCTTGTGATTGTGATTGTGCTTGTGATTTTGGTGATTGGATAGATTGAGTTGTACTGGATAGTCAGTTTGTTGTTAGCGTGGTTATAGATATGTTATTTCTTTCTTTCTTTCTTTATCTCCCCGTCTTTTTCTAGATATAGTATATGTGTGTATATCATGATGTGTAGGTGTATATTATCAACCCTCATAACAAGACCCGTCTCATCCTCATTTTCATATACCTTACTCACAAATCCCATCCACATTCAAACTAAGTAGCTAGCATCTAAGTAACTAGCAGCTAGCATCTAAGTAGCTAGCACCTAAACAGCAGATAGAAAACAACAGGCATAGCCAGCCAGGATCTTTCTCTTTCCAGTCCCCCCGGAACGGAGTACGTACGGAGTACAGGGGTGGGATGCGAGATGTGGCTGTATAGGCAATAATGGATGGACTATTTGATATTTGATTTTGATATTTGTTTTATCGCTGTTTTATGAGATAGGTATATGTACCCTGGCTATGATCTGTATTCTATAATTTATAGTGTACCTAGTGTGGTGTGGTGTGGTGTGGTGTGGTGTGGTGTGGTGTATGCTTATGTGTAATGAGTGTCGAGGGTTATAGGTGTACGGAGTACTAAGATATAAGATATAAGATACACATACAGATACACACACACATACACATACACATACACATACACATACACATACAGATACAAGATGATCGAGGCTCTGACATCCCATCCCTGCTAGTCACACTTTACTTCCCTTAGAGTTTACCTATGGCATTAGGTAGATGACAAGTATAGGTGTGGTGGGTGCTGCAGGGCGTAAGCACTAGATACGCCTACGCACTTCCTGGAATTAGTATTCAGTCAGTCAGCCTGTCAGTGTTGGTCAGATCACATCCATCACATTCATCACATCTGTCACATTGCTAAATCCCAGCACAGCACAGCACATTACTTACTTTCTTTACCCCTAAAATACCCAATCTAGTCTAGTGCGGCCAGTTTCTCCACCAATCAGAGCAATCGTTCATACTCCGGGCATAAAGCACCTGGACAGGATACGAACAGGGCCACACCACCACTTATGGTAGAGCAGAGCAGAGTAGAGTAGAGTAGAGTAGAGTGGAAAAGTGATCTTGGATGCTGCTTCGTATCGTATCTACTTCTATTATTGGATGACAGACCTGAATATTTACTCTGCGGTTACTATTAATAGATGAGATAGATGTGATGATGATGATGATGACGTGGTGACGTGGAATAGTACGAGTTACGACCTCGGATTTAGACTTTCAAGGTCTTTTTTTGCTGAGTTTGGGCTTGGACTTGGACTTGGGACTTTGTTGTCAATGAGTGAGTGATATACGATGTTGTATGTTGTATGTTGTATCTGAGATGGGATGGGATGGGATGAGGATTTGTGATGGTTATGGTTATGGTTTGGGAGGGGTTGTATTGGAGTGTTACTACTACTACTACTACTACTACTACTACTACTACTACTACTACTACTACTACTACTACTACTACTACTACTACTACTACTACTACTCCTGCTGCTGCTGCTTACGACTTCTGTGTTGCTAGAAGGCGGAGTTATTGTTGGAGGATGAGATAGGATGGGTATTCGGGATATGAAGTAGGTCGAGTGGGTTGGGTTGGATGGAATTCTTAGGTTGGAGTGTCTTTTCTAGGACTGACTTCTTGGAGACTTTTTTCTTTCTTTCTTTCTTTCTTTATTTTTTTCATTTATAGTTGGGGTGGTGGTTAATCGGTGATGGTTAATCGGTTGGGTAGAGAGGTTTCGTGAGCAGATATCTTTCTGTGGGAGTAGAGTTAGATAGAATCAGGGTTGATTTTCTTTTCCTAAGTGGGATTGGGATTGACTCTACTGGAATAATTCACTCTCTATATTCTAGTAGATGGTAGGTAATGTAGAAAAATTACTCTGTGATCTGTATGGAAAGGAAGAGTAGAAGAGGAGAAGAGTATACAGATCTTTCTATCCTACTAGTGAATCCATCCACCCATCTATTTATTCAATACCCTCAACCCTGAAATTCTATCCCCACCCACCACCACCAACATAATACACCCAGTGAAGTCCCACCCATCCATTCCCAGATCTCAATGAATGACCCAGAGACAAGTGACAAGGGACAAGGAACAACGACGGGACGACCCCTTTATCTCCCCTCCCCCATCCTCCTTCTCCTCTTCCTCTTCCTCTTCTGTAAATATTCTTCATCGTCTTGGTCGGACACACTGCCTCTTTCTTAGTTGGGCTCTCGATGTCTGGGGGTTGATATATATGATTTATATGTCGTGGCTTGGATAGCCTATTTATTTCTTTTGGGTATCGATATCGGGGATGCGATGCTTTGTACTTGGTACTTGGTACGATGGTACTGCGATTGGGACTGTGGGTTGACAGACTATTTGGTCGAAGAGTATCATTACGGATGCTTCTGTTGGGTATGGCAGCTGGTGCTTCGAGCGTCAACGGTATCTCGCTAATATGCTTACGAGACCAGACTTCCTATTAGTACTAGCTGTGTCTTGCTTGGAAAGATATCATTCTCGGTTATGGCGATACATCATCATCTGTCTCTCGACCACCTCGGTCGAGATACTATCCATGATTCTGTCCACATTTGCATCTGTTTCGTCCGCAACACGTTCTATATCATTGATACCGTGGCTGTGGTTACCATGTTGAAACGGCCAGACACCTCTCCTTGGACCATCGATAGTATTGTCCCACGCAGTCCGCAGCACCATACCCACGGACAGACGGCTAATCTGAATATATCATCCGAGTCGTCAAGCTGTTGAGATTGTGATGGGCTGCGAAGATCTCCCAGATTCTCAATGTCCAATTCATATTTATCAAAGTCAACCATCCGGCGACGGGAGTATAATTCTCGAGAAAAAGAACCCTCGAGTTCATTCCAGTTCCTAATTCCCACATGGCACTCCGGCCGGAAACAGCAAAAGGAAAATTCTTTTACCAACAGAGGACTCTAGTTCCCGTGATAATCGGTGTTTGTTCTGCTCCGCAAACAGCAGATAGCCGAAGTGCTGGGGGGGTGAGGCACCGTCGCCACCAACACCAACACCAACACCAGCACCATACTCGTCATCTGAAACGATGCGGTGGGCTACGTCGAATGTAACCCCCCGACCACGAAAACGCAGATAAGCATGACCTTGAGCATGGCCCGATATACCGGTCCTTTCCTGTCTTCGTTGGTCATCTGAGGGTGACGACCAGCAGGACAAAAAACCCAACGAAGGGGGTCATATCATGTCGTCCGTTTCCATAGAACGGGTATTTTTGTCGTGTCTCATGAGTTATCCTGCACGCTGGCGTCTGCATGCGTGTCGGGACACACCAGTAATCCGGTCGAGCCATGGGTTGAATTATCTTGTTCATACTTTGACCGTTTTTGAGAAATTGGAATCTGCCCTAGTGAGGGCTGCAACGCCCAGCCCCACCACAGGTGGTCGGTGTTTAGGGCTACATGCGATATATTCGGAATATGCCGGCGGACAAAATCTCGAATATCGCCAGCTCAGATATTAATGCAGCACACAAATTAGACGCCATTATGTTATCAAGGGACTCTAAGGCTAAGGTTGGACTTTTTTGATTGTCTGAAATACATTCAATGACGGGGTTTCCACGACTCGACAGTATTGTCCCAGGAATGATTCTAGTTGGGGACGACTCCTGCCGAAAGACATTAGAAGGAGGTGGCATGGCCGTGGAATATATCCAGGGCTACCCCAAGGTCCCATGCTTTATGGGCATGGTGGCTCAAAGTGCTGGGCAGTTTGCACCATCTGTCATCCTTGACATCGGAGAGCGCTCCGCTCGCTCGCTCTCTCTATTATCTCGCATCTCAGTGAGCGTGCAGTCTCCAACTTCTCGCCCGATTGTGGGAATTCTGATTTCCCCTTATTGGAGTGCTCGTTATGTGCTCTCCGGTTTCTAGTGTCTACCATATTATCGGGTTCTTACGGCTGTGTGTCGAACGGTTTTCTGTAACCCCACCTAGACCCTGGCTGGTGTTAGGGCTGAGTCTGGCCGATCATCCCATAGATGATCTTTTGTGCCTGCCGTGGTCCTTGTCGACGTATGCATTGGAGAATGGAATCCTGGGAGCATCACTCGTTCTGATGTCTTTCTCATCATCAGATTGATGCGAAAATGCAGACAGAGGCGTTACACCCACCCGAACTCAAATCGGTTCCTGTGATCTCCGAAGCAAATCGACTGAACCCGCCATTCTCGCCCCGAGAGGAGATTCATACAGCAAAATAAACGCGATATTGCACCGTCCAACTTCGAGGATTGATGTTCTTTTCCAGGGAGAAACTTGCGAATACCTCGCCTTATTCTGCTCTCTAGAGTGCCTAGTCTGAGGACTAATCCCCCTTAGGCGACGCGATACCCTTCTCTGCACCTAGAAAGGCTACATCACTCGCAGATAAAAGAGTGGAGATCCTTCTATGACGATGTCCGGCAGGCCACAACCACTGCTATTGGAACCCGACGGCTGACACAGCCCAGCCCAGGCAGTAGGCCCCACAGAGCACTATCTAACTGGAAATGAGCTTGGAGTCACGTCGGGATTCACAGAGAATGTTCTGAGCTATCTGCGTCCGGTAATACAGAGCTCTGCTCCGCGCGTGATCTTTGGGGATGTACAATGCGCAGAAGGTGTCGGTGTATACTCACGCAACTGGATGCAAAGATTTAATGGGCGGTCCTGCTATCTCGGACGATGTCTGCGCGGTTGTTTTTTTATGAAAACTCAGGCACCTCGAGTCCATGGAGGATCCTACACCATTCCTTTCATAGCACTGACTACTGCGGAAGAGGCATCCAATCCTCCATGACCTATTCCCGAATATCAATGCATACTTGCAAGGCAGCTTTCTATTACCCAAATCTAACCTGGGTGTCTCGGAGTTTAGCTTCCATGATGGAGGCAGACGCCCTGCTCAAAGAGGTGGACCGGCTGGAAGTGGCTGAAAGAAATTCCTCGCTCACTTGGCTTGTCATACGCACATACTACGACGACTGGTATACGATGTTCCACACGTTGTACCCCGTGCTCTGCCTCAGTTTGACTCGTTGGTGGAGAAGAACAGCCTGGCTTGCGTTCGCAAAGCTTCTATCTGCAATGCAAAGCATGCATCTATAGATGCAACGTGGAAATTATCGATCAATTTTGGGCCTTTTTTTTCAGGTTGGGATGTACCCACCGCGGTACAAAGTCGCATCATAGGCGATACCTAGGCGTTCCGAACGCTATACCTGAAGAAGAACAAGTAAAACGAGTTGAAGCAGTTTGAGCCTCTTGCTTTCCCTGCGAGGTGGTGCCTTTGTTCTTGGCTGCCATATTTTTTTTGGAATCCCGTGTTCCTCCACTGCGGGCCTTTGTGGGAAGCACAGGAGATCAAGGACCTAGCGTCCAGTATCAAACCTTTGAACAATAGAAGCAATCTCGTTTTTCACGAGGTTACGCACAGGTACTATTATTGCGATAAAAAAATACAACAGAGCAGCGGAAAGAGCTTTCTTTCGTTCTTGGCTATTTATCATACTCTGGCCTGCGTATTCGCTACATAGAATTTCCCAACAATTCCTGCAGAGGCTACGGCATCTATAACTGTCGAATTCTTTGGCGAATCTCAGATAACTGCCATGATCATTCGTATCAGATGTACGTCATGGCGCCGGGAGACTCCGGATCACTGGTTTTTACATCGACCGGACATGTTGTGGGCATAGCCTTTGGGGGAAGTCATGACGGGGACGTCCTGTACTTCACGCACTCCCATGACCTCGTCGACGAAATCAAGGCGGTGACTGGAGTAAAGGAGGTGCGGCTGCTCGGGGAGGTCTGACCTCAAAAGACATCGAAGAGAGACCCCTGGTTGAAAGACATCGGATGGTCCTCTAGCGCTTCAGCAGGTCCCAGCTCATGGGGGGGCAAACAGCAACAAAGCAGTTGATTCGGGAGGGCTAACCCGGCGCCTGGTCTTTTCTTTTGTTTCTATTTACTTTACCTGTCGTTTCACTTCTATTTTGATTCTTTTTTTTTTATGCTTTCTAATGCTTTTATGCCGTGCTTCAGCTTGCTAGTTCGCTTTGGCTCACTTTGACTCGTTCTGATTCCCTTTAGTGCTTTTTGATTCATACGGACTAGCTTGAGATTCTTTCTGACTCGTTCTTACTCGGTTTGATCTTCTTGATGCATTTCGATTCATCTTAATTTGCTTTTGATGCCCTTTCTTTTTGACTCTTATGAGCATAGTCATCTTCCTTTTCTTTCTTTGTATCTAACAAGCAATCCAAAAATGAATGAAACCCTCTGTTGACTCCCATGACGGGCCCATTGAGACATCATCAGAGTCTTCTCAAACCTCACGGCCGTCATCAAGACCCTCGAGGCGAGTATGACAGTACTAGGAGTCGAGGGAATGAAGCCGGAAAGACCCTGTTTCAGAGATACTATATAAGGTTGGGGCGCTCCACGGCAAAACTTCCCCGCTAGTATAACCTGTCAGGACAACGGAGAGATGTTTAGGTAAAAAAAAAAAAAGAGGCTCAACAGAATGGGGTAGTTGGCGGAGGCAGGTGGTGAGGTGGGTGAAGCTAAATAGACTACGTGCAGGAAGAAGTAGGACATCGCAGAATCAGACTAGTCACACGATCCTATTCTGCAGCCCAGGGGCGTAGGAAAGATAACTGAGCTGAGGGCATTTCTAATGGCAGTTACCTAAGTACCTAGTCTACCCCATGCGTCTTTTATTAATGTTGTGGTAGTCAAATTATCGGCTATTTGAAACTTTTTATTCCTCCTTTTCCGTTGAACCGTCCCAATCCTGTGAAGCCTCTCTCCTTATTAAATCATAGTAAATATATCAGAATACTCTGCTGGTTGCCATTATGTGTGACGTGATGCGATGCGATGTCCTCACTTCCGGCACCGGGCACTGAGCGCCGCGCTTCCAATGTCGCGAACGAGCGATGGGCTATCGAGCTTCAGAGGGAACGGGTCGCCACCGCAGCTGGGTTGGCTGTGATAGTGTCAGAAGGACAAGGACATCAAACGGTAGAAGAATGACGACGAGAACTCACAAGTACAAGTTACAGGTCATGCCGGGGGCCAGCTCGACGGAGTGGATGATGCCCTCGGGACTGTAGCACATCATACATTAGCATTGGCGGCAGGTCAATGCGGTTAGGGCTAGGAACGACTCACGTAGTGATACACGAGGCGTCACCATCACTGTGGATGAAGGTTCCCCGGTACAGATCAAGAGAGTAGAGGAGAGCCTGTCCAGTTCAGTTAGTTTTTCCCTGTCTTGATTTCTTGTCTGGGAGACCTTACATCCGTAGTCGAGACAGCCAGAGCCGGGGCGATAGCCACAACGGCGAGAGAAAGGAACTTGGCCAACTGCATTTTGTTTGATTTTTCCGTAGTGTTATAGGATGAGATATAATGAGTGACTGGATTGAGATGAAAGGAGTGACTGGATTGAGATGAAAGATGAGGCTGCAGCACAGTCCGTCGGCAACGAGAGTTTTTATACTAGTAGAAAGAAAGCCCGTCGAGTCAAGGGACAGGATTCCGAACCTACACACATACTGTGTAGTAGACAGGCTCTAGATTCTAGATTCCATACCATACCATGCCATGCCATGCGTCCGACGGGCAAGAATGTGCCGTGCCGTCTGGCTGGCTGAATCCAATCCTTCTCCTAGCACATAGTAGCACTGGCAATAATCGTACTGTCAACCCTTTCGCAGACAGAAGGCATGCCCATGTTGAGCTGTTTTCGCATCCCTTGATCGGGTAACCCTATCCAGGGAGCGGCCGGAATGCGGACCGCGCGGGTGTGTAAATTAAGGTCACACACCAGGGCGATGGGGAATGTCTATCGCATTTTCCCGGGGTATTTGGGCTCCTTTCGCGGCGTAGATAGATAGATACCTGGAAGAGACAATAATTTCGTGGTAGAAAGTACGTCCATCACCTTGCAGTCACGAGAATGCTGTCTGGTAGCCGCGCGCGATCCGTGGAATGTTCTCGGAAAATTATCATCGGTTGTGTATGTATGTCGCCTCCCTGGCGGGGGAATTTGACGGCGTGCCTTGACTGGATTGATGGTCGCTGACCATCCCATCCCGTCAATGCTTCGGGGGCTGTGTTGTTGGTTGTATATAGTATAGGCTTGGTGTCCTGGAATTGTGTAGGCCTCGCTTGCTGCCTGAGGCAACGTGTCCCGGAAATGTCAAATGTCCCAGTCACAGTGAAGTGGTGGGTTTTGATATTCCATGGGTGCGGATTCTATGAGTCACAATTTGACAGTGAAATGAATATGATTAGGCATTATTGGAGGTAAGGCTTCCCCCCACCCCCCCCCCCCCCCCTCCTTTCTCTTTTTCCTCCTTCCGCCATCCTCTCTGTACCACAAGTCCGTCTTTCTATCTCCTAGCTTCTGCTTACTAGTATTCTGCTTATCCCTTCTGTTATATTTATCTTTCCCTACAGCAAGTTAGCCGAGCGAATCTTCATCGGCGGTGTCTGTATCGCGCCACCCAGACCTCAGTAATATCATTGTTCCTCCCAATCCTAAGGACACAACGATTTGCCTGATCAAGGACAATCTCTTTGCTGATAATGGAAGACCACCGAGGCAAAAGGAGAACTCCCCGCTCAGATATCGCAAATTGTTGAACATGGGTTGCGGCAATCTCGACCCTGACAACGACTCGATACTTCACATTCTCAACTAATGCAGTATGGCGTTGACAGTACACTTTATGCTACCGGTGCATTTATACAAAGATGGTCTTTTTATATTGCGGGAGACGTGGTCTCAAGTTCGTTACCGACCTCCAAAATTATACGGTACCTAGATCGATAAATACGCATCCTGATGATGGAATTATTATGCCGTCTGGGTATCTTTCAACTACGTCAGAAGGCTGATGAGCCACTAGGCTAGGAAGTTGGAGTCTGGGTGCTTATCATCATGCCTGTTAATCGATATGCGGGGGAAGTTGAGGTAGGATATCCCCATGCTTTTTTTATATCATGGATGGATGATGATACAATAGTATCACCTAATATTGTAGTAGTAGCACTGTAGCTGTAGCAGAACAATCTTGACCACTGCACCCTTTACATACTCAGCCCTAGTCACGCATAGACCCCTCCAAACAGATACATGAATTCAACAGGATATGATATCTTAGGACCAAAGGAACAACAGAACAAAAGAACTAACCCCCCAGCCAAGTAACCATCAATCCATCCCTTCGGCCACGGCCATTCCCACCCCCGAGGCCTCCCGCTAACCAGCATCAGCATACCAGACGCGAGGCGAAACGGACGGACGACGGGACCGAGAGGACCGAGACAGAGACCAAGACAGCGGGCGGGCGGCCGTTCACGAACAGCCGCGCCGGAACCCTCACGTCTACGCATATCATCATATAAGACTGCCTGCTTCTCATCCCTAGATTCGTGGACTTGTGATTGTAGTCATATCTGGACGAAAACTACCCTTCCTTTCTTTGACCTCTTCGTTTTCTTTCTCTTTTCTTTCTAACATAATAGAGAAAGAGACCGAGAATAGAAAGAAAAGTTCAAAGATGTCCTCGACAACAGAACTCATCGATCTTCAAGCGGATAATGATAATCCTCATCCCAGTCCCAGCCCCAACTCAAAATCCAATTTCACTGCCAACACCAACACCAATACTACCGACCAAACCGACCAAACAACCCTCCACTCCTACACCTACGACATCGAAACCAAGGAGCCTGTCGAGGAGGACCAAATCCATCACACTCACACTCACACTCACACAGATGCCGGTCCCCCCGACGGCGGATTCGCGGCCTGGTCCGTCGTGCTCGGCGCGTGGTGTGCCCTGTTTTGCAGTTTTGGGTGGACGAATAGTATGTTCCCCCTCTGTGTTTTTTCACTTACTTACTTCCTTCTTCCTTCTTTGCTATCTCTTTTGGGGGTTTCTTTTGCCTTGGGGGATTGTGCTGGCTGGCTAACTGAGCTAATGATGGGCACACTGTACAGGCATCGGCACGTTCCAGACATACTACGAGACGACGCTGCTGAGCGGGTATTCGGCGAGTACGATCGCGTGGATTCCCTCGTTGGAGGTGTTTTTCATGTTTTTGATGGTTTGTCTTGGTCTTTTCTTTCTTCTTTCCTTCCTTTCTTCATTTCTCTCTCTTTCTTTCTTTTTTTATCGGGTGTATGTATGTACTATATTTGATGTCTCTGGTCATCTGGTCAACAGTTGCATCTGCTGCATGTTCACGTTTATACCTGTCTATATGTATGACAAAAGGCTTACAACCGCAGGGCCCCATCGTCGGCACCCTCAGCGACACACTCGGCCCACGCAGTGTCCTCGTGGGAGGGACCTTCCTGCACGTATTCGGGCTAATGATGACGTCCATCTCGACCCAATACTACCAGGTGCTTCTCTCGCAGGGCGTCTGCAGCGCGATGGGCCTGTGCGCGATCTTCCAGCCGTCGATGAGCGCGATCCCGAGCTGGTTCGACCAGCGCCGCGGAACCGCGTACGGCATCGTGGCGACCGGCTCCAGTCTGGGCGGGATCGTCTTCCCGATCATGGTGGACCGGCTGATCAAGGAGGTCGGGTTCGCGTGGGCGATGCGCGTCGCGGCGTTCCTGATCCTGTTCTTGCTGGTGTTTTCGTGTATGTTTGTGCGGGCGCGCGTCGCGCCGCTCAAGCTCCAGCATCAGATGGATAGGGAGGTGTTGGTCAGGCCGTTTAGGGAGGTCAAGATGTGGTTGCTTATACTCGGCTTTGTGTTCTTGACGTTCGGTGTGTATATCCCCATTGATTATTTGGAGATGGCGGCCATGAGTCAGGGGATGAGTGCGGCGATGGCGCAGTATTTGGTCCCGGTTCTGAATGCGGGGAGGTGAGTTTCCCCTTGGGTTGGGTTAGGTTGGGTTGTGGATTGCTGATTGAGATGGGATATCTAGCTTTTTCGGCCGCATGCTGGCGGGCGTCTTCTCGGATAAAGTCGGCGCGTATAATATCTTCATCTCGGTTGGCACGTTCACGGGCATCTTGGTCCTCGCCGTCTGGGTCCCCGCGACCAGTAACGCGGGGAGTATCGTCTTTTCCGTCCTGTTTGGCTTCTCGTCCGGTGCTTACTTCTCTCTTGCGGTTGCTTTGGTGGCGGGGATTGCGCCGCCGAGGGAGATTGGGTATTGGACGGGGGTGCTCTTCCTGTTCGCATCGGTTGGTGGTCTGACGACCAATCCTATTGGGGGCGCTATTCTGCAGCATGATGATGGGTCGTATACGGGTATGAAGATCTACTCGGGCGTGCTCTTGATTGCGGGCAGTCTGTTCGTCATGGGAACGCGCATCCGTCAGACGGGATGGGTGCTGAAGAAGAAGTTTTGAGGGGGATTCGGTGGGTATATTCGCTGCTTTCATGTCTGTGGCCATTTAGTTTTATATACTCCGGATTAGAGTAGATATTCCGAGAATCCTACTTCATCGCTCATAACACGTCATCAACACTCGGGGCTAAACCCGTCCAGTCCGGAAATCCAATCACCCCCATGTCCCAGTTGACAAAGTCATAGAATGACTCTGCCGGGGGTGTCTCGGCGACTGGATGGTCTTCAGTGTCTGACTGCGCCTGATCCGCCTCCTGCCCATGTCTAATGTGCAACGCCTTGTCTCGCAGCCGGGCGATAATCGCCCACTTGGGTCCTGGATCTGGCCACGAGGGATCGTTCTCCGTCATATCGAAGGTACGCGTTATCCCTTGCCAGGCGCGGTCCACGTGCGGGTCCGCTGGGTACACGCACAGGTGCCAGAGTATGTACGTCAGGACATAATACGGGATGTAGGTCGAGGACAGCCAGCGAAACCCGCGCAAAAGCTCGTCGGTGGACATCTCCATGCTTCGCTCCAGAGCGAGGCAGGCTATCTCTAGAGTTTTCTCTCGTGCGGCCTGCCGCTCTGAGGTCGACATGGATGCGCTCTGGACTTGGAGTTCTTTCTGATGCATGTACATCTCCATCTTCAAGACTAGGACATCTCCGAGCATTATTCCCTGTCGCTGAATGGGGATGTTGGGATCGCCGTGTCGCAGATAAGCATTGTGCAGCTGGTCTTTCAAGTCCTGTATCAGTTCGCTGGGCTTTTTCCCAGTCACATGTCCCATCAGTACTCGGTGCAGCTCCTGTCGCTGCTGATTGGCCGTGGTGGTAATCAGAAACACTGTCATCTCGGTCCAGCATTCCTGGGGATGGGGCGGCGCTTTCGCCGTGACGGATAGATTCAAGTCGTCGCTGTTCGCGGGGAACACGGTGTCGCAGAACTCGTCTGCGCCGCTCACCATGACGCCGTGGTCCTCCGTGGTGCGGCTATCCGCGGTGCATATGTGCCACCATAGTCGCCGGCGCAGCTCGCATTCCAGTGGCGTCAATTTGAAATGTTTCCCGTCGCGGTGGAGTCCGATGGATTGTGCGGCTCGAAGGACCAGCCCTCGCATCGTCCATCCCGAGCGTCCACTATTATGATAGCGCAGGCACATCTAAAGAGTGAGCTTCCTACCAACAATGAGTAGAGGAGAGAATGGACCTACCTGATAAATACTCATCGCCTGCAACGACGTCAAAGTAGGAGCATCCAAAAACGACGAATGATAAAGCGCAAGCTCCAACCCTTGCTGATAGTTGCGAATGTCCGCAAGTCTCTCCTCATGGCCGGGCTCATCGGCAAGCAAGCTCGTAGTCGCAGCAAAGTAAATCGAGAAGAGCAACGCATGCAAGTCCGCCGGCGCGTCCTGCGGCCGGTTGATCGCCGCAAAGATGCGGGGCTGTGTCGAGGGAACGTGAATCACCTTGACAAGGGGATCAACCCGGTTTAGAAATATCTGCCAGAGCTGCGTCGCGTGCCACTGCGACGGGTGCATAGTCTGAAGGTCCGTTTCCGCCAGAAAGCGACTGACCAGGAGTCCATCCGCTTTGAGAGCCGGGGGGCGTCTGGAGTTGATCCCGTCGCTGACAGGAGTCGCGATGGTAGACTGCAGGTCTTTCTCCTTCTCTAGAACCCGCGATAGAAGCTGTTCGTTGATGTACCGGCCGTCCTCGACCAAGACGCCTCCGTGGATAGTCTGGTCGGCTGTCGTGGTGGTGCCAGTCGACGACGTCTGCCTACTCAGACGGTCTTCCACGGCAGAGTCTTGGGAGACATCATTATCCAGACTATTGTTGTCGGGGATCTGTCGGTCGCGGGACAAGGCCGCGATGGAACGCTCGAGCGATTCCAGCCGGGCGAGGACATCGGCGGTGGTTATCTTGGCGGAGCGACGTTTGATGTGATTCGGACCTGGGTACTGGCATGGAACCTTGTATCGCATGCAGTGCCCGCATGGAGAGGCCTTGTCGCAACGGACCTTGCGCTGGTGGCAGCTCAGACAGGACCGTTCGACGTTATACCGACGCGGGCGATCCATGTCTTGCTGTTGTTTCGAAGGTTAGTACGGAGTAGACTGCTAGAGGTAGCAGCGTGGGGTAAGACATACATTGACTCGACTCGGCTTGATTGAGTATCAGCATTCCATGCTGGTACCCCGTACATTTGCTATGATATGCGGGGGAGGATGAAGATGAAGATGTTCGGCGCGGCCATTCGCGAACGTCCGAAATCCCCGACCCGCTGAGTCAGGCATCACGTGAGAGGCATGGATGTCAACAAAACAACACTCTTAACTATTAAATACAGTATACTACCTACCCCAATTTACTCATTTAAAATAAATCGATAGTTAGATAAACAGGTAGATATATACTCCAGAAACTATAGCTAGACTAACACTCCCCGCCTCCACGTCACCCACCCACCCACCCACCCACTCAGCCCGATACACCACCCGTTTCACATTCAGCATCCATCCCCCTCTTCCCGTCCTCTGCGGCCTACCACCACCACCACCACCACCCAACCCACAGCGGATCATCCCCCCCTCCCAAACAAGCTTTTCATGTCTCGAACGCAAGGCGAATAGTTTTAGTTAGCGTTAGAGTTATGTCATGCCTCCTTACTATACTAACTACGCTACGCTACGTAGTATTGTGGTTGGTTGAGGTGTTTCCGGTTCTAACTTCTAACAGTAACAGTGACAGTGACGTTGGCTGTGTTTCGAGGGGGTGGAACGTTTTGGATGCCTTACTTACCCTCTACTCCGTACGGACCGGTCGAGAAAGGTTTCTCCGCGTTGAGGGCTGGGAGTTGAGCTGGATATCGAGAGACTAGGTAGGAGTGGAATCGGTCGTTTGGGTGGCTGGATTCGGGGATATCTATCTATCTATCTATCTATCTATCTATCTGATGATTGGGGGGGCGGGTGTGTTATACGACGGAGTGTTGTTGTAGATGGCTGGTTGGGGAATAAGCAAGTGTATCTGCTGGATGTATGATAGGAATAATCTAGGAACCCTTCTCTACGGATAATTCTCAGTATTATCAAGAAAAGTATACAGAGACGAAAACAGGTCGATAAAAGACAGACAGATGAATGACAATGCTGATAGCACATCGACCTCAGGTCACTTTTGATTTAAACAAATAAAGTTATATACAAGAATGAGAATCAGATTTGGCGCTCTATCTACGGCGATCTCCCGCAACATCCCCTCGACTCAGTAAGCAACGAGTGCAGCACACGCTTACTCGGCAACGCACTGGTAGTACCAGACGTTCTGCTCCTTGCAGGTGTAGGGGCTCTCGCACTCAGTGGGGCCGGTCCAGTTGATACCACCGCACTGGTAGTACTGCTTGACGAGGCCGGCGGAGGTGGTGGCCTCGGGACCCTGGGGGTCGCTGGCGGCGGCGCTGCCGGCAGCGGTGGCGGAGGCAGCGACGCTGGAGACGGAGGTGGCGGCGGTGGGGACGTAGACGGGGGTGGTGGCGTAGGCGGCAGCGGTGGTGGGGACGACAATGGCAGCGGAGGTGCTCTCAATGGGGGCCACGGGGGCCACGGAGGGGACGGAGGCCACGGAGGTAGGGACGGAGGCCACGGAGGTAGGGACGGAGACGGCGCCAACGGAGACGACGCTGGTAGGGACAGCAGCGGGGGTGGTGGCGGCGACGGCGACGGCGCTGGAGGTGGCGCTGCCGAGCTTGCAAGGACCAGCGGACTTGGACTTGCGGAGGGTGGTCTGGACGGCGGCGCTGGTGGCGGGGGCAACGGTCTCAACCTGGGCGGAGGTGGTGGAGGTGGTGTCGGCGATCAGAACGTTGGGGGTGGTGGTCTCCTGGATGGCAGCGGCGGTGGAGGTGGCAGCGGCAACGGAGGCGGAGCCGGAAGCAGCGACGCTGGCGGTGGTGCCGTTGGCGGGGAAGTACTTCTCCAGGATGGGGAGGTAGGTCGAGTAGGCAGCACCGGTGGTGGGCTCCAGGCTGTACATGTAGGATCCCCACCAGGGGCCGGCAGACCACCACTCAGCACCGGTCCAGACGTCGCTGTTCTCGGACATGTAGGAGAGCATGCCCTCGACGGCCTCCTCGCAGACGGAGTTGACACCACCGGCGAACTCGCCGATGAAACCAAGCTTGCCGTTGGTCTTGAGCCACTCGGTGGCGCTCTCAAGGCGGTTCTGACCGATGGTGGAGTTGACACAGGTCTCGGAGGTACCCGAGGAGTCGGAGTCGAGGTACTGGTGCATCTCGTAGATGATCTTGTCCTCGGTGTCGGTCAGGGCGGACATGTCGTCGTTGTACTCGGTCCAGGACCAGGCACCGGTGTAGGCGTTACCCTCGACGAAGATGTACTGGGTGGTGGCACCGGCGGCACGGATACCGTTGATGGCGGCCTGGTTCAGCTCGACGACCAGAGACTCCTCCATGTCGTGGTACTCGTTGTCTATGACCGTTAGCGAACTGCTCTTCGATGCCACCGGTGGGCTTCCTTACTGGTGTCGAAGATGACCAGGTCGTTGGAGGCGAACTCCGTGGCAACGTTGGTCCACCAGGTCTTGAAATCGGAGGTGGACTCGATGATGCTTCCATCGCTGCAGGGCATTAGCAGGCTGCCATGCGCGGCATGTCGACGTTACTTACTAACGACCGTAGTTGTGGGGGTCCAGGACGGCGTAAGCACCGGTTCCGGTAACGTATTCAACGGTCTGTTCTTGTTAGCTCGGCTAGCTCCAGATCCAGCGACGCGGCCAACATACCGACTTGAGGTCCGCCAGGTAGGTCGAGGCGAAAGAGCCAGTCAGGCTGTCGGGGGTCAAACGCTCCATCAGGAAGGGGATACGGAAGATGTTCATGCCCGCCTCGCGGAGGACAGCGATCTTGTCGGTCTCGGGCCAGATGTAGTCGGTGCCCAGGGTACCGGGGATGTTAGAGCCGAATTCAGCGCCAGACTCGCTGACACCGACCCCTACTGCTGTTAGCAACGTCCATAAATCCACCCGAAGGTCACGTACAGGTGAAGCCGGAGGCGGTGCGCTTCTTGATGTCCTTCACCTCGCGCTTGGAGGGCAGAGCCTGGACAAGGCTGGCAGCAGAGGCCGCAACGATCAGGTTGGTGATTCTCATTTTGAATGAATGTAGGTCGAACTGGTCGAAATGGAAAGAATGACTGTGGGTGGGAAGGAAAGAATGAATGAAGACAGAAAACTGAAGACAAGTAATGAATGTCAAGAACCAGTCTCGAGTGTGATGTGCCAAGCAGGAGCAACGAACGGTTCTGGGATCCCCATACTTATATTCGATCGTGGAGGGGGGGGAGCTCCTATCCCGTGATTCTCTATCATTTCGGCGGTCCCACCGGTTAATCTCAGCGGACGCCTCGGGCGCTTTCTCTGAGACAGTTACCTGGTGGCTCCCAGGGGACCATCCACTAGGGTGGGCTCCTGGGAGTCGAGAACCTCTTGCCCGAATCCTCCGGAGGATAAGGGCAGTGGGCACCACACCGGCGCGGAGGCTAGTGGCGCTCCTTCACGACCCTTAATATCTGAGTTGGCCACTGACAGACAGCTGGAAAGCCGCGAAAAAACGGCGGCCTTCAGGGGACTTTTGGCGGACATTCTGGCCATGACAGACAGACTCACGACGGCGTTCTTCCGACAGTTCGAGCAAGTGATGGGAGTTCGGTCGCATCGGTGGGGGAACGAGTAACACCGCTGTTACAGCGAAAGGCTTAGCCGCCGACAGGAAACCGCATCACATCGCCGGAGGAGCACTGGCCCCAAGCCAGGCCAGGCCGCCGTCCTTCATTTCTCCAGGTCAAATTTGCTCGTCCGGCGGCGTGGGGCCATACCATGCAACGTGCAGGCGATCTGATTAAGATGAAACCCGGTCACAACCCAAGCATCCTGTTCGTTGGTGGAGCGCCGACCGATTAATTAAAATTTTCCGGGTCGGTGGGAGCACGGAACCGGTCCATCGCCCGAGGCGACAGAGCGTTATTTTACTTCATTTAATTCGCATCGACGCCAGACTCGATTGATCACTCGAGGCGCTCGATTCGCCGGTGGTTCTTCACGGTGGTAATTTCTGGCCGGCCCGTCTTGATCCCACGGTGAGACACGGATTCGAAGGACCCACAGAAGCGGCCATGGAATCCACGGGAATCGGACTGACCTGTCATGTCATGGCGATGGCGCTGTTCCTGCATCGCCATATGCCGTCTGCCTGGCCTTGGCGGTGGGAAGGTGGCGTCACTGGGGGGGGTATAGTTGACAATTAAAGAGTTGATAGTTGATACGGGGGGGGTAGACAGGGATAGGAGGTTAGTGGAGGAGAGAGGAAGGAGGGGAAGTCGAAAGTACCGTTTGAATAACGGCGGGCTTAACGGGCAGAACGGGGCACCTCCTGAATGCCGCCTCGGCAGACGCACGTGCTAGACTCCGAGGCTGCCAGGCTGCCAGGCTGCCAGGCCCCCTCGGCCATAAGACAAGGTACTCTAGTTAAGTGCTCAATAGTGCAATAGTGCTCGATGCTAGACCCTTCAACATCCCTCGTACGGTGACTTAATTTCGGCCGGGTAATACTTCGCCACAACCTGTTTGCCCACAACCGGATTTTCCTTCCACCATCCCTTTCACTTCTTCGGCACTATAGGTTTGGATTGCTATTTTGGAGCTCTTTATATTGCCCGGCAATCTATTTCCCTGGCCACAGCCACCAATGTGGTCTAGGGGACCACCGGCGAAATTGGCACTGCTATCTTGGGAACTCGCTTCGGATGGCTCACTTTTGACTCTCGGCGTGGGCGGTTGACCTCGAATGATTGATTCCCCTGATGGACCGGGATGGATGAGATATGACGGGTGAACGTGGATAGGAGTCCGATATACGTGATTGTGCTTGGGTGAAGGGCGTGGCAGGTCTGATGGCTAATCCGAGGTGAGCGTTAAATAAGAGCTGCGTCCCTGTGCGGGCGGGTGGTTTTCTGGAACAGTCGGGCTGTGTGAATCTACTTGAGCCCTTGACCGGTCTGGACCACAACTTCGTCGGAGCCACATGAGTTCTTCCGCAGGTGGAACTACGATGTTCCAACCTGGGAGGGTTCATTGAGCGCCAGTCTGAGGAGTCCAGCTTTGCGATAAGTGCTTAGGGAAGATCGAACCACGCAGCCGGGTGATCCTGGCTCCAACGGGTCGAAGCCAAACAGAATGGCATTTGTAGATTTGACGCTTGGTGCTAGATAATAGACAGAGTACGTATAACCCTGGGTGGTGGGAGGAATGAAGGGTGGAGAGCTCTGGCGGGGAGACATACATACCATACCGCCTCTACTACCATTTGACGACGGCCATCCAACCTTCCAAGGCGCTTAAAACATCGCATCTGTCAGGTATACTCCGTATATTACAGGGGGCGTTTAGCTTCGTCTTTCTCTGTGGCTTCATATCACACTGGCTATCTTCAGATTAAATAACCTCAGTTGAGATGATGCGGTTTCTGGTGTACGTAGCCTGGTGAGAGTCGAGATCTCAGATCCTGTTATTGACATGAAGCTCCCAAGTGACTGTTGGTAGTAGTCTTTTGGGGAGAGCAATGCAACAATGAGAAGTACATGTTACTTCATGATTGTTGTTACTTTCCTTGCCTTTTTTTTATAGAGACAATGTGTTATTTTCTACTGGGAAATTTTGACGGATCCTGGGGGCTCTAATCGAGGATCAATCCTTTTTTCTTGGTGCTCATTTTTCACTCCGTAGACTTTGGCTTTAGAGCCACGACTGATCGGGAGAGGCCAGTCTGAATAGCTTCATGGTTAACAGAACTAGTACGCAACGCGATAGACAGGCGTGTTCCATGCGTCTCGATGCTTCTCAAAACACAGGCTTAGCCCCTTCTCCCATTATTAGGTTTAGATATGCTACAGACTCGCATACAGAAATATAGAATCAGCAGAACCGATGGACAACATCAATTCATCAAACTGAGCACATACAGACCTGTCGGCAAAAAATACTGAGAAACGGCCAGATTATATAATAGGGGTCTCGTAGCATCAACGGGCAGGATCCACGCAGGATGGCAGATTGGGGCGGTTTCTGCACGTCCGGTAGACGAGGCCATTGTTGGGCGTTGAGCTGGTATCTATCTAGTAGTGGGGGTTGAACAACAAAGCCGGCTCCACGCCTGGCCACCGCATCAATCCTGCATGTCAACCCACCATGTCCGGTCATGTCGTTTTGTCTGCAGAATGGTGATGATTCGTGTTGTTGGTTTTTATAATTATTATCAAGTTGTCTACTTCTTTATTTGAAATACTCCAGTGCTTTTAAAGAATGTTTGGAGTTCTCCCTTATAGTATATTATGTATACTAGTACATACTTATATATATACAAACCGGGTAAAATGACAGCTGCCAAGCGGGGAACCAGCGCTGTGTGCCCAGCACAGGGCCAGACCTGTGAGGCTACACAGTACAGGCCCTCAGTGGATCTTAAAGTTTATTGTCCTTGTTCAGCCACTGGATCGATTCTGTGCAGTTGGACAAATCGTACAGTCTTGGTGCATGTTGACTGGCAGATAGTTGTGCGCCCGAGTTGGGAACCTGGAACACCTCGAATCGGCTCACCGCGCGGGTGATCCGATCTCGTGGGAGTGGCAGTTGCCCTGCTCATGTCAGCGGAGCGTTCCTCAAAGCAGATACACTCCTGTCGAAGGGTGGTAGAAGTGCTGTAGAATAATAATAATAATATATGTACTCCGTAACTTACAGTGCTCTTGATGACGTCAGCCAGGCAAGAAGGCACCGGAAGCGGTAAGGCGGCAGGCAGCCTCGCTGGCCGGGGTCCAGTGATCAGTGATGATGGACACCACCGGGCTAACCGCAGTGGGCAGCCGCTAGTCCTCTTACGGCACGGGGTAGCATTGGCTGGAGTAGTCAGCAGGCCGAGCTAGGCCGCATCAGGCCTGCACTCTCTCCCTTCTCGTAGGGCTCGATCGAATGGATGGATCATCACCTTCTTGGCCGGCCCCAGTTTCTCAAGGCAGCCACGCTTTGTCTTGGGCCTCTTCCTCCTTCTTTTTAAATTTCTTCATCCCCTCGTTCTTGCTCCTCTTCGCCAATCCGTGCTCCCTTCATTGTCCGACGATCCTTGCGGCTGGCCGCTGTTCTTTGTCGTCCGCTGGTCGCGTGAAGCTTCTCTGCCCCGCAGTCCGCAGTCCGCAGCCCGCAGCCCGCAGCTGCTCAGCTTACCGACTGAACGATTCCCCCCCTCCCAGAACCATTTCCACCCGAGCTCTCCTCTCAGCCACCGACCAGGCTATAAACAATCGCCCGCCATGTTCGGTGTGATTGCGGACGCGCTGTCGTAGGTGTCTTCTGCTGTCCGGCTATCCCCCCGGATACGTCCGGAGCGTATCCTTCTTATCTATCCACCTGCGCACCCTGCTAACCATCTCTCCAACCCAGCTCGGTCATCACAATCCTCCTCCCCGTTTTCGCCTCCTACAAAGCTCTCCGCTCCGCCGAGCCTTCCCAGCTGGCACCATGGCTCATGTACTGGGTGGTTCTGTCGGTGGTGCTGATGGCGGAGTCGTGGACGGTCTTCATCCTGGGATGGTAGGTCGCCCGACGGGACACCACGGCGGTCTTGCTGACTCGTCGCCGCAGGATCCCCTTCTATAGCTGGATCCGTTTCTTCTTCTTCTCGTACCTCGTCCTGCCCCAGACCCAGGGAGCCCGGCTGTTGTACCAGGACTACGTCGATCCGTTCCTGGAGCACCACGAGCGCGAGATCGAGGAGTTCATCGGCCGCAGCCACGAGCGCGCCAAGGCGCTGGGCCTCCAGTACTTCTACCAAGCTCTGGACTACATCCGAGAGAACGTGCTGGGCTTGCCGGCCCAGCGCCCCGCCCCGCCCCCTCCGGCGAGTGGTCCGGCCGCGTATGCGCAGTCGCTGCTTTCCCGATTCAACATTCCCACTGCTGCCGGAGCCAGCGCGCCGGCCGGAGAACCCGCTCCCGCTGCGAGCAATGACTGGTTCTCCGCCATCAGCTCCGCGGTGGCATCCGTGGCGGCGTCCGCCGGCAAGACCCCTGAGGCACGCGGCGAGGCGCTGTCCGCCAGTGGTACCCTGCTGCCCCGCGAACTGGCTTCCATGTCCCGCGCGGACCGCGCCAACTTCATCTCCAACCAGCGCGACCTGCTGGAGGTGCTGCGCAGCGCCCTGGCCAAGGAGGAACGCGACCTGCACAGCGAATCCGACGACCTGGCGTACGGTCCGCCGCTGCGCAAGAACCGCAGCGAGAACTCCTTCACCCACGTCGAGCACGAGGACACCCAGGAACGCTCCCCCGATGGCCACGGTCGCACCAGCAGCGGAAACTGGGCGTCGGGCTGGTTTGGAGGCCAGGCCGCCGGCTCCTCTGGCGTCGACCACGGTCATGAGGCCGCGCGCAACCGGCAGTAGACTGGGCGATATACTGATTCGCTTCCCTTCCCTCCCCCCGGACCTTTGTATTCATGTCTATGAAAACTTAGAATGACATACCTACTCTTATCTGACTCTGCTGGATTGGTTTATTGGATGTGTAGCGGCGCTACGCCGTAGTGACGTGAATGCACCTTGCCGCACGCCTTGCCGCATGTCCCCCTGTCACTGCGATGCATGACAAGCCTAGGTACGTATCCGGGTCGTAACTGGTAATGCTGTCTCCCACATGGACAAACCATGGGTAGGTAGATAGTTACTATACTTATTTAGTACTATCATATCCATCACATATTACTATCACCTATTCCTATTACTATTACTATCCCTATCCCTATTATCACTACCTATCACCCCCAGCATAACACCTCACTTCCTCTACTCGCCCTCAAAACAAACCCACCCGTCAAAACCAAATCAATATCCTAGTTTAGATACCTCCTCTACCGCCCCCCCCAATAACCCTTCCCTTCCCTCTATTCCATATCTATATATACCTATGTCTATATCCATAATTATATCCATATTCATATCCATATCCAGTTCCAGATTCAGGTTCAGGTTCAGTGCTCCCTACTAGGTATGAATATGAAGCATATCTCACTAATAAAATCCCCTACCCCGGCCCAATCCCAGCCGAAGTCTAGCTAAATATCTGGATATAACTAACTTGGGATAAGTATATATCTTATCCAGATATAAAACCTTTGTATATCGCTGTAGCTGTAGCTATAGCTATAGCTATACCCTTACTCAAACTTCAATTATACTCATACCCATGAATCTATGTATGTAAACCAACTACCAACTAACCAACTAATCCACCCCATCACTGCAAACAACAAGCAACAAGCAACAAACAACCTACACGCACGCATGCGCGCACCAAGAATGTGGGTTTTGTGTTTTGTGTATTAAGATTATCATTGAGATCATCTTATGAGATTGGTGTTGGTGTTGATGTTGTCTTGGGTATAGACCTACATATCTATTATCTATTTATCTATCTACCTGCCTACCTGCCTATATTAGATATTACCCACCCACTGCTCTGTGTTCTAGTAGTGCTATACACTAGGTGGTAGGGGATATATATATACATCATGATAGTAATATAAGTGTAGGCAAGGGGAAAGAATACTGGATAAATGGGTTTCTTTTGGGGATGGTGTTGGTGGTGATACTGATGCTAATACCAATATTAGGTTGATGGCGATGGCGATCCTAACACTGCTGCCAACACCCACAAACACTGATACTAACACTAAATACAAACTACACAACATAACCACCCATGCATACTCAGAAAACCCAAGCCCCTGGTAACAATAATACGTTAATATTTCTAATAGCAGTCAATGGTATTAGACCCCTTCCCAGCATCGACTTGATTATATATATATCTTGGCGATCCGGGGTGCGGGGCGGTTATATAGAGGGTTGCGATTATGGTGTGGTCTGTGTTTTGTGTTTGGGGGGTCGAGGTGGTTGTGATGGTGATGGAGATGGAGATAGGGATAAGAACATTGTTGTGTGGGTTAAGTTGGGGAATGGGGATGGGGATGGGGATGGGGATCAGGATAGGGATGAATAGAGTGGGAAGGGGATAGGAAGGGAGAAGAAGGAGAATAATCAATAAGAAGGGCAGGGGATAAAGAAGGATACAGAGTACGGAAGGGGTTCACTGGGTATTGCCAATCAAGGGAGAAATAGATTTCTACAGGAGATATATCGAACTTTTCCAGGTCGAATAATAAATACTCCATAGATAGAGGGCTAACTTGGATACTCTGTACTACTACTACTACTAGCACTACTACTAGATAAATGGAAAAGTCCAAGCGCAACTCAAGCACCAGCCCAATCAAAGCAGGAAAATTACTTTTCTTCAATACCTAGTCAAGTCGGCCGGCCGGCCAGCCAAGCAGCAGCCGATGTCAGGCATGCCTGTGCGCCATCCAGTCACCCTACCCTGCACGGCCGGGATGAGGCGAGATCGCGCGCACAGAACGACCAAAAGAAAAAGAAAAAAAAGAAAAAAAAAAAAACAAACCAAAATTGCTAAAAATAAACCTGCGGTGTCTTGCTATCTGTGTGCTATCGATAGGGATAGCCTACCCATCTATCTACCTAAGTAAGCAGTATGGAGTGGTACATGTCCCTACCCAGGCAGTGGTGGTATCTCCTGGAATGCTGGGATCGGGATTAAGGGTGGGTGGATGGGAGGAGGTTGTTGACCGGGCGATCGGGTGCATGGTTGGGTGCTCGGGCGTGCGAGTCGATCTGGGCTGGGTTTTCGGTTTTTGTGATGTATTTCTTTCTTCTCTAGGTAGTTTCTTTGCTGGTGTCTGAGGAGGAGGTTGGGCAAATACTACCGATCTTGGAATATTCACTGTAACAACATGAAGGCTGCTGCTATATCCACTGCCTCAACATCAGCTGAGCCCCAGGTAACACAGAACGATCAAGTGAAGGCACCGCAGTGAAGCCGCTGAAAGAAAGAGCATGACCATGACCGTCCGGTATGATACAGGTATCATACCGGGGCTCCTGCACGGTGTGGCAACCCGCAGCGCCATGTCTGCCTGAGGCGGCGACACCGCCATGAAGACTCGGATTGATCCGCGTCATTCTGGCGCGGCTGACTCGGCGGACGAGACGGGCGCGTCGGGGATAGGCAAAGCAGGAAAGCAATCGCCGGAGGGACCAGGACTGGAATCCTCACGGCTGCTGTATGGTCTGACGGCCTGCCAGGCGCGCCGGGTTGAGTGGCCACGAACAATGGCGATGACAATACTAGAGGGAGGCCGAGGAGGGTGTTACCCCCAATAATACCCAGCCGGGCCTAGCGACATCCTTGGCTCTCGGTGGCCGTCGCCGCCTTGACCCGATGGGCGGAGATTCCGCGCTGATGCGTGTGCAGGCTGGCAGGCTGGCAGGCTGGCAGGCATCGGCGCATCCGAATAAGCGGTGCCGTGTGACTGACTCAAAGAAGAGTGATCAGTGACTCCTGATGGATTGCTAGAGTCCGTCCTGTCATCGGGAGATATGGAGTATCATGATCTATCAAGTCATCTTTTGGCTAGGTAGGTAGTAGTTTGACGTGGTCGAGGTTGTGGGTTGGTAATATTGTGTTTTTGGGGGGGGGGTTGGTTGGTTGGTGTTGTAACAGGTAACTACTTACCTTACTGTTGTTCCGCTAAGACTAAGAGACGTTCTGGCGGGTGCCTTCCTGTTTGGTCGGTCTGGCGGGTGTGGTGTCGACGCTAAACCGCAAGAGGGCGTATGGTAATTAAAAAAAAAAAAAAGAGCAGACATAGATACACACACACAGTAAGGTGACCGACCACCACCAGCACCTCCTCCTCTGCCCGGCCAAACACCAAAAGGAAAAGGAAAAATTAGGGAACCGAAATCTTTTACCCTCCAAACTTCCTCGCCTTCCCCCCCCTCCCTCTCCTCCTTCTTCCTTTTCCCTTTCCTCTTTTTTACCCCAGATCTATCGTCGTTGACCACGACGTGATATCTTTCTTGTCCCGTGGTCTTCGTTTTCTGGCCCTCTCCTCTCGTTCATTCCCTTGAACGAAACTCCCCCCTCCTCGATTTTCCCCGTTACCTGTGGGATTCTTTGGATGTGCGGTTCTAGAGCGTCATTCCTCTGACTGCGGTAAGTACTAACAATCTCACTCTGCTCTCCCCTCCCACCCCCCTCTCTAGCACAAACATCCCCCCCTCTTCCCTTCCCTCCTCTCCCCTCCCTTCCTCTTGTTCATATCTCTAACAGATTTTGCTTCCCCCCCAGACAGGCCTCCTCCCCCAACTCTCGTCTCAACCTCCTCCTCCAACAAAAGCGCCTCTATTTTTTCCGCACATATCCTGTCTAATGAGCTCGATCCCTCCCAAGTCAGGCCCTCAACCTCAAGGACAGAGCACCTCGACCCAGGCCGCCTCCTCCGCCCAACCCTCCGGGAAATCATCGCCCCAGGCGCCGGTTTCCACGTCCTCGTCCGCCACCACGACGGCTCCTCGCTCGTACGCTAACGCCACCAAGAAGTCCGCGACGGACTCGACCGCCGCTCCCGTCACCGTGGGCGGCCCAGCGCAACATGGGAAGTCGACTACAGCATCCTCTGTGAGCGGCAAACCCATGCAGCAATCCCAACCCTCTGGCGTTACCATCGTCAATGGCGCCCCGGCCCCGGCCTCTCAGGGCGACCACTCCAGAAAGCCGTCCGTGACCATCACATCGGCCGGCACCTCGGGCTACATCCCCAACGGCGGCCAGACCGGTCGTCCGAACAGTCTGCAGTTCGGCTTCGCCAACCCGCAGTCCTCCCCCAACATGGGCAATCCCGCCGCCTTGGCCAACCAGCCTCCGTCGGGCTTGGGGGTTACTCCGCCCACGAACCCCCGTGTGACCTCCCCCCAGACCTCCCCGTCGCCCATCCCGCAGCCTGCTTCCAGCGGTGGCCGGCCACCGCCGTCGTCCTATCAGGCGCAGGGCAACGTGCCGAACTTTGGAAGCTTTGGCGATGCCGGTGATAACGTAAGTGGCCTTTCCCGTTCTTTGTATACCCCCTCTTCTCCCGTGCAGAATATATCCTCGTGTCGCCGCCTGCACCATATGCGTGTGCGTGTGCGGGTGGGCGAGACGCAGGATCGCAGGAATTCCTCAGGTGAAGAATGGAAGAAAAAAAGTTTTCGGGGAGCACAGCTTGTTTCTTGGCATTCCATCGCATCCCCACTCACTCGTGAAATGCTGGTATTAATAATGATGCGCTAGCAACAGATGCGCCCGGCTCCGCAGGCACCCCTTGGTCCTGGCCCTCAGTCGACCCATCTGCGTCGCGAATCGTCTCAGTCGACCCACAGCGATATGAGCAACCACATGGGCAGCGCTCCCGGCCGTGGCGGTTACCCCCATCAGGGCGGCCGTGGACGCGGATATTCCCAGTCCAGCTACCAGGGTCAGATCCCCTACTCTCCAGGTCCCAACTTCCGCTCGACTCCTAGTCAGCCCCGTGGCGGCCCCAACATGGCTCCCCAGTTCCACCCCCAGAACCAGGGACGCCCCCTGGGCTTCCCCAACTCGCCGCACCAAGCGAGCCGCAGTCCCGCCCTGGCCACCGCCCATCCGGCCACCCCCCAGATGAACCAGGTGCCGATGGCCCACGCCCAGATGCCGCCGCAACCCTATGGCTATGCCCAACCCATGGGCCCCCAAACTGTGAGACCCCAATCATTCCTAAGGACCCAGACGCGCCGTGGCGCCATCCGAGGCAAAAAGGCAACCCCCCGTCAACACTCCAATCGTTCTACCCTTTTGCCCCAAGTCCCCCTTCCACTCCCCAATCTGTCTCCAGAGAGTGGGCAGTTTGAACGCTATCTAACACTGATGAAAAACAACCAGGCGTACCCAGGCTATGACCCCGCCGCCGCCGCTGCCTACGGCTACCCCTACGGCTTCAACATGACCAATGTCAACTACATGGCCCCTCCGTCGCCGCAGCCCCGCCCGGGCATGCCCTACAACCCTCAGGCGCCGTACATGCAGAATCAGTACCAGGTACAGCCCCCCGCGCAGGCAACCTCCCTGTCGCGCTCCCCCTCACAGGTCTCGAACGACCGGCCCGGCTCCAGCCTGGGTCAAGGCCAGCCTCCGGCGGGTCCTCCCGTGCACACGCACACGGCCAGCCGTTCGTCCAACAGCCCCGCCCCGCCCAAGACCCCGTTCGTCATCCCTTCGGCCAAGAAGAGTGCCCTCGTCATCAAGGACCCTGCCAGTGGTGCCGTGAAGACGTTCGAGAAGACCCCGGCCTCTCCTGCCCGGATCACTCCCTCCCCGGTCAAGATCGCCACGCCGACCTCGACTCCTCCCCTCGCACCGGAAGCAGCGCCGACCACACCCGCACCGACTCCAAGGCCACTAAGACGGACGAGGAGAAGAAGAAGGAGCTGAGGGACGCCGTGCGCCAGAAGATCGAGCAGGAAGAGGCAGAGCAGCGTCGCAAGGCCGAAGAGGAGCAGGCCGCTGCCCGCAAGAAGGAGGAAGATGAAGAGGCCGCGCGTAAGAAGGCCGAGGAAGAGGCCGCCCAGAAGCTGAAGGACGAAGAGGAAGCCGCGCAGAAGAAGGCTGCCGAGGAGGAAGCCGCGCGCAAGGCCCTCGAGGAGCTCAGCTTGAAGGAGAAGGCTGCCGAGGCCAAGGCTGAGGAGCCCGCCCCTGCCCCTGCTGCCGCCCCTGCCGACGATGACGATATCGATTACGATGCCATCGAGCGTGAGATGGCCGAGCTTGAGGCCAAGGAGCGTGCCGCTGAGGAGGCGTACTACGCCAAGAAGAAGGCCGATAAGGAGGAGAAGGAGCGCAAGGAGAAGGAGGACCTTGCCGCATACGAGGCCAACATGAAGGCTGCGGAGCGCGAGGCCGAGGCTCGCGAAGAAGCCCTTGAGAAGAAGCGTCAAGGCGGCGTCGAGGATGCCGACTCCAAGAACAAGGAGCTCTTCGCCTCTCTCAAGAAGGGTGGATTCCCTGCTACCGAGGTCAGCACTCCTGGCGACAGTGGTACCGCCACGCCTACCTCCGATCTGTCGATGGGACCCCCGCGAAGCCCGCCAGCGCTGCCAAGCAGAAGCCCGCGGCCCTCAAGCTGGAGACCACCAAGGCGGTCGAGCCCCCTCAGCCCAGCGCCGCCATGAAGGCTCTCCAGTCTGCTCGCTTCGTTGAGGACCTCAGCAAGATTGAATATCCCTCGTCCGTTGCCTCTCCCAACCCGGCCCTGAACGACAACGCCCCGCGGACCGCAAGTTCCACTACAACAAGGAGTTCTTGCTGCAGTTCCAGGCCGTGTTCAAGGAGAAGCCTTCCATCGACTGGGATGCGCGCGTCCGCGAGACCGTTGGCGACAGCGACTCGTCTCGTCCCCAGTCTGCACGCACGCCCATGATGGGTGGCCGGAACAACTCCCGGTCTGGTGTGACCCCCGGCTTCCAGATGGGCAACTTCGGTCAGACCCCCAGCCGCAACCTGCCGCCCAACACCACCTCCGAGCAGCGCTTCGCTATGTCGAACGCTGCCCGCACTGCTTCCATGGGCAACCCCTTCGGTCAGTTCGGTCGCCCCGGCCTTGGTGTCGGTGCTCCCTCCATCAGCCGCACCAACTCCGCCAGCGCCATGCACCCTGGTATGCCCCAATCCCCCCGGGTTGGCTCCAGCAACCGTTCCGGCACCCGCACCGGAAGCAAGCGCGACAGAGGACATGGCAAGAAGGAGGAGGATATGGCGAAGTCTATGCCCCTCACCGCTGGCATGGATATCCAGGCTCTGGAGACCTCCACCACTGGCTGGAAGCCTCGTAGTATTGGGGCTGCTCCGGCTGGTCCTACTCCGGCTGGTTCTGCTTACATGCCTCCCGACATGGTGCAGCGTAAGGTGAAGGCCGCGCTGAACAAGATGACGCCCGAGAACTTCGACCGTATCTCCGGCCAGCTCTTGGAGATCGTTTCTCAGTCTAAGGACGAGACTGATGGTCGCACTCTGCGCCAGGTCATTCAGCTCACTTTCGAGAAGGCCACCGATGAGGCCCACTGGGCTTCCATCTATGCCAAGTTCTGCAAGAGCATGTTGGAGAGCATGAGCGCCGAGATCAAGGACGAGAACATCCACGACAAGAACGGCAATGTGGTTGCTGGTGGCAGCCTGTTCCGCAAGTACCTGCTCAACCGTTGTCAGGAGGAGTTCGAGCGTGGTTGGAAGGTCAACCTACCCCCCAAGCCCGAGGGCCAGACCGAGGAGGCCGCCATGATGTCGGACGAGTACTACAAGGCTGCCGCCGCCAAGCGTCGTGGTCTTGGTCTCGTCAAGTTCATTGGTGAGCTGTACAAGCTGGGCATGTTGACGGAGCGCATCATGCACGAGTGTGTGAAGAAGCTTGTCGACTACGACGGCATGCCCGACGAGGCCGAGGTTGAGAGTTTGACCAGTCTCCTGCGCACCATCGGTCTCAGCCTGGATGCCTCGGAGCGCGGCCACGCCATGATGGATGCCTACTTCCAGCGCATCAACCTGATGGTGCAGACTCCTGGCCTGCCCAGCCGTCTGAGATTCATGCTGCTCGTAAGTTGATCGCGCCCGGTTTCGTGAAGTATTACTGACCGAACTCTCTAGGATATCATCGATCTGCGTACCGCTCGCTGGATGTCGAAGGATTCCGACAAGGGCCCCAAGACCATCCAACAGATTCGTGAAGAGGTACGTTCGTTTGACTCAGGTGGCCGATCGTGTACTAACCACCTCTAGGCCGCCCGTGCTCAGCAAGAAGCCGAGATGGAGCGTCTCCGCCAGCAGGCCAACCGTGGCAGCCGGCCGAACATGGGCCGCGGCGACGCGCGCAGCTACAGCAACTACGGCAACCAGGCGCCCCCGCCGGACTTCGCGTCCAGCAAGGTCGGCAGTGATGACCTCCGCCGCCTGCGGACAACTCGCAACACCAACCAGCCGATGTCTTTCGGACCGTCCAGCATGCTGGGCTCCCGTAGCAACAGCGGGCGGAAGAACTTTGGCCCTGGCGGCAACCTGGTTCGTGGCAGCGATGACAGTGCTCAGAGCAGCCGGACTGGCACGCCCACGGGCAAGAAGGAAGACAAGGAGGCTGCCTCCTCGATGAACGCATTCAGGTTGGTACCGACGATCGATCCCAGTGACGCACGCGCTAACTCGTTCAGTGCTCTGGCTGCCCTGGAAGACCGGGACAACCTGGCCACCTCTCCCCCGTCGAACCCTACCTCCCCTCTCCTGACCAAGTCGCAACCCGCGGCTGCTGAGCGCCGACCCTCCAAGACCCCGTCGAAGGACGGCGAGGAAGCATCATAGATTCTGTCGCAATGATAATGAAAAATGATTCCATTCTTCTGGAAAGACTTTCTTCTCACTTCTTTTTGACACCTAGTCACGACATGTCCATCATGTGATTTGAAATGAACATTCCTCCTAATCTTCTCGTCCATGATTTCGGCAAACCAAAAAGCTCGGTCGCTTCATACTTCTCCGCGGAGGGATAGAGGGGACGTCCGACATTCTCTTGTACAATTCTGCTGCTACGACCCATAACGGAGGTGCGGGGGGGGTTCTTGAATCTAGCGAGATAGGTTTGGTTTCGCAGGGGATGGTGTTTTTCATGATATGACATGACTTGACCTTGAACCGACCTTGCTATGTCTCTCTTCTTATCTATTCTTCTATCCTGTTGTTTCTTTTTTGCATTTTCCAATACCCGGAGAGCTTTGACGGTTTCTCCTCTCCGGTTTGGTTGCTGTCTGTCTGTCTGTTCTTAAAATGGGCATGGGCGGTCGGTGGCGGTATTCAAACCGGGGCGGGACTTGCAGGCTAGCCACGATATTTGCTTGTGTCATGCGCGAGAGTTTAGTAGTACTAGTGATGTCTTTTCTTTCTTTCTTTCTTTCCTTCCTTTTCTCTGAATGTCCATGCATTGCATCTACACTGGTTCCTGCGGTGTGTGTTGCTGGCGATAAGCTTGCAGTGTGTCGCGCCGTGTCGTGTCGCGTCTGTCTCTTGACTTTTGCTTTTTCCTAGACAAAATCTCGTTAGAAAAAGTTTTTTTCTCTTTCCTTCACTCTTCTTTCTTATACTCTTCGATGAGTCTTCTGAGGCTTCCTTCTTCCTTTTTTTTAATGTTCCGTTTTCGGCATAGGAGTGAGTGAGTGTTGCCGTTGGAGGAGAGATGTCTTGTCTCAATATTACTTACCTTAACTTAAATTAACTTCACTTATCATTTTCCACTTGAATGTTTTGTTTGGATTAGGGGAGAAGGGGGGGGGGGGTCCGTAATGGTGTGGTGGTCATGGATTATAGATAGATGGTAGGTAGTACTGTAGTATACTTACTCCATTTCCCATCCAAGCTAACCTAACTAACCAAAATAAAATCCAAGAACAAAGGTTCTTGTTTGTTTGTTTGTTTGTTAGTGAGGGTTGGCGGGTTAGTTAGTTGCCCAGTGAAGTTACTGGCATGCTATGTATGTATGTATGTCTGTATATGTGTATGTATGTATGGGCTTGCTGATTGCTATGGTTAGCATTGCTGTTACTATTGCTTTTGCTATTGCTGTTACTATTGCTATAATTGCTATTATAGAGTAATAAGCTAGCGAGCTATGCTGTTGATAGTGATGTCATATAGTTAGGTAGTATGTTAGTATGTTAGTATGTTAGTATGTTAGTATGTTAGTATGTTAGTATGTATGCCGTGGTAGGTGGTTGGTAGGTGGTATGTGGTAAGTAAGTGGGAAGTGGTAGGTACTGGTGGTAAGTAGATCTGATACCTCCTCGTACCCCCCTCCCCCCTGTAGATAGACAGTGGATAGTATATAGTAGATACTACGTAGATAGTACTGTAGTACTCACTTATGGAATACCTACCTATCTAGGTAAGATACCTATGTAAGATACCTACGTAAGATACCTACTAGTCTGGTGATCTAAATGGACTTGAATGTTTATTTTTAGTACGTAGCTACTAGCTACATACTGATACTTATACTAGTACTTACACATACACATACATATCCACCCCATATAAGATTGATGCACCGCCACAATCTATGGTACTATTAATGTTAGTATCGGGATCAGGATCAGGATCAGGATCGGTCAGTCAAGTTAGCCAGTCACCCACCCAGTCACCTTCCCAGCCAGTCACCCACCCAGTCAGTCAATTACTCTAGGTTAATAGGATAGCATAGAATAGAACAAAATAGGACAAAAATAGGATAGAGTAAAAGAAGATAGGATAGGATAGGACATGACAGGAAAGCACAGGATAAAACAAAACAAGATAGGAGAGAATAAAATAGAATAGAAATAGAATATGATGAGATAACATAGCATACATCGCATAAGACAGAATAAAATAGATATGATAGTATACATAGAAAGAATATACCCGTTCAAAAACCCAGACATAAGACATAGCTAGGTAGGTATACTCTCGTCTCTCCATAACTACTAGATCTAATGGCATAATAGCATAATACTCCGGACTGGGTATCTATCTAATACAACTAAACTAAACTAGTTGTTGTGCTGCACCAACGTAGACAGTGATAGGTAGGTAGCTAGTGCTTGGTTGTAATTACGAGAGGGGTATTTGGATTGTGATTGTCCTGACTGAGAGACTAATTAATCTATTACATGAAGTCTACTATACCATACTCTACTATACTATGCATCTTCACAGCTAATCACAGTTATGTGTATTGTTCTACCAGGAGAAATCTATGAATGCATCGATGCAATGCATCAGTGTGATCTATCGCGAGCCGGAACAGAGGATACAATGTGATGTGATGTAAGAAAGGAGATTGATTCGCTGTTCGTGGTTCATGATTGCTCCGCAGCATCGCACTGCTGAGCTGAGCTGAGCTGAGTTTGCTGTCGTGGGGTTATGCATGTATGTCTGATAGCATTACTTGCATGGTGGTAGATCCTCTCATAATCAGGAGTGGTTGTAGGGGTTGCTGATATCTGCAGAGGGCAGGCCATGCTGCATCCTCTGATGTGGTGGTGTGGATATTGATGGATAGATACCCGTAGGTGCATGATGTGGTGTGGTGTGGTGAATCCGGGTCAGACGGTAGATCCTCACTTCTCCGAACCAGTTGGAGAACTCTCCTCAGTCACGATCAGCGGGATCGGCACGCCGGACGACGGAGGCGTCTCGGTGGATTCGGACAGGTTGTCTGTGGGGAGGGTCTCGACGGACGGACCGTTGCTGGGCTCGGTTGGCGGCGACGGACTGTCTTTGTGGTCTTCCACGTGCATCACGGTGGGTTCGTCGTCTGACCCGGTGTCAATCTCGGAGTTTTCCACGCTCCCCACGAGGGGGCTGCGCGAGACGGCGTCAGGTGAGCTGGTCGGCGAAGGCGATTCATCGTGGCTGACACTGCTCCGCTCCGACGTCGATAGGGAACTGCGGGAGTTCTGGTAGGATTGGGGCAGGCCGAGCGCGGCTGCCACGGCGGCCTCCTCGTCCGGCAACTTCGATACGCTGCTGTCGCGGCTGGAACTGCGGTCGAAGATGTTGTTCCCTCGTCGCTCGCTCATCTCCAGGATATGGTTGTAGTTGCGTCGGGTGGGGTCCGCCAGACGCTTCTTCTTGCGCTTCTCCCGCTTGGTGGTCGGGCGGACCACGATGACCGGAATCGGCGACTGCTGCAGGCAGTACTTGGAAACAGAGCCCGGCAGCAGGCCTTGCACGCCGCCCAGGTTGCGGCCCCGAGTGCCCACAATGAGCACGGCGGGCTCGTAGATCCGGATCATGCGCTGGATGATGTCCTGGATCTTGCCGACGGCCAGCTCCAGCACCAGACTGATGGCCTTCTCATTCTGGCTGTTCTTCTGGATGACCTGCTCGAACAGCTTCTCGGCCTCCTTGCGGTATTTGCCCGCCTCGACCGCGGCATCACTGGCGATGCTGGAGTCCTTCTCCACGGCGCGGAGACAGACGATCTCATCGCCGTCATCGACCAGCTCGTCGATCAGCCATTCCAGCGCGAAATCCGAGTAATCGTTCTGGTCAGTGCCGCAGAGGAAGGTGCGACTGCGACGGGTGCTCTGGTAGCCTTTGTGTTTGTAGTTCAGGGTGAGGGAAAAGTCCGCTGCATCGGGGTTATCGAACGTGTCAAAGGAGACGCCTCGTTCGTAGGTCCTAGATGAACCGCAAGTCAGACGAGTGGGTAGAAAGAGATGGCGATCGGACTCACTGCGGGGGAGGCGGCGAGGGTCCGCGCGAGACGGGCGCCTTGGGGTCTTTCTCGTGGGTGAAGGAGACGTGGGAGGGCGAACGCCTGCGGCCTGCAGCGCTGGCGGATCGACTGGGCAGCTGCAGTTGCTGCAGTTGGGGATCGGGGGCGCCGATGTTGAATTGGATGGATTTTCTCCGGGACCGGGGCTTGCCCGTTGGGGTGGTGGTGGTGGAGCGGTGGATGGGCTTGTCGCCGTCCAGCGATGATTTGGTGGACGCGGACATGGCAGGCAGAGAGCCGGTTGGTGGGAGGAGGGGAAATGGAAGGGAGTTGGTGGAAAGATGTAGATGGCAACCGGATAATGGGAAAGTCAAATCGGGGATGGCTCGCTCAGCCACCGTGAAGCTCCAGACGTTCTGCCAGTGGTACGATGCGGGAGACACAGACCATGGTTTGGCGGCCCGACACGCGTGGATGGGAGGGTCGGAAGGGACAGTCAGAGAGGGAGGGACAGAGAGGGAGGGACAGAGAGGGAGAGACAGTCAGAGAGGGAGGGATAAGATGGGAGAGACAGGAGAGACAGGAGAGACAGGATGGAGGCTAGTGAGGGGGGATGACGCCAGCAGGCAGGGAATGGGAGAGGAAAGCGAGAGGAGAAGAGCACGGAAGCCGGAAGCAGAAGCAGAAGCAGAAGCAGAAGCAGGCGAGAGGATCAAGGCAGCCGCCGCAACGGAGAGCGAGCCTCGTGGTGGGGCGGCCGCAGGCGGTGAGTCCGTCACGTGGCGATAGCCTGTCTGTCACTCCCCAGTCCTTTACGGAATAAAACACCCCCCCTTTCCTTTCTATTCTATCCCTTTACCCTTGCCATCATTGCAATCCCTTCACTCCTGATACCCGACATCCACCTGACACCAACCCAACGGCCCCATCAACACTCCATCACAGCTCCGTACAAAGTTGCTCCGCAGCAGTCGGAAAAACAGTACTAACAACCAGCCCTCCGTCGAAGGGAGACGAAACAATCGAGTCCAGACCAGTCCATTATCCCCTCCAGCCTCCTCCATAGTCATAGTCCAGACACAGTAAATAGTCCGTTCTTGGAGCCGACCCACAGCCACCAACCAACGGCAATGGTAACCGTAACAACACCGCTCATCATGTCTACTTACAAGGATTCTGTAGTGTCTGTACGGAGTACTCCATACTAGAGGGTCACATCGCGTATAGCTTGCCGTGTGGAATCTGGCAGTTTTCAGATATTGATGTTGATACTGATACTGATACTGAGACTGAGACTGAGACTGGGACTGGGACTGGCACCAGTGGCAGTCTCCGCACTGCTCTAATGAATGGTATGGTAGGTAGATACTAAGATACTATCTAAGACGGAGTATATAAATTGAAGTCAGTCATACAGTTGCAGTCTGAAACTTCCGGACGGATAGTAGTTATACTTACCCTTCCCTAGATAGTCTAGTAGATACTATACGTAGATAGATAAACCGACAGTGGGATTGATAACCCCGAAAATAGATCGATAGATAGATGGAAGGAAAATCGAAGAAACAAAGAAAAAAAAAGAGAGGCAATAATGCCATAAACAGACAAAGAACAACACCAGCGATCAACACGCCGATCCTCCTGATCGATGTGATGTGATGTGATGTGATGCATCCATGACCCGACCGACCGACCAACCAACCCGACCAACCCGACCCAACCACAACCGTGTGATGTATCACGGGGCGGTGTACACAGTACCTACCTAGGTCTATTGAGAGTCTAGATTGATTGATGGAGTACCTAGAGACAGTACCTAGATAGGTAGATAGTTCTCTCAGTCTCTGTCTGTCTCTCTGTGTCTGTCTCTGCCACTGCCACTCCAGACTCAAAGTGGCGGTATCTATCTCTCTAAAAGTATCCGTATCCATCCCACTAGCTCAATACCAGTCTAGACTCTCCCTCTCCCTCAACTGAGGCGGTGATGCCGATATCCACCAAACTCCAACTAATCACCACCGGCCCTACTTACCTACTATCTAGCCCATCTAGTCCCGTTAGCTGCCCCCGGGCTGAGAGTGAGTATCTGGTAAAAGTATAGATACGCGTAGTGAGTAAGTGTGTTAGTGTGGACGGCTATTGACGGATTACCTACTCCGTAGTAGGTAACTTCTAGTACTATCTACCTACAGACGGTGAAGATTCTTCTCCAGATTTCTACTACAGAGTACATACTAGATCGATCGTATGTTGAGAATTCAGGCTTCAGAGAGAAAATTTTGTTTGTTTGTTTGTTTGTTTGTGTTCTATATATTGTTCGTTATCGTAGATCTCATATACGTACGTGCCTTACATCGGCCGCGGTACATCAAATCAAATAATAATAAGTAGTATCGAGGCCCGCCCGTCGATGCGGTCGCGGCCTAACTGTGGAGTCATTCGTCCACATTCCATCCCATCCATATCCAGAGTAGAGAAGAAGAAAGAAAATAGAAGAAAAGAAAATAAACATGATGCCCAAACGCTCGGGCATGCAAAAAAAAAAATTCACAATAGCCAACCAGCCAACCGGAGACGTCCGTTTTTCTTTTCCCGACAGTGATACAAACGCCGGACCCGCTATGATAAAGTGGCAAATATATAAAGACAAGACGAAACAAGACGAAGGAGAAATAAGGTTCTGGAACATTCCAGGGGTATCACGTATGGTGTACAGCGTCGATCAGGCACCCACACGAGGCCAATCTAATCAGTAGGCCTCGATCATGGTGCCGCGCGGCTGGGGCCCAGGGACGTAATACTGCGTTGAGTCGAGCTCTGTCGGGGAGAGCGGGATCTCAGTCTCTGTGGGTTGGGGGTGTTTTTCATTGGGGTCGTTGGCGGAGAAGGACTCGAGAGGGGTGGGTTGAGGGGGGGAGGGAGGCATGGAGTCGTCTTCGGACTCGCCGTCCGAGGAGTCTAAGAGAAGCTCGGGCGGCGTCTGTCGGGATGGCGAGCGCGTGAGGGTCAGCTCGGCCAGGTCCTCGGCGTCGTCGTACTCAAAGTCCGAGTCTGAGTCCGAGTCGTAGTCCTCTTCGACTTCCTTCTCGGTGATGATGGCAACGGGCGACGGGGCGCGCCGCCGCACCGGCGTGTACAGGTTGGATTCATATTCGTATTCGTCCTCGTCGTAGTCGGAGTCGGAGTCGTCGTCGCTGACGTCCGAGTCGGCGTCCGACAGGTCCTCCGGGTCCCAGTCCTCTTCCGGGTCCTCGACCACCGTCTCCGCCCATTGGATGTGTCGGGGCTGCGGCTCGGCGGCGGTGGTCTTGGTCACCCCGCTGACGGTCTGGTTGAACCAGCGTTCTTGTTCGCGCTCGGCGTCCGCCAGCTCCAGCATCAGCGAGTCGAGCAGGTTGGCGTGTCCGACCAGCAGGCGCAGGTCATGGTCCGCCCGCGAGGCTTCCCGGGTGAGCTTCTTGCGGGCGGTGTGGGCGAGGTAGTAGGTCTGGGTGATGCTCATTTTCTTTTGTTGGCGGCGGCGGACGAGGGAGGAGAAGTAGGAGCTGGGAGAGATGGGAGAGGGAGAGGGAGAGGAGGAGAGAGGAGAAGTAGAAGTAGGAGAGGAGGTGGAGGTGGTGGTGGTGGAGGTGGAGAGTGTGGGGGAGGACGAAGTTGCCATGGCGCAGAGCAGCCGGGAGGGCCGTGTTGATGTGCTTATGAGCTCAGCCAGGCTGGATCGGCCAGCAGAAAAGATGACTCGTTCGCTGGACGCGGTGACTCAGGCTGCCTGTCCCTTTCCGGCGGTCGCGCGCGAGCCAATCACGGGAGGGCAGTTCGCGGGGCGGTGAGGTCGACTGCAGGCGGATCAATAATCACGGCGCCTTATCTTGGGAGGGCAGCAGAGCAGTGGCGGGGATGTGCTGTGCTGTGCTGTGTTGTGTTGGAGGTAGTATGTATGTCGCGAGGTAGTGGCTGTCTGTATATGTAGGCAGGGTTGGTGCAGAAGACGGTGTGAGATAGATAGATAGATGGATAGATGTGCGTGAGAAAAAAAAAAAGGGACCAACAGGGAACATAGGGATCGATGTATTATGATATATCCACTTTCCAGGCTGATGATTAGTATTGTTTTTTTTCCCTCTCGGGGTTCTCAACAGTATCTCCATTAATCACCTCGTTTTTCCCTCGCTCCAGGGCACGCAAAATCCGAGCGATCGGACCTTCGGAGGCAGCGCCCAGCGGGCATCCGTGGATCGGATGGAGGGTGCCGGATCCACCCAGCCTCGACATGCAAGCCCGAAGAGGCAACTTGCGGCTTCACCGCCCCTCGCGCGGCCCAATCAGTGGGCCCCGTCCGTGAGTCACGGCCAGACGCTCCGCCGGCTAACCCCGTCCGGACGATCGCTCAGCCCAGCCCGAAACCATCAGAAACAGAGCGTAAAAAAAAAAAAAAAAAAGGGCAGAAAAAAACCCTGCCGGCGCCTCGGATGACCAATCTGTCCGCGCCGTTAATTCCGGCGGTCCGCCTAGAAAATTCCAGCAGCTGCCCAGCCGCCTAGGCTGACTTGGGCCGATTACTCACCTCCGCACAAGGTTGCGTCGTTTCCACGGGACTGGTGAAGCCCAGAGCCGCTTCGTTCTTCTTATTTCTTGTACAGTAAGTAATCCATGGCTTTGAAATCATTTCGGATTCCTAAGCTGGTATTTCTCGATGGGTCGATGCATATCCCGTCCCTCACCTCACGTCCATAGGTCTAGTCTCACTAGGTAGGTAGGTAGGTTGGTAGGTAGGTAGGTAGGTGGGTACGGTAAGTATCTACCTCCCGCAATGGGACTATTGACGACACCAGTCACATCCCCACCGAGCAAGCAATAATCGCAGAGCATACCTACCTACCTACATACATACTGCGCTGGTAGCCTGGTACAGAGCTGAACTACTTAAGCACAGTGCATACCAGAATGGGAAATAGGTAATGGGCCCGTACCGTAATCATGGGTCATCCTGACTGAGAATGATAAGAAGCATGGACCCAAGGGCCCCCCCAACGAATGCCAATGCTGCTAGCCAAGCTGATAGACTGCGCACGGGGAGTGCTCAGCCCGGTCCGACCGGTCGCGGGGGCAAGCAGGCTGGAGAGAGCAGAGCAGAGCAGAGCAGAGCACCTTGGGAGCGACGCGAATACGCCGGGCGCGGAGTTAACTGGTTCGCTGGTTCGCTGTCTCCGTCCGTACCTCCGTTTTCCCACTCTCGCATTCTTTTCCGTATATGGAGGACAACATACCTCTTCTCCTTTCTACTCTATGTACGGAGTACTACTGGGAGGGAGTAAAATTATTGTCTCGAACCTCGCAAGCCCACGTAATCCGGACTAGGCAGACAGACAGACAGACAGACAGACAGACAGACAGACAGGCTGCCACATTGCTGCCTCGCGAGAAATCCGGGGAGGCTACCACTTACTTACTGTACACCTATCTACTTCCACTTACGTTTACGAATCGAGAATCCACTGCGTCGCGAGTACGGAAGTGACTCGCGTAATAATCGCGACTCTCGCTGACTGACTGATTGCGGAGCCGCACTCCAGCCAGCCTGCTTGGCATTCCATCCAGGCCAGGTAAATTTACTGTAAGGCCAGGTCAGGTCCGTCCGCACAAAATTGGGTATCGACTATCGAAGCGATCCGTGAGCAATGCAAATGCAATGGGGAAGTAGGGGGCGAGAAACGTGTCGTGCTCTTGGCGGCAGGCCCCTGGCTGGGCCTGCCTGACTGACTGGGTGCAGACTGCGGATGGATGAGGCGTGCGTAATGAATGGATGGATGGAAGGAAGGAAGAAGGCTGGACGCGATGCGATCCTCGTCGCTTGCGTGCGCGGATGATAGGACGCTGATAATCAACGTGTGTGCGATGGTGTGCTATCACTAGATAGTATCTACTATCAGCGATCGATCGTCTATCTGAAACCTTGCGCCTGGAGGATCAGGACACAGCCTCCGCTGGGACGGGGAGGGGGATGGAGATGGATGGGGATGTGGGGATCTGGTGTGGACTCGTGGCTGGCTCGGTGGCTACTGGATCGGCGAGATAGACGATCACATGACTGGGACGGAGCAGAGGTCTGGATCTTTGGATCTGAGTAACCTGGGGCGTAAATAGTGGTAAATAATAGTAATGATAATGATAACAAATAGTTCAAGAGAGCTAAGGTGCTGATTAGAATATGATCGATGTTTCATCTCCGGATTCGGGAATTTGCTCCTCCCGTGAAGCTTCCCGACAAAGACACCCGCCCCGTGTCTATGGACGAGTTATCACCCAAGATCCCTACCGTCGCCGACTCTAGATCTCTCTGGTGGGGTCTGTCTGAGATGTCACTGTCACTACCTATCTAGTACCTACTGTCAGTGTCACTCCCTCCCACTCTACTCTGACATGGCATCCATCTATCCATCCATCCATCCATCCATCCAACACATCCCTCAGCTCACCTCAAAGTACCAAGTACGAAGTACGAAGTACGAGTCTCGATGCTGCACAATCACAGCCCAGCCAGATGCGAAAGCTTGTCCAAGAGGCCGAAACTGAAAGCCAGGATGATCCATGACAAACAAACACACACCATACATCGGTTGATTGGTAGGTGCTTACCTAGCGATTAGTGATCTGATGAATAGCATCCCCAGGCCACGCTCCAGACGGGGAGTTGCACGGTGCTTCCCCAGAGCTTGTTCGGGGGGGGGTGGGGGTGGGGGGTGCTGATTCGATACCAGACGCTGATGCTTATCCCTCCCGACCACGGACACGAAAGCTGCCTGAGTTGGTAACTGCAGATTACCAATAACAGTTAGACACCTGGACGGACAGGGAGAGGGATAGTTAGTTTGGTGTTCCCCCTCTCTGTCCCTCATGAACAACAGTCCAGGTCATGAGCCTGTGGTTGTCGACCGTACATAATCATCATGGATACCCCTTCGGGGCTGGATAAGTGGACAGGTTGGTTGGCTGGCCGATCACGCCTTAGCCTTATCATCGAATCCGTAGAGTCTGGAGTTTAGAGGGCACGGCTATACGACTGTATGGGAGAGTGGATTGGTTGGTAGTAGTTGGGGAGTCTGGAGCGATAAGCCAGGTCATTGACGTCACGATGTCATCCTCCACCATCATCACCACCACCCACTAACTAACTACAGGCTGTTAGTAATCTTGCTTCATGACCTCATTCTCAATCCCCAATTGTACAATAATATGTCCCATTATTATCATTCGTCAGATCTGTCGCATTTCCGGTTGCAGACGATCACGGCAGAATAGATCATCACATCTCATGAAGTAGTGATGATGCCTTCTATCTACATAGTTATCATAGTTATCATAGTAACTATCATAGATGATAAATTGTCCATAAACAATTTGCATAACTCCGAATAATTATCCACTGTGTAATAATAATAATAATAAAAATAATCGTCATGAAAGGAATTAAACCGGCAGAAAATCGGGCGTCGGAAATCGGCGCTCCTAACCTCCGCCTCCGACCGCTCGCCCTTCCCTGTCGCTCTCGCTCTCGGCGACGGAACCCTCCATTCTTTTCTTCCTCTCCTTCTCCCCCGACCGCAACCGCAACCGCAACCGTGAAGAACCGTCCCGTCGTCCCATGGCTAGATAGGCTAGTCCAGCAGATCAAGAACCTTAGGGACGGAACTGGTCTAGGGTCAATCAATCCCACCCGGAACTACGGCAATAATAAGCTCGCAAGGTTTGGGTTTTTTCTGCCGGTTTTATTTTTTTTTTTTCGATTAGTGATTGCTTGCTTGCTTCGGAGGGGATGGACTTTGGTTTGGTTGTTTCCGGGCCGAGGGTGGGTTACTACTTACTTGAGCCCGTGACACTACCTACTCTGGTTGGCACGGGTCACTAAAATGACTCTTATTCAGGGTTGACTCATCGGGTGTCGGCACGGGCTCTGGTTTCCTTCCTTCCCCCTGGTGTCAGTCTGTCCTGTCAGACAAAGGGATGCATCCAACCTCCCTCTGTGCCTGGAAAAACCACGCGTCTCTTTATTGAGGGACGTTGCTTTCTTTACCTGGATTATCTAAAAACAAGGGGCGATCCTACCGTTATCCCGGGAAAGATCCGATCTGTCGTGGCTTGCAGATTACATGTTTGTCACACGTCAAAGGTCCGGTGTTTGCATTGTCCTGATGTATATTGGAGCATGGGAGCCAACGGCAAGCTGGTTGTTAACGAATAAAGATTTGGGGCTTACCTTATCCCGCAGATCCATGATTAGGATCCGTTTTGATGCAGGAAAGCCCTCTCTGGGTTTAGGCGTTTGCTGCGATGGATTATGCCACTGAAAGCATTTGTCGCCGCCTTGAGACTGAGGGTGTCTTGGGAGATCAGGGTCTATGTCCTCGGAGGAGAGAGCCTCAGAGAGATCCGAAGGAGAGACACCTCGTCAGCCTCCTGCGATGTGCTCGGTCTATACGGAATATTCCTAAAGCAGGGATATAGCGTAGGAGGGAGGTTTTCGCAACGAATCATGCGGCAAAGGTACCTATCGCAGCCTTGAGACTGGATGTTCTCATAGAGGGTCTCAGGGTCTCTGCCCTCTGAAGACAGATTCTCCGTCAGCCTCCTGCGATGTGTTCGATCTATACGGAATATTACTCAAACAGTAAGTAAAAAGCGCAGGCGGGGGGACAAACCCATTTCAATAATGGGGTGTGGTTGGGATATTGTCAGCCCTTCCTAGGAAGAGGAGTTCTCATTTTGCCTCCGTTGTCTTCTGTTGACAGATATAAAAACCGTCATAACCGCCCGTGTGTCTGGTCCAAGTCCTCCATCATCCTCGCATTCATAGTATCATCGGTACACACCAATCGCTGCTGTGACCAAGGTACTAGAACGCCATGGAGACTGATGCTTATCCCGCGCCGCTCACATGGCTTCAGTGCCATGTGGTCAAAATCCTGGAGGCAGCTGGAGTCCCCAGCTTTCTCTTCGGCAATGTGAGTAAAGAAGCAATCATCATTACACAGTCCCAGTACTAACCGTTCTCGTGTCTCAGGAGGCGTTGATGATCTACCACTTCTACAGCGGTCCCAAAAGCACAGTAAGTATATATAGTATTGAACCCAAGCGGTCGCCGGCATGTCCAGAACTAACGAGCAGCAGGAATTGGAATGGGGAATCCCTGATCGCTTCATGGGGAAAGCCACCAAGGCCCTGGAGGAGGCCGGCTTTAAACTCCACCTGGCTGCGAATAACCCGGAACATGGCGACCCGGACTACGAATTCAAGTGCCCGCCGGATATCGCGACCCGGATCGAAAACGCCCCCGACGTCTGGCTGTATCACGCATCACGCATTTGTTGGAATTTCCCTGATCCCCCCATCGGGCCTCTTGGGGTGAACGGAAATGCCTACTACACCGTGACCTCCCATACCCGGTTCTATTCGTCGACGGACGTCCACGTAGACCGTCCAATCACTCTATACAAACGTGGTGCCGACAATGTCACGCGGCCCACGTATGATAGCGAGCGGTACCTGCATCCGTTCAGCATCGACCCCTGGTTCTCCGAGCAGTACGAGACCAACCCGCAGTTCAAGGAGAAGTATCGGGCCCGACCCTACTGGTACAACCGCCTTGGACCCAACAACCCGTCCCTGGAAGAGCCGCCGGTGTACGTCAAAATCCTCCGACCGGAGAAGTGGATCGAGGCCGCCATCCTGCGCCTGGTCCGCAACCTGACCGTGACCGACCGGGAGGAGTACTCGGATCTGACCCTGTCCAAGGTGGCTCGCAAACATCTCCGGCGACGCATCCCGCCCAACCTGGTGCTGGAAAACCTCCACGACCCCTTTCGCACCTACATGGAACGCCTGATGCAGCTGGCTGACGCCGAGCCCGACAGGACCAAGGAGCTGCGCGACGACGTCTTCCTCCAGAGACTGTATAACGTCCTCCGCGCCAAGGACCAGCTTCCTCCCCACGGCGACACCGCCATCGCTCGTCCCGATGGCGCTCAGCCCAATCTACGGGGTATCTTGGAGGCCGCCCGCTCCGGAAGCCACCGCGCTCGTGACGACCAGTACCAGTACCCGGATCCGGATCCCCTGAACCTCCTGCCCCAGGATCTGTTGGTCGAGCTGCTTAATTCCCCTGGTATCAGGGAGAAGTGGGCCGGGCGGTCCCACTGATCGGCTCTCGAGCTCTGCGGGCGAGAGTGAGTGAATGAACTCACTACTTGCTACTTACTAACCTCAGTCGGTTGTAGTACTTACTTCCGTAGTACTTACTTACTTCTGTAGTAGTATCAGTGGTAGTGGTAGTAGTAGTAGTGTCTGTTTCTCTCGGCTCGTAATTTAGTTTCGTTATGATGGAGTTTAACAGGATTTTCTTTTTCCTTTGTTTAATCAATCAATCAATCAATGGATTTGCTTCATTGGGTTATTATGTCCATCCATCCATCCATCCATCCATCCATCCATCCATCATTTTGTAGTTTGCGTAAAAGTGTACTGTAGTGTACTGTAGTGTAGGTAGTGTAGGTAGTGTAGGTAGTGTAGGTAGTGTAGGTAGTGTAGGTAGTGTAGGTAGTGTAGGTAGTGTAGGTAGTGTAGGTAGTGTAGGTAGTGTGTGTAGTTTGATATACAGTTGGTAAATCACAAATCATACACGATAATTGATTGATTGACTGATTGATTAATTGATTGATTGATTTATCTGTCGCGAGGATAACACTTCTAATTCCAATCGTGATATTAGCAAGGAGTTGTTGTTCTCTGGGTAGTGGATAGTGCAGTGGGTAGTGGGAGTGGGATGATGTTTATGTGGGATGATAATAAGTAGAGTATATCTATATATATATATGAATACTTATGTATATGAATATGTATATGAATATGTATATGAATGTGTATATGTTTCTTTGTTTGATTGGCAGTTTGCAGTGCAGATACATACAGTATGTAGGTAGGTATAGTACTATGTGTGTATCTTTTTAGGTATAGTATCTACTAGATACTACTACTAGGTACTTAGGTAGGTAGGTAGGTAGGTAGGTAGGTATGTATATACCTACCTTCCTCACTCCATTGACCATCCACCACACCACAACACAACCACACCCAAACCATACATAGTATGCATGGCCTTTTCCTAACCACCCCCTCCAAACCAAACCCCAACCGTAAATCAAGAATCAACAATCAATATTCCCACTCTTCCTCCTCATCCACCTCGTCCACCACCACCCCTTCCCTCCCACCCTGTGCCCATCCCCCTCCCCCTCCCCATCCGCCGCATCAGAATCATCCAAATCACACGGCAAAAGGATCGCATGATCCAACGCATGCGGCAACCCGCGATGTCTCCCCCTCACCTGCATCGCCACAACAATGACCTTCCCCACGGCGCCGAACTCGCGACACAGACTCGTTTCCGAGCCGGGATACCCCATCGACAGGCCGACGGTGCCGTACGCGGACACGATCTCGAAGAGGATGGGGAAGAGGGAGAAGGAGAGGTCGGGGTTGTTTTGGGTGGAGTTGTGGGGCTGGTTGTGGGGCTGGTTGTTTTGGAGCCGCGAGCCTTCGCTTACGGCTAGGAGGAAGAAGCCGAGCATGACGTACCAGAGGTCGAAGCCGAGTTGGCGTTGGATATGTGCGGTTAGGGTTGTGGTGGTGGTGGTGGGGTTGGGGTTGTGATTGAGGGAGGGGAGAGGGAGGGGTGGAGTTGTGGTTGTGGGGGTTATTGGGATTGGGGTTGTCGTATTCGTCGGTGTAGTAGATGCCTAGGCTGCGTTCTTCGTAGACGTTGGTTTTGCGCATGGCGATGGCGATGGGGAAGGCGGAGATGTACATCATTATCAGGAAGGAGACCTGCACGGCCGGGTGCAGGGTCGCGAGGGAGGTGATGCTGAAGCCGGCGGTTCGGGTGGAGGCGATTTGGAAGAGCCCGTTGATGAGGCGGAGGGGGGCGGGGAGGGGGGTTAGGTGGGGGGTCTGGGGTTGGGTAAATAGATAATTCCGGGTTAGGCGTGGGGGATGGGGATGGATTGTGGAGGAAGGGTTGGAGGGAGGGATAGAGGCTTACTTCTTGCAATGTGTAGAAGATGATCAGGTCAAAGGCGTTCAAGAGCAGAAGAACCGCGGCCAGACGCCAGGTCTCGCTGCTGGGGAAGAGCAGCGTGAAGCAGCGGCGCGGGTGGTCGAGCAGGTACTGCAGCTCGTCGTCGAGGGGGCTGCCGTAGGTGGTGAACTGCAGGATGGTCCAGATGATGAAGCGGAGCATGCACGGGAAGCCGGTGTTGCCGAGCACGATGAGCACGGTCATGACCAGCAGGGGGAACGGGGCGGCGTTGAACGAGGCCATTGAGTCTGGGGTCAGGGTGAATCCGAGGTCGTTGAAGGCAGATCCGGCCGTGAAGGCCGCCCACCAGGACCGGTGCAGCCCGGAGTCTGCCAGCACCGCGCTGTAGTGGTTGTTGGGGAGGATCCAGGCCACGAAGAGCACGAAGCCCAGCACGTGGATCGCCACGAAGTAGCACACCAGGATGACGATCAGCCGCTTCAGCGCCCGGTACTCGATCCCGCCCAGCTCCTCCTTCTGCGTCTCGTTCCAGTCCGAGTAGCTGGCGATGGAGGCCTGCCAGGCCAGGGACGGCAGCGGGGGCATCTCGTTCTGCAGCTCGGAGAAGGACCGACGCAGCGGCGTGTCGGTGTCGGACAGCGACAGGGACCGCCGGGACCACGAGTACGACCGTCGCCGCTGCTTGACCTCGTGCTCGGGGTCGGTTTCCCGGAAGGTGATGTGCGGGCTGGTGGCGCCGTATTTCCTGCCGGGCGACACCTCGGGCGAGTCGGGACGGCTCTCCTCGTCCACGGTGGCCAGCAGGGGCACTTCCTCTGGCGGTTGGACAGCCCGCGGAGGCCCGATTTCCACGTCGGCGAGCCGCTGATTCAGGGTGTTGCGCTGCGCGCGACACAGCATCTTGGCATCGTGGATGGCGTGGCGGAATCGCTTCCGGAACCAGTACAGGCGGATCACCACCAGCAGCGAATGCACGAAGATGACGTTCGTCACCATGGACACCAGCCACAGGGTGGCCTGCTGCGCGGCATTGAGGCGGTTGAGGTCGACCGTGTTCAGCCCGGTCTGGGTGGCCGCGCCGGAGGCCAGCAGCACGGCATCAACGTAGGAGAGCCCTCCGGCGCCGTAGAGGATGATGGAGGAGAGGAGCGCCCAGGAGACGATGTAGATGTAGTGGTGGGATCGACGCAGGGGGGACTGGGGATTGTGGTCGCCCGAGGACTCACGCGGCGGCATCCGTGGCTGCAGTTCGTGGATGGGGAGCTCGACTGGGAATGTGTGTGTGGATGGATGGCAAATGGCTGGTGGTGTCGGGAGTCGGAATCGTGGAGGGCGGGAATAAATAGTCGGATTCGACTCCTTGCGTGGAAGGATGGCTATTGGGAGCCGACAAATGCCTCAATTAGCTGCATCGTTGGGGGGGGGGTAAGAAAAGGTGGACTATTGCCTCGGGGGTGCACGACGTCGGGGAACTTATATGGAAAGGCGATCGATCCACTTGCCTGCAGGCCATTTTATCGGGAAGAAGCATGCAGCATGCTGGGGATCAATCCCGACCAGAGAGTTGCACGGCAGCTCCAGCAGTGGGCGCAAATAATCGCTCATACTGACTGTCTGTTGGTGACTCTCTGGCCAGCCACTGACGCACGGTCCATAGTTTGATCAACTCTATCCAGGGTCTGACCTCATGGGGACTGTCAGTCACCAGCAGACTCGTCGCATTGATTGACAGTTAAGGGAGAAAAGGGACGACGAGCCAGAGGGAAGAAAAGGAGGGAGCATGTCGACCGGCTATAAACGGCACAGCACCATCGATTGAACAGAGAATCGCGCCAGACCACCGTGGTGTTGATAAAGTGCAGCCCAATCAAGGACGGGGACGAGGGCAAGGGCAAGGGCCATCACCTGCCCACCCACAACCAGGTACCCCAAGCTAACACCTGCATGAACATGACCGCAGCCGTTTGCTGTCATCTACCCCCTTTCAACACACTTCAAGTTGTTGATTGATCTGGATATCTCAAAGACGTCTACTTGTACAAGCCTACATCACTAAACAAGACCAATTACTATACGGAGTACAACCTACACGATACAAAACAGATTCACTCCCAATACCTGTGACTTGGCTATAAGTATATATATATATATATATATACAGTCCATGCCGTTTTTGATTGCAATACACACGACTGATTAACAGAGTACAAGAAGAATTAAATACTATTACCAGCCAACCACGGGCCGAGTCGAGTTCGCACTCCACCCATGTGGCCACTGCTTGCAGCGAGCTCGCCCTTACTCGGAGCAGGAGATGCCGGAGGGGAGGTTCTCGCACTTGCTGCTGGTCTCACCGCCGGTGATATCGATGTCCGAGAAGGACCAGTCAGTGCAGCTGCCGTCACCGCAGAGGATGTAGATCTCGACGGCGTCGGACTCGACGGAGCCGGTGATCTCGGTGAGGGTGACGTCGGAGATGGTGACGCCGTTGGAGGGGGTTCCGGTGGGGTCGCCGTTCTCGTAGTCCTGCTCGATGACGATGCCGTAGTCGGTGATGCCGGAGAGCTTGATATTGGAGTAGGTGATGTCCTCGACGGTGCCGGTGGCGTCGTAGACGGTCTTGATGCGCACACCGTTCTCGGAGTCAGAGATGCTCGAGTCGATGAAGGTCACGTTCTTGACGGTGTTGTCGTCGCGGCCGCCGACGGAGCCGATGGAGAGACCGTGGCCGCCGGAGCAGGTACCGCCGGAGAAGTAGATGTTCTGTGAAGGAGGTGGAGGTTAGGTTGGTGTTGAGGGAGATGAAGGATGGATGAATGTGGTTTTGTACTCACCTCACCAGAGTTGATGGCGACACAGTCGTCCTGGTTCTTGACCACGGCACCGGTGATGGTGACGTAGCTACTCTCGCTGATGTCGAAACCGTCGGTGTTGTGGCCACCCTCGGAGTCACCGTCGCTGTTGTCGATGGTGACGTCCTCGATGATCAGGTTGTCCGACTCAACGGAGATGGCCTGGACGGGGGTGTTCTTGATGTACAGGCCGGAGATCTTCGAGTCGTCGAGGCTGTGGGCGTAGAAGAACTTGGGCTTGGTCTTGCCACCGTTGGTACCCTCACCGTCCCACCACTTGGCACCGTTGCCGTCGAGGACAGCGTCGGAGGCCTGGGTGACGGTGATCTCCTTACCGGAGATGTAGAGGAGAGGGCCACTCCACTCCTCGTACTCCCAGGTGGTGGTTCCCTCGAAGGTGACCTAGAAATGTGTTAGTGGCGATCGCCAGAAAGCTAGACAGGATGTGCTCACGGTGGTGCCGTCGTTGAGGTCCTTCAGGTTCAGCATCTCACCGGCAGGGACGGTGATGTCCTTGAGGACGATGTCGGAGCAAGAGGTCTTGCTCTCGGAGGCAGTGGCAGCATCAGTGAAGGTGCAGGTGGACCGCTTGTTGAAGTCGGAGGCGCGAGAAGGCGCAGGGGCGGCAGACACAAGGGCAGCGCCCAGGGTCGCGAGGAGCAAAGAGGACTTGGCAGGCATGGTTGTCGGTTATCTGGTCAACAGAGTAAACGAAGGACTGTTCTGATCTACAGAACGAAAGGTGAGTTGACTGGGGAAATGAGAGAGTAAAGGAAGGATTGGCTTGGGCGAGGAACAAAACCAGCCAGCTGGGCGACGAGACGGGCTTTATATATACATAGTACGTGACAGCCAGCCCCTTCATCTTGAAGGCGATTCCACCATCCGGCCCAGTCTGGAAGGCAAGGCATCGAAAACAGCGGGGAGCGCCCATGACGCGAAGGATGGGATTAATTTGGGCTGCATGGGTCGATGACGGGTAAAGCAGGCGAGCTATCAATCTCTAACCGCCTATGGAGACTAGGGGCGCTAAATTAGAGGTGTTGACGCGGCATTTCTTAATCGAACTTGGCTTCGGGCGTGGGCCTGAGCCTATTGCAGCGGCCGGACTCTGGCGCGCCGCGCGCATCGATGTATTCTGCCACAGCCGAAGTCGCTGCAGGTCAGCCACTGTCGCAGAGCGCCTCACGACCATCAACATCTGTCGAATGTCTGTACCACTGCTGATCCCAAGTTTCTTCACGGGTCAGCCCATTCTTCCGAGTCCCTGACGGGACAGAAGGAAACATACGGACCAGTTAGTGGACCATCTGTCGCAGGCGCGAACCAGGGGTCCATCCCCCGAGGGCAGTGATCGGCCGCATCTCCACCCGAGCGAGACCAGAAGGGCCAAGCAGGCCGAGCCAGAAGGTCGCGGGATCTTCGTGGAAACACCTCCGTATTCAAGACTGATTGAAACACCACCAATCCCGCCTGTCGCGAGAAGGGTACGGGCAACAAGGGCCATTCCCATTTCACCTGCGGTTGCACCGTTCCAGGAATGGAGCTGAACATCGATATCTGCACGAGGGTTCTGGCTGCCGATCCATGCCCTTTGCGTCGATGTCGGCCTTCCTCTTCCCCACCCGCCTGTCGGCATCACTAAGGGGCTTTTAGATGGTCTCAACTCTCATGGAAGCTCATCTCGGCAAATCAGTCAGCGGTGGAAGCAATGCGATCCCGATTGCAGGGTGGTCCGGCGTTTTAGAATCTGCCACGGATGCCAGAGCACAATATGAGTGGCCACCAACCACGAAGGCGTGATGAAGCATAAGTCGTGTAATTATAACTTTTGCCGCTTCCCCCTACCACTTAACAGCCCCTTATATGATTGTGCGGAGCTCCGTGGCAGTTTGACGTCTGAGAAACCGGCTTCGCTCATACCATCCTGTCGGCTGTCACCGCATCTGTCGGAGAGTCGGGTTGGCGGATTCCCCAGTAGCAGGCAAAAAGAAATACCCGAACGGGCTCAACGATCTTGGTTTTGCCGCACCCTCGTAACGAGCTCTCTTGTTTGTTTCAAGCACCTTGGAAGACACCGGCAGCGATGGGTAAGCAACCGCAATGAATTCGATACTATGTTGAATCGACCATTTACGTCAGCTTCATCAAACTCCAAATCAATTTCAAATGGGAAAGCTTAGCAAGCCCGCTCAGACATCAGCGAGACGACTGACTGCTTTCGATGACCGCGACGGCTATCTAGTCCGGCCGACCGATGCGTCGTAGACATCTACTAGGTATGCCCAAGACGAACCTCGATATTAAATTCCCCGACGCCAGAGCCCAGAGGCCCCGATATCACGCGATTGGCTGAAGACTTCGGACTCCGCTTTCGTCCGCGATGCCAACATAATTGGCGGCGGTTCTTTGGTTCAGACGGGTATACTGTAGCAGGACATTTGGGACGGGAGATTCTCGTTTCCGCGATATCCTGCCGCTGTCGGTGAAGGGCTTGACTTGGACTTGCCGCGCTTCGTTCGTATCCGGTGGGCACGAGAAATGTCTTGGAAGAGTTCCAGAACAAGCCGGTCCCTGAGATGTGGATCATCAGAGTACATAGTAGTTGAGCGATATAGTGGAGCCAGCCAGAACTGGGTGGGACATATTTACTGGCAACTACCGCCGAAGCCTGATAGGTTCCCGCGGGTTATAGTTATCGTGATTCTGTTCTGCTTCTCCGGGCGGTATGGCATTTCCTCGTGGTCATTCTGTTGATTGATTAAGGGGGTGCGCATCAATATGGCCATAGTGATGCAGACTAATAGGAGCCAATCGTGGTATTGACATGGAGGCAACGGGGTGAGAGGGAGAGTCATGGCAGTGAGGTGGACAGGGAAGAAAGAAAAGGAAGAAGTCGCCGGGCTGAGGGACGCCTTCACTTCCACGACAGTGATCATGTGATGGGCAGGGAAGCACACTGTGCAACGCAGGCTACGCTGGACTTTTCGGTCTTCTAATGCCACATCGTACTTGCACTCGTTCCACAGGACGTTATATATAGGATCACTCGACTGAAGAGATGTCTTAACTCGCCAGTCGGGTAGGTCACAGTTTGATATGACCGCTGCGACAATAAATCCATCCCTTCCAGATCACTCTGGACCTGACAACAACCGTTAGAAGATAGCCTGACACCTTAGACTCGACACACAACCACGCAGGGCAAACTAAAAACTACGTAGTACCCCCCCCCAACAGCTCAGCTATCAGACGGATACCGTTTCCACGTACACAGCGCCGCCAGCAGCGCCGCCGCAGCAACAAACATACTAACCTCCATCTGGCTATGAAAAGCATCCGCAAAGGAAGCCCGGACGGCCTCAACATCATGTGGATCCAAGCTCCGGATGGCGGTCAGCGAGTGCCGGAGATCGTTGAGCTGCGAGTCGGACAGGATGCCCTGCAGGTCCGACACCAGGTGCTGGTTGAGGATCACCGTCGCAATTGCGAGTCCAATGTTGCCGCCCAGGACGCGGCTTTGCGCGACGAGGCCTTGTGCCGGTGCTTTTATCAATCAATTAGTTCCTGTCTTTCAGTGCTGTGAGAGTCTGGTGTATCTCTCACCCGAGTCCTCTGGCCGAGCGTGCATTTTGACTATCATCACGGAGCTGGAGAATATGATTCCAAAACCAAATCCGATCAGTACCTCGTATCCAAACAATCTGCCTGGTACGAAGTGGCTGAAGCCGACGGTGTAGAGCAGCCCAGCCCCCAGAAGGACAAACCCGCAGCCTGCGTTGAGGGTGAAGAATCCGCTCCAGGTCCTTCTGGCTAAGAAGCCTCCAAGGCCAGAGCCTGACAGGTCAGATATATTCCAGGTGAGGAGATGGAGTCTCACGGACCGATCGCCGATGCTCCAGACATGGCCAGTAGGTAAATACCTGCCGTCTGGGGCGTTTTGCCGTTGACGATCTGAAATCTCTCCGGTAGCTCGATCAACACCGTATAGAAAACATAACCGTTCAATACGGAGGCGCTGAGACGTTAGATGTTCTGTTGTGCCAAAGACGAGGAACCGGGCACGTACAGTATCGTCATCAACATAGCCCGATGCCCCAGAATCCTAGCCGGGAACAACGGCGCAACCGACCTCTGCCTATGGGACAGGAACACAACCCACGCAGCAAGAGCACAAGTAGCCAGTCCCGCGACCACAAAACAGACGATAAACGCAGCCGAGTCCCACGCGAACGACGCCGCCCCAGCTTCCTGGAGAGCAAGGATCGCCAGCACCGAGGCAGCCAGGTATAACGCGCACCCCAGCACATCCAGCTGTCGCCAGGTGATATTCCCGGGGGTATGGATAGTCGGGCAGACCAGGAGCATGATGATGAGTATAAGCCCGCCGCAGGGGATATTGAACCAGAAGACCCATCGCCAGGTCGAATGTGTGCTGATCACTCCGCCTATAGTTGGCGCGCTTTGTTTGTCAGTCCATGGCGTTGGATGGGAACCGTCGACTCACAGCACCGAAGACACAGCGAACACAATGCCCAAAAGCCCACTCATCAGGGGTATCTTCTCGTTCGGCGTGATATCTATGATTACTATCAGAGCCAGCGAGTACAGCCCGGATCCACCGATCCCCTGCAACGCGCGAAACGCGATCAGTTGCTCCAGCGTCTGCGAGCACCCGCATCCGATGGAGGCGGCCGTGATAATGACCAGAGACTGCAGCCAGCAAAACAATCAGCAAGCAAGGCCCACGAAGCACACTCTAATGCCTGTATAGTTAACTCACCGTAACAACGGCCCACTTCCGCCCTATAATATCGCTAATCCGCGGCAAAACAAGAGTAAACGCTATCCCGTCGCATCGCATCGCATCAGCTCTCAGCCCACATCCCCATCCCCATCCCCATCCCCACCCACCACCCTGTCTGTAAACGCACCTAAATAAGCCAACAGATACGACAGCACCACCCACTGAATGCGTCTAAAATCCTGAAAATGATCACCAATCGTGACCAACGCCGTCGCGACAAGCGACCCGTCCATGACACTCAGCATGAGTCCGAACAGCAGACTAGCATGGAGAAAAACACCCCCGCCCATCCATCGTTAGTTAACGGGGATCCATGTCGTGCTACATGCAGGGAAGCACTTGCCAGAATTGCACCGCGTGGAGCCTCCATCCCCGAAGCGTGGTCGCGGGATGCTGCGCGTCGGGCTCCGGCCCGTCGGTCGCCAGGATTCGCGATTCCGGTTCTGCTTCGTTGCTGCTCTTGCTCTTGCTTTTGCTCTGGCTCGTTATGGCGGGGGTGGAGCGGGTGCAGGTCATGGTTGGAATGGAAGATGAATATGTACTAGGGGTTGGGGTTGGGGATGGGGAGGAGAGATGAATGGCATTGTGAGCAGCGGATGATGATGACCCTTGTTGTACGGAAGTAGGACAGAACGGACAGATGGATAGAAGCCTGGTGTTGTGGCACAGAGCACGTGGGGAGGGTGCTGGCTTGGCTGCCATGCCGTCACCCTGAGTAGGCGGAAGTATAATGGGATTCTTCGCAGTATGGTGGTTTTTCTAGAAGTCTAGTTTGTTGCTATGGGAGTCAATATGTCCGGGGATGTGAGATCAACAGACGGGGAGGTTGATTTTCTATCACAGCTTTGAAGATGGAATCGAGTGTATATGATGGATCAAGAAAGTCTGAAAAAAACGCGTTTTATCAATCTCCTGCTTATTGGGTGACTGGTTCGGAATCTTCTTGCTGTATAAAGCTTCAGAACAATGTCTCAGCTAGTATATAAAAGTCCGCTACGCAAACCCAAACCACTCCATATCCTGATCCCCATGAATCGGCACCGTATGTCCCACCCCCGTGGCAAAGATTCCCTGGAGTTTGTCTCCCCAAATCGTTGTCTGGTAATCGGCTTGAGGAGTGTTGGCCTCGATTTCCTGCGGGGCGTCATATTCGTAGCCGAAGACCCCCGCCCACTGCTTGCAGGTCTCGTTGTAGTTCTGAGGGTACAACGTGGTATCAATACTCCCGTGGTAGATCTGCATCTTGGGGCGAGTACCAGTGTATCCCGAGTCCATTGCCTCTGCGATGCTGGCCCAGTGCTCGGGAGTGGTGATAACGTCGCCCAGGGCACAGCTGCTGTTCCAGGCGTCCGCTTGATTGGTAGATGAGTAGAAGCAGCCCGCAGAAACACCAGAGTAGACCGTTCCGGCCGCGAAGAGTTCGGGGTATGTAGCCGCCATGACATTCTGCTTTGGTCAGCTCTCAACCCGAAGACAAGCAAATCGGGCCGTACCGTCATCATTGCGCCCGAGCTAGTTCCCGTCACGAACACCTTGCTGCTATCCGCACTGTACTGGTTGATAGTCCATGTTACCATGTTGGCGATCGAATTACTGTTACCGCCGCCGTTATGGGTGAGAGTCGCTTCCGAGCTGACATCCCAGCAGGATCCCTCGTACGGGCTCGAAGGGTAGATGACGATGAAGCCGTATTCTTCTGCCAAGGTCGCGTACGGAGAGTAGTTATAGTATTCCAGACCGGTTCCGGTACCTGACCCGTCAGCCTGGATAGATCCCGATCCGCATGGCCGTGGACTTACAGTAGTGAATAGCCACGATGATACCGGGGCTGCTTGCGAGATTAATCGGAACATAGATGTACATGCCCACATTGGTGGGATTGCTGCCAAAGTCCGTGATTTCGGTGAGGGAGCCCGCACGTGCGACAAGGGAGTTGCGATGCCCCAGGACTCGCGCGCTGCCCGTCAGAGCATAGAGCGCTAGCGTGAGAAATAAGAAAGCTGGGATCATATTGTCCGGCAGATGATGTTTAGGTTCGAATCTAGCTGGTTCAGGCTTGATGGTCTGTCAATCGTCATTGTAGAGAGAGCGCGCCGCCGGAGACTTAAATGTTGGTTGGATTCCAGCGGCTAAATCGAAGTCCAAGTGCAGCTCCGCCGGCAAGGACCTGGCAGGCAGGCCGATGCCAGCAGCGCGTGAGAGGGACCCATTGCAGGCTGAATTACGACGGAAATTAATCGAGGACTCTTGTTGGAGCGTCTGGGAAGAGGGGGTGTGAGATAGATGGGAAGGAGGTCGACTCCGTGTAGGAAAGTTGGAAGATCGTCGTCGTGCGGGCCGTTCTCCGTAACATATCACGTTAGAGCAGCTGTCAAGTCCTCCGTGTTTCACAACAGCCCCTTCGAAGCGGGGAGTTGTGGCAGGCACCGAGTGGAGGGAAGAGTGGAGGAAATAGCCGGGATTCAGCCAAAAGAGGTATTGCGCAGGGTGTCGACGAGAGTCGCGAAAACAATAGGCTCGGGCTAGTAAGTCGCATCAGACGCTAGCTTGTGATGATGATACTGGCTGTGGTACTGTAGCAGTTGACCAAAGATGATAACGACAAGTTGGTGTCTTTCAAGGCACCATATCAGGCAAAAGGGAGGGTATCATGCTCACGTTCATATAGAGACTAACACTAATTGGATAATGCTGCTACCTCAGAATGACAAACCGAACTTTAAGCCTGCCATTCACTAGTACTAATCCCCAGCCAACCGCGGTCCAGCACCCGCCTGACGTTTCCTTGACATGCGACCCTGTGAGGTCACCACGTCTTCGGGCCAATAGCAACCTGCGGTTCCCCCAAAGATCAAACGAATCGCGAAACTCCACTTTGACATCCCAGCCAATGGGGACGCGACAGCCCCTGGGGTGGTACGCGATGACCAGGGGTCCTGCCTAATTGAGACGGTGTTCTTCGCGCCTTCCCTTTTCGGTGTTGTGCCTCGGCGGTGGACTCGTCACGCACTCGACACTCGCGACACTTTCCGTCAAACTACCCACTTCCACTTTGGAGACCTGGACCGACACGGTCGAGAAGCATGCAGTCAATAGTCCTCAACTAACACTCGAACAGGAGACTTTCACCCAGTCCTCCAAAGTAAAAGAGACTCGTACGTGCCTGGCCTTTATTCGCTCTAAACAACCACGACGGTGCCTTTTCGCTTGGCTATCTCTTCGGCTTGTCTAATAAGGTCCCTCGCAAAATCGACGTGGGTTTCTGCCAGTGGAGGAACATTCGAAAACCCGATCAGCGGGCCCAGAACACAACAGCCCATGTAGGACTTCAGACCGACTCGCTTCCAGCCATCGCCCAGGCTTTCGCCCTTCCGACGTTCCTGGATGTCTATAGTGGCGTATGCCCCGTCTACTGCGGCAAAGCCGGTCGCAATGATGATGACGTCTAGCTCGTGAAGCTTGCCATCGGATGTGCGCATGCCATCAGGCGTGACCTGTTAGAAATATAGGGAAAGACGAGAGATTCCGTGGTGTTCCACGGGGATACAAAGGTTGATTTTACTGTACAGTTGATAATATTTATAATATTTCTGTCAGAAGATTAGTATTACAGTAAATAAGTTATATATCATAACTTAATTCTTATAATACTTCTCCTTGACACGATAAACTAACTTCTCTTTTAGAAACTTCCATCGGCGCGAAGCCCACCGAGCTCGATCTTGCATCGTCGCGACTTCGACCTCTTGCAACTTCTCGGAACCTCTCGCGACCAGCATGCTATGTTATTATTTCCAGAGTAAGCTGGGGATTGACATGACCTGAATGCAATAGCCTTTGTGCATCTTCGAGTTCGACGCCGACTACCCGATCCAACGACACAGCGCATCGTCCTACGCATCCAGCACAAAGAACATCTGCCTCACCCTTCTGATGGGGATGGGAGTGCGGCAGTGGAGGGTTTTGGGCTGGATCATGATAAGAAGCCGAAGACGTATAGAGACGGAGGCTTTGTCCGGAGAGGATGGGCTCTGTGGTATCAGGGGGATGTGGTTGTGAGGAAGGGAGTTTCCGTATGGTCCGAATGGGATGGGCCGGAGATGTATGTGAGTGCTTGGGATGATGGTGATATCATACAATAACTTATCTAGGCAATAAATACTATCGCGCAGAGCAATTCCCCGAGCGTAGCTATCTTACGGAGGTACTGGTTACGGTAAGTGTTTGTTGGTGCTATTCAGATGAATCCAAGTTGTATCTTATATCTTAGCGATATTAACCCTTGAAGAAACCAATGCAAGTCTGCAATGCACCAAATATACCTACCTAGAATCTTCATCTTTGCCCAAAACGGGCTCAATAATATTCCAAAAAAAAAAAGAAAAAAAAAAAAAAACCCCCCCACAACAGCACCTACGACTCCCTCAGTGTCAAATGTAGCATGATCCAACTGGTCCTCAAGGCAAGAAGCCTTCATTTTACGAGTGATCATAGTACCACGAGTACCACGATTACTTTCATATCCCCAGTTGATATAAAGTAGAAGGATGTTAGATTGATGTATGGCTTACTGAGTGATTGGAGTTAGGACCTAGAACCAACCCCCTGCCCCTCCCCATAATAAAACATCATAAATATGCGTATCAGGTCCCTAAATAGCTGTTAAGCTGTTATATATCAAATCCAAGCGCTGCACTTCAAGGACACCATTTTAGTGTAATGTAGACCCGTGTTATTCCAGGTATCAGAGAGCCGAATCCTCCGGTCGAGATGTATCTCGAGTATATTATACTTACGACGGAAGAAACCGCGGCATATTCGTACGCACTTCTCCGGTAGGAAGCGGTAATGATCAGCCTCTTGGAGATCCGGGCATGAAAAGCATCTGCAAAAGAAGCCCTGACACAGCACAGCAGGATTGGCATTTTCAGCTATCCTAGGGATAACATGATCACCGGTAGGACCGGCAGGTACAACCCTTTTGTCGAATATTAACCATCTGAGGGAGTAATGCCAATTCTAATCGGAATGGGCCAGTAGCCAGCACCGTCGTACTGATCAGTTGTTGAACGAGCATGCCTGGAGCAACACATTCCATTCCTTCTTTGGGTGCGTTGAAGACTGATCACTGAATATGGTTACTCGGTCTCTCTCTCGAGGGACGTTCATCGTGCTCTGTTTTCTTGCTCTTCTGCCTCCCTGAATATGCGAGCTCTCTTCATTCAGAAAGAGATAATGGGTTTTATACTCGCGGTATATCTGCAGGTTCCGATCATATTCTCCGGACAATATTTGCGCAGGTTGTTAGCAGTAGTAGCAGTAGCAGTAGCAGTAGCAGTAGCAGTAGCAGTAGCAGTAGCAGTAGCAGTAGCAGTAGCAGTAGCAGTAGCAGTAGCAGTAGTAGTAGCAGTAGCAGTAGCAGTAGTAGTAGCAGTAGCAGTAGCAGTAGTAGAAGTAGAAGTAGTAGAAGTAGTACTAGAAGAAGAAGAAGAAGAAGAATACCAATGTCAGAATTTACGAACCACACCACGCTGCCCGCAGAGTGTGCTTGGAATAGAGCCCACCAGGCCAGTTGCCAATACCTGCATGCATCCTGTGCCGGCGGCGGAGGTGAATTTTGGAGATGACGGCATTTCGCTCGCGAAATACTACCCTCAACGTATTCGCCATCCGACATATCAGCTTGATTCGGGTGTGTCGTGTATAAGGTGGCCATGTGGAAATGCGTGCGTAGTCTTGGATACTAGATACGATGCCGATGTGAAGTTGGGTTGAGGGTGCGAATCGATGTCTTGTCTGGTTGTATCTGATGTTGGTAGCTGATACCGATATATAATGATAATGATAATGATAATGATAATATCCGGGTGGTGGTAACCAGGTAGGGATTCTCTCTTTGTTACTGGATGTGGAAAGGGATGGCTGCGGTGGGGGGTGGAAGAGAAGAAGAGAAGAAGAGAAGAAGAGAAGAAGAGAAGAAGAGAAGAAGAGAAGAAGAGAAGAAGAGAAGAAGAGAAGAAGAGAAGAAGAGAGGGAGAGGGAGGGAGATGATGGCTATATAGGGATGAATATGCATCACTCGGGGCTTGTGAATGATGAGATTCAATGCTTCATCTTGGGTTGGGATGCATCTTAGTTGAGTGTATAGCTTGGATACGGGGTAGGGGGTGAGAGAGAGCCTTTAATCTAATTCGAATTCTATTCCTCGATAGCTCGCTAATGGCATCGCTGTAGGACATGACCAATACACAACTAATAAAAATCAGAAGAACATTTCCAACAAAAGACCCAATACGCCAAAAGATCATTGTATGACAAAAAGAAATCATAAGACAATTTGATCCCGCTATTTTCCACTCCATCAGAGTTGCAGGACGTCTTTTCGGGCCTTTTAATTAGACCCAGGGAGGAGGCACGACGGATCCTCCGAATAGCAGCCAGGCACCATATCCAGCCTCCAGAGGGTCTCGTTGGACACCAGAGATGGGTCTACAAACTCGACCTGGCGTTCCTGCCCGTCGAGTCTGCTCTCCAGTGCTCCAACACGGCTTTCGAGCCTCTTGACAAGGCCCTCCAGGCCCTCTGAATGGCCCTCAAGCCTCTGAACCTGGTCTTCGAGCCCCTTGACGTGGCTCGCAAGCGCCTGAGCATTCTTCTCAAGCGTCAGAGCATAGCTCTCCAGGCTCGCGGTTCTGTGTCGGAGGTCCAGAACGTAATCTATGCATGCCGTGTTTTGATGCTGCATTTCCTCAAAGCAAGTTTGGAACCTTGTTCCAAGGACCCGGGCGTCTTCGAAGATGCTTGTGACGTCGGTGTACTTGACAGCATCTTCGCGGGACTTCTTCTGCTGGGCCTCCTGCTGGGCCTTGATCTTTGCTGCCGCATTTTCGGGCAGCTCTGGGATACTAATTCCCATATCGATGTCGGGGGTGATCTTGTACTTCCATGGCCGTCCCCGAGTGGCGGCCTGGGTGGAGCTCGTCTGCTCCTCGATGGAGGATGCCTTGCGTTTCTGAGCAGGCATGGTGGACGAAATGATGAGGTAAAAAGGTACTGGTTTGATGGGGTGGGGATAGCACGAAGCTGGACTTTAAAAAGCGGCCTGGCGGAGATGGTCGGGGAGGGCAGAAGCTGGGGGTGGAAGGCACGACTTAAATACCTACTGCTTTGACAGGTATTGAGTCACGCTGGCATGAATTTCTTTGCATGTTCCAGGGATTCTTTTGCCTGTTCCAGGGATTCGAGCCGTCCTTTTGCTGTCATTTCTGCTTCCATAATCGAGGGCAGTGGTCGGGTATACTATCTCCCAGTTATTCGGATCCCCAATGCGCCCTGAGATCATGCTGGCAGCATACTAATGACCGAGGAAACCGTGTAGAGTCCTCTCAAAGAATACCGAATACGTATTTCCAACCTTGGCGGAAACTCGTCTTCGTCCCTAATGCCATCCCAGCATCATCGAGGGGCAGTGGTCGAGTGTATTTCCCCCAGACTCGTCAGGCCCTCGACAAGCTGAGATCACGGGGGAGCAAACCGACGACTGAAGAAGCCCCCAGAGCCTTCTCTCAACGAAGACCAAATGCTAATCCCCAAACTCAACCCAACTCGTCATTATCCCTGATGCCATTCCCGCATCATCGAGAGGCAGTGACCAAGTATATCATCTGTCAGATGTTCGTCAGACCCACTGATATCATGTGAGCAGCACGGTGACGACTGAGTAAGCCTGTGCGGAGTGAACACCAAATGCCTATCTCCAGACAAATCTCGTCGTCACCCATCTGTGTCCGAATGTCGGCTGGCTATACTTCCCCACCGAGTAAATCCGGTCCGGTTCGGAACCAACGCCTATGTCAAACCACGGTTTCATCGCATTCGAACTATACAAACAACCACAACAACACAGCTTCTGAAACTGCCTCCCTCGATAAAACCTGACCTGCCAACAACGTAAAGAAATCAAAACATGGCCCACCGGAACAAATCTCCGACCCGTTCCGGTCCTAGTGGGCCGAGTCCCCACAGAGACCAAATCCCGACGTGTAGAATCGTTGGAGCAATATATATAGATTAGAATTTGATCCTGGGCGTCTTTTGGCTCGTGCCAACGCGGCTCGAGACAGTAGCTCCCGGGTGAAGAGTGGGATGGGCGTGATTGACTTGGGTAATTTGTTCATCGAATGGACTGGGGGGGGGAGGGGCGTCGCTGTGTGTTTCTGAGGGTGGGAAGGTTAGCTGGGATAGACATTCGTGGGCATAGAGTGCTCAGTTGATCGGGTCTGTCAGTCTGTCAGTCTGTAAGAGCCATCAATGATGAAGACTGTCTTATGTGTGTATGGAACTGGTTGGAGGCCCAGTGTTTTGTATACACGAGGAGGCCTTGGAGAGTGCTCTGCACTGTTGTGTTCCTTTACACGTCATTTTCTGTCAGAGGCAGTTTCTTCAGTCAGAACGTCCATTGGACCTCCTACTCCTTCTGATATCAACTTGCCTGGGGAGGTGGTGATCTGACGCCATGAAACGACTGGGACGGTCAAGGTGATGAAGACATCCACGATCACGATCACACCTGGTAGAGTAGGAGGGGTGCATCGAGGAAGGCGAGTTCGCGTCGAGGACAAGAGATTCGAGCGCGCTCGAGACAAATCACGAGACCATGATGCCTGAGGTTCCTCTGCCTGTTCTCGACTCACTCGGCCGGCTCTTCTCCGTCTGTCGTCGATCTGCCTCTACTTACCCTCCTCACACACCAGACCAACCCAGTCCAATCCAGTCCAGTCCAGTCAGTCATTCAGTCGGTCCAACCAGTTACACAGCCAGTCCCTCGATCCTTCAGTCACTCCTCAGTCACTCCTCAGTCTTCTCCATCCATCCAAAGCATACGCCAAATTTCCAATCGACACAGAGCCATTAAACTCCGATCCTCACCCTACAACCTATCATCTCCCCATCCGACACCATCGAACATCTCACAAGCAACCATAAACCAAGAGATGATAATAATGGAAAAAAAAGTGTCTGCCTTACCCTGTCCTCCTGCCCCCATTCCAGGATGAGGTCTTTTCCGGTGTCACAACCGTCCACACCTACGTCAGACGCCGAAGAAGAGCCTTGAACCCCGAATCCCCGGGGTTCAACTTTCGGATATAGAAATACCAACCACAGGAGGGTGATACATCCGTATCCGGCCCAGATATACATGCTTTTACCTAGGGGACTACTAGGGGACTACTAGGGGACTAGGTAGGTAGGGATTGGGGAGTAGGAATTGGGGATTGGGGACTGAGATAGGAGAAGAGGGGGGATATGCATGGCAGCACGCATGGGCCAAGTCAAACAAGGCCAATCAATCAATAGATAATGTGGCGCGAGGAAAATCCTCCTGAGGGTCTGTTGACCACGTGCTGGATGGATGGAGTTGGACCTATTTCGGCCGGATCCTGGGGCCCTGAGAAACATCATACGGTGCGGTGCGGTGCGGTGCGGTTGTGTGGGGGAGTGCCTGTTGGTTGAAGGGTCAAATGGGAAATCCCACTTTTACTCAGTTTCACCCTTATGTCTGTTTTTCTGGACCTGGGATATATAGCGATAGCAGTACTGTTGCTTTTGAGATCTAGGTATGGTATCTTGTCTCATTTTATCCCATCGCATTATGGCCTATCCTTCCTATCCTCCCTATTCATCTATCCTGTGCCATCCTATCCCATCAACTGAATAGTTACACCACTAACAGTGTGAATAGTAAGCCATTACTCATCCCCACCCATGCAGCAGATACATGCGCCATCTATGTATACCCGGACATGACAGAAACCCAACACCCGCTAATGCGAGACAAGGGTCCCCGTTCGCCAGGATAAGGAAGCGAGAAAGAACCCTGGGATCTTGATCCCTGCTTGTGTGGCTTTTGGATTGCATGATATTTCATCATCCTTTTTTCTTCTTTCTATTCTTGTCTGTCTGTGTCTGTGTCCCTCTCCCTCTGTTCGGTCGTTCTCTTCGACAAGCCACCACCACTCCCACCACCACCAGTATCTATGCCAAGAATGCAAGTACGTAGTGTATATAGTCCAGTATGTTGTAGTGTACTATATACTATAGCCCATTATCATCCTCCGTACTCTTTTCGTCTAGGTACTATACTTTCCCCGGGATATGACAACGCAAACCCCGAGCATCAACCAACACAAGCACGCCAAGAAAGCGATCGTCACTCCCAGTGGAATAGTTGATCTGCATCCATCCATCCATCCTAGTTTGCGCTGATGACAGCAGCAATAGCAATGGCAACAGCAATAACATGGATGATCGAGTCCTTGCATTGCACCCACCATATGTATGTATGTATGTATGTACCTTCCTACCTACTTACCCACATCACCCAGTCACCCAGTCACCCAACAAGATAATGAAGAGTAAGCAAATAGTGAATAGTAAATAGTAGGGGTACCAGATAGGACAGGGACCATGTTGATCGCGTCGCTCATCCCAGAGAAGCATTGCTATCTATAGGACGTAGGCATGCAAGTCCCTACCTAAATAGGCTAAATAGACGGGTAAAGTAGGTACGGTACTTTTAGAACGGAAGGGTACCTTGCCTTACCTAGTTACCTACTACCCTAGTACCTCCTCCCTAGGTACATTGCCTATTTAGCTAGATTAAAAAAGAAAAGAAAAAAAAAAGTTAAACCTAAGTACGGAGTAGGTAGGTAGTTAGGTAGGGAGGTACATTCTCGGATCCGAGAAGAGGTTCAACCGAGAAATCGCCCATTCTACATCCCTCCCTACCTACGCCCCAGAGCAATCCAATGGAGTTGGATTGAGGAGAGGAGGTAAGTACACTATAGGTGTATCTAGTAGGTAGGTTCAACGGCCAACGGGCAGTAAACGTTACGAGCGGTTCGACCGAGCAACCGGCCGAGGAACCGACCGAACGGCCGACGGGTTGGAACTTCCATTGGGTTGGACCCCGCGCGGTACGTATCCACTAACTGCTTACTTACTTACTATCTAGGCGCTTTGTAGTTAGTTAAAGACTACTGTGTATATTTATGTTTATATTTATATTATATTATATTATATAAGAGAATCAATCAACGAGATGAATATCTAGATAAATGGGTGAATAGAAACTATCTACCGAAGTAAGTACTGGCCTAAAGTAGATCCGTTGAGTTGTGGCTTGAGTATTATTTATCTAGTTACCTGCCGAGATAATCTACACCGTAAGTAGTCGTATATAGAGAGAGAGAGAGAGAGAGAGAGCTTTATACTCACTGCACAAGTACTTCCTACCTACCTAGTGGTGAATTGATAAATAGAACTATCCAGACAGACAAACAAACAGACAGAAGATAGAGATAGATAGATAAAGTAGCCCATCCAGAACCCCATAAGTACATAGACAAAGAATCCAATGTAGTAAAAACTAAAAAAAACTGTAAAACAGACCATAGCATAGCATAGATAGCATAACTAAACCCCAGTCCTGGGAGCCCAGTCCAGCCCAGTCCAATCCAATCCAATCCAATTCAAACCCCACTCCACAATCCAATCCAATCCACACAGTCAAACTCAAAAGTTCAACGGCCGTTTGGCTGACGCCCCGCGCCCCCTTACCCTACCAGCCTACCTATCTAGATACTTGTACCCAAGCCTAAGTAACAGTAATGTCACTAGTCTAACCATCGGATTTCCCGAATTCTCTCCGTCCGTAAGGTACTTTGTACGCACCGCACCGTTTGACTCTGACAGACTAACTACTGACCGTTGTCAGTTGTCCGTTTGACGGTTCGGCAGCTGGGTGTCCTCGGCGTTAGCCGGCAACCACCACAACCACAACCACAACAACAACATTACCTCCATAGTCTACCTACCTACCTACCTCCTTACCGTACTAACTGACTGATCCTACCTTAATTCCTAAGTAGCTAGGTCTTAGTCTCAGCTAAAGTTCTTCTTCTCTAGGTACCGGTATACTTAGGTATATGATTAGGTTTGATTGGTTTTTATTTATTTATTCCATTATCTTTTTTTATTTTTTTACTCAAGTACTCCCTCCCGTACCCAATTCTATCTTTCTCGACCGGCCGGCCGAATATGTATGAGGCCACCCTCGACCTACCTTAGATAGGCAAACCTACCTACCTACCTACCTACCTAGCTAGCTCCTGAGTTTGAGTTTAAGTTTAATAATAACCATTAATTGCTCAGGGGATGGGATGGTAAGAATTGATTGATTGATTATTGATAATTGCCTCATGCTGACGTTGCGGCGCGGCACTAGTAAGTACCTAGGGGATGGAATGGGATGGATGGGATGGATGGGATGGGCGAGGAGATATTATCCGACGAGACGAGACGAGACGAGACGAGTTGAGTTTGGGTTGTTCTGGTCACTCCATACGCTGGTACAGCGACGCGCAGACACCAGGGGGGAAGAGAAGAGAGGAGGGGGGGGGGGGGTGGTGGCAAAGTTCTCTATCTAGAAAGACAGTCGAGAACATCAACATCTTCTAAGCAAGCATTACTAACTAGTTACTACTAACTAATCCGTACTACTATTACTATTATTGAGTTGATTGATTGCCCTTATGCTTATGAACCAAACTGGACCGACCGACAGACACCACCCGACCAGCCAGCAAGCAGCGCAGCCAGCAGCAGCAGCCTCCAGCCTCCCTCCGTATGGAACAACAGCTGCTGCCTTTCTGGTCGGGCGATCGCTGTTCGGCCGAAGCGGTCATTCTTCGGCCGGCCAGGAACTGCCTGATCCGATCCGTGACTCGAAGCCGTCAACCAAAGATCCCTTCATCCATCGTCTCGCCCTCACCATCTATCCATCCCATCCCATCCCATCCGACCAGCCACGAGGGGCTCCCGCCCGGGCGAGATCCTCCGCTACATATACCCGCCCGCCGCCAGCTCTGACCCCCCTCCCCTCCTCCCCCAGTCCTCCTTCTCTCTCGCACTGAGCTGCGGCGCTGCCCCTCTCCCCCCCCCCCGAATGATTTCTGCACCCCACACCGCTGATTCATGGCCCTCCTCGGGGATCAGACAGCATGTGGCCTCATGGGCGAACTCCCAAGGGTGGCTTTCCCCCCTGCAGGCAGGTCTGACTCGACACATCGCGGCTGTGTATGTATGTGTACGTCTACGGTGGGTGTCTTCAGGCGTCCAACAATGGCTGTTAAGGGATGGATGGGTTGGGTGAGCCCGTGCGCGAGTCGCGTCTTGCCGACCGTCGCACGAGTTGGCTAACTATCACGGGCGTACGCCTACCCCCAAGTCTTTTCTGGCGATCAGGCGTTCCCCGTGCCCATGTTCGGGAAGAGCATTACATCCGAAACCTGGTTGAGAATGTTGCCAATGTGGCCGTCCGGCGAAACGCTGTACCCGGCGGCGTAGGCCGGCACCGGCCCAAAGCTGGTCGAGGACGGCGACGTGAACACCGTTGCCGGGGAAAGGCTCGGCGTGGTGTGGATCGGCTCCGGGGGCGCCAGCCGGTTGCGCTTTTTGCGCGCGCGAAACGCGGCGCTGACTTCGCGGAGCGCACGGAGGGACGACGACAGATGCCTGGCCGAGTCGGTCCGCGTGCTGTCGTCGGATTCCCCATCGGCATGCACGTGGTCCGACAAGACCACCTCCAGTTTCTGGATCAGGTCCCAGGTCTGCGGGTGCAGTTGCTCATTGTTATTCGCTACCAAAAGGAACGCACACGCGATCGTCCGTTGCAGGCTGATCCACGTGCGCGACGCGTGCGAATTGATGGAGTGCAGCTCGATGAACGCCTCGATCGTGTTGATCAGATTGGTCAGGCAATCTTCGCGAACGATTTCTCGACGCTGGTCATCCATCTGTACATCCGGATCCAACGACACTCGGCACATGAGGGATATGAAATACGAGGAGTGGAGTCGCAGTTCGGTCCGTTCGATATGTTCCGCGGGAGTGCTGCAGCGCTCCGGAAATCGCAGATGCGGTGCAGCCTCGGCGGTGATCCGTTCTATGCGTTGCTTATAGTCTCGAATCTCGTGGTATCGCAGGTGCGAGTGGTGCGTGAACATCAGGCCCCGGAGCATCTCCAGTATCACGGAAATAATCCGGCAGAGGGTCTCGAAATATCCTCGATGCCCGGGCATGGATTTGGGGTCATACGGAATCTCCGGCTGGTTGATCATCGTGATGGACGGTCGGTCGTACGCCAAGGAAAAGTGGCTGTTCTGAAAGGCCATCGCCCACCTAGTCGACCCAATATCAGCATCGCATCACGACCGATCGCAGATAGTTCTTACCATACGCGCCTCCGCGCTGCTTGCGCAGTGCGCGAAAACCCCGATGTTTCCACATGAAGGCCCAGGACCATACACATTCGCTCCGTCATTCCTTCGAACATTAGCCCGGATGATATATGCCATGCGCAACCTGAGACGAGACTCACCAAGCAGCGTGTAGGACGCCCCCGCATTCATGTTATAGGACAAGACACTGCCAATGACCAACAGGGTCTGGATCACCTCCACGGACGGCTGGGACACATAGTTCAACATGCGCAGGCAATGGTAAGAACAAGACACTAAGGCTGGTGAGTCTGGTATAGAAAGGTCCAGAATGGGGTCTACCAACCGTATACCCACGAAGTCAACTCCCGCTCTTTCCCGGGCATATCAGATAGCTGGGACCCGGACGCTAAAACGGCAAATAGAAGGCTCAGGAAGGAAACACTCATGCCGAACGGCTTCACCATGCCATTAGCATCCGGCCGATATACACCGCCCGCTGCTTCTCGGCCTTGCAGCAATCTGTTCATGCTGTCTTCCAACCTAGCAAGGTCTGGCAGGACCGGGTACAACACTGCGCCAGTGTCTCGATAGAATTTTAGGAGTCTAACAAGACCAGACCACCTGCGTCAGCCACATAACAAACACGTTGGGACACTGGACGCCGACTCACTTTCGACATTGCTCGTCATCGGGCAACACGTTGCATACACCTGCGATGTTGAACGTATACGGATCTGACGACCACAGATCAACAAAGGGATAGGCGGCGGATTCGTTCCCCAACGCCAGCTCCGTGAGAAGGTCGTCCTTCGGCAGCGCCTGGGCCGTATCCTCGGAGACTTTCGACTTGTCGAGAATGTCCACCAACGCCGACCGCGACCCTATGTGGACCGACCCCGTCTTCATCGTAGTTGGCCCATAGACGCCTTCCGAAGCGGGCGAGGCGTCTTCCTCCGTATGGGATACGTCTGTCTGGGGCTCGGCGCCTTTCCGTGCCGCATGCGTTTGGAAGAGAGACCCCAGACTCGTCAGGATCTGTTCCATCGTACGCATCTTCGAGTTTATCTCGTCCCATTCCTCCTGCGACAGCGTGACAATATCCGGTATTCCCTCCTGATTGGCGGAGCTCACCGAGCCCGGGTCAGGCCCGTAGGCGTCACTGGCGGCGGTAGACAGGTATGACGCGGGGGGGATGAATTGGGGCGTATTCGTATTCGTCGCAGGGGTTGGGGCGGCGGAGGCGAAGTGGTCGGGGATGAAGGAGGATGGCCTGGGAGCCGTCGGGGGAGGACGACCGTAGGAGCAGGTGAAGTTGCGCTTGACACAGTTGCTGCACGGCACGTTGCGATCGCAGCGGACCTTGCTGGCACGGCACGGAAGGCAGGTTTTACATTCACGCGGCCGACGACGGATGGGATATGTAGGCATGGTGGTGGTTGATTGCCGAGTTTCGATCCCACCCCGCTATTTTGGGACGGTCGAAGGAGCGTGTCGGGGAATGGGGATGGATTGGGGGAATCGTCTGTGTGTGCAACCGGGCAACCGGGCGACCGGGCGACCGACCAGGAGGGCGTTGTAGAGCGAAAAGGTGCCAACGAGCGGAGGGGTGAGGGGGGGGGATCTCTGTTAATTCCGGAGTGAGTAGAAGCCGTGCTGATGCAGAGTGAATGGAGGAAATGTCGAGACGTGCAATTCGCGAGGGCTGATAGCGAATGGAATCGAGTCGAGACCGGGACGTCAGCAAGTGGACGCGACGGAGATACCGTAGGACCGGGCAGGGCAGGGCAGAGCAGAGCAGAGGAGCTGAACAGGGAAAATTCATCAGGGGTCCGGGGGACAGAACACACCAATCAATGGGTGGCAGCCCTCCACGACGGAATGTGCATCACCATGTTGGATAAGTACAATCAAAAATCTAAAATAAAATAACAAATAAAATTGAGCACGACGCTGTCGAGGTCGAGGTAATCATCAGATTTGAGATGTGAGATTGATTACAATGCAAGAGCCGATCGATCCTTGGAGTTCGGGGATTGGGGAGGGGGGAGGAGGGGAAAACGCGGTAGTACTAGACAGTACTCGGTAGTAGTAGTAATAATAGTAGTAATCGGCAAATGGAAGGGCAGCAGGGAGCTGGGAGTGAGCTGGTGGTTCCGAGATGGCGTGGTGCTGCTTGTCTTGCACACAGACAGACAGACACACACCTCTCTCTCTCTCTCTCTCTCTCTCTCTCTCAGCTGGATAAATTCAGCAATCCAAGCAAATAAGTAAGTAGAAAATCAATCAATCAATCAACCAATCAATCAACCAATCAATCAACCAATCAACCAAATCTTGCACTTGCACTTGCACTTGCACTTGCACTTGTACAATACCCCCCTGCCTGCCTGCCTGCCTGCCTACCTTGCCTTGCCCTGGTCCTGGTCCTGGTATATTGTTATTTGTTAAGCCAACCTGAAGAAAGAACCAAACCCATTAACTATTATTATTTATTATATTATTCACAACATTCCCGCGCGCCCTCGGCAATCCTTTCCTTTCCTTTCCTTTCCTTTCCTTTCCAGTCCAGTCCAGTCCAGTCCAGTCAGTCGGGTCGGGTGAGGTGAAGTGAGGTCATCAATCAACTCTCCCCTCACCATCCCCCCTCCCCCTCCCTCTTTCTCTCTTTCTCTCTCCCCCTCCCTCTTTCTCTCTCCCCTCCTCACTCCCCACTCCTCACTCCCCAGTCCAGGAAGGATTCTAACTTCACCTCCCTCTGCTTCTCGCTCTGGCTCTTGCTCTGGTCAAACCAGATCAGGTCAGACTGTTCTCCCCGTGGATACTTGGCCTGATTCAGGTAGTATCTAAGTAGGGTAGGGTAGGGTAGGGAGACGGTTTCCTCCCCGGCCCGGGAGCTGGAGCTGGAGCTGTCATTTACTCGATTCGGAATTGTTCCGAGGGAACGAAGGAAGCGGGTCGATCGATCCATGGGAATGGACAAGGACATGGACATGGACATGGACATGGACAAGGACGTGTCGAGGAAGGGGGGCGAGACAAGACAAGACAATGAAATCACAAATGATAGTGATGATGATGATGATGGATGGAGCTAGCAGAGGGTTGAGGGCAGAGGGTTGAGAATTCAACACCGTCGGGGTCAGCTGACCGGCGACGGCGATGGTCTGATCGTAGCTTCCTAGGTACAAAGTAAATGGTTTATTGTGGACTGTGGACTGTGGACTGGGACTGTGGACTGGGACTGGGACTGAGACTGGAACTGGGACTGGGAGAGTGGATATCTAACTGAACTGGGCATGAAAACAGTCCCAGCCTTATACTGATTGCTATGGAGTCGCTCCTTCGTCCGTCTAGTACGGAAAAAGGGCTCAGGCCTGGCCTGGTCGATGCGACCAAGTAGGCATGGCGCGGTGGGCAGGGCAATCTAATCAACCCCATTTTGGCCATTTGGCCAGTTTGCCCCTGCATCGTCCGTTCATGGTCATTCCTTGTTTCCCGTTCCCCGGGAGTTCCTATCGATCGAATGCTACGGGCCATCTATCCAGCTGGCTGCGCTGCTTACGTGGAGGCCAATCCCACCCGTTCATGCCGTGGGCTCACTTGATAGATTATGCATAGGCTATATACATGACTTCATGATGCATCAGGACTCCACTCGAGTCGGCGCGGGTCGCTACTGTCTAGAGATAGTGGGCTTCATGGCGGTGAGCTGCTCACGCTCGTCGTGCGCCTCCGAGACGGCCATCGATCCAGAGAGCGAACGAACCTAATGTGACGTCTTGGCCCCGCGACGGCTTCGTCGATCAGCCTCGTGATCGCGACGGGCGCGCAGGGGCAGGTTGCTTATCGTGGCCCGCGCGCCGGGCGGGTACGTGCTACCCCAGTAGTTGGCGCGATTCATGTTTTGGAGCCTACGGTCACTTGGGAGACCTGCGGAACAACCCACCAGTCATGCCAACGGGCCTTGGTGCCCGTTTCCGGGATGCTCACCCGAAGATTTACGGACACGTTAGCGGAGTCTTGCGACTGGGCCGAGCTCGCGTTGCCTTTCAGGGCTTTCTTGACCGTTTCGATCGCGATGCTTGCCCCGATGCAGGCGCGCATCGTGTCCTTGGCATCGCGCTTCCAGTCTTCTTCGATGGCCGGGGCGGGCTTCTCCTCCCCGCCAGAGTCCTGCATGAAGGGCCCGTTGGCCAGCGTAGCTTCCCAGGCCTTTCGTGCTTCCGAGATAGCCTTGGTGGCGCGCTCCAGTACGGTCTCGTCGCTGTCCCCTTCGAGCGTGGCTTCCCGATGATATTCGTCGTAGGGGACTAGTTCCGGGAGAGTGATTTGGAGGAACGGCTTCATGCGGAGTTCGTAGCGCAGTCGGTCGCTGGAGTAGGCCTGGGCCCCAGAGGCGGTCGGCAGGACACGGTGCCGAGCAAGAAGCACATACAAAGCGTGCAGGGAAATCGCGAAGGCATCAACCGCCACGATCTGGGTGGTAAGCCTTTCGAGGAGCCGGAGTGATTTCTGCAGGGCAGCGTGCCGCTCAAGGGCGCCGCGTTTCTTCGTCGCCATCTCGGTGATGTTCCGTTTGGCGGTGCCCACAGTGAACGTACGAATCCGATCGATGTGGCCAAGATGCGTGGAGCAAATGTGGGATAGATACCAGTACATTCCCGGGAGCTCTTCCGGCGCATAGACGGAAAGTTCAAACCCGAGCTGGAGGATGAGTCGGAACTGGTTTAGTTTGTGATGGTAGGCCCAGCTACTGAGAGGGTAGGAATATGTAGCGTCGCCGTTGGCGAGCATCAGTGGGGGCTCGTTGCTCAAGGTGCGGAGTTGCTCGTCGAGATCTTCTGCCTATAGCTACAATTAGATGTCACGTAATTGGCTAGAAGAAGTAAAAACTTGCCTCCATTTGTAGGTTGTCCCAGTCCGCGATGGTATGGCATACGGTTCGGCGGATGCGACAGCGGTTCAGGCAGGCACTGCGGAACGTATCCACAAATGGCTGCATGGAATTAGCCTCAATCTCGAAAGAAATCCAAGCTGGATGGGAAGTTCCGCGGGATTACCTGGGAAAGGCGCTTCACAAAGACATCCATCATCTTTGCAATCTGGAAGCGAGGGTCGGAAGGCAGTTCGATTTCGTCCATGTTAGCTTGCAGGAGTATACTTGATGGCAGGACAAGTTCTGCAAGTTCATCATATAGAAAGTCTTTGACAGGGACGGCTCCAAGAATGGTCATGTTGTTCACAATCAGTGTTTGAACAAGAGATCGTATATATACCGATGGCTGGGGCTTTCGTGACAGTAGAGTCCATATAGTCACCTAGACTTGTGAGGATGATTCACGCCAGCAATTAAGATGTCTCCATACCTTGAGGTTATAGGGCCCGCGATAGTCAATAATCTCCTGCAGGTCAACCGCGTCTTGACACAACCGCTTCAAATGCGCCAGCGCATCGTCGAAATTTATATTCACCATGGGTCGAGGAGGGACGGTGCTGGCCAGCTTGCGCTGAATTTTCAGGCTGAAAGAGTCGGGTACATCTTTCCCGAGCGATGTCGACTTGGTCAAATCATCCAGATGGGACAGACAGAACAGGAAGTGCTCCTTGGACCTCGTCTGTATCACGTCGACGTCTTGCTCCAAAGCCAGCAGAAACTCGCGCCGGAAAAGCAGTCTAGTTCGGATAGCTTCTCGCACAGCTTCATCAACCTTGCCCCTTTGTTCGTCGACCCAAGAAATCGCTCGATTGAGAAGATCATAAAATGACTGTGGTTCGAATTGTGACAGCAAAGACCGGTTGTAGAGTTGTGTAACGAAGTCCTCTTCCTACAATGAGAAGAGCGTTAGCAGGAGGCATACAATTCGGCGAATCATGCCGAAGCTTACCTCGAAGTAATATTCAGTCGCTACCCGGGCATGGACAAAGTCGCAGCATTTAACAAGCGCCATGCAATACGCACGCAGCACGAGATGTACCATTGCCGGTTCCTCCGTGGTGTTTGCTGTATGCCCGCGAAGGAAGTGTGCCTCGTCGAGGGTCTTCGGCACCGGCCACAGAAGCTTATCGAGGTATAGGGAAGTGAAGAGGGTCTGGGAAAGAGGATGCCCCATATGCCACCCCATCTGCAGAAAGTCAACTTCGTCAGCGTAGCTCAGATATAGCACCGTAGACCGTAACATTAAAGCTTCTACCTACCTCGTGGCAGAGCAGTCCATCCATGACCCCCAGCACCTCCTCCGGAGCAAGTTCTCGCGTCATATCGTAGTCGTCTTCCAAGGCCTGCGCATGGTTTTCGCCGGGCCCAAGGTACCCACTGTCCATTTTGGAGTCCATAATCTATTATTTTCGGGAAGTATCAGCTTCTCGCTCGGCTGGTTCGCGGGGCATTTATCATCAAGCAGGATCAAGTCGCAACTGACCTCCAGCGCACCGACAGCCTCGAAAAGCGTAAAGTACTCATCCTTGACAAGCTGACCGGTTTTCAACTCTGGGTTTCAGGAACCAAACGATTAGTGATCCGTACAGCCAGTCTGGGGGCATGATAACGGGGAGTAGAAAGCTCACTTGAGGCGGCTACCGTGAACTCATCAGTGATGTCGCGCGGGACAACAGACTGCGAAACAAGCGGCATTGTCGATGCTGGGACTTCGTTATTTGACAGCATGAGGGTTCAGGATCATCTGCAGCCAGCTGCCAGATCGGCCAAGTTCACCAAGAAGGAATGTCGCTCCGGGGAAGGAGGGTAATGGAAGGAGCAGGGGAGCAGGAGAGCGGGCGAGGGGAGGCGGGGAGTCGGACGGACTGGGCAAAACTTGCGGGAGCAGAACCCGTGCGGGCAGGCAGGCACGCAGGCACGCAGGCATGCAGGCCAGCAGGCCAGCAAAGCTCAGGAACCTACGCCCAGACAAGAACTACGGAGAAAATAAAGAGGCTTAATCTAGCCGACCATAATGGCAGGAGGAGGGAAATAGTCTTTTCTATTTATACCTGATCAACGGGCCAGTATTGCTACAGAGATCCAGTCCTTTCCTGCTAAGACTTTCCACCCAGACCCCAGACCTCGACATCTTCTCTCAGAATACATCTCATGTCTTCATGTTCACACAATTGGAGGGAAGGATCGTCTATTTCGACTCGGCGTTGGCGGCGAGGGCCTCGTTGTTGGCCTGGGCGAGGGACTTGACTTCACCCTGCTTGCCGTTCTATATCCGGGACACGACTGTTAGCCCAACTCCCAACCCATTCCATTGCCCGATTGACCGGCGGAAAAGGCATATATACGAACCTCCCACTTGGCGAAACGCAAGTCCATGTTGTTACGGCGCTCAGCAGCAGCACGGGGAGCGTCCTTGAGGGACCGGCGGACCGCGCGAGCGGCGACGGTCAGGTAGCGGTTGTAGCTGTAAAAGTCCACCACCGAGTCAGTCGAGGTTCGAGTCTGCGTGGAGCGGGTGGGCAGAGGTTAGACGTACGTGAGACCAGCGGCTTTCCACGCGAATGCCATTTTGACGGTAGGAGTGGGTTGAGGATAGGATTCGGTCAGGGGAGAATCGCTCGCTCTGTGATGGATGCTTTGCCGACCGTTCGAGTTCGGAGGTTCGGGAAGTTCGGGTCATGTGATAATTCACGTGACTCAACGCGGCAGCCAATAGATTCCTTGGATCCGCAGTATATAGGTGCTTCTTCACAGTTTGACGTTCAGCGCATCAGAGCTGTAAGCATGCAGATTGAAATCTGTCAGATCATGCAGGCTGCTTCTGCCGGTGCAAATTGAAGACATGATGATGAAGGAACCTTGCAAAGGCCCACATTTACCATCGAAACAGGGAAGATATATACATTGCATGGTTATAGAATGCAACTGAGCTACTTGCTTACTTTTCTAATTTGCTCAAACATATCATTCTCACATAAGTAACCGATATATTGAATACTAGTATATATATTTTTTTAAGTTTATGAGCCAGCTTGTGCAGTGATAAAGACCGGAAACTGGCACATCAAAAAAGAACATGGAGTTGTTTCCGCATAGCAATAAAGACCCTAACTATATAAATTCCAAGCAAATCCGTCTTTCAGGTTTCAATGACCCTGGAGATATTTCAAACTAAACAAATTACTAAATACACTACGAGGAGTAATAGTCTGGGTGAATGCTAATGACCCAATATTTTCTTCCAGAGCAAAACCCACGTTCTTTTCCAATTGCATGCTGCATGGGTGAATGGCCTGTGTATGCATGCCTGGGGACGTGTTAGTCTGGATGAAGTAGGAGCTGTTTGATGCGTTTGGAGTGTTTTTGCCAGCAAGTAGAAAAAGTATGGACCATGACCCGGACCCGTCTGGCGGAGAACAGCCGTCACACGACGCCTGGAGGGCGTCCACTTCTTTTGCTGTCAAACTGGCTAGTATTTTGTAGGAAGCTCGCGGGTCCGGCCACCTTCTTTCACTTACCTCTGGCCTCCACCTCCGCCTCCCCCCTCCGAAGTCGGCCCCGCACAAGGTATGCGATGCAAGTTGAATAGGCCTCACTCTTGAAGGTATTAGTAGGTACAGTCCTTCATTGTCCCCTCTGTGGCTACTATTTGCTACCAGCTTGAGCAAGCGGGTGAACATGGCCCCTTATCCTCACCTCTCACTTCCTTTCCACAAGCTGACCTGGTGGTGATACTAGACCCGATTGCAATGAAGCTGCAAGGCTCGCTGTGACTTGTCTGCACTGAGCTGACAGATATGTCCAGTACCTCACAGTCTTTGTCTAGAAACCGCTAGAGATTGGCCCCGAGAAGAACTCGGCAAGATGGGGTCCTCCAAGGTATCCAAGAGGCCCAAGAAGAGAACGCTTGTTCGCTGGGATGGTACATTCCCTGGCTCTATACCGAGCAATCAATCCAATCCTCTGGAGCTTTGGTCGCACTCTTGACTAACCTCTGTAGAAAACTTGAACGAACTCCTGATGCTGACGGTCCAGTCGGTTTGTAACACCAACTCGATCAAGATTCCTTGGGCGGAAGTGGCTACAACAATGGGACACAACGTGTCGGAGGGAGCCATCGTCCAGCATCTCGCCAAACTTCGCTCTCGTCGCGTTGCTGCCAACAAGGCTGTTCCACCCCCCCTTCGCCGCGGTGGTGTCGGTGCCGTGTGCAAGTCATCACAAGAGTCCGCAGCAGATGTGTCCGAGAGCAAGAGCACGCGGAGCAAGTCTCTGAAAAAGGACACTGGTGATGAGACCTCGAGTGCTTTCCCATACGTCGATTCTTCCTCGGATGAAGATTGGGTAGCGGGGGGAGCCTCCAAGGCGCAGAAGAAGTCTGTTAACAGAAAGACGGCTGGGGCTCGGTCCGGGAAGAGCACCTTGAAATGTGAAAGCAGTGACAGTTCCGCGGAGAGCTCCCCTGAAGGCTCCGGTGAGCTTCTGTTGCCCGGTGCCACATTTTTCAACTACCCGAATGATGAAAGGCAGTGTATGACCCAGTCACCAGAGTCTACCGCTGAACCGAAGTCTTTGACCGTGGTGCTCAAGTATCGACGATCTGCTCCTGATGCCAATGAGATCAAGAACGTGGTATCTGACCCCTTATTCGCCACCCACCCCATTGAGGCTCCGAACAACATGTCTTTCCCCCCTTACCAGCAATCTGTGAACACTGGTTTCTTGCCTGTCGACCCCAGTATGGGCTTCATGGACATGTTGACCGACAATTCAAACGTCGGTTACCTGGCTGCCAGTGACGCCTCGATGGGCTTGCCGCCAGATGGATGTGGAGTTGCCCCCAACGATATGTGGCAGGCCGGACCTGATCCAGCATACCCCAGCGCATCATACGGCGTGTACCCCGATGGAGCAGACATGAACTTCACTGACGGGTCTCTTGATTTCTCCAATGACATGTTCAGCCATCTCGCTGATTTCGAACCTGAAAGCCATCAGCTGATGCCCCACGATTATGTGCCGATGGACGAAACTATGGGAACTTTCGATGACATCTGAACTTGCACTGTGATAAAACCGGCGCACGCATTAAGAGTTCAACATCATTCTGGACTTACTATCTTTGCCATTTTATTTTTGGGGCCGAGGTTGTTTTAATTTTTATCTTTCCTCGGGCCGCTGACATATTTGCCCTCTACTCAAAGCGATCTGTTTCTTTAATGGATTTAGTTATTGAATCACATAATATCAACATGTAGCCGCAGCAGGCGCATATTCTGGATTGCATCTGGTGAAGCGTATATGAGTGGCGAGAGAGAGAGAGGACGTATTGTTGGCTGTAGAGAGTAGAGGGAAGGGAGGCTGGGGGGGGAGGGTTCTATATTTCTATTCCGTAGGGCTTGGGATGAATGGAGGATGAGGCTATTGGCCACGGGTAACTAGTTAGTTATTATATTCACCTTAGAAATTAACTAGAGTAAGCCATATATGCTCACTGCGCTGCCCTTCCGACGACCCGAGGGATTCCCTCGGATAGCCGGCGGCACGTGACCTTCTAGGAGCTTCTGCCGCCAAGACAATCCGGGGATCGAGAACAGAACCGCCGGGAAAATTTTCGAGACTTTGGCTTCATCTCCATCCCATCCATCTCCTCTGCCTCCTTCTCTTCTTCCCTTCCTTCCCCCCCCTGCAGCCGTTCTTGCTCCGGGAGTTCCGATCGGGCAGATTCACTTTAATTGTCCTCTATCGCCCTCTGTCTCTCTGTTCTGTCTTATCCTCACTTCACAATCCCCCTTCAAGATGCAGCGTGCTCTCTCTTCCAGGACCTCTGTCCTGTCCGCCGCCTCCAAGCGTGCTCCTCTCTACAGATCCTCCGGCATCAACCTGCAGCAGCAGCGTTTTGCTCACAAGGTAAGCCGCGTCACACGGTGCATGCAATTGGAGTGCTTTCCGAAGCTCCCGTCGGTTCAGCTGGGAGCCTTGCTGACACCTTCTAGGAGCTCAAGTTCGGCGTTGAGGCTCGTGCTTCTCTCCTCAAGGGTGTCGACACCCTTGCTCGCGCTGTCACCTCCACTCTCGGTCCCAAGGGTCGCAATGTCCTGATCGACACCTCCTACGGCTCCCCCAAGATCACCAAGGGTATGTAGCTTCTTCCCCCCTGTGTTTTCATCCGAGCCATCAGTTTTCATCAATGCGGAGTCACAAGATCGGATACTGACTTAACTAGACGGTGTTAGCGTTGCCAAGGCTATCCAGCTCCAGGACAAGTTCGAGAACCTCGGTGCTCGTCTCCTCCAGGATGTCGCTTCCAAGACCAACGAACTCGCCGGTGACGGTACCACCACCGCCACCGTCCTGGCCCGTGCCATCTTCTCCGAGACCGTCAAGAACGTGGCCGCTGGCTGCAACCCCATGGATCTCCGCCGTGGTATCCAGGCCGCCGTTGAGGCCGTCGTCGACTACCTCCAGCAGAACAAGCGTGACATCACCACCGGTGAGGAGATCGCCCAGGTCGCCACCATCTCTGCCAACGGCGACACCCACGTCGGTAAGCTCATCTCCACCGCCATGGAGAGAGTCGGCAAGGAGGGTGTGATCACCGTCAAGGAGGGTAAGACCCTCGAGGACGAGCTTGAGGTCACCGAGGGTATGCGCTTCGACCGCGGATACACCTCTCCCTACTTCATCACCGACGCCAAGTCCCAGAAGGTTGAGTTCGAGAAGCCCCTGATCCTGCTCTCCGAGAAGAAGATCTCCGCTGTCCAGGACATCATCCCCGCCCTCGAGGCCTCCACCACTCTCCGCCGTCCTCTCGTCATCATCGCCGAGGATATCGAGGGTGAGGCTCTCGCCGTCTGCATCCTGAACAAGCTCCGTGGCCAGCTCCAGGTCGCCGCCGTCAAGGCCCCCGGCTTCGGTGACAACCGCAAGAGCATCCTCGGTGACCTTGCTGTCCTCACCAACGGTACCGTCTTCACCGACGAGCTTGACATCAAGCTCGAGAAGCTCACCCCCGACATGCTCGGATCCACCGGTGCCATCACCATCACCAAGGAGGACACCATCATCCTCAACGGTGAGGGTGGCAAGGACGCCATCTCCCAGCGCTGCGAGCAGATCCGCGGTGTCATGGCCGACCCCACCACCTCCGAGTACGAGAAGGAGAAGCTCCAGGAGCGTCTGGCCAAGCTCTCCGGCGGTGTTGCCGTCATCAAGGTCGGTGGCTCCTCCGAGGTGGAGGTCGGTGAGAAGAAGGACCGTGTCGTCGACGCCCTGAACGCCACCCGCGCCGCCGTCGAGCAGGGTATCCTCCCCGGTGGTGGTACCGCCCTCCTCAAGGCCTCCGCCAACGGCCTTGCCAATGTCAAGACCGCCAACTTCGACCAGCAGCTCGGTGTCAGCATCATCAAGAGCGCCATCACCCGCCCCGCCCGCACCATCGTCGAGAACGCCGGTCTGGAGGGCAGCGTCATCGTCGGCAAGCTCACCGACGAGTTCGCCAAGGACTTCAACCGTGGCTTCGACAGCTCCAAGGGCGAGTACGTCGACATGATCGCCACCGGTATCGTCGACCCCCTCAAGGTGGTCCGCACCTCCCTGGTTGACGCCAGCGGTGTCGCCTCCCTCCTCGGAACCACCGAGGTCGCCATCGTCGAGGCCCCCGAGGAGAAGGGACCCGCTGCTCCCGCCGGCATGGGCGGTATGGGCGGTATGGGCGGCATGGGCGGCGGCATGTTCTAAGCTAGCCCCAACCCACCACCTCCTAGTCCTTGTTATTGAAAGGTTTCCCTTCGAGCGTCTTGTTGCATAGTACGGGCATATCCTGATATGTTTTGTTGTTTTTATTTTATATCTTCTTTTCAATATCTCCTTTGTTTCTAATGTGTTACATGTCTTTTTGGCCACCTATCCACTTCACCTCCGACTTCCCCCTATTCCTTTCCACCCTCCCTCCTGCTGACCGGCTTCGGCCGGCTTGGTTTCCGTCATATCATCTCCACTCCGCTATCTTGGGCACAAAAAAAAAGTCTCAGGGAGTCCTGTGTATCATACCATGTACTTTATGTGCTGAGGCAGAACGGGCAGCTGTCTGTCTGCCTGCCTTGGGTGTTTGCAATTTCATTTATTAATCGTTGAGCTTTCTTCATATCTCGTATCTTCTTTCTCGTAACTAAATCATCAAAATGTATGTCCAAAAGCTACTCCGTAGATAGAAGTGTAATATGAACCAAGAATGTAAACGCCACTCACCCATCCCATCCCATCCATCCCATCCCATCTCATCTCATCCTCCCTCTCTTCTTCTTCTTCTTCTTCCTCCCTCCTCACCACCTAACAATCAATATAACCAAGATAACCAAGATACCCAATATAAGACAATCACCAAGACCCCCTCCCCTTCTCCGAATAAAACTCCCCACCGCCCTCCCCCTCCAACCCCAGTCCCAGTCCTAACCCGTTACTCCCCGTCCCCGTCCCCGTCCCCGTCCCCACCGATTTATTATTCCCATCTCCATGCCTATCCCAAATATCCTCCCCCTCCCCCGTTCCCCGCTTCTGCCAACCCCTCCGATACCGATTTAGCCTTCCCCCGCTCTTTGTGCGCAGCACATCATTCTTTGTTCCGGAGGCAGCGGCACCAGCGACATCAGCAGCACCAGTGGCCTCTGCCGATGCACCAGACCCAGACCCATACCCAAACCCAGCACCAGACCCATACCCAGCAGAAGAACCAGAACCAGAACCAGAACCAGTAGACCTCGATTTATATTTCGATCTCAACACCTTCACTCTCCACCTTCCCAGCAACCTAACCGGCGCAAGCAGCACATCAGCCAGAACATCGAGGACGAGCTTCTGCGCTACCCAGAGGGTTTCGCGCAGGCGTTCGTTGAAGGCGATTAGGATGGCGAGGGTGATGATTGCGAAGGAGGCGGGGCCTGGGTTTTATATTAGTATATATATGGATATGGGAATGTGGGGATATGAGAATGGACTGGGGGTGGTTTGTGGAGTAGAGAGGGGGGAGGGAGTGGGGGTGCTGGGTGGATGAGAGGTGAGAGGTGAAAGAGGTGAGGTGAGGGTTAGGATGGTATGGGGATGGATAGATGGATAAATGGATAGATGGATGGCCTTACCAGCAATATACAACATCTCACCCAGCGTAAGATTCTGCGGCGTACCGCTCCATTCTCTCGCGTTGATGCCGAATAAGGAGGTGAAGAAGGAGAGGGGGAGGAAGCTGTCATCATAAGCTATAAGTATATGTATCTGTGTATGGATTTATGTGTGTATGTTGTGGGAAGGCAAGGGACGGTGGAACTCACATAATAGTAAAGATAGTAAACACCATCACCGAACGCGACTGATCTTGGGTAACCTCTGCTTCCCAGCGCGCGAGACGGGACTCGTCAACACTAGCTTGTTTTTGCTTGAGGTCGAGGAGGTTCTCCACCTTTGCATGGTAAATAATACATAGCCAGCCAGTCAGTCATTCAAGTCCATAGTAATTCAGAGGATGATAACTTCGGCGAAAAAACACCAGGAAGAAAAAGAAGAACATACAGCCTTCTGCGCCACACTCGCATTCTCCCTCATCTCCAGCACCTGCCCGCGATACTCATCGAGTCTCGCGAGCGCCGAACCCACAAACACCTGTCCATAGCCTTTATGTTCAAAATAGCTCGACATGACCTTCACAGTGGTAGTTTGCTGCTCGAGCAGCTTGAGAATCGTGCCTAGCTCGTCGACGATATCCCTGAGCTCGAGCAGCGTGGACAGATCCTCCCTGTTTCGTCGCGCGGCTTGGTTGTCTCGTTCGTCGCGCTCCGCGGCGGATAGTGGTTTGCCGTCCGCGTTTTTGTTGTAGTCTGCTGGGCGGGTGTTGAAGCCGCGGTTGCGGAAGCGTTTGAATGATTTGGTGACGATTTCGGTCTGTGGTGTTGGTTAGATTAGAATTTCTGGTGGATGGATGGGATGGGTGTGAGAAGGGAGGGGGGGGGGGGGGGGTCACCAGAATGCTGATAGATTCTTCGAATATCCTCAGGACCTGGAGATCGCGGTGCAGGGTTCGATCGAGGAGGACCGTGACGGCGTGGAGAACCATCAAGGAAGCTAGATCGCCGGCTGTCTCGAAGCGCCTCGCCAGATCCCCATTCAGTTCGTTATAGATACTATTGTAGAGATTCGACTGCTCGTACAGCTTGCCTTCCGCCGTGGTGGCCTCCTGGTTCGGAAAGAACGTAACAACGGTCTTATCATCAGCAATCCACAGCCAAAGCTGATCCACCATCAAGACCTTTCCATCCATGAAGGTGGTTTTGGCCTCGGTTCCGTCTGCGGATTGGACCGAGGGCCCAGGCCCGGGCCCGATCTCGTCGTTGCGGTTGACCATCCGTTTCGTCCGCTTCCAGAGCATCTGGTCGTCGTCTCTGGCGACGGTTGAGCGCAGGTTAGGGTAGCCGAACTGGTCCAGGGTCCTTCGAATGTGAATGGGGGGCTCATTTCCCAGGAACTTCCAGATCAGTTTGGATTCGAGACTGGATTTGGAGATTTCCCCGGGCACGGGGCGGAATCTTCCTTGTTGGAGTCTTTCTTCGACGACTTTTCGCCGTTGCACTAGGTTGAGGTAGGTATCCCAGTGGAGCTAGTAGTCAGTTAGCATGGAAGTCAGAAAGGGTTCGGATGCTAGGCAACGTACGTATGGTATCTAGTATAGAGCAGACGTCAGCGCTATTTCATTTGATTCAGCTGCAGCTGCAAACTTACATATAAAGCCAGTCTAGGATCATGCTGCTCTCCCGGACTGAGAGGCAACGACCCATTCTTGAAATGAATACAGGCCGGTCTTACGTATCGCGCATGGGGTTCCAAATGGCGGGCTCTGATGAGGTTCGAGTACCAATGTTCCTCATTCATGAAGTCCTCCGAGCTTTCACGGCAAGTTGTCCGTCAGCAAAAGCCCCGTTAATGAAAATTGTCCAAATACCCACAATTTCTGCCTCTCCTGGTCACTACACGCCCTGGATAGAACGGCAGGCACCCATCCGGTGTGGGTATACGGCACATGGATCCAAAGAAGCCTCTCACTCCCTGCCTCCGGCTGGTCGAATCTTCGCATTTTGCGGGGCATTTCGGCTTTCTCTTCGTCCGCTTTATCTCGCGATGGCAGGGGGATGGGAAGGAAGCTTTTGTATCGAGGGGGATTCCCTCTATTTTATCCTTAGTTACCGATTTTCTTGACGGGGGTAGTAATTATACTCACGTTATGCTACTGGCACTCGCACGGGGACCATTTCCAGCCATATCCTGGTCTTCTTGCGCTGCTACAGACTCACGCGTATCCTGGCTTGGCTCCATCTGTGGCCCAAAGTATTCTTGACCGACTGGCTCACTGATATGAATGCGAGGAGAGGTCTGACCCAGAGAACTGCGACTTCGTTTCATCGAAGGTCTCTGAGGAATGGCAGCGGGACTGGACTCAACTGCATGGGGTATTTGGGGACGCACCATGCCATCCAGCGACGGACGAACATGAGCGGAGGTCGGTCTGCTATCGAAGCTGCTGATTGAGGAATCATCATAGATGCTAGCCGGGATCCCCACAGTCCTTTTCAGCCGGTTCTTCAGACACACCGACGGCCCGTTGGCCAAATACTCCTTCAGCGATGTCTTGGTAGACCAGAGCTTCAGCGGCGTTTCGTCACTGATGCCCCGGGCAGTGTCTTCAAAAAAGCCATTCACCTGGACCATGACCTCTTGGTCTACGTCGAGCGGTGCATCGGTCATTTTGGATAGACTGATGGCCATGGACGCCGACGATTGGAGTTCGTTAATGAAGCCTATTCTGGTTGTGAACTCCTGGCCCTTGAAAGATGCAGTGCCGATATGGTCGGTAGCTAATGGAATCTCTTTCTCGTGCTCGAAATCTAGAATGCCCGATCGGATGGACGTGATCGGGACAGTCATGTCTACGGTGCTCCCTGTCTCAGGGTCTGCGATACTGAGCGTCGAATCGACCGTCTCCAAGAAGGTCCAGATCTTCATATCTGCTGAGATGGATTTAAATAGATTCGAAAGCTGTAGAAGATACGGATGTCTTGGTCTGAAGATCTCGCGCAGTGCGGGCGAGATGTGATGCTTCAGTCTCATCAGATGATGGATACTCCTAGTAAACTCGGGCGACGAAAGGTAACTTGAGCCGTGGTGGGGGGTGGCCAGGAAAGCGATGCCATAACAGCTGGACAGAATCGATCCAAGCCTGGAGGTTAGCTGGCTGGCGATAGTGAGTGCCGCTTTGGCGACGAGGCCGCCGGTGCTATGGCAAATGAAGAAGATGGGACGTCTCAGGCTCTAGAGGGAGCGTTAATTCGACCGTCCGATGCTGCCACCGGGAGACCTCACCGTTGCCTGTCTTTCCTGGATAAGCCATTTGAGCAGTCTATGGGCGAGAGACTCGAGGTCATCCTGGGGGTCTAAGTGCCCATGGTCGAACAACAACACACGCGCATTTGGAACGACTCGCGTCAACTCGGAGGTGAGCCACGGCGTCTGTGAATCGCCATCTACCCATGTCTTCTTGGGGTCTGCACCGATAGCTGGCACCGCAACGATACTGATCCATCGTCAGCGCACGACCTTCAGGCGATGAGGGACAGAGCGGATACTTACTCTACTGCGGTTTCCGGTCGCTCACCGTTGATCTCACTGTCGGCTGCCATTTCCCACTTTTCCTCCATGAAAGTGAGGATGTCGACACATCTTGCTGAAAAAAAACAAGTGGAGCCGGACGTGAGGGTGGGATGTCTTGGGTTGAGTCAGTGCAGTGAAGGCGATTCCATCATCTGACACGGCCTTGATCCACCCCGGCAGGTGACTCGGGCTTGGAAGGGCCGTGACAGCCCTGCCCTCAGCCTTACATTCGTGTCTGACTGTTTGGTCATCCCCCAGGCTGGGATGGGCCCCATAATGCCAATGCTCACTATCCACATTGGTCACTAGTTATGCGCCGGGTCTCGGTTGTGTCAGTCACACTACAAAGACCCGAGGCTGGTATAGAACTGTGATTTGAATTCAGCAAGTATCCAAATACTGCCAAACTATGTATAAACTATAAACAGGCTGGAGTGAAGATTTGGCTCGCTCGACTCGAGAAAGTAATAATATACATGTTTTGAAAGCCTTTGCACCAAATAACGAAGCCTCCTTTTTAGTCTTGTGAGACAGCACAGGACCATAACGCTATGACAAAGGAAATCCGGAAACAGGAGAGGAAAGGGATAAAGATAGAGGAAGAAGAAAGAAAGCTCTATAGGGGGACTCAATGCGGTCGTCATACATCGATCACACAATAGACGAACGGGTGCGCGCCTAGTTTATCGCAATTAAACAATAAGATGAACAGCGGAAGCTGCGAATGCATGGTAAGAATCGCTTAGATCAAATCCGGGTATTTCGGGTCTGGTGGTAAACAAGTACGCCGGTATATGTCAATCCATCCGGAGTATCCAAGAGGGTGATATGCTGGTCGGGGTTTAGATCGTATCGGAGTCTGTCGACTCATGGCTTCGCTCGTTGACGTCCCGTGCCATCTTCTTTCCAAACTCGTAGGTGGAAATCATGATGGCACAAGCCGGTGCTACCTTCAGGCACCGCGCAACCCAGCCGCGGAAAAGTCCGGCCATGCCTTCCTCGCGGAAGATGTGCATCAGGAACTTCGGCAAGGCAAGCTGTTCGGGGTGAAGAGTTGCCCCTGCGGGGACTGACACTTCGTTACCCATATGCCGGAAGACCTGCTGGCGGGTCTTGCCCACGTCGAACGGGGTGGTGACAAGGGCCGCCAGGCAGCCCGAGCTGGCACCTGCAATAAAGCTTTCAAAAAATGTCGGGGCGTCCAGGTCGTGTTGGTGCTGCTGGCTAGCAGACGGTAGCCCGTGCAGCAAAGTATGTGCGTGGGCTCTCTTGCGCCCTTCGATGAAATGACTCTTGACTTCCTCGTAACCCCACCAATAAAGAGCTGAGAAAGGTACATCGCGCCACATGGTAAGAGTCAATCCCCGCCATAGCGAACTGTAGCCATGGGTCCGGGCCATATGATGCAGATCTTCCAGGGTGGCCTTGAAATGGCCCGCACCAGTGCCAGGCGTTGCCTGCAAACGGGTCCGGAACATCTCCACGGGACTGATCACCGAGGCTGCCGCGGCTCTGGCAACAGCGCCTGCGACTAACGGGGCGTAAATATCGGGGAGAGACTTCTTGATGGGGCTCCTATCATCGGAGCGCAACCAGTCGTATCCAGCAAAATAGATAATGTTCGCCGGAATACCCATCATCAGCGTAGGACTAAGTCCACGCCAAAGCGTCCAGACGCCCTCATTGCGCGCAATCTTCCGCAGCCCATCCAGTGTCGACGTGAACGTCTTTCGTTGGGTTTCCTCCACCGCGCAATCAGCCATCGACGATGTAGTTCCGATGGTCCCCACGCCGGGTCCAACCATGCATATGTGGGTGTTCTGGCCGATCCAGAAAACCTCTCGACAGCAAGCCGTTACTCCGAGGTTTGGAGGAGCGTTCTTCAAATTATGGGTGGTGTGGGAGGTAAAAGGCGACAAGTTCTTGATGGAGGACTGGGACTGCAGACGGACTCGGACGACGTCGAGGGGAGTAACTACCAGCACTGTCAGTACTGCGGGCGCGCGTCTTCGTCGTCGTCGTCGCAGGCTCACCTACCTAAGATATTGGTGAGGAAACTGCCGATGGTGGCAGAGACCATCCTTTGGCCGAGGGAAACATTATCGTTTGTCTGCATGGTGCTCGAAGCAGGGGCCGCCCCCGTTCGAGAAGTAGTCGCCATGGTGAGATCTTCAACTGAGGGCCATGACTCTGGGAGATTCCCTTCCAAACCCGTGCTGGTCAGTCCGTCGGAGCGATATCGGTCCCCACGCGCAAGATCAGTTCGGATGGCGGACATTCATTCAGTGGCGCGGATCGGAAGGAGTGGATGTGTGCGGGAGAGGGATGGGGTCCGTTGTCGGTGCAGCAGTTAAATAGGATGTCTTGTTGTGCGATCAGCAGCGACGTCAGACGAAGGAAGGCAAAGAAATGCGTCAGAGAAAAAGAGCGATCGGGTCTCGGTCGGTGGCAGGCGGTGGCGCGAAGATTCCCGGCGGAGATAAGCTGCCCTCCTTCCTGCAACTCCGCATCCTCTGCTCCGGCTCGACTCGGCCACCCATTTCAATCGCCGTCGATTGCGGAGAGTCAGAATGGACCCTTGAAGGCTTCATCTCGAACCCCCTTGATCCCCTCCTTTCTTCCAGTTGCTCTTCTTCCTCTCCCTCGGACCCGTCCCTGCCCCTCCTGTCACCTCGTTGAGGTCCCGCACTAACTGCTTATCAATCGGACCCAGTTCGCCGCGGCTGACTGCAACACACTACTAACCAGTAACCACCATGACAGACAACGCCGAGCTCGAGTCTTTTCGACGCCAGTGGCGTGAGGAGGTTGCGCGCCGCACGAGGCCATCTAGGCCGGAGCCGGCTCAGCCAAGGCCCTCGAGGTCCTCCGCTGGCCCGTCGAGCCATTTCCCTCCGGCCCGCCACGAGGCATTGGACCGTAAGGAGGAAGAGGAAGACGAGGACGAAGGAGGAGCGCCATCGGCGAATCATGGCGAGATTATCCATGGGGTCGGACATTTGAGCCTGGGACCCTCTGATGAGGATGCCTTTCACTCGCGTGCGCCTCGAAATGAGCCCAAGTCGGCGTTGGAGCACTTCGAAAGAGCGGTTGAGAAGGAGGCGGAGGGGAATCTGGGGGACAGTCTGCAGCTCTACCGCAAAGCGTATCGGGTAAGATTATTTGAATCTTGCTAGAGATTGCGAGTCTGGAAGACAGTTACTGACTTCGTGTCTGCAGCTAGACTCCGCGGTCGATAAAACATATCGGGACAAGCATTTCGCGTGGGCATGGAAGAAGCCCGCGCAGGCACCTGCCCCTAGCGCTGGCGCTTCTGTGACAGGCCAGCAGCCTACTGATGAACCTACGATCCTGCCGACGCCGGAACTTATCGCTTCTTTCGCCCATCTCCCTATTTCCCCAGCCGAGCCGATCATCGAGAACACCCCCCCTCCGCCGTGCCCCATCGCGAACGTCCCGTCAGAGGTTCTGGCTGAGATTCTCAGCCATGTCGCTTTGATCGACCCGGCTTCATTTTGTCGGATGGCCCTGGTTTGCAAGCGCCTGGCATATCATTTCGCCCATGAACAACGCATCTGGAAACGACTTTGTCAGGGCTCCGAGTTTGGGTTCAAGGCCATGCAATATTCGTTCGCTTGCGATATCCACGGTTTGCCGGAATACACCTTGGGGCCCCGCTACACGCCTTTCCCCCAGTCGATGCCCGTGCAGGTCCCGGAGCCTTTGTCCTCATGGGGCGAAGTGTTCCAGATGTTCCCTCGCATCCGTTTCACCGGCATCTACATCAGTACGGTGAACTACACCCGTCCCGGTGCCTCCTCAGCATACCAGAACGTCTCCTGGAACAGCCCCATCCACATCGTGACATACTACCGCTACCTGCGCTTCTACCCGGACGGGACAGTAATTTACCTACTCAGCACAGTAGAACCACTAGTAGTGGTTCCCTACATCAGCCGAGAAAACATCAAGGCCGCGCGAGCAACATCTCAGAAACAACACCACCGCCAGGCCGCCGATGCCAACTCCGCCTCCTCCGACACAGTCCCTCCCGTCGCGATGGGCGCACTGAAGCACGCCCATCGCGGTCGCTGGCGCCTCGCCAAACCGACCCCGGAATCCGACTCGTCCGACGAGGTCCCGCCCAGCCACCCCCTCTCCGAATACGACTCCTTACCTGCGAAGGCCCAAACCACGGCGGCGCCCGACCCCCGTGATCTGATCATCGAAACCGAGGGCGTCGGCCCGAAGTACATGTACCTCCTGCAGCTCTCCCTCCGGTCAGTCTCCACGTCCAAGCCCACTAACCCTAACATGACGCCGTCCAACCCGTCCAAGAACACGAAGCTGGTGTGGAAGGGCTACTGGAGCTACAACAAGCTCACGGACGACTGGGCGGAGTTTGGCCTCAAGAATGACCGCGCGTTTGTCTTCCGACGGGTCCGTGGGTGGGGGATGCCTTGAGGTAGATTATTATATTGGCTAGTAACTGAGTTCAGAAGCTGTAGGATGGTAGAGTGCTTGTATGGACGATATAATCACGCAATAGATATGAGGATATAAAACAGAATACACTAGCAAGGTCACACACAGCACCTAGATTGAATAACCTACTATACTTCGGAATTGTCAACCGACACATAACTATTTTCTTAACTAACAGTATACACTCCTCCACAATACACCACTATATACTATATAGCACACAAACATAAAAGACAACAAAAAACCACATCCTCCAAATCACCATCAAACCCATCTCCATCAGATCAGAAACATACTCACTCCCATCCCAACCCGAGGCTACTAAAGTTGACCCCAAACGCCAAGCAGGCCAAGCCCCTTATCGATAAGCACCACCGCGAAAAATTTCGGGGAAGCAAACAGCAAACCACCACATCTCCACCACTAACTCCATCCAACTCAGATTATACCAGAGCAGAGCAGAGCAGAGCAGAGGCAACTGCGACATGACGTTACGATCATTTCTTTAATACAATCCACCATACTACACCACACTATATACATCCGCGACCGCAAAAATGCCAGAGAAGGTCCGCACCGTCTTCGACGACGCAGGCGACGTCGTCCCCAGCGCAACCACCGAACCCGAGAAAGCGGAGGTCGTCTCCGACGCCACAACGACGACGAAGCGAAAGTCTCACGCCGGGAAAGAGGGCAAAGACGAGGAGAGCCAGAGCCGGAAGAACAAGAAGCGGAAACAACTGGAGAACGGGAACGGGAATGGGGTGAAGAAGTCGAAGAAATCGCGAGGAGGGGAGGATGGGGAGAAGAAGAAGAAGAAAGATGAGAATCTTGCTGGATTGACGGATGGGAACGCCAATGGCACGGTCTCAGATACTACGACTACGACTACGGCTACGGCTACGACGAAGACGAAAAAGCCCAAGGTCGTGTACAAGAACTTGATCAAGAAACGAGTCGAAAAATCGAGTTCACAAGCTCAACCTCAACCTTCTCCAGATGCGCAATCTACGCAATCTATTCCGCCTACGCAATCGAAGACGAACTTCGCCCCCTCCGCGAAAAAGCGCAAGCGCTCTACCAACTGCGCAAGAACCTGCCGATCTTCCCGCACGGGGACGAGATCCGGGGTCATCTGCGGCAGAACGACGTGATGCTGCTGGTTGGAGAGACGGGTAGCGGAAAGAGTACGCAGATACCGCAGTTTCTGGTGGAGGAGGAGTGGTGTCGGCCTGTGAAGACTACGGTTACGGTGGTTCAGGATAAGAAGGACGGGGAGAAGGGAGGGAAAGGGAAAGGGAAAGGGAGGAAGAAGGAGATTCAAGTGGGCGGGTGTATTGCGATCACGCAGCCTCGACGAGTCGCGGCGATTACGCTGGCGCGACGAGTGGCGGAGGAGATGGGGAGTCCGTTGGGGAACTCGTCGCCGGCGAGTCGGGTGGGATACTCGGTGCGATTTGATACGTCTGTTTCGGCGAACACGCAGGTCAAGTTCCTGACGGAGGGGATGCTGTTGCAGGAGATGCTGCATGATCCGTGGTTGACCAAGTATAGTGCGGTGGTGGTGGATGAGGTGCACGAGCGGGGTGTGAATGTGGATCAGGTGTTGGGGTTTTTGAGGAATATGGTGGCTGGGAAAAGGGAGGGGAGAGGAGGGGTGCCGTTGAAGGTGGTGGTGATGAGTGCGACGGCCGATATGGAGAGTTTGACGGGGTTCTTTAGGGAGGGGTTTCAGAAGACGGAGGCTGGAGCCGAGTCTGAGTCTGAGGGGAAGGTGAGGGATATCGCCGCGTGCCATATCAAGGGACGGCAGTTCCCCGTCAAGACGATTTACTCCCCGGAGCCGGTCCATGACTTTGTCGATGCCGCGCTGAAGGTCATCTTCCAGATCCATTACAAGGAGCCGCTGCCCGGCGATATCCTGGTGTTCCTGACGGGTCAGGAGACCGTGGAGGCGCTGGAGAGTCTCATCAACGAGTATGCCACGGGGATGGACCCCGAGCTGCCCAAGATCCAAGTGCTGCCGCTCTTCGCGGCGCTGCCTCAGGTCGCTCAGCAGCGTGTGTTTCTGCCCGCACCGCACCGGACCCGCAAGATCATCCTGGCTACGAACATCGCCGAGACCTCCGTCACGGTGTCGGGGGTGCGATATGTTGTCGACTGCGGAAAAGCCAAGGTCAAGCAGTTCCGTTCGCGGCTCGGGTTGGACTCGCTGCTCGTCAAGCCCATCTCGAAGTCCGCCGCCATCCAGCGGAAGGGTCGTGCCGGTCGAGAGGCCCCGGCCAGTGCTACCGACTATACACGGAGAAAGACTATCTGGCGCTGGACGAGGTCAACACGCCCGAGATCCTGAGATGCGACCTGAGCCAGGCCCTGCTCAACATGAAGGCCCGCGGCGTGGACGACATCATGGGCTTCCCGTTCCTGACGCGGCCCCCGCGCGAGTCCCTCGAGAAGGCGCTGCTCCAGCTCCTCAGCATCGACGCGCTAGAAGAAACCGGACAAATCAGCTCGGTCGGCCTCCAGATCGCCAAGCTGCCTCTCACCCCAACCCTGGGGCGCGTGCTCCTCGCGGCGTCGGAATTCGGGTCCAGCTGTTTGTTGGATGTGATCGACATCATCTCTTGTCTCAGCGTCGAGAACATCTTCCTGAACGTCACATCGGAAGAGAAGAAGGAACAGGCCGAAGTGGCGCGCCGGGACCTCTTCCGCCGCGAGGGCGACCATCTCACCATGCTTTCGACCGTGCAGGCCTACGCCGCCGAGAACACCGACCGAAAGGCCTGGGCGGAGAGACATCTCGTCTCGCACCGCGCCATGCAGTCCGTGATGGTACGTCAGCCCTGCCTTACCTCGATCATCCATGCCGTCAACCCCCTTAGAGCATAGTATTTATTCACTAACCCCCCCACAGGACGTCCGCAAGCAACTCATCATGCAATGCCGACAAGCCAGGCTCCTGCCCAACGATCCCGCGGAATCGTCCATCCGCGACCCCTCGCCCATCCACATCCTGAAGAGCTTCCTGTGCGGCTTCTCGACGAACACGGCGCGTCTGGTCCCGGACGGCAGCTACCGCACCGTGGTGGGCAACCAGACGGTGGCGATCCACCCGTCGAGCGTGCTGTTCGGGAAGAAGATGGAGGCGATCATGTATAATGAGTTTGTGTTCACGAATCGGAGTTATGCGCGGGGCGTGAGTGCGGTGCAGATGGATTGGGTGGGTGAGGCGCTGGCGGGGTGAAATTTTTTTTTTGTGTTGTGAGCTTGTAGATATATGGTTGATAGACAGTAGATGCTAGACGGTGGATGGTGGATGATAGATGGCGGATAGAAGTATACCCAGGACTCACTCGAATAATATAATACCCAGAGTATAGGTTTACTTACAGATTGATCTGCGATCGTCAGCACTTACTTAGTACCTACCTACAAAGTACCGACTTACTACCACCTTAACTACCTAACCTAGAACCGTACAAAACCGTACAAAATACTACTACAAAGTACTCCGTCCCGTCTGTAAACAAACGAGGGGCAAGCTGATCTGAGCTGAGCGAGCTGAGCAGCACAACCCCCTTACCCCCAGCCAGCCAGCCAGCCAGCCAACCTCTCTCCCAATCAATCCTCAACTCCATCCATCCACGCAGGCCAGAACAAGCAAGAAAGACAACAACGACATGACATGACATGTCACTGATCTCACCCCCGGTGGAGCAGTCCAGTCCAGTCCAATCCAATCCAATCCAATCCAGCCGATGATCGATATCGATATTCGATATCGATGGGGTGATCGGCAGCCCAACCACCAGGATGGGATGCGTTGACTGGTGGAATACGAACTACGAACCAGGCAGGCGACTCGAATGGGGCGACAGAACTTGTCACAGAAGCCTGCTGGAAGCCTGGAACAGAGCAGAGCAAAACAGATTAAATTAGCGTTTAGCGTTTGGACGTGTTTGCCAGTCTGCGGGTCTGGCGAGTGCGACGGGGAAATGAGGTGAGGTGAGTTGGCAGGCAGTGGGTGGGCTGGTCGGAGTTCCCACGGAGGGCCTACGGTGGTGAGTTGGATCGGAGTGGGTTGGTAGGGAGAGATCGATCAGCCGATCGGCTGTGGTGGGATTGTTCGATAGTCCTTCGTTTGGCATCCTATGTAAGTATCTAGTGGGTGTGTATTGTGTTTATTCTGGATGGATAGGGAGACCATTGACAAGACTATTATGTGTAGTGGGAGGAATAGAGGAATAATCAAAAAAAAAAAAAAATTACTTTGTTTGCCTTGAAACGCGAGCCTTGAAACCGCGGCATCCATGAATGATACGGTATCGAACCAACTGAATTGAAGCAAGCGGTCGGCTGACGGCCATCATCCGGATTCCTTTCGTTTTCGTCCCGCTCCTCTGCTGCTCTGCTTGGGCTGCTTGAGCCTGAAGGTCTCTAGCCTGGAAATGTTCATTATTCGTTCTTATTTCTACTATCTACTCCCGCCTCAAGTCGAGTCGACAGGAAACCTGTCCAAACCATGGAGCATCGTCTCTCATCCTGAGCCTTTCTTATCAAACTCCCACGTCATCCCCGAATCATCAGCGGGCGGAGATCTCGCGTCAGCCACAACCACCGCTATCGGACCTTTCTCTGGCCGCTGTGGTTGCTTTTTCTGTCCGTCTGAAGTTTCTTGCTTTGCTCGCTCGAGGAATTAGACTTCTTCTCTCCTGCATCTTCGCAGACAGACAGACAGTCGGTCAATCAGTCAGTCAGTCAGTCAGTCGTCACGCGGGGAGAGATCCACCGCGATCGATAACCTCCTTATCTACCACCCACTACTACTGCTCCGGATTCTATCCACCATCTCAATTCTCAACTCTCGAATCTCGCAGCCAACTCATGGCGTTTCGTCTCCCGCCCCAAGTCCCCCGTCGTCGCCCCTCGTACTCGACCTCCCACCCCTTCCCCGCCCTCGATAACCCCTCCGCCCTCACCCAATTACCCGAGAACGACGCAACAGAATGGGTGCTCTTCTCGCCCACCCAGCAACCCTCGACCACCGCCCGCACCCACACCACCTCCACCGATCGCACCCCGCGCACGCAAGGGGTCTCCCCTCTCAGTGACTTCGGCTCGTTTGGCACCGCCACCCGGTCTGCCGTTGGCCCCCACAGCGAGATCCCCGATGACGCGCTCGAGGAGCCCTTGGACGACGACGGGACAGAACTAGACAGTCTAGACGACGGGCTGCACGCCTTCCGGGCCCCGTCCCTGGTCCCAGAGGACCAAGGGGCCCCCGCAGCCCTCCCAGCCCATGACGGACTCGGCAGTTTCCAGGCGTCGAGCCAGACCGTACAGAACCAGCTCTGGCAGCACGAGCAATACAACCCCCATCGAAGACCAGACCTGCAGCCCCGCCGTCGCTCCAGCGTCCAGCGGCAACTAGACGCCATCACAAACGAGGAAGAAGCCGACGTCGAGAAAGAGCGATGGCAACGCATCGAGAAATGGAGGATGGAACAAAGCCGTGTGCTCTTGCAGGAGATCGAGAAGGCGACGCGGAGACGGCGCGACAGCCGCGCCAGCGCCATCAGTGACCTGGTGTCTGCCTATCCGGCGGTTTCAGACGTTCCGGATGCGGTCCTGGAAACGCCCAGAGAGATGGAGTCTGCTTCTCCGACTGGGGAAGAAGAAGCAGGTGAAGATGAGTCCCTGTGGCAACGCATCACGCGGAAGGTGATCCAGGATCTGATCGGGATCGACGATTCGTTGCTGTCTGTCATTTTCGGGGAGTCTTTACCGTGCATTGAAGACGAGGTACACCACGCTGCGTCGGGAACAGATCATGCCCCGAACATCAGCGAGGTGCTGAATCAAGAACTCGGCTCTGTGCCGGAGGACCATCCCATCTGGCAGACCAAAGTGCTCCAACGCATCGCGCACGAGCTAGGCATCCTGGTCAACCAGCTCTGCGAACACCCTGGGGCTTTCACGACATATCTGAACATGTCTCACGAAATCCCCAACCAGTACGCCGGGATTCCTCTCGATCGCGTGCCCGAAGAGAGCAACGCGCCCTCCACCACACTCGACCCCGCCACACTAGAGACAGCAACCAACGCTGACTCCATCCTATCACCACACTTCTCCCCGACACTAGGCGATCCCAGCGGCCGCGAACATGCCGCGCAATGGGGCATCGAGGACGATGACTACACCCACCACCCCACCAACACCAAACCCGCCTTATCAGACGTGCTCTCCGAACCCGCCCGCGCCCAGCAAGAAAAAGAATACTGGGAGCGAGAACTCGACGTGATGATGGTCTTCCGGTACGTGCGCAACCGCTTCTCCCCCCGCGCCAGCACCACCGACCTACCATACCACGGCCACGGCTCCCCGCGCAGAGCCCCCCAGGACGCATCCCGTCGCGCAGCCATCATCCGCCAGCACCACCCCCTCGTCGCGCGCGCCCACTCGCGCTCCCAGGCCCAGATCCGTCGCCAGTCCCAGTACGCTTCCGGGCCGACGGGCGTCTCCTCCCCCATCCTGCGCCAGCACTTCCGTCGCCCCAGCTCCAGCTGCGCGAGCCAGAGCGCGAAGATGTCCGCTATCTCGAGCCGTCGTACTCTCACCGGCTCCAGTCGCAATTACTGGGATCTCGGCGGGAGTGTCGATAGCGGGAGTGCCGTCGCGCCTGCAGCTGGTCTGGGGGCGTGGGGGGAGGTGTGAATCCTACCATATACATTCCCATCCCATTCCATTCCATTACATCCCATTCTATCCCATCGACTCATACATGACCTTCACCTTCACCTTGACCGAATACATACTACATATCATACTACATGCTAGCCATCCCACCCACCCCCCTCATCCTCTCATCTATGTGAATAATCAACCAACCAACCAACCACAACCACAACAACAACAGCAAATCATAACGAAGGCGTCCCGGTGTCTGGCTTCGCGAACTACCTAACTGAACTGAACATTTACTTGACATATTGAATACTGAACTTTACTTTATTTTTATCTTTATTCCATACTTCTACTATACCTACCACCTGTGCTGCATGATATTTATCATGTATCATGTATCTGTGTATCTGTGTATCTGTTTTATGGGGCTGTGAACATATATATGCATTTACTTGTCTTGATCTACTTAGACGGGGACGGAGACGGTGATGGTGGTGATGATTCTTAGGATGGAGGTTTGGATAAACATCAATAGGTGTATTTCGGGGCGTCGGTGGGTGGTTAGTGGGTTTTTATGTGTGGGGAGGGGAGTAGATATTCATTATGAGAGAGGGTATTTAGGATTGATTGATGATAGGATTGGATATGGATATGGATATGGATATAGATATAGATAAAAGTAGATATGGATAGATCTCGTAGGTGGGTGGGATATAGTTGGTTAGTTTGTTCATCAATTGATATAACTCTAATAGTAATAATAGTGCAGGCTTGGATTGAAGTAACTAACTAATACTAGTAGTAGTAGTATTGGTCTTACCTTCCCTATCTACCCCATCTATATTGAATGGTCGAAGCTAGGAACCAGACACAGCCAGCATAAAATCAAGGTTCCATATTATCAGATTCATAATACCGCAGTGTTTACGAAATACCATTGGTATCCATATCACTGGTTTGCCTTGATGACGTTCCTGGCCTCCCCATTCAAGCAGGTCTTTGATCATTTTGAATATCAATTTAGGATCCCGTTGCATGAAAGAGAAGACACTTGCTGGTATTGGAATATCTTTCCTCCAGTATCGTAGTAGCAGGTTCCCCTTTCATCTAACAGGATACTAAAGATCTCTGGTGCGTGCCGCTCATTTCGCATTGTCGATGCGACCACTGGTTCTGACACGATGATGATCTCGCTTCCTTTTGCATTGAATAGAGACTCATTGAGCAGTGTAGGCCCATAATACTGAAATGTCGATTTCAGCCAGTCTTCTGAAACAAGGAAATAATCTGGAAGATGGAAAAAGGAAGATGGCTGCAGACCGCGCAGGCCGAAAGAGGCAGTCACGGGCAGGCGTAGGCAGGTGCTAACCTCAGGCACAGCTTCGCTGACAAAATCTATTAAATTGCTGAGCTACAGCCCATCTTTGAAACTGGCCAGTTTTCACCACTGATACATCAAACCTACGGAAGACGACTGCAAAGAAGCCAGAATCAGGTGTTGTGGTAGGATCAAAGATCCCCTTATATTATAATATCAATCAGCAATCAACAATCAACAATGCTAACGATCAACGCCATATCCCAGTCCTAATTTCAATTTGTTCCCATATCCCATAGCATAAATACCACATCACTGAATATCCACCTTAGTAACCATAACCACATCCGCCTCGACCTTCGGCAACTTCACACTGAGCACCCCATTCTCCATCTCTGCCGTGATGCCCTCAACATTAATCTCCACGGGCTGCGCCACGCTCCCCAGGCGCACCTTGCGATCAAACTCGCCAACGCGACGCTCATCCAGCGCCAATGTCTTCAGCACCTCCTCGCCCCCAGGCCGCTCAATCACTCCGCTGATGTTGAGCTCGAACTTCTTCGGATCCCACTTCACCTCCACCGCGTCCTTCTTGGCGCCGGGCAGAGACGCATGCACCACGAAAAACTCGGGGGTGTCGTAGACGTCGACTTCGGGGTGAAAGCCTTCGTCAAAGTGGTGCATCTTGTGGCCGAATGGGCCGAAGCCGAAGCCCCGATGGTGGTGCTTTCCGTGCTTTCCGTGCTTAAATCCCTTCATGGGTTTGCCTCCCCAGGGGGAGAAGCGGGCGCCGTGGCTGCCACGGCCGCCGCAGTGAGGGCCGGGTCCGAATCCGCCGTGGGGTCCGAAGCCCTTGTAGCCTCTGTGAAGGCCGAAGCCGTGGTGTCCAAAGTCGCGAGGTCCAAAGCCGTGGTGTCCGAAGCCGTGAGGTCCAAAGCCGCCGTGACCGTGAGGTCCAAACTCATGAGGTCCACCCCATGGTCCAAATTCAGCGGGATGGCCGAATCCCCAGGTTCCCGGTCCTCCAAATCCCTTGGGTCCATGACCATGGCGACCACGTCCGTGACCACCGCGTCCATGACCACCGCGTCCGCCCTTAGCGTGGAAACCGCCACCGTGTCGTCCATGTCCATGGCCTCTGTGGCCGCGGTGGGGCTCTGATCCACGGGGAGCATCGTTGTCGTTATTATCGTCATCAGAGGAGGAAGAAGCCTCCTCGTTTTCGTCGTTTGTCTCTTCTTGAGCGGTTTCCTCGTCGTCTTCAGTCTCGGATTCGCGGTGGTGACGGCGACCGTGGTGGTGAGGGCCATGGCGGCCGCGTTGGGCGAACTGGCCCCCGAAGGGGAAGCCTCCGGGGCCGGACTGGTCGGTCTCATCCCCGGGGATGTGGTTGTGGTTGAGACCAGCAAAGAACGGGTGGTCTTCCATGTTGGCGATCACGTCCCAGTAGGAACCGGGTTGGTTGAGTTGGCGGATGGAGGCCATGTTTGTGTTTGAGTATTGTTTTTGTTTTTGTAAGAAAATAGTATTGGTATGAGAAAGGGTTTGTAGGAAGTAGTAGAGTATTAGGAGAGAGGGTGGTAGATGATGAGTGAATGTAGGATTGAAGCAGCACAAATGACGACGACACCCGACCCTTTTATATCACTAGCTCCTTCCCTCTAGGCCACCCAGTTGGTCTGTGTCCGTGAACATCGCCACACTCACGGCCATTGCTGTTGTAATTGCCGTCCGTCTGTTTGGGTGGTGGTTCGCCACACCTCGGGGATACGCGGTGGTTCCTAAGTCCCGAGCTCGGACATCCTGTCTCCCGTCGGGATATACACCCGACCTAGTCTAGCGCAAAAATCAATGATGAGTCATTTTCGGGGTTAACGGGCCCAGTTACTCAAACTAGCATCCCAAACCGACGTCTCAGCCACGCATCCACTCTTGCGCCACCTCGCCAGCCCTATCCCCAGATTCGAGACCCGATCATCCCTGTCCGTGGCGCTTCCACATGCAAAGGACCGGGTGTGACGCAAATCTAGCCTCGTCTTTTCCGCATGAGTCAGACCTGGACACGTATACAACCATAACCGCTTCTCCGATTTGTTCTGGAGATATGGACTCGGCCTTTCGCGAAGACCTACCTACTGCAAAGCTCCTCCGAAGCTGAATTAATCCACCACATCGACACCTCCCCTCCACTCACACCTATCTCCCGGATATCCCGACTCTCTCCGAACATCATAGCCAAGCACTATTTTCGTGAAAAAAAAAAAAAAAAAGAATCGACGATGCCGTAAAAGCCATCAATGTCGCCAGCCAGCTCGGAATCCGATGCCCCTCCATCCAAAGAACAGTTGTGGGACAAGACGCATCACACTGTATTATGGACTGGATCGAGGGAGACACATGAGACGTTATCTGGCACAGGCACAGACTAGGTTGGATAGCATCCATCAACCTCGCTTTCCAACTCCGCCACTTCATCCACCGTCTCCGATCCCTCGCAACAGGCGAATGTCAGTCTTTCTACCTCGAAGACCGCTTCGGTCCTCCCCGCACATTCCACACCCCAAGAACTCGCCTACTTCCTCACTTTCTGGCAGAACTTCAGATCTTCAGATCCTTCCGACGGGTCATCCAAGAAGGCAAGCAAAGTCAGCCACCTCACTACCCAGAACAAGTATATACCACCAGAGGAGGAATTCGTCCTCACTCATCATGACCTCGCACCCTGTAACCTTCTCCTTGCTCCCTCGGGACAGCTTTGGCTGCTTGATTGGGATTTAACGGGCTTGTACCCTATCTCTTTCGAGTATGCGGCTATGCATAACTTCAATGTACCGGAGGCCTGGGGGCCGCTGACCCGTTGGCGATGGTATCTGTTTACGTGGATTTGCGGCGGGGTGGTATGCGCGTGAAGCGCGGGTTTTGAGGAGTAATAATTAGTCAAAGTTCACTCGATTCTCGGTGGGAAGGCGGTTCGAGTTGCTGAGTGGGAGAGGACCGTACAGGTATCCTGCTTCTGCGGACTGATTTTGGAGGTTTGGTGGTTCTCTGTACTAGGATCCAGCGTGAACATGGCTGGAAGTTCACTGGTCTATTTATGAACGGAAGAGGGGGGGAACAGGAGATGGGGATGAATGGATGCTCCTCTATGTACAGAGGGGTATTCCTTTCATAGGACAGTGTGTACGTTTATGGCCTAATTGGTTACAATCACTGCAACAGGGGGGGGCTGGCTTCGACCTCAGCTACAGTGTATATGAGGCAATTTCTGGCGAAGCACTAGTTGCACAAAGTAGAACCTTTCAATGAGCGGGAGATTATGGAAACTTAATAAAAATGAGGCATCCCGATTGATGCGAGTAAAGCCATCTACCTTCCGACTCAAAGGAATGCGATAGTGTCAACACGGACCCTTCAGAGAAGGCCTCCGCCTCCTCTAGCATTGAGATCCTCCAGGCACGCGCTCACATCTTCCATCTCCTGCAGAAGTCGAGCTGGGTCGTCACATTTTTGAGCTGTGTCAAAGTCGATCAGAATGGCCTTGGAATCGCGAATGAGGAAATTAAATCGATTTGTGTCCCCATGTCGGACTCCTAAGCCATGCAGCCGTGACAGTACCTTCCTGCAAGCCTCGACATCCTGGACAACTGCGTGCCGTGCATCGGTAATGTATTCCATCAGAAACCCAATAGCACGGCCCTCTTCAGTCAAGTGGCCAAGAAATTGGGGTCCAATGCCATGACCGGATATCCATTGATATGCTGTTGTTTCATTCTGAATGTATCGGATTTCCCAGGGAAAACGGGCGAATTTGGCGACGACAGCCCTGTCGAATGATGAACATTCGACTTCATATATCCCTGTTCGTATTTTTCGTCGGATTGATAGCTTCAAGTAATCGACATACGTGTCATGCCAGGTATTCTGAACCTCAGGCAATTGAGTCTGCTTGACTGTGACATGTGGTCGATGGTCGGCGCCTTTCGTAATCAAGGCATCATTCCAATCTCCGGGAGGTAGTTCAGGTAAGAGAGAGACCAATGAGGGACCGAAGCACATATCTTCAGTGCTGTAAATAAAGTACCAGGTTCAATGGTGATATATTTGATAGCATGACCGTCGACCAAGAGACGAAAAAAGCTTTGGTCTTCTTCGCCGACCTCTGCCTGAAGTAAATCAATTTTGGGTTGGTGAGCCATTTCGAAATGCAAATCAAATGTTCTGGGTCAGGTGAGGATTCTGGGATACAGCAGCGTGAGCTTAACCCTGTTGTCAAGTTCCGTTTGCACCTTGCGAGCTATTTATGCATTCATGGGACTTGATCGAGTAGTAGATTGAAGCTCCTGCTTTTCTTGCATGCTGTTGGCGGCGGCCGCTCCGGGGCCATGTGACCGCACCTCCCTGCGTAGCCGCCGCGGTCCCAAGGGAGATATCTCAGAGAAGGCTAAACTTAGATACTGATATAATAGTGGCTGAAATCACTGAAGATACATGCTAGGTATTCACCATCACTTCATATTTCACCGCATTTCAGCTTGATTGCAAACATGACGTCCACTTATAATTTCTCCACATTCTCTAACATGCCCCTGGAACCCTTTTATTGTATATTTGCGTCGCCAATGAAGCGGCCGACCGTAATGATGAGGTTTGCAAGCAACACAATGAACCCCCCATTCAGCGGTTGCCAATTGTTCTCCGAGGTACGGAGCAGATATGATGCTCATGAAGCGTCTGGGATTGGAACATTTTCCATCGACAGGACATTCAGATCTGGAACGGCGCACATAGATTTCACCTGTCCTGCCATAAGGCAGATCTGAATTATTTTTGTTCGACCTCTTTGATGCCATTTGCAATGCGTATTTTTCCATGGATTCGATTGAGCCATGGACAGCTACCCCAGCTTGTCGTGCAGAGGAATAATCAAATAAGATTTGGCGTCTTTGACATTTGATTCCTCTAGGCGAATAACGCCCAGGAAAGCTTCTCATACAGGGCAAGCCCGTCAAATTCTTGGAATGGAGTCCAAAGTGGATTGTCAGATCCTTCCGAAGCAAAGGAAGATAATCAACCTTCTCGGTGAAACATAGAAAACAGACGCGGCGACATGTGATCAAATATAGATACCCGCCAAAGTCGCCGCAGCTGTCACACTCCGCTGTACACAGTTGATTATATAACTCCTGACATGAAAAGAATCTTGCAGACTCTATGTTGAGACACCTACGAAACAATGCCGGTGCGTGTGTGAGGATCTGTCTATATTGTGGGATTGAGTCTGTTACCAGTCTGGCTTTCCTATTAACTTGTCGAAAATCAGTAAGCGACCGTATATCAAGCCGCATGAGCACCATTTGTATGATTTCAAGAGGAAGTCTGTCAAGAATCCTAAGCCCGTAGCGTGGAGGATGGTAGTTATTCAGTCTTTTGTTCGAACATGAAGCCTTGTCAATATCATCGAGAGTATTGTCTTTGATGTCGAGAAAGATATATGTTGAGTCACCTATCTTCTGGATTGCTGACATGATATTATCGTTATGAAATATCCAAGAACTTTGAGGCCTTTCAAAACCACTTGGGAGCAGAAAGAAAGACAAATTTTATTACTGACAAGTGAGTGAAGGAGCTGACGGATAGGTGTTGCGTAACACAGAAAAGTAAAATACTTAATAACTTGTTGTTCTTCCAGAATCACGTGAGATGTATTGACTAGTAATTTGCATGGCATAACTACAAAGCAGCAGACAGGAGGGTCAACAAGCAACTTGTGAAGTCAGAGCAGGTCATCAGGCGATTGTTCTCACTTGCTATATTCAATATTCTACCCAAACAATAGAGCAACTCCTCAAGATTATTGAAGAAGTAATCATCAGATTAAGGTAAGCAAATACTACTTAATGTTCTGTATAAACCACTACTGGCTACAGAATACACATCATAGACCACGTGGTGAACCTGGCTGATCATAATGATGATTTAACATTGACTTATGACATGACCTAAGGCCTTATCTCTAATTAGTCCAAATTCAGGAGATATTTGGGTCCGGACTTGGAGAAAGGGACTCACAATGATGAGAAAATTGGAGTGCTTGTTTGGTGCATTGATACATCTGGAAGGGCGCGCTCGGGAGGAACAGAAGGAAACATTACAGTACCGTACTTATAATCAAGATTATTTGTCCTCGATAGGACACAAATGGGGTTAACCACTGCGCAGTGTATTAATTAATAATTTTAGTTTGGCTGTTTGTTGATAAGAGTATCTTGCAGAACTCATCGATAATTTGGACTTACCAAATGTATGCCGTTTTTGGCTGCACTCGACGCCTTTTTCGGCAGTTATTTGGTAACATGTGACTTTTCTCTTTTGACATGTTCCCGCCCATCTAGATACTACCAGGCTGTCCAGACTCATAATCTTTGGGTTTCAGGTTCCTGAGAATCTGAGTTTGTCCCCTTTTACAGCTTTAGATACTTACCAAAGTGCTGCGTTCTAGAGTCCCCTACGCGTTAACACACCGCCGCTAGCCTCCTGTATCACCTGAAAACCCTTTTATAATAAACGATGTATATTTGGGCCGGACATCTTAGTGGCGACACTAGAGAAGCCGAAAAATTCACCATCAATGGCAGCTCGCCATCAGCACAGAATCAGACAGAAGGAAAGTACCTGGTACGTAGTGTGGCCATTCCAGACCAGATGACATATAACACCCACCCCTTCCTTCCTCGAGCATAAGTAAACAGACACACACACACACACACACAAAATTTCCACCGACAGGCATACATCTACAATGGCTGCAGCCACCTTCTCAACCGTCTCCCTGACGGTGCACGACCACCCCCTCCAACTCTCCACAATCCACCGCCCCGGCCCGAAACCCGCCATCCTCTTCCTCCACGGCTTCGGCTCCTGCAAAGAAGATCTACATGATCTGGTCTACCTCCCTTCCCTGCGCGACCACACCTTCATCGCCTACGATGCCCCGGGCTGCGGCGCCTCGCAGCACGAGGGCCCCAGCGCCGACCTGACCATCCCGTTCCTCGTGGCCACCGCCCAGGCCGTGCTCGTCCACTTCCACGTCTCCTCGTTCTACCTGATCGGCCACTCCACCGGCGCTCTGACCGCATTGATGCTCGCCAGCGCTCTCCAACAACAATCCCAACCTCAGAAATTCCACACACGCTCACACTCACAATCCCAATCCCAATCACAGCAAACCCTCAACCTCCTTGCCTTCATCAACATCGAAGGCATCCTCTCCCCGGAAAATTGCCCCTTCTCCCGCACCCTCTTCACATCCCTGACCTCCCCCGCCCACACGCAAGACCAAGAAGACCCTCTCCAGACCCTCACCACCGCCCTCACATCCACCCTCCCCCCAACCTACACCACCGGCTACGGCACCACCCAATTCACCACCCTCCTCCCGCACCGCATCCAGTCCCCCGCCATCATCCCCCTCGTGGCCTCCACCGTCGAGCTCTCGTGGAAGAATCTTCTGGGCAGGTTCATCCGCCTCTCCTGCCCCGTGATGTTCATGTTCGGCGACCAGAACCGCAACCTGTCGTTTCTGGGCCAGCTCGAGGAGAATAGCGTCGAGCTGGTGCGCATCCCCATGTGTGGCCATTTCCCAATGATTTCGAACCCGGCGAAGATGTTGAGGCGCGTGGAGGGGTTTTTGAGGGATTGGGGGGTGTGCGGGGGCGGGGAGTGGGAGTTTGAAGGGCCGTTGGGGAGTAGTGGGAGTGGGAGTGGGAATAGTGTGGAGTATTGAGGTGTTTTGGATGAGGGTTGTTCATATCTTGGTTTTGCTTTGTGAGGTTTATGATGTGCTTATTTTTGTTTGGGTGTGTGCTGAGAATTGAGGAACTGGAAGGAGGGAGGGGTATAGATTGAGTGAGCGTTTGCTTTTTTTTTTTTGTCGGAGTATATATTAATCATGAGTTATGATACATTTCAATTCAATAGATAGATAGATACTAGATAGAAACAACCTACTACATAGTAATACTTACTACGGCCATGAAAGTGCGACACATCATCTCGCGGAATCTCTAGTCGCAAATACATACATAGATACACACATACACAGAAATTTGCATTTATCCACGACCGCAGAAATCAAGACATCCGAATGACTTTATTACCCAGTATGTACTTACCACTTATCCACAATCAACCCCTGTCAGTAGTCAATGTGTACACAGATCACCGCAGTAGTACGACATTGACAGCATGACTCGCTGCTTAACGCTTCCTTAGTACCTGTCCTCCTAGCAATGGGAAGTCACCAATTACCACTAGCATGACCCTCGGACCTCGGAACAAGATTCCGCAGAGCCAGCCAGCCGGCTTACATACATGGCCACTGACTCGGAGAGCGTGCATCTTTATTTGATGCTACGGAGTAGATACATAGGAGTGGGAGTAAGTACTTTAGTCTGCCACGATGCGCCGCTAAGCAATCCGGTAAATTACTACAACACACGTTTTTGCCGAGGTTTTAGCGAGAGGGAGGAAAAAAGAAGAAGTGTGAGACGCGGGAGCTGAAGACAAGACCATCACCGACCGTCTGGACCGGCCGAATATGGTATGTACAGCTGTACTCCGTAAAAGTACAAGCCTGATTGACTACTAGTTGACTGAGTTACTACTGGCTGGCCGAGTGTCTGATTCGGTTAATGGTCACGCGACACTATCTGGGAGAAAAGGTGTTCCGTATAATAGGCTAAGCATGAAGATATAGTATTTGGTTTAATAATATCTTTACTCTTTAGGCTATATTACGACTGTGGACCGGTAGCACTAAGGAATTACCTATTTATCACCTACCTATCTGGGCATAGGCAGTATCATACCGGTTCTGTACCGAGTGGTTATCTACCATTTGGATAGATGCCGTTGGTTATCTAGTTTGAGTTTGATATGGCCCGTGGCAGCGGCACGGACACAACAACTACACGACACTACACTACACTAGTACATCTAGGTGCCACGACGGGAAGACAGACAGAGTGACAGCAGACAGACAGGCCGCAGACAGGCCGCATATCCAACCACTGACTACTATTTGGAATCAGTCCAAGTTGGTATTGGTATCAGTATTGGTAAATTGATAATACCTAGTGGAGATGTTGTATATGCCATGAAATGACAGCGTTTTGGACGTTCGTTCGGGCTGGGATTGCCAAACTGGATAATACCGGTGACATATCTATCTACCGATCTAGGTACTTACAACCCTACATAGTACTAGATGCTACCTACGGTGTACTAGTATCTATCGAGGATTGCTAGCGGATTTGTGTGTTGGGGTGAATATCGCGTAAGGGGGGGAGATAGATAGTATTTACTACCACCACTTAGATACTGCTTACTATTACTAGGTAGGTAGGTAGGTAGGTAGGTAGGTAGCCATCCACCCACTTTGGAGGTCTATAGTGCCGGATGCTGGACTACTCTGCTCCGTGGGAGTGGTGGTAGTAGTAGTAGTAGTAGCATTAGTGGTTGTGGTAAACTGATAGTAAAATTGTAGTAAAGACAATACTATAGCCAGGCAGACACCTACCTACCTACCTCTGATAGCCCGAATACTTAGTTATATATATATTTTGAAGAAAGATAAAAAAAATACTCGAGAATTCTGAATTCATGAAACTAACCCATCCAAGACAAATTCTGTTCTTTTTTTTTGTTTTGTGGTCTGATAACCGACAATGGCATTAATTGCAAAATAAAATAAGCTTCCAGGGCTCAGGAGATAATGCATGGAGCACGGACATCCCCCCGGTACTCCGTACTACTTACTTACTACCTAGATACCTTACTAGATCAAACTTGGAGAAGAAGGAAGAGAAATTTTAAAAAAAAAGAAAGCCAGAATTGGTGGGAATCCCACCAAACCATCCCCACTATGGTTATTGTTTATACGGATACGATCGGGCCAGTTCGGGGATTTTCGGAGCCGGTGGTGCATTTACCTACTTACTACCTACCTACTTAGTGTCTCACGGCCTGCCTATCTAAAGGTGCACGGGAAATATGTCATGGGGATTATTGCGTTGGGGGGAGGGTTGAGACTCGAGACAGGTGGGGTGGGTTTTGGGCTTGTAGTTGTCTGTCAGTGTGCTCCATATTTGGAGGCAATATTGTGCGTTTGTGAGGCAGATTCAACCCATGCATGAATGATAGAAGGTACATGGATGCTCTAAGCACGCACTTTACCGGGTGGAGGGTGGGTGGGGGAAGGGAAAATCGATGGGCTGGGTGGATGGAATAGGTGAGGTGCGTATGTATGCCCATGCAATAAAATCGTGGACACCAATCATTCTAGATGATATTATGGTGTAGGTAGGTAGCTAACAATCTGGTCATGGGAATATTGGATGGGATTTGCATTCCCGTGTATCTTACCTTACTTGGTGTTTCTTAACTCGATGATATTGGGTTGTTCTGGGTTTGCGTTTGGGAGACTTGCACTTTCTAGTATTATCTATCATGTTTTGGGGGAAAGAATGACAGCAAAAAAAAAGGGGAAGAAAATAAGAGAAAAATGTCATTTCTGTATTTTGGTCTCGTTTTCCCAGAACGTGAGTAGAAAAGCAAAAATAGACGATGAGGCTAGCATATAAGGGATACGGTGGGAGGGAGGTATATATAAAAGGCATAGGAAATATTGGCGCCGCGATGTCCTTGAGGAGCATGGATAGATAGCTATGCGGCTGAGGGATGGTGTTGGAACCTGGAGCACTTGTCGATCTGCAGGTACATGTCGATGTTTTTCGGGGTGGCTATCTGGGGTAACATGGAGTTCGTGAGGGCATGGGGATTGGGGAATTTGGACTGATATGCAGTGAATATTGGATGGACGGGCGAGGGATGGAATCGCCCCCGGACAGATATCAGGATCATAACGTCGATAATAGTCTTCTTACGAATACTCATACAGCTACTGAACTGAAGTCAGGAAACCGCGTTAATAACTCCGTCCCGGTGGAGACACTAAATGACATCAAAGAGAACAGACAGGTTGGGAATAATTCAATACGTCTCATTTTCCTGTCCTAAAGCGCTTTTTAACAATCCATCTAAGCCTGAGAAAGGTTCTCGTAGGCTTCGGGGAAACGCTTCATGTTCTCCTCAATGAGACCGTGGCCACGGAGGAACTGGACGTAGGCACCGTCCTGCTTGAGCTTGCCCTCCTGGCGGAGCTGGACGTAGTCCTCACGGCGGACGGGGGTGAAACCCCAGTTCTTGGAGACGACGATCTTTTGGCGACCGGGGAACTTGTACATGGAGCGGCGGAGAGCCTCGATGGCAGCGGCACGGTTGGCGTCACGGGTGCGGACGGACAGAATGATCTGGCCGATGTTCACACGGGCGACAACACCCTGGGGCTTACCGAAGGCACCACGCATACCAGTCTGGAGACGATCGGCTCCGGCACAGGACAACATCTTGTTGATACGGACGACGTGGAAGGGGTGCACACGGACACGGAGGTGGAAACCTTCCTTACCACCGGTCTTGACGAGGTACCTGCGTGTCTTGGTTAGAGGTCATGTTCGTTGGGCCTGGCAGGACAGGAGACAGCGGCGGCATACTTGTTGGCACAGATACGGGCGGCTTCGAGGGCCTCGGAGGACAGCTGCTCGTACTCGTTGGAGACGAGGTGAACGCAGAGGGGGAAGTCATCGACGCTGGCCTTCTTACGTCCCAGATCGAAGATACGAATCTTGGGGTCGGGAACACCACGGTTGAACCGGGACTTAGGGTAGGGCTGTCATTCGGGCATCAAGTCAGTATTCATCTCCATGTTGGAACAAATTCTTTCTCCATCGAAGAAGATTTCTTCTTTGCATCAAGTCCATCCCACATCCGCCCAGTCGTCCGCGGTCGCGTATCCCCTCATCGTCACGGCTCCCCACAAGCGAGATCCCGACCGGAAAATCCACAAAGACACACAAAAATCCATCAAGCGATCGAACGCACCTTGTTCTTGCAGTAGCGGTAACATCTCGCGGGACGGCGGGCCATTGTGAGTGCTGGAGGTGTCGGTGATGCACTTCCTGCGAACGGTGAGGTTGTCGAAAAAGCTGGTGTCGGGAGGCGAAAGGGAAGGGGATTATGGGCGCAGGCACTTTCGCCGTTGATTTCCAAGCAAGCGCCCGCTACCGAGTGGCACAGCCCTAAACCCTACCCTCTCCGCCAATCACCGCCCGCAGCCGCTATGACGCATTTGTCAGACTGCCGTCGACTCATTCTGCCATCTGTGATATCTAGTCTACTATCAGGATCACGATGAGGCAAATCTGCGGGTTTAAGTGAGATGGCAATCCTGCTCTCAGCTAGTGCTTATTGGAGTCATTCGAGTGACTCATTTGGATCGACCCTCTTTACGGTTTTCACCAATCGCCGGGACGCGGCCGCGCTTTCCACTATCCACTCAATCCTACAGACTACGCTATGTAGAAACCAATGTAGATGAAAGTTGTTCTGTCATTATCTAAATCGTGCCGTGACGTATCATGGCATTCCACCGTTCAGACATAACATGAATTCCTTGACCAAGCTTTACACCTACTGGCCGGTGAGGATGTCGGAGTCACCGGCATCGAGGACGGTCATGGTGGAAGTGCGGAAGAGCTTACCGCAGGCGGTACCGAGCTCGATCTGTACGTCTGCGTTAGCAATCTACTCAAGGACTATGTGGTGGATGTCCTGGCAGTGTTCCGAGACCCAGGGTCGAGAAGCCTGCCTCCGGACATGTCCCGAGCGAGAAATACGGCGGTTGCACTCACGTTGTTACCAGAGAAGTGGTGAACGGGGGCCTTGGCGAGCATGGCGTAGTACTCGAGCTCACTCTTGCGGAGGGGAGGAGTGTTGGCGGCGATGATGACCAGCTTGGCCTTGCCGGACTGTTGACGATTGATTAGTTACCGTTCACCCGTCTGCTGTGTCGAGCCGTGCAGTGTCTCCTGCACTCCCTTCTGGTGTACTCACGCGGAGGGTCTTGATGGTGGACTTGTATCCAAGGGTGACTGGATAAATCGTTAGCGACCGGCTAATCTATCAAGGTTGAAAAATTCCAATCATACCCTTTCCGGACTTCATCACAAGCGCCAGGCGCGAGTTGATGGTGTCACCGCTCTTCTTAGTCTTGTTGGCCATCGTTGCGCTGTGGAAGTTGATCTAAACTTCTGCATGATCAAATTGAATCAGCATTGGTTCGCTCCCATTTTTTAAGCAAGCACTGCCGATAATGCAACCGCTCCATCTCGACCGCGACAGAAAAACCTGACGGCCGTCGAGAGAAGCGGGCAATCAGCCGTAGCTTGTGGGAGAGTACCACATACCTAAGGTTGAATGTGGTGTCGAGAAGTGCGCTCCGGCCTAGTCTTTGAGATTGAGATGGTTAGAGAAAACCCATCACCCGTTTTTTTGTGGGTTTGCCAAATCTCGGATAGGAATTCTCCGCTCCGCCGCTGCTGACTCATCCGGTTTCCGGGCTGGAAAATTACATACCAGCGTTACATGCGGGTATCTGAAACCCGGCGGGACTCGTGCTCTGTAGATCGACGCCCGACAACCAGTATCTTTAAGATTACGCGTGGCGAGAATCCATACGATGACATCGATGAGTGTCTCCGGTGTATGTCTAGCATCGGCCTGCGATGCCTATGTAAATGAAAGGCCAGCGCTAGCAGTGCTTCCAGGTATTGTTGGCTCAGTGTTAACTTTCTGCCCCGAATTCAGCCGTTCACCACCACCCGAACCACGTTGGTTGATATCAATAGCTCACTTTGTGGACTCGTGGATCAGAATATAGGCTTGGGAAACCCCATTCAGACTTCAGACTTGAGATTGAAAGCTCGGTCTTCGAAGCGGTTGCCATGATGATATTGGAAAGAACGTGTAACTCAGGTTGTGGGTCATTCACGACAAGCTGGAAGAAGCCTACTACAAGTTGTCTAATTTACCTCGACAGCTGGTGACAGTCTGACTTTAGTAGCGTGTTGCTGCGAAATCCCAGTCAATCAAGCAACTGCCCGCAAGCTTGCTGCGCTGTCAAGTGGACCAGAGCCGATCATTGGTGTGCACGGCGGTCTTCTATTAACCAGCCAGTTTCACCATTGCGTTTCAAGCCAAGCTGCTATATTGCTTGAGTGTTGTTTTCCGATCAGCAAGTCTTCCTTGAATCTCCGGGCGACCTTGAGTGTGAGAAGGTTATTCCTCCTATGACACTTGAACAGTGATACTCTCGATCACTTCGCAGGAGCATGGCCTGTAACTGGCTACTATGGGCACCGCCTGAGTGGGAAGGTAGATGATGTTTCACCACTGACACTATGTCATCGTCACTTCGGAGCATACCGCGCTGGTGCCCTTCACTTGTTAGCTTCCAACTCACTTGGCATCTCTCTCGTGCCCTGTGCTGGCATGGGACATGTCCAGAGACTGTAGACCTTGTAGCTATGGGCTGTAAGGCCAAACTATGAACTTGGAATAGGAGACTAAGTGCTAAGGTGTTGCCAACATGATACTGGTCTGGACGCTATCCATCGCTTCCTGTGATTTCTCCGCGGCCTTGGGAGAGGTTGACAAGCTCTTATGGTTGACGCTCTGACAATATTATTATCTGGCGGATATTCGGAAGACGCACAGATGTTCAATTCCCTTGTTTGGCACCCATCACCGGCCGAAGCATATAGATTGGGTGGCGAGTAGAAAGGGGGAAAGATATACAAGCACAGTGCATTCTGTCTGTAGATTGCAATTTAACACCTTCAACCGACCTTGTGTCTTCAGAATTAATAGGGGTAGCTGGAACTAATAGTTCCGGTTGAGTGGTCAGGCCATGATGTTTGTAGATTCCCAAAGGGGCGCCGGGGTGGCATATCTCCATGAATATATAGGTGGTGTCAGCACGTCAGTAACCGGATAATATCGCCTGGGAATTACCAATCAAATACAGGATAACTACTATTCTAACTGAACTCTTAAACTGGAGAATGTTATGCATACAGCATATCTACTGCAATTGCCTGTATATAACCGACTGCTAATTCCGCACCGTAGAGCAGGTAAATGCAGTTAAGTATAAAGATTGATCCTCACTTCCGCCCCAAGTATAAGGTAGCAATCAAGTAATCAGTACTCTGGGAGCCATGGTTATCGACCTCCTACTCCACTCTACGCATATTACTATTTCCATCGAGTTATTGTCCGGTTGCCTAGATATGCCTCCGGTGCCTGAATAACGCATCGAGCCTTACATCAGGGCTCCGAAGACAGCCCGCTGATCCCGATGCATGGCCGGAAACCGCAACTGCGGACGTGGCGCAGGATGGAAATCTGTCCGCGCCCCCCCCCCCCCCCCTGAGGCCGGAAATCCATGATTGGGTGGCAAGGATGGTTGCGAAGAGGAATACGATGGCTGCTTGCCTTAGCCTGACAGATGGCTGGACCCTGTGCGCCGCAAGGAACCCAAGGGGGAGGTGGTGCTATCTTTATCGTTGCCATGTGTTGTTCGCCGGTCGCCCAGGTGAGGACGGGTTTGTTTGGGGTTGGTGAGGGGAGGGGGGATGTCCTTGAGCTGCAGTGGGATGGATGCCATGGCAGCACCTACATTGCATGGAGTATGGAGTACGGAGTACATCACACATGATCTGTAGTTCTTTGTAACAACCAGAGAGCAGTGTAACTCCCATTTAGTAGGCAGATGGATGAGCGATTATTCGAGATCTCGAAAAAGGGGATGACCGTGTAACAGGTCGTATGCAATACCGTTAGTCCCATGGGACGGAGGGTAATAGATTGTCCCGAGTGGGAAATCCCCAGGCCAACCTGGCCCAACTGGGGCCGGGCACGGCGTTATGTACGGTAAAGCCGGCCGGTCATACAGGCCGGGGCCTAAGACCACTAACATGCCCCAATACGGCCGTTCCCATCGTGCCCATCAACCCAATCGTCAATTTATGCCGTCCGCCTGTTGTGCCCATCAGTTGCGTTGGTGACCTTCCTACTCTCCTCCTCCCTCATGCTCATGCTGCTCGGAATCATCCCTCACTTGCCATCTCTCCTCCACTGCCTATCCCCCCTCTCCCCAAGTCCACCGATCAACATCATCCCTCCGCCATCCTTGCGTGTTGCCGGCGAGATCCTTCTCTGCTTGCCCGGAGGCTAGCCGTGGCCAGCCATTCCAACTAAGTAAACCATCCCCCACCCGAGATAGTTACCTAGTGCCCACTGTGTTTTGACCGCTACTACAACTACTCCTCGGCGTCCGTTCCTTAAATTTATCGACTTAATTTCCCGGCCGTTTCGACGCAGTTTTAATCCCCAGAGGCCTTTCTTCCCCGTTCCCCTGTCTGGGTTGCTTTGCATCTCTGACACTCAACCCTACCGCTTCCTCCACAGTCGGTGAACATGTCGTCTGCGACACCTCGCAAGCCCGGCACCCCGGGCCATTCCGCCAGATCATCCACTGCAGAGACTCATGCGGCCAACGGGGCCTCATCGCGACCGCACTCCCGGTCTCCCAGTACGTCGACAAATGGCGTCTCTCGCTCCCCCTCCCTCCGTGCCTCGACCCCCGTCTCCGCGCGGGCTGCAGCCCGGAAGCCGGGGCGGTCCAACCTAAGCACCTCCAGTGCCCCGAAGGTGACACCCAACGCCTCCGAGGAGGAGGCCCGCGCTCAGAACGCGGCTCTCATCGACGACCTCAAGGAGCAGCTGCAGAAGGCTGAGACCGCCTCCGAGCAATACCGCAAGCAGCTGGGCGTTCTTCAGATGCGGCTCGACGAAGCGGTCAGCGAACAGGGCAAGCTGGAGGACCAGAGCCACGAGAGGGATAGTAAGGTCGAGGCCCTGAATGGCGAGATCCGTGACCATGTCCGCCAGATTCGCGATCTGGAGCAGGCACATGAACTCGAGCGGAACGCCATGTTGCAAGAGAAGGAGCAACAAGCCAGTCGGGAGGAAGAGATGCAGGCCACCATCCAGCGCCTGAAGGAATCCCTGGCCCAGAAGGAGCGAAACGCCGATGCCGATAAAAGTGTGTACCGCTCTTGTACGAAGATGTCTTTTCTTCTTATTCTCTTCGGTCGAGGTGTGATCGCTGCTAACACGTTGCTTTAGCCAGTTTCCGCAACCGAGCGTCACCGGACGTCGATGGACAATTCGCGCCCTCTTCCCAGATTGAGCGGAGCCCTTCACGGAATAACTCGAAGCTGCTTCTGCAGAAGGATAAGCTGATCGAGTCTCTTCGCCTCGAGTTGGCGGAGTCTCAGATCAAGCTCGTCGAAATGGAGAATAAGGGTGGTGGCAGACAGCGCGAGCTGGAGAAGGAGCTTCTGGAAGCCCGTATGGCCAACGCCCGCTTGATGGAGGACAACGAGAGCTACCAGTTGCTTCTCAGCGAGAGAACCCTGAACGGTGACTTCACCAAGGGCGACTTCATGCGCGAAGTCCACCCCGACACTGCCGACGAGGCCACCGAGGCTGGCAGTGGATTGGGCTCCTTGGCCGATGAGCTCGAATCTGTCGATGCCAGGGCTGAGACGGATCACGCACGCAAGCTTGAGCTGGAAGTCAAGGCCCTGAAGGACCAGAACAAGGCCCTCACCCTTTACATCGAGCGCATCATCAGCCGGCTCCTGCAGCACGACGGGTTTGAGACTATTTTGGACAAGAATGAAAACGACCCCCCATCCAAGAGAGGAGCTGCCAGCAACAAAGAGCTCCCGCCAACCCCGCCCGAGAAGGATGACGCCGCATCGCAAACCTTCGTCCAGAGAGCCCGGTCAGTCGTGGGGGCCCCGATCCCAGCACGGCCTATTCATTTGGCCCAGCCACGGTCGCGCCCCACCAGCTATATGCCACCTCCGACCAGCATGCCCACCGCTCACGAAAACCCGGAGACAGCCCCCAGCATTCCCCTTCGTGCTCAGTCAATCCGCGGTCACCGTCGGACAAGGTCCGAGCAGACCGATCCCGGAGCCGCCTCTGTCGTCGGGCAGATGTATCGGGGACGCAACTCGGGTGGGCCTATCAGCCCTACTCTCATGGGACCTGGCAACCGCCAAAGCGCATTCTCTGGGGCGAGCATCATGTCGAGCATGAGCACCGGTGGCCGTGCCCCGTCTCTCTCTAGCCAGTTGGAGCACAGCCGCTTGAGCAGCTCAGACAGTGTGACGAGCGACCCGGCTGGCGATACGGCATCTACGGGTGCGACCTCGAACTCCCCTCGCTCCAGCACCGGCATGACCAACTACACTGGAGCCGTGATGACCCAGAATAAATTGCGCCCTCTGCGGCTTGTCAGCGAAACCCGAGCGGCCGAGGAAGAGGACGCCGCTCGCAAGAAGGCGAACCGTGGAAGCTGGATTTCGTGGTTTAACCGTCCCAACCCCACTGAGGCCGGCCAGTCTCCCATCTGAGCGCCATCGCCTCGGGATAATTGGGGATACTCTCTCCTCCGCCTTCCAGGGAAATCAATACTCTGCTCCTTGTGTTATTCGCAGTTAATGCGCATGATCTTCTCTGCCCTCGACGAACAGGGCCATGGCCGCTACGGTTGGATTATATCATTCTTCTTCGGTGTTGATCATCACCATGGTGTTGAGCCGATAATGGCCCAGAATGCACTTTTGAGCATCTGGCACTTTTCGCGTCCATTTTATTGAAACCCCTATGTTTTATTTTTTATTTTATTTTTTTGGAAACGTGATAGACGACCACATCCTTTTGAAACTTTATGATGCCAGCCATGGGTATTGCTTGGACACTCCTTTCACCCTCAACAGGGAATGTCATATTCCTGGACGCGACGATCCTTGCTTATCTGCTTATGCCCCTCCTTCCTTGATGAACATACATATGGTTTATATCCGCCGTTCACAGAGTGAAATTGTCTTGTGATATTTGTCGTTAATGATCTGTTTTAGAAACCTGTACTATAGAGGTAGTAAATACATACTTGCTCGCTCATGATTTTCTGATGATATTCGTTCCGTTAATATATGAACCTAAATAAAGAAAGTAAACGTATCGTAATGAATTTTTTGGGGTGGGTGGTATAGTCCGGAACAACGTTCCAGCGGCGGCCGGATTGCGGCCAGGTTGACGGTAAATAGTTGGAGCCCCGAATGGACCCCCGGAGCTGTCAGTTACCAGTCACCACGTTACCAGAACCCAATTGCCCACCATGACCGGCTCTCTCTCCCTCTTCTCCGTCAATGCCGTCCTGTTGATGTCGGCCGACGATGGCTCTCGCATCTTCACCAAGTACTACTCGCCTCCTCACCCCCCGGCCGGTGCTGCCCCCAACTCGACCGATTACCCCGGAGCGAACCCGTATCCCACCCTGAAAGACCAGAAGGCCTTCGAGCAGGGTCTCCTCGAGAAGACCAACAAGCAGACCAGCGATGTCATCCTGTACGACAACCGGATAGTCGTCTTCAAGATGGAGAGCGACGTGATGCTGTATGTGGTGGGAAGCGCCGACGAGAACGAAGTGCTGCTCTACAACGTTGTCCTGTCGCTACGGGATGCCCTGGGAATCCTCTTCAAGTACGCCCCTCCCCCCCTTCCCCATCCCCTGGTCCCCGATTACCCCAGTCCGTTTGCTAACCAACTTCTCTCCGTCTAGGGGCGCCACCGACAAGCGCACCATCGTCGAGAACTACGACCTGGTCGCCCTGGCCATCGACGAGCTCATCGACGACGGCATCATCCTCGAGACCGACCCCGTGCTGATCGCCTCGCGCGTGAGCCGCGCCCCCGCCCCCGATGCGCCCAACCTCAAGAGCATCGACTTGACCGAACAGGGTCTGCTCAATGCCTGGGAGCTTGGCAAGCGGCGTCTGGCCGAGGGCTTGCGCCAGATGTAAATGGGGCGGTTGTCTGTGGATCAACGTTGACGGGTTCCCATTTCCATTGAGGCGATTCTTTTCTTTCTTTCTGTCCATTACCTACATGTCTTGTTGTCTTATCTGGCTGGTCCTGGCGTGGTATTGTGCGCATTGTTCACGGTTTAATTATGTCTTTTTTTTTTCTCTTGTACCCCTTCTCTTTTACAACATTATTGGCCCTGTATTGGGGTTGCAGAGGCTCGAGGTACCCATAGATATCCTCCTTGCTGTTTCAAAGCGAGAATATTGTGCTGTTAAAAGTCGGTGGTGAGGGGGTGTCCGTGGGGATGTTCGTATGAAGATTTGGCCATGTGAAGGTAGAGATATAGCGAGGGTATTCCGCGGTATGCAGAGACTCGCCCAGCATCGTAGTGCAAGGGGAGATAAGCTCCTTCGTGCAGAGTCGGGGGGGGGGGGTGAAAGCGATGGATCACGATGGAAAAGCAACGCATCGGCAGGCAGAAAACCGCCCCGCATACGTCACGCCCCGACAGTTGCAAAACTCTTGAGCCACCGCCACGACTCCTGCGTAACATACTCGCTTCCCTGCAGGACAAGAGAGAGAGAGAGACACCCATTTAGAAGATGAAACAGAGATTCTCATCCTTGGATGTCAAGGTTTGTCGCCTGCGCCGTCCCCCCTCGCCGCCCACTCACTCACTCACTCAATCATGCCAGGTCATCTCCCAGGAACTCGCCTCGCAGTTAGTCAACCTGCGAGTTTCGAACATCTACGACCTCTCCTCCGTATGTCGCTCCTGTCGCCATCCCAGCCGTCACCCTCCAGCTAATTAGACTTCTTCATTGCTCAACAGCGAGTCTTCCTCTTCAAACTCGCCAAACCCGACCACCGCAAGCAACTGGTCATCGACTCGGGCTTCCGCTGCCATGTCACGCAATACTCGCGCGCCACAGCGACCACCCCCTCGCCATTCGTGACGCGCCTGCGCAAATTCCTCAAATCCCGCCGTATCACCTCCGTCGCCCAGATCGGCACCGACCGCATCATCGACTTCTCCTTCAGCGATGGCGTCTACCACCTGTTCCTCGAGTTCTTCGCCGGCGGAAACATCATCCTCACCGACCGCGAATACAACATCCTCGCGCTGTTCCGGCAGGTCCCCGCCGGCGAGGACGGCCAGGAGGAGACCCGCGTTGGCTTGCCCTACACGGTGACCAATAAGCAGAATTACCATGGTATCCCTGATATCACGCTCGAGCGGGTGAGGGAGACGGTGGAGAAGGCGAAGGCCCTGTTTGCGAAGGAGGACGGCGCGCCGAAGAAGTCCAAGAAGAGGAATGTCGATGTGCTGAGGAAGGCTCTGTCGCAGGGTTTTCCCGAGTATCCGCCGCTCTTGCTGGATCATGCGTTTGCCGTGAAAGAGTTTGATCCCGCGACTCCGCTTGACCGGGTCTTGGGGGATGAGGCGCTCTTGCAGGAGGTGGTGGCGGTGTTGGAGGAGGCGAGGACGGAGAATACCAAGTTGTCTGTTGTGAAGAATCATCCCGGGTATATTGTTGCCAAGGAGGATGCTCGATCTGTGGCGTCGGCCGAGGGGAAGGAGGATGCGAAGAAGGCGCTTTATGAGGATTTCCACCCCTTCAAGCCCCGTCAGTTTGAGGGGAAACCGGGCGTGACGATCCTGGAGTTCGAGTCCTTCAACGCTACGGTGGATGAGTATTACTCGTCGATCGAGACGCAGAAGCTAGAGTCCCGGCTTACGGAGCGCGAGGAGGCCGCGAAGAAGAAGCTCGATGCGGTCAGACAGGAGCATTCCAAGCGCATCGGTGCCCTGAAAGATGCCCAGGAGTTGCATATTCGCAAGGCGGGCGCCATTGAGGACAATGTCTACCGGGTGAAGGAGGCCATGGATGCCGTTAATGGGCTGATTGCGCAGGGGATGGATTGGGTGGAAATCGCCCGGCTGATTGAGATGGAGCAGGGCCGGGGGAACCCCGTGGCCAGTGTGATTAAGTTGCCGTTGAAGCTTCACGAGAATACTATAACACTGGTTCTGGGAGAGGCGGGTGAAGAGCAGGATGAGGGCGATGCGCTGTTTTCGGATGATGAGTCGGCGTCGGAGGACGAGGAGGAGGAAGCTGAGAAACAGGCTCAGCGGGAGTCGAAGGCGCTGACTGTTGATATTGATCTTGGGCTGTCGCCTTGGGCTAATGCGACGCAGTACTACGAACAGAAGAAGGTGGCTGCTGTCAAAGAGCAGAGAACCACGCAGTCCTCGACCAAGGCGCTCAAGAGCCACGAGAAGAAAGTGACAGAGGATTTGAAGAAGAATCTGAAGCAGGAGAAGCAGGTTCTTCGGCCTGCTAGGAAGCTTTTCTGGTTCGAGAAGTTCCTCTTCTTTATTTCGTCGGAGGGATACCTGGTGCTAGGGTATGTGTGCTGTTCTCTTCTTATATGTTCTGATCCCGTCTAACTTTCTCAGTGGCCGCGACGCTATGCAGAGCGAGACCCTCTACCGCCGTTATCTGAAGCCAGGTGACATCTTCGTGCATGCGGATCTAGAAGGCGCTACGCCTATGATCGTGAAGAACCGAGCGAGCTCGGCCAACGCACCCATCCCTCCTAGTACTCTCTCACAGGCTGGTAACCTCTGTGTTGCCACGTCCAGCGCTTGGGACTCCAAGGCCGTCATGTCAGCATACTGGGTCAACGCAAACCAGGTCACCAAGACTACGACGGGCGGCCTTCTCCCCACCGGCGAGTTCAATGTCAAGGGCGAGAAGAATTTCTTGGCCCCTTCACAGCTTGTCCTGGGATTTGCGGTGATGTTCCAGGTCAGTAAGGAAAGTCTCCGAAACCACAAGACCCTCCGATTCGAGGAGCCTGTGGCCGCGGATGTGTCTGCGGGGGCAGCTGAGCCCGGAAATGAGGTCGAGGAGAAGCAGCCTGTCGAGCAGAAGACGGATGCCGAGCCTGAGAGCCCGGTTGAAGCCCAAGAAAAAAAGCAGAGCGCGGAATCTGAGGAGGTTGAAAATGATATCACTGTTCCAGCCAGGAACCCGTTGCAACGCGGGTCATCTGAGCCTGTTCAGAGACTGGATGAACCCCAGGATGAACCAGACGATGAAAACGACGAAGAGCCAGAATCGCCGGATGGTGACCACGAGGAGACAGAAACAACCCAGACGGTAGCAGATGAAGCGAATGATGAAGAGGGCACGGCCTCACAACCTCAGGATAAGCGACAGCTGTCTCCCAAAGAAAGACGTCAGCTCAGAAAAGGAAAGCCCATCGACACGCCGGATTCTGGTGCCAAGGAATCCAAAGAATCCGAGGAGAGTCAATTACTCGCAACCCACGGGAACGGGACTAAATCAACCAACACCAGGCAGGTGATCCCTCCTACTCGGGGCAAGAAGGCCAAGGCAAAGAAGGCAGCAGCCAAGTATGCGGACCAGGACGATGAGGACCGTGAATTGGCTCTGCGTTTGCTGGGCGCCAAGAGCGCCAAAGCTGAAAAGGCTGCCGCAGAGGCTGAGGCCAAGGTCAACCGCCAAAAAGAGGCCGAGGAGCAGAAGAAACGCCGTCGCGCCCAGCATGAACGTGCCGCGGAAGCGGAGCGTAAACGTCAGGCTCTCTTTGAAGAAGGCGGTGCCGATGAGGACGAAGACACCGTCGCCGCAGAGGCAGCGGACATGGAATGGATCCCCGCGCTGATCGGCACTCCTCACGTCGACGATGAGATCCTTGCTGCCATCCCCGTATGTGCTCCGTGGGCCGCCCTGGGCCGGTACAAGTACCGAACCAAGCTGCAGCCCGGCGCGGTGAAGAAGGGCAAGGCTGTCAAGGAGATTATAGGGCGGTGGGTTGCGGAGACGACCACCGGTAAGGTCAAGAAGGAGCACGCCGAAGACGCTGGGATTGACCGTGCGGCGGCGGAGAAGCTCCGCGCCCAGGAAGGAGACTTGCTCAAGGGGTGGAAGGATACGGAGGTCATCAACACTGTGCCCGTTGGCAAGGTCCGCATCATGGGCGGAGCGGCGACCAGTGGAGGTGACAAGGGCAAGGGCAAGGGTGGTGGTGGTGGTGGGGTGGGGGTGGCAATCGGGGAGGGAAGGGAGGGAAGGGAGGGAAGAAGAAATAGTGTTCTGGAATTCTTTAATTGGATGTTTGTCCATGATAGATATAGATACTGATTGGTGATACCCTGGACCCGGCTGTGGTTGGGTTGATTGGCAATGCAACCTGGAATCTGCCTGTGTGCAAAAGTAAGTAGTACAGCGCTGTATTGCTTGAAGAAGAAATAAGATGGACAGGGTATTTATCCCCCTCGACTATGACATAGAGTAGATCCAGTGCTCTTGGCAGGGACCCTGGTTTCCACCATGACCATCTCTTGGATAGTTTTGTGCATACCTCTACTGTGTTAGTAGATATACACAGTAATTTATATCAGATAAAATGACAGAACTCGACAGTCGCACTCCCATGCCATCGGATCATGGCCAAAACAAGATCTGGACTGCCCCTGCTTAGTCACCGCCAACCGACGTCATCACGAAGATTTTCGAGGCGATCTTCGCAACCATCCAAATATTCTTGAAATCACAATTGTCTCCGGCTGCAATCGCGCGGGTCGGACAAGACTGGTGGAGTACTCGACGAGACTGACAGGAGACTCCCGGAGCTGCCCTGGTCGATGAGCGAATAGACTCGACTCGACCTGCCCTCCCCCCACCACCGCGAACAATTTTCCCTGCCTGACTCACCGGCTGCGCACCCCGCGATCTTTCTCCCCATCAGTCAAGCTGGTTTTGCTCTTCTCCCGCCTCGTCGCTGGCGGTCTCCCGCGCAGCTTTGCCAGGTTCTTCGCTTCCTCCACCACCATGACGCCCAACGCGTCCACCCGTATCGTGTCCGTCCGCCGACTCAACAAGGAAGGCCCCGGGGATCGATCCCTCGCGGAGTGGTGGACCAGCGAGCGCGACAACAAGACCCCCGAATCCGTCGCCATCGAGGAAGCCGCCCATCTCCTCCGCACCAGCGACATCCCCGTCGCCTTTCCTACAGAGACGGTGTACGGTCTGGGGGCAGATGCCACGCGCAGTGATGCCGTGCAAGGGATCTACAAGGCGAAGCAGCGGCCGTCCGACAACCCGTTGATCATCCACGTCGATTCGCTGCAGATGTTGGAGCGCCTCCTCAACCCCGTGCAGGAGAGCCCAACCCGCGTCACCAAGACCGCTACGAACGGCATCCCCTCCATCTACGAACCCCTGATCTCGCGCTTCTGGCCCGGCCCCCTCACCATCCTCCTCCACAACCCCTCCGGCTCTCCCCTCGCGAAGGAGGTCACCTCGAAGCTCACCACATTCGGCGCGCGCATGCCCTCGTCACCCCTCGCACGCCTGCTGATCCACGTCGCCGACCGGCCCCTGGCGGCTCCCTCCGCCAACGCATCCACCAAGCCCTCCCCCACCGCAGCGGAGCACGTATACCACGACCTGGAGGGTCGCATCGAGCTGATCCTAGACGGCGGGTCCTGCGGCGTGGGCGTGGAAAGCACCGTGGTCGACGGACTATCCAACCCCCCGGCAGTCCTTCGACCGGGCGGGATCGGCATCGAAGAGATCCGGGAGTGTCCCGGGTGGGAGAACGTGGTGCTCGGCTACCACGACGGCACGCTCGACGTGAAGGAGATCCCGCGGGCGCCCGGGATGAAATACCGACACTACTCGCCCAAGGCGCGCGTGGTGCTCTTCGAAGCCGGCTCGAACGAGCAATCCGTCATGAAGCACATCCGCAAGGACCTGGAAGACACGGCCGTGGGCGCGCACATGGTCGGCATGGTGCGCACGCGGAACTGGAGGCGGGGTCTAGGTCTCCTCCCCGAGGACGAGATCCAGCAGACCCTGAAGACCATCCCGTCCCTGGTGGACGAGCTGGTGGGGTTTTCTGTCCCCGTGAAAGACAGGGTCAAGGGATCCGTCGCCGCCAAGGAGGCCTTCGACTGCTTCCTCGGCTCCGATGTGAAGGCTATCGCCCAGGGCTTGTTCTCCGCCCTTCGCGCTATGGATGATATGGAGGTCGACGTTATCTATGTAGAGGGCATCCCTGATAACCAGGGTGATTTGGCCGCCGCTGTCATGAACCGGCTGCGCAAGGCGGCTGGGGCTGAACTGCGGGTCTAGATTTGATGATCGGGGACGCACTAGACTTCGCACATCGCATTATTTTCTATATAGCTTGGGTTGCTTTTGTGCTGGATAGATGGTATAAAAGATCGGTTACGAATTTGAATGATTAGAACATTGCACTGTGCTTCCATTTCTTCATGGGTATTATCTAATACGAGCAGTAATAGGGGGCGGGCTGGCTGGGACTCTGGTATGGCATAGAGTTTGGGTCCCAACGGCTGCCCCGAGCCTAAAAGATTCGAGAAAAATCTTTCCTATAATTTTAGTTATTCTTATTGTCTACTAGATACTACTCTGTACTCCGTACTACTGGACACTACTACTAGTTAGTATAATAATAATAGTAAGAAGTGCGGCCAGCTTCATCTTATCTCACCCGCATCCTCCCAGCAAGTCTCCGTCCTCCGGCACCGCATCGGCCTCCTCCGACTGGCTCAGCGCCAATTTCTGCGCGCGAAAAAAAAAAAAAAAAAAAACAAGCTTATCGGGCGATGCCTGAAGAAGCCGCCGGGAGTGGGGCGCCCCAGGGCGTGTGGCTCTCCACTGGCTGCCCGTTGGAGTCTTAAGACTGGCTAGCCTCCAGGACATGGCGAATTGTATGGTGGCCATGCCCTGCATCTGAGTCAATTCCTCTCCACTCTCGGACCATCATCTGCATTCGGATGCTTCTTTGCTGCTGCTGCTGCTGCTCGTGACACCTCCGTCGCTACTTATTTAGATACTGCTTCGTCCACGTTCGCTACTGTTGACTTCTTCCACTCACTTTGCTTTGCTTCCGAGATACCCCCTACAGTTACCCTTCACAGTCCAGTCCTCTTTACACATCCTCCCTCTTTCCTGCCAGTCCATCCACACAATGTGTCAATCCACCTGGCATGACTTCCTCCGCGGCCTTCCCAAGTGCGAACACCACGTGCACCTGGAAGGCTGCCTGACACCGGAGCTGATCTTCTCGCTGGCTGCCAAAAACCAAGTGCAGCTCCCGGACGCCGCGACCAACCCAGCCTACGAGTCGATTGAAACGCTCACGGCGCGTTACGGCAACTTCACCTCGCTGGACGACTTCCTCCACTTCTACTTCATCGGCATGTCGGTGCTGAACCAGGAATCCGACTTCGCCGACCTGGCGTGGGCCTATTTCCAAAAGGCGCACGCCGACGGCGTCCACCACGCCGAAGTCTTCTTCGACCCCCAGGTGCACCAAGACCGCGGCATCCCCTACGAGACCATCGTCGCCGGCTTCGTCGCCGGCTGCAAGCGCGCCGAGGCCGAGCTCGGCCTCTCCACCCGGCTCATCCTCTGCTTCGTCCGCCACCTGCCCGTCGCGTCCGCCGAGAAGACCTACCAGGATATCCTCGATAGCCGCCACTTCGAATCGGACGTCATCCACGGCCTGGGCTGGTCCTCCACCGAGGTCGGCCCCCCCAAGGACATGTACCGCGACATCTATGCCTCCGCCGCCCAGCGCGGCGTCCGTCTCACCGCCCACGCCGGCGAGGAGGGCGATCCCACCCACATCAGCGTCGCCCTGGAGCTGGGCGCCACCCGCATCGATCACGGCATTCGTCTCGTCGAGGACCCCGTCCTCATGCAGCGCATCGTCGACGAGGGTATCCTCCTCACCGTCTGTCCCTTGTCCAACGTCCAGCTCAAGTGCGTCAAGTCCGTCGCCGAGGTCCCCATTCGCACTTTCCTGGATGCTGGCGTCAAGTTCTCCATCAACAGTGACGATCCCGCATACTTCGGTGGGTATATTCTGGATAACTACTGCGCTGTGCATGAGGCGTTTGCGTTGAGTGTCGATGAGTGGAGGACGATTGCCGTGAACAGTGTCAGTGAGAGCTGGATTGGCGAGGAGAGGAAGAAGGAGTTGTTCGAGAGTATTGATGCCCATGTGCTCAAGTTTGCCGAGTTGGTGTAATTGCGTTGGGTTGCGTTGGATTGGCTTTGTATGATACCTAGGTAGTTGGGGGCGGTTAATGCGTGATGAGTAGATGATTGTATAGATACTGCTATTGAAAATAATGATCACTTTGAAAGTTTCTGTTTGGGTAGAGAGACGTTTTGAGTGCGTAGGATAGATACTACTGTGTTGTGTTGATGTGATGGCCCGGCTAACTATATATAACGCTGTTAATAACAGCTATCATCTTACTAAGAAGCTCGTATCTGCGTCGACTGTGACACGGTGGCGCCCAAACCCAGCAACTTAATACTAGTAGTAGCAACTTGAAGAAACACACACAGGAAAACATAATGCCCCTGCGCATGTCTCCATTGACTTTGAGCTGCTGCATCACCCGCGCGACCATCCCGCCGCCGTGCCGCCTCTCCCTCTCCGCCAACTACAACTACAAGCTATCCCGAGCACTATCATCATCAGTATTAGTAATATCCAACCCCCCGCTCTCCACGCCTCTCCCAATCTCAAGCTCAACCTTACTATCTACGCGCCTCACCCTCCCAACAACCACACACTTCATCCCCCATACTATCCCCAACCTCCAAAAAACACTCCAAACTGCAACGATGTCCACCTCCCCCCTCCCCCTCCCCCTCCCCACCCGCTACAAACTCATCTTCTTCGTCCCCACCTCGCACCTCGAAGCCTGCAAAGACGCCGTCTTCGCCTGCGGCGCCGGCACCTTCCCCGGCGGCAAGTACACAAAGTGCTGTTTCCAGACGCCCGGACAGGGACAATTTCTGCCGTCGGAGGGCGCGAACCCGGCTATTGGGGTGGTCGGGACGGTGGAGACGGTCCAGGAGATCAGGGTCGAGGTGATGTGTCTTGGGAGGGAGGTTATGGGCATGGCTGTGCAGGCGCTGGTGGAGGCTCATCCGTATGAGGAGGTGGCGTATGAGGTTTATAAGATGGAGGATGTGTGATTTTCATTCGGATTGGGGGGGTTGCTGGTGCTGTGCTGGTGCTGCTGGGTTGGCTGGGATGGGTCATGATGGTTTTTGCTGGAGTTGAGCGGCGGAGGGGGCTATGTTAGTTCAGCTATGACTTAATTATGGCAGTCAGAATCGATATTCAATTGGATTGGAAATCTGGAAATCTGGAAATCTGGACAGTAGAAGTGGTAGTTGAGGTTCGGCGAAATCGTTCATTGGCACAAGGCGGGAGTAATCTGTCGGCGCTGATTGGTCAGCCGCAGCTCCCGCAAAACGCCTCTTCGAGTCCAAGTCGATCGTTCACCTTCAATCCCATCAGATCGAACTCCCCCCCCCCGACCCCCAATCCCCCCAGATTCCCTCTCCGCCGCCGGCAATGGCTTCCAAATTCTTTCCTGCCGTCCCGCGGACTGCCCGCCAGCTTTTCCAGAGCCTCCCCAAGACCCAGACCCAGTACAGACCCTTCTCGGCCGCTCCGCAACGTTGCAGCGACTCCCTTGCCGTGGTACGTTCAGAACCCCCCGAAGGCATCATGGGCTATTCGGGTGGCCCGGATATGTCCTCGCTCTTCGATTGACTGCTGGGGGAAGTGGAATCGTCGCGGGAGAGACATAATCGCTGACCACTGGCCTTCCAGCACCGCAACAAGCCCGACAACAACCCGACCGTCCCCTTCAAGTTCTCCGAGCAGAACCTCAAACTCATCGATGAGATCCTCAAGCGCTACCCTCCCCAGTACAAGAAGGGCGCCGTCATGCCCGTCCTGGACGTCGGCCAGCGCCAGCACGGCTACACCAGCATCAGCGTCATGAACGAGGTCGCCCGTCTCCTCGAGATGCCCCCCATGCGTGTCTACGAAGTCGCGACCTTCTATACCATGTACAACCGCGAGCCCGTGGGCAAGTACTTCGTCCAGCTCTGCACGACGGTATGAACGCCCTCCCCTCCACACTATATCTCACCTCATCCCTCCCAGCCCGTACACTCAATCTGTACACCCAACGGTACACCACTAACAGAACCAAACCCCAGACACCCTGCCAACTCGGCGGCTGCGGCAGCACCAAGATCGTCGAAGCCATCACAGAACACCTCGGCATCACCCCGGGCCACACGACCAAGGACGGCCTCTTCACCTTCGTCGAGGTCGAATGCCTCGGCGCCTGCGTCAACGCCCCCATGGTCCAGATCAACGACGACTACTACGAGGACCTGACCCCCGAATCCATCAAGACCCTCCTCACCGCGCTCAAGGAGTCCTCCGCCGCCGCCGCCGCCGAGGGCCAGTCCCCCAAGGTTCCCGCCCCCGGTCCCCTCAGCGGAAGACAGACCTGCGAGAACAGCGCCAGCCTAACGAACCTGGTCGACCCCGTCTGGGACCCCGCCACGATGATGAGAAAGGACGGTGCGCTGGAGGCTTCGACGCAATAAATGAGATGATGAAGTTAAAATTTCTCCCGCGTTCTCACTCATACTCATACTCTCTCAATACTCACTCCTATGCTATGCTATAATTTCGAGCAGAGAATATAGTTCTTTTTTTTTACACACCTATCCCTCCTCGTTCACATCTGGATACCGTGCGCTGGATCAGTTGAGCATGTTTCCAGCTTCCCCCACCCCCAAATTTCCCTTTTTCTTCCCTGGTTGGCTGGCTGGCTGGTAAATTGGACGGACGGACGGACGCACAGACAGACGGACAGACGGGCCCCTTCCTTCCTACCAGGTAAATGATTATGTACAGTACCTTGTTACCGCTATTGCTATCGTTATTGTTGATGTTATTGCTGTTGTTGCTGTTGATGTTTCTGATCACCTCTTTTCTCTAATTTTACTTTGCGTATGCGTATGCGTATGTGTAGCGTGTAGCGTGTAGCGGAGGATTAACATGGTGACATGATGATACCATATAGTGGAGATGATTTACTTCTACCTACCTACCTACCTTACCTACCTACTTACTACCTACCATAGATGGTTTTGTTAGTAGTCAGCAGTTTCAATGCAGTTATTTCTTATCTTATCCTATCCCACCCCATTATCCATTATTACACTTGTGATCCTTGTTATAAGGATCGCAGGTTAGATCCACGTGGATGTGGATGTGGATGTTAATATAGTTGAGTAGCTCTAGTTCCAGCTCCAGCCCCTTCAAGAACTTGAAGTTTACACACAGCAAGTATAGTTAAGTGTAAGTAGTGTATATATAACAGGACAGACACCGTGATACTCACTCACTCACTCACTGGCATAATTATAACTATAATTATAATTAGTAATTTGATCAACCACTTGCTTGCTTTTCTCCGCTCCACGTCCTAGGTACTCCACACAAACACATACAGGCTATCTAGTATACTTCTCAGGTTTTTCTTCAACACACACCCTGTTCAACTTGAACCTGTATAGTAGCGCCTTCTCCCTGGAGATGATGTTAATATATAGTAATCAAATATCACCCTTATTGTCAGAGGGATAACTAGTTAGAGGTTATGTTATGACCAAGTGCAGTGGTTAATAAATCAATCCAAAACTAGATAATTTTATCCAGGACGGCTCTGGTCTGCGGTGGAGAGTACTATAGTACTATACAGTACAGTACTACAGTGCTACAGTGCTACAGTGTGAGTAATAATAGTGAGTGATTCGCCGCAGATCACGTGCGTTCAGAGCGCGCGCCTGCCTTATTTGTGTTGTGAGAATCTCGCGCTGTAAATATCTGGCTTCTTGCTGTGGACGCGTCGGGAAGGTACAAGTGGGTGGGAAGGAGGGAAGGAAGGAAGGAAGGAAGGAAGGTGAGGCAGGGTCGGGCTTTGCCCAGTACCTACTACTTACTACTCAACTAGTACATAGATAGGTTGTTGCATTGCATCTCTCTTGCATATGATGAATTGTTTCTTGAAGCTGACTACTATGAACTAGGTACTCTGTACAGCACATTGAGACAAAAAAAAAACAAAGCAGATCCTATCAGATCCATATATCACAATACAGCACAACAGAAAAGCATCTGCAGATCTCCAAGAAAGGACGGATCAATATCACCCACATCAGACCAGATAAAAATCTCAGAAAGCGTTGTCTACGACCAATGACGGCCCCTCACAGCTGATGGAATCGGTCTCAACGGCTTCATCTCGGGACACCAGCACGGGCAGTCCGTCTCTCTCGACCAGAACCTGCTCGCGACGGTCCTGGAAGATGTTCACGTCAACGGTCCATTTGGTCAGGAGGTGGTAGATGTGGACGTGTCGGGTCTGTCCGTATCGTCGACACCGGCCCATGGCTTGGGTCATCAGGGAGTCATAGTCGTACTGGGTCTGCGAGAGCAAAGGCGAGAGGAAGATAACGTGGTTGGCGCTCTGCAGGTTCCTGGAAAGGGGATTAGATCTCCGCTGCACGAAGTGTGGACGGGTGAGTGACTTACAATCCAGCTGCTGTCTCGCCTCCCAGGTTCAAGATCAACACTTTATCTTCCCCGAATCGGGTCTTCTGAATCCGCTCGATCTCCTGCGCTGACCTGCGGTCCGTGGCCGAGATGGCAGTGTGCTTGATCTTGGCGAGACTCAGTGCTTTGGAAGCGACTTCCATTAGCTCAGGGAACTGGATGAAGAGCAGTGCTCGCTCGCCGCTGGGCATGTTGCGGATGACTTCGACCAGTTTGTCCATCTTGCTGCCGCCGTATTCTGTGCTTCTGTCCTCTTCGTCTCGTCCGAGAGTCGTTGCCTTGATGATATTGAATCGCTTGCCGGAGCCACGGCATCCGTCGACACAGCATTCTTCTGTCTGCGTTGTTTGTGAGATGCATGTTGAGCAGAGTGCGTGGCCACATGAACCCAGAATGCTCATATTCTCGAGTTTCTCCACCTGGCTCAAGCAGCTATGGCATTGGATGATTCCGCTGCCAGTTTGCACAAGATGGATGGTTCTCAGGAACCGCAGCGCCCTTTCGCGCAGGACCCATTCCACGACGAGATTGCGGACTGTCGTGGTGACCTCCCGCAGCACTGGCTCGAACTCTCGCACATGAGCGGGCCTTTTGGGAAGCACTGCATCGTCATCCTTGCCGCTGCTTTTGCCGGTAGATTTACTCCTCTTGGCTTTGAACTGGGAAGCTTTATCGACTGATAACTTTGCCATCTTCGCGGAGGAAGGTGTCGAGTCTTCGTCCTCTGAGGATTCAGGAGCGCCAATATCCTCGTTTTCTTTTTCAGAATCTGCATCCGGCACTCTTCCTTCGAGATCTGACGATACAATTTCGGTGGCGGCAAAGAAATACTTCCAGTCATCGCTCTTGGAGCGCAGGATGGCCGTTTTAAGAAGAGGGTAGACTTCTTGAGTAACGGTCATGTCTCCAAAGTCGTCTCGGATTACGCTCTCAATGAACTTGTGGAAACTTTCATATTTGAGATCGCGGCCGCAGTAGATCCATGCTGCTAGCTTCAGCTTCATCACCATGTCATCCTTGAGATCGGCAAGCTGTTTCTCCCGGATCGCGATGAGCGATGTGCAGGTTGTTATTTCTGGTTTACCATCCTTGTCCCAACGTCCCTGGAGGGCAAGGGACGAGCAGCGCTTGAGCAGCGCCTCTTCGGCTGTCGTACTGCTGCCAATGATCTTGTCTACTCGCTCCACTTGATCACTGCTGAATCGTCCCTTGCCGCTACGACGAAGCTTACGGTTGTACGTCATCAGTTGCTTGTACAGCTCAAGGTAGATTGCCCGCTCGGCTGGCGAAGGGCGGATCAGAATGATGTGCTCAGAAAATGGGATTTCATCAATCTCAGCGACATTCTTGCGAGCAAAGCGGTCCAAAAACCTTTGGGCGATCTCGTGTCGATGCTGGTGCCACGCCTCACTACGAGGAGGCCGGAATGACTGGAACTTCTCCGCGGCAGATCGCTGTATGCAGAGAAATTTAAGACGTTTGTTTTGAGACTGGATATCGTCATCGTCGACTCCCAGATGAACCCCGAGAAATGGTGCAATAGTCTTGACATCAGCGAAATCGTTCAATGGCGGAGTCCCAGAAAGAACCCATTTCGACCGAGCTTTGAGGGCAACGAGGGGGGCGAGTCTCTCGGGATTTGCATACGTGAACTCGTCGATGACGAGACGATTGAATGAGAAAGCATGCAATAAAGGGGTTTTGACTCTTCTCCAATCCTGACCCTCGCGTTCGTCGATATTGAACTCTTTCCGATCGTCCCAGCGCTTTTCATACTTCTTACAGGCCGCCGAATTGTTCTGTCTATTTCTTTTTTGACCGCTGTATGGGCCTTGCTGGCCTGGTTTTATTTCAGTCGACGAGTTCTCAGGCTGAGAGTCAATGTCTGATTCTGTCCCAGCACCCGGACTCGGCCCCTTTTCCTCGGCAACAGGTCTTTCTGGTCGAAGTCTGAGGCATTGATCCGTCTTGGCCCTTAAGGCGTCGGTATCTTGATCATAGTCTGGCTCAGGCCCTTCGTCCGCGCTGGATATCTCGGCATATTGTACCTCACCCACTACAGATTGCCAAGTGTTGTTACCATTAGCGTACTGCTTACCTCTCAGGCGCTTGGATGGGACATATGTGAAGTTAGCCTGCGAATCTTTGATCGTCTGTCGCTTGGCGCATATTGAACTGAGCAAAGCATTCGGACCCTGGCTCATCAAAATTTGAACCTGCTCTTTGAGTGAGGCTTGTGCCTCACTGAACCAAGCGTCAAAATTGCGTCCCGCCGTTTTTGGAGCCCGGGGAGTGCCGGTGAGCTTCTGCAGTTTTTCATAATATCCTGGATTATTGAAAACCGACCAAGAGACCAGTACAATATTGCTATTCAGAACGTCACCAATCGAAACCTTCCTGAACGATAATGCGGATGAAAACACCAAAACAGAGTATTTGGCTCCCAGGAATTTGTTAATCTCCGCCTGCCATTGCTGTAGCATGATGTGGGGCACCACAATGAGAGTGGCCTTTGCGGGTATAAAGCCTCCAATAGCCTCTGGCACTGACAGTTGATTGTGTTCGTGCAGCATGTCCATCAAACCCAACATGATGGCGGTTTTTCCATATCCAACATCGTCTGCTAAAATACCTCCATGGACTGTCTTTGGAAGGGCGACTCGTCCTTCTGCACGCCACATCAATGACGGAAGGAGGGCCTCCTCTATTTCCTCTTCCAAAAAAGGCAGGGTGTCGGGTCGCTCTTGCTCGATCATCCACGATAAGGATCGCAGCTGCTCTGGCCGTAACTTTTGGACGAATCCTGGTGGCTGACAGGACTGAGGGTCGTTTCTGTTGCTCAGAAGATTAAACTTGGGGAATAGGATATTTCTTGTGTCATATGAGTTGGACACCAGGCGCCACTGGAAAGAGGCCCCCCCAGTCGCACTGGATCCGGCCAACTTGTCATATGCCCGATGAAAGAGAGTTTGAATGTTGAGTGTGACGCGCAAATCAGCAAAGCCTTGCTCATTCATCCGTCGAAATATCAAGAAAGGAGGCGGCTTGGCCTTCACCTGACGTTCATAGCGAGCAGCGTCATGTGTGTCCTCATACGCATTAATCCACCCCCTTCGGTTACGGCCCCATAATAGTCGTGGCTTCGGCGGTACACAGACAGTGCACGCAGTACCGTCGTGCTCACCTGAGATCTGGTAGTCGACGACTTCATTCCAGTCCTGAAACTCCGAAATGCCTGCTACCTTTTGCAATAACCAACAAAGGTCTTTGAGCGAGGATGGTGAGTCTACTGGGTCTATGATCTCCCACAGGTCTTTCTCCCAGGCGGCTTCAATGATCGTTCCTGGGACCCTGAGTGAGAGCAAGGTCACATTAGCGCTTTGGCACCCTGAGCGGCGAACTGCGATGCTGTTATCTGCAGCCAAATTACGACACGTGATGAGAGCATCCGTGGCATGAAGGCCCAAAGTGACAGCTGGAGCCTTGGCCCATTGGCGGAAATAGATATCAACAGGCTTCGGGTGCTCAGTCACTGATGAAGAACGCCAGGCGTGTGATACTTCGGCAATGGTCGTTCTTCTCGTGTACCCAGGGATACGTTGATGCCCCACAGCAAAAACAAAAGAGTCGTTCTGCGGTTTCCCGAGCTTGGTCGGGTCAAGAAACAGATACACTGGAGGCTCGTCTTCTCGGGCTAGCTTCTTATGCAAACAAGCACTCGCCGTTCCACATTCTGGCAGGAGATCATAGGTACCACAGATATCTACTTCCAAACCCGTCAATTGGTCGTCAGAGCCCTGAACCTGGATTTGCGTCCAAACTTTGGAGTCCAGAAATTCCTCCGTTTGAAGACCACATCTCGCTTCATAAGATTCGGTTTGACGCCCGGTACCTGCAAAGGTCAATGTGCACTTGGAGCTCAGAGGAGAGCAGATCTCCCATTCACCGTTCAAAAGAGATCCAGACTTGGGGGTCATACGCGCAATTGGCCTCGAGAGAATTTCCCGGACGAGACATAGCACTGGTGCGGAGCTGGGCGCTTTTGCGAATAAAAGCCACTCGATCTTGGAATCGCCGATCACCAACTGCAAAAAGGAGGATTTGCCTTCATACAAAATGGTCCAAAGTTCACTCCGTTTGATGTCCAAGAGGCGGAGCTCGTCAACAATGGCTGGGGAGATAGCATCCAAAAAGTCTTCCCACATGTGTGGAGAACATTTTACTGATACGTCGCTCTTCAAAATTGTATAGCTCTCGCGTGAAAGACCGGTGAGCGCTAATCTGGCTGGCAAGATGTGCCTAAGCTTGCTCACGAAATCCAATGGTCTGGTACGAATTAGGTCGTTCCAACGTTCGTAGGAATGCGCTGGATTGCCACTGCACTCCGAACAAGCCGTGTGATGACACAGGGTGCATTTTGAGATATTGGTTTGAACCCCAGTCTGCCGTTCACACTCACAATACCTTGCGCTGCTTGCAGCTTCTTTTTTGAGATCAGAGACATCGATTTCGCCGAGTTGGTTGAGTTGGATTGAGCTAGGGACCATTGCGTATTCGCTCTGAGGAAGAACATCCCTGTGCTTAGGTATACTTTCCTCAGGTGGCAATTGATCCCCTTTCTCGAGGACTTTGTGTCCGACAATCAAGGCAGAAAGAACTGCGACACCGACTACAGTTGAGCTCATTGCATTTCCCGCGAGGTCTTGCAGCTCACGCTGTGTCTCTCGAGTCAGCAGAAGTCTGTCCGGCGGCAAGCCTTGTAGAATGAGTGACTCGAGGCCGCAGAGCGGTCCTCCTCTTGTTGTCATGTACGGCATTCCACAAGGAGTGATGCAGCCCACGATTCCATATGCACGCGAATCGATTTCACGGTCAATGCCCTGAGAAAGCTCGATACATCTCCTGAGAGATTTTCAGCCAAGTGCTGCGACTTTTAGTCTATGGTTTGGACTTACTCTTTGAAGTTCATATCATAGCCCTCCACCAGCTTGCGCAAGAAATTCATATCTATGGTGTCCCAGACTCGTTCAGGCAAGGACTTGACCCAAGTTTGCCAGGTGAAATCAGGCATTTGGCACGTTCCGTCATCTTGGGACTTACTCATTGGACGTTTGTATCCAAGAGCGTTATTGAGACGGTAGGTCTGATGACGGACCTGGTACTTTGCCCAGTTAACTGTCTTGCGAGTGGAGTACGAACGCATTGCCATGTCCTTCTCGATATGCTCCAGCCTTCTATCGTCGGCATCTATCAAGAACATCCCAGCCGGCGAGCTTGCAGGGCGCTTAAACTTGGTGACAGTTTGTGTCCATCCCGCCACATCGCTATCATGGAGGTTGTGTTTCTTCATCGCTTCCCTGTCTATGCAGAACATGTACCCCCGCTCCCGCGTCTGCGGTAAGTAGTATGCCTTTGTGTCCACATCCTGGAAGACAGCGGAGTAATCGATTTCCTTCCAGTGCTGCTTGATCTTATCCCACGGGGCATTTTTCACGTTCTCCAGAACAACCAAGCGGGGCCTGTAGGTTGCTGCATATCGAATGATTCCCCAGAACGTCCCCCCTGATTCACCCTTTTGGTCCAGTGTCTTCCGCTGGTTGTTTAGGTTCGAGAAGTCTACGCACGAGAACCCGGCGATTAGGATGTCGGGTTTCTTGGGGATCTTCTCCAGAGAGCCGTATGCGGTTTGACTGGTTGTTTCATGCCATGTCAGGTCAAATCAGAGACAGATGCAATATTTGGGGAAGGATGGGGGGATACTTACGCCACGCGATCCTTCAGCTCCGCCACATCACGGAAAATGAACGGTGGATGAAAGTTCCGCTCGATATACGCCTGCTTGAAAGGGACTATCTCCGCGCTGAAGAGATGTCGGAACTCGAACTGCCGATTGAAATGCTCGCGCAGATCTAGACGCGCAATCAGTCAGTATCAGCCCATGCCATGGTTCTCAGAACCGGAGGCATATGGTATATGGTATATGGTCTATCGCATACTCGTCTGCACCATCTCCAACGCCAACAACGGACTTTCCGTCCCGGAACAGACCGTTACCACGCGAAGAGGCCTCGATCCTAAGTGATCTATGACCTTGTCAAAGTCGAGTTCCAATGCCGCGGTCGTGATCGACTTGTATATGTCTTGAAGGTTGGACAATGGCGGGAGATGCAGCGCGAGTTGTGCGCGAGACCCTCTGGTGCCGGTGGGCTGTTGCGATTTGACCATTTCGGGGAGATTGGGGTCGATTGCTTCTGTATCTGGGGATCTTTCTGCATTGGTGTCTGGGGTGGTGGGGGTGGTGGGGGAGGGTTGGCTGGGTTGTTGTTGTCCTCGTGGCCTCTGCTTCGATGGACGCGTCGAGGTGTCCGTGGACGGCCTCTTCTTTCCTCGAGGCATGGTGGGAGCTCTATCCAGGCTTACTATTGTGAATATGAGAAAGGGAATTTGAATTGAGAGATGGTATGTTCATCAATGGACGTGAATTGAAATGGGAGGGTGGTGGGTGAGAACTTGGTGAGGGAGAAAATGAGGTAGATAGAGATAGAGGGAGAAGGAGAGGTAGGAAGAACGTGGGATGAGCAAGGGAAGGTAAACAAAGATTCTGGGAATGAGTCAACCGCATGGGGTGAAGAGGCGATAGTGAATGGAATCAAATTCTTGTGGAGTGTGGAGCTTTGCATTCTAGGTATCTATCTAGCTGCTGTGCTGCGGTGCGTGTGTTTGTATCTATGTATGAATGGGTCTATGTGTTGTTTGCTTGGGTTGTTTCTTTGCTGGGATTGGATTGGACTGAGTAATTGAGACTCTAGTTTCTAGGAAGGATTTGCTGTGATCACCGTTTACTATTTCCATTGATGGATTGCCCGAATCAGCCGGGTTGGTTGGGTTGGGCTGCTTAATACGGAGTACTATAGGCTAAGGTGTTTATTTCTGGGGAGATGGTGTGGGTAATGTAGTATGTCTGTATGTATGTATGTAGGAAGTGAATGGAATAGGTCAGGGTGTTTGGCTATTTGTCTGTCTGTCTGTCTTTCTGTCTGTCTGTCTGTCTGCCTGTCTCTCTGTATTTGAACTGAATTGCTCAGAGAAGCAGGTTTGGGAGAGAGTTCGTACGCGGTCAGTTAGTTACTATATATAGTTAATTAGCTAGTCAGTCAGTCAGTCAGTCAACTTTCCTGTCTACCTTGTTCATTCATGTATCTAGGGCTGAATGGTGAATTATCTACTTGTTTACTTATCTACCTGCTTGCTGGCTTGCTTGCTTGTCTATTTCCTATCTAGATGTAAACTAAGCTAATAGCATAGCTACACTCTATATTCGGAAGGGTTGTGATATGGTATGATATGATATCGTATTGGGATTCATAATCTTCGCTATGAGTACTATTCATCGAGTAAATGTGACTGGCTGTATAGGACTGTGGCTATGAGACTGGATTTTGGGAACTGGAGACTGGGAACTGGAACGCCAATTGGAGAATAGAGACTGGAATAGAGACTGGAAACTAGAAACTGGAAACTAGAGACTGGAGACTGTAGACTGTAGACTGAAAACTGTAGACTGTAGACTGTAGACTGTAGACTGTAGACTGTAGACTGTAGACTGTAGACTGTAGACTGTAGACTGTAAAATAGAGACTAGACTAGACTAAAGAATAGACTACCCAAGTCCAATCAATCCCAACCAACAACAACACGCAGCCGAAAGAAGACCATTTGCTGGGAATATCCGCTACTGCTATCATCCGTGTGCTAACTATACATACATACATACCGACCGTGCCGTACATGGAAAGAAAAGACGAGGCAAAGGATAAGATAGAGATAGAAATAGAGAGAAAGGAAAGAAGTTGAAACCCTGTTCCCAACCGTTGCGCCGACCCGTGTGGTTTGATTGATTTGATTTGATCAATGACGAAATTGGAAAAATGCGCTGCGATGATGATATCTTGGACTTGGTGGATGGGTGGATAGATAGATAGATAGATAGATAGATAGATACCCACTACCCATATCTCGCGTGATGATAAGGAGGTTACAGTTATGGCATGGTTATAGTTGTGATTATGTTTGGTGTACTGGTGATCACCGCATGCCACTCTGCATCAACTGCTGCCGGAGAAGCATGAGCTGATTCCGCTCTGCGGGAGGGAAGCTGTCGATGGTGGATTGTGGCATGGTGAGGACCTGTTGGAGGAGCTCTTCCTGTCCTTGCATGGACGGCGGCGGCGGCGGCTGCTGCTGCGCAGCGAAAGGAGTATTCACCATAGGCGGCGTGGAGACCTGACCGGGGAAAGACTGGAAGGCCTGTGCGGCGGCCGGAGGGACAGCAGAAGGAGCTGCTGCTGCCGCAGCCGGTTGGGCGGCCTGCTCGACGACTGAGCCGAGGGTGCCGTAGTCGACGAGGTTCATGAGAAGCAGAGCCTGAAAGATGGCGTAGGCGAGCTGCGGGGCTTGGCGGAGGAGTTCGGTGGCGCGGGCCGGGTCGGCCATGACGAGGGATTTCATTTGTGCCAGGACCTCGAGGAGCTGGTTCGGGGGCAGAGATGAGAGTGTCTGCGAGATGGCGTTGGGGCAGTCCAGGTGGGGAGGGAGCTCGACGCCCGGGGGAGCGGGGGGAGGGGCGCAGACGACGGTTGCGGGTTGAGGCCGTCTTGCTGTTGCTGTTGCTGCTGCTGCTGCTGTTGCTGTTGTTGCTGCTGCTGAGCGGGGTTCGCCATCTGCGAGTAATCCGGGGGTATGGAGTCCTTCTCGTTGTTGTGCGGCCAGTCCACCCGGATTTTGCGGCCCATGATCTCGTAGTCGTTTAGATTGCGCACGGCGGAGGCGGCGGCGTCGGCGTCGGCGAAGTCGGCGAATCCGTATCCTTTGGGTTTGCCGGTCTCTGGGTTCATCATCAGGCGGAACTTGGTTACTGTGCCGGCCGAGCTGAGGATGTCTTTCACTTGTTCTTCCGTGAGGTCTATGGGTGTGGTTAGTGGGTGGGTGGGTGGACGGTTTGGGAGGGTGATGACGGCTGAAGGGACGTACTGTAGGGGATGTTTCCCAGGAAGACACTCTTTCCGGCTCCAGGGGCCATGGTTGCGGTGGTGAGGTTGGTGGAGGGGATGTAGAGCTGGAGGTGAGCTATTGCTGGTGGTGGTGGTGGAGAGGAGAAAGAGATGAGGGTTGTCGGGGAGGTCAGGAAAGGCGAGGAGAGGATTGGAGACAGGGAAGCAAGTCAAGGCAGGCAGGCAGACAGGCAGGCCAAGCAAAGCATCAAGAGTTTGTTCTAGCCCCGAATGAACAAAAGGAAGGAAGAAGCAAGACGAGGGAATTCCATGAATGATGAATGCCGCCAAAGCGCAAAGCCGCAAAGCAAGCGGATCTGCCAAGGCGGTGTCGAAACTGGCGATTTGCCGCGACTTCAGTTGGTTCGAAGTGACGCTCGCCCGCTGCTCTTCGTCCTGCATTCCTCCCCTCCCCCCAAACACTCCCCCCCATTATCCACACATCATGTCCGACCCTCGGGAACAGTGGCAGAAGATCCAGCTCGCCCTGCAGAAGCGCGGCAGGGGCTTTGGCGGTGGCTTCCCTGGAGGCGCTCGCGGAGGGCTCGGTGGCCTTGGAGCTCTGATCATCTTCGGCCTGGGAGGAGTAGTCATCTCCAACTCCCTCTTCAACGGTGAGCTCGATCATGGCGAGACGAGACCTGTCGGGGCCTAGCTGACTGGAGCTATAGTGGACGGAGGTCATCGCGCGATCAAGTACTCGCGAGTAGGTGGCGTGAAGAAGGAAATCTACAGTGAAGGTAAGCAGCATCATGGCCATGGCCTGCTTTCAGTCTGTCACCGCCATCTAACCATCCTCTCTTTTCCTCTCAGGAACCCACCTTCGCATTCCCTGGCTCGAAACCCCCATTATTTACGACGTCCGCGCCAAGCCGCGAAACATTGCCTCCCTCACCGGCACCAAGGACTTGCAGATGGTGAACATCACCTGTCGTGTGCTGTCCAGACCTCGCGTTGATGCTCTCCCCCAAATATACCGTACCCTCGGAAAAGATTTCGACGAGCGAGTGCTTCCGTCGATTGTGAACGAGGTCCTGAAGAGCGTGGTGGCACAGTTTAACGCCAGCCAGCTGATCACCCAGCGTGAGAACGTTGCTCGACTGGTCCGGGACAACCTCGCTCGTCGCGCTGCTCGCTTCAACATCGCCCTGGATGATGTGTCGCTGACTGTACGTTGAATCCTACAATTCCGAAGTCTAGGAGCTCCCGCTAATTTCTGTTCCGACATAGCACTTAACCTTCTCCCCCGAGTTCACGGCCGCCGTCGAAGCCAAGCAGGTCGCTCAGCAGGAGGCCCAGCAGGCCGCGTTCCTGGTCGACAAGGCTCGCCAGGAGAAGCAGGCGTTCATTGTCCGCGCCCAGGGTGAGGCTCGCTCCGCTGAGCTGATTGGTGACGCCATCAAGAAGAGCAAGAGTTACATCGAGCTCCGGAAGATCGAGAACGCTCGTCAAATCGCCCAGATCCTCCAGGAGAACGGCGGCAGGAACAAGCTGTACCTGGACACCCAGGGTCTGGGCTTGAACGTCAACGCGGGCGCGGAAGATACGAAATAAGCGTTGTAGCGGGAACGGTGATACGCAAGGGCCTGCCACAAGGCCCGGTGGCAGGCCCGGTCTGCTTTAATTGATGTAACGGTCCTTGGCGCATGAATCGCTGGCAGGGCGACGGGTGTGGAATAAGATGTTTGTACAAATAGTGATTCTTAGGATTCTCCAAGCAACAGGCGAACAGTTTCTCTTCTCTTATGACCATGGTCCCTTGACGATCAAGATGGATTTACGCCCTATTAAAGGGACTGGCTAAATGTCTAACACGCCAGGGTCCATAGTGGTAACTACAGTCTACACTGACCTAGATAAACAGTGTAGACTGCGGGCGTTGTTTCTCTGCCCGAGACGCCATCCATCGGCGGCGGCGGGGACGAATGCGGCGGGCGGAAATTTTATATCGGCGGAGGTCCTCGTCCATCTCCATCTCTTCTCCAAACCACCCGTGGTGACATCCCAACCACTGGACACACAACTCCGTCGCTCTATCTAGAGCACGCAATTCTCACAAATATTTCCAATTCCAGTCAGGCAAGCACCACCCCCTCCTCCTTCTCCCCCAACACTCCCCATCCCACCCACCTGCATCCCTCCAAAATCTTCCCCTCCCCCACCATCACCACCCAAACCACTCTAACACCCACCCAAACAGCACCCCCTCCCCCCCAAAACCAAAATGACCACCACTCACGACCCCCTCGACATCTCCGTCGACATCTCCACCCAAGAGATCATCCTCGCCGCCTCCAACCACAACATCCCGCTCCTCCGCCGCCTCTTCCGCGACAACCAAACCCCCATCGCCAACCCCGCCAACGTCAAAGACACCGACACCGGGTTCACGCCGCTGCACGCCGCCATCGCCGCCTGCGAGGTCGACAAAGACACCGACGCTGCTGCCAACGGGGTGCAGGTTAACGGAACGGAGCACGCAGCCGCAGAAGAGAAGGCCCAGGATGAAGGCGTCGAAACAGTCAAGTTCCTCCTCCATGAGGGCGCCATCTGGAATGATTTGGATCTTGCGGGTGAGACGCCAGGGTGTTTGGCTAGACGGCTGGGGTTGATGGAGTTGTATGATCTTATGGTTGATGCGGGGGTTAGGGCTGAGTTGTTGTTGGGACGGTTGGATGGGTATGAGGCCTTGGAGGATGAGGAGGATGAGGATGAGGAAGAGGAGGGTGAGAAGGAGGGTGAGGTCGAGAGTGAGGAGACAGCAGACGTCGATGCTGAGATCGTCGATGCCCCCGAACTCGTCACCACCACCACCACCACCATCAGCACAGACGCACCCACCACCACAACGTCAAACACAGACGTAACCAACCCGCGCTACCTCGACTCAACACTAACCTTCCAACACGACCGACTCCTCGACGCGGACCAAAACGGAGTAATGATGGCCTGGGAAAGCACCATCATGAAAAAGTCCGCGCAGAAGCTCCTCCCGACCCCCGGGCTCCGCGTCCTCAACATCGGCCACGGAATGGGCATCGTGGACACCTTCCTGCAAGAGCTCTCGCCATCGGAGCATCACATCGTCGAAGCGCACGCGGAGGTCGTCGCGGAGATGAAGCGCAAGGGGTGGGCCGACAAGCCCGGCGTGGTGATCCACGAGGGCCGCTGGCAGGATATTCTGCCGGGGCTGGTGGGCGAGGGTGTCATGCTGGATGCGATCTACTACGATACGTTTGCGGAGTCGTATGCGGATTTCCGCGATTTCTTCAGTGAGCATGTGATTGGGTTGTTGGAGCAGGAGGGACGGTGGAGTTTCTTTAATGGGATGGGCGCGGACAGGCAGATCAGTTATGATGTTTATCAGAAGGTCGTGGAGATGGATCTGTTTGAGGCGGGCTTCGAGGTCGAGTGGGAGGAGTTTGAGGTGCCCAAGTTGGATGGCGAGTGGGATGGTGTTAGGAGGCCGTATTGGTCTATTGAGAAGTACAGGTTGCCGGTTTGTAAGTATATGGATTAGATTAGATCATGATGATGACGATGACGATGATGAGGTTTATGGGTGGGGGAAGATTGGATAGCAATTGTCATGAATAGAAAGCAAGCAGCTGTATGAAATGCACCCGTGCAATCGCCTATCTATCTATGCAAGTAACTAGCTATGTATGTACACAAGACATGGGATGGGATGTTTGTCGATAACAACATGCCGCTCCGCTCCCCGGTAAGTAATGACTCCCTGCGCCGTAAATGCAGATACAGACAGGCTCGTAAGCCCTTTGGCAAAAACATAGAAAAAGCCCAACATAGCAAATCAAGGTTTTCATCAGTCGTAACACTGCCCGCTTATACATGTATACTCGCCTATAATTGAATGAGGTCCACTTCAGAGAAGTCCGGCGGACTGCGGCTGAAGATGGTGTGGCATTTGCCGTCCAGCGCCTGGTACTCGTTGCTGACCCAAATATGCTTGCTGAATCGCTGCGTCCGGTACACCTCGTCGTCACTGACGCCAAGGTCGTCCCGCGGGATCCAGACCACCGGGCGCTTCGCACGCAAGGCGTCGTGTTGGAACGCCCGTTGAGTGAGTTGGTCGCGCTCCTCGGGAGTGAGGTCCTCCAACTCGTCGTGGATGCCCGCAAACAGGGCCGGGCCCATTTTACCCGGCGAGGGTCCTTGGGCTTCAGCGTCTTCTGCGATCTTGTCTCGCAGACGTTGGATGCTGGGTACCTGAGTATCCGAATGGGTCTTGTAGTACGGAGACCGCCGGTTTGGAGACCGATCGGCCCATGATGTGCGATGGGGCCCGAGATGCGGCCTGTGTACGTGATGGGGGGATTCGTGTCGCTCTGAAGAAGACTCGAGATTCTTCATCTCGATATCACGTGACATTCTGTCGGCTTGGGTCTGCATGTGCTCACGTTCAGCTAGCTGGTGCTCGATGGTGTCTGTCGGATCCACTTCCTCCTCAGGAAGTCCGAGGCGCGTCCTCTGGGCCCGCGCGAACTCCTCATCCCGACGCACTGCATCATCCTCCAGGGTGATCGGCAGATAGCGGAACAAGGGTCCAAAGGCGTCGTTCAGAAGGATTTGGTAACCGGCAGTGAGGATGAGGACGACGATCATGATAATTGCCTGGCCCTCGCATGCAACATCACCCTGCTCATCGCGAACCAAGAAAAACAGCCCGATCAGACTGATCTCCATAACGTAAAGTCCTGTGAACAGCTGGTTGATGGCTCGAGGGAAAAGCAGCCCACCCGTATCGAAGCGGAACTTGGTCACGTACAGTGTATTGTACCGGTAAACGAACCAGAAGAGTCCGAAAGTAATCATGTTGAATATCAGAATGAGAGGTGCAATGACACAGTAGATTAATCCTACACTCGCTGTCAGTTATAAACTTTTGTATCAGGAAGGGCTGGACATACCGATTGAGGCAAGGGTAGTATAGACAGGAAAGAAGGTGCCCCATTGCATCTGGTTCAGGTTCGTGGTCCGACCCCATTTCTTCCGTGCCGTCTTGTCCAAGATGGGTGCGAGGATGAACCAGCTTATCAGGTTGACGATTTGTACCAACGCTCCCGCACTCACTGACATCGCTTGAAGAATCATGTACGAGAAGAAGTAATTGCTTGATGACGGGATGTTCTGTGCCAGTAGCTCCGGCCAACTGGTGACGTCGGTGACGCTGCTGATAATAGTGGAGAAACTGGACGAGATGGTGACGACGAGGAATAGCTGAACAAACAAGAAGGCGAAATAGTAGTTCTGGACAGTCAACTCCACAGCCATTCCTGTAGAAAGCCCCTGGGTACGGCTAAGGAAGCGAAGACAAAGGGGCAGGAGAGCCATCAGAATGGCCAGAAAAAGCGCAGGCAAGACACCCTGAATCGCCGAAATGAACCACGAGGGCAGCTTGGACAACCAGTGGAGCCAAGTGAATGCTGCTTCAAGGTATGACAGCTGAGACAGCAAGCCAGTAAATGCCACTGGAAATGCCCAGCCTATCACCATCCCACAGACCACGGCTAAGATGCCAAAAGTACGCAGGTACCGCTCCCACCATTTGATGGACATGTTGTCCCAGATGACGTCGTCCGGTGAGATCTCGACAATGCGAGGTGCCATTTGTTTGGGGACATGATGACTGACTGCCTGACATGCCATATGGGCGGCGACTTGGTGGTTGAATTGGATAAAGGCCGAGTTCATGAGGGGGAACTTTTCCGGGTGTTGCTGATCGATTTCAATCTCAAGATTCAAGCGCGCCAACTCCTTGCGACAGTAGTCGATGGTGTCGACCTTCCTGCCAATGAGCCATATTGACGGCATCCAAGAAAACCCAAAGATTGGCAGTCTCATGGTATCGCGATCCTTTTCCTTGATATACTTCTTCCAAAGCGGGTGGCCGAACTCTTCGTTGTCAAATCCTTCGTTGTAAGCGACCGGGTATTCCTCTCCCTTGGGCTTGTCCCCTTCCTTGAGGTCCTCGCTTCTGCTCACTTCTTTCACAGGGACACTTCCAGAGTCGGAAGTCCCGTCCGGTTCAACAGGCGAGTCCGGGGCCGTCAGCGGGAATTCGTCGGGTTCGCTCGCGTTGCTCCTCTTGCTCCTTTTGGAATCATTGGACAACTGGGACTTCCAAAAGGGCCTCTTTGACTTTGTCGCCGGATTAGGATCCGATGCGCTGGGTGCAGTTACAACTGCTGCGTCATCATACGATTCTTCCGGTTCCCAATCTTCCTCGAGAGTCTCACGCGGAACGTGATCAGCATATAGATTGCCATCATCGGGCACAAATCCTCCTGTTCGGGTCAAGGTGTCGTCAAATCCATGTTCCGCTCTCCGAATGCCTCCCAGCATGGTTTTGCCCAGTTTTTCTACACCGTGGCCGACAACCCCTGCTGCTTCCATGGCAGGATCAAGCGGATTGAGGAGGCGTTTTCTTTGCCTCGGCTCCCTGTGGTCCTCATGATCCTCATGCTTCTTTCTTGATTTGGTACGATGCAAGATCTGATCCAGGGTGCGAGCTTGGTGTGGGTTTCCGGAGCTGACACCGCCATCCATGGCCAGTTCTGCAGCATTTCTATCGGCGGCATTCTTCTCCCGAGTCTCAACTGCATGTGCATTCTTTCCGGCCTTTTTCGCATCGGCTTTAGCCTGTTTCAACTGGGACTTTTTGCACTTGATGATCAACTCCGTCTCCGCAGTCTCCAGTTTAAGGGCCAGTTTATCGCGCTGCTTTACTTTTTCATTGAGATCGTCGAAGTTGCGGTTAATCCAGATGTTTCTGATACCACCCGGGAATACGTCGTATAGTGATTCGAGGGCATCCACGGCGAGCCAGCTTTCTGGGATGGCTGTCACCAAGACCGTCGTCGCAGACGCTCGGAGTCGATGTTGTGGGGAAGTCAAGTAAGCTTGTCGGAGACGGATATAACCTTTGAGTTCGTCGAAGAATACGCCACACACGTAGAACACCGCAATGACGGCCATGACTAAGTGGCCCCAGTAGCGGGAAGTGTTTTCCGGCTTGACATTGCCCCAGGCAAGCTGGTCCAAACCGGTGACGTTCCACTGGCCATCACTTTTGGTACCGTTTTTATAGCTCGTGTCCTTACCGTCCACTTTATTCAAGGGTATAAGGACTGGCAGTATAAGGCATCCTAGAGGCACAAAGATCTTCAGAAGCATTCGTAGGTAGCGCAAGAAGAAGTAGGCATCCAGGCCACACTTCTGTATGAATTCGGAACTGGAGGTACGAAAGACGGGCGCGATCCATCGGAAGAGGCCGGGCGGCGACGGTTTCGTACGTTCTCTATCGGGAACTAGGTAAGTCCTTGGTTGGCTGGAAAGGGGCGAAGGCATCAGTAGTCAATCTACACATCATCGCAGCGTGCATACTTACTATATGCGGGTGAGCTTCCCCTTGAGAAGCAAGAAGCACAAGAATTCGACGGCGAAGACAATAATGGCTGTGGCCAGAGAGGCGACGAAGGTCGCGATGGAGATACCTTCCTTGTTCTTACCAGTACCGCCGGCTTGCTCCAGCGCCGTCCCAATGTCCGTCCCCATGATGGAGGCAACGATGAGTGCTCAGTTGCTGGAGATGCTGGCAGTAGGTGGTGCCCAGTAGGCGAGAGAAGCCACGAGGGGGGAAGGCGAGTCTAATGTAGTATGTCGAGTTCGAGCGCAAAAGTAGGTGAGGAAGAAAGCGCTCCCATCACGAGGACGCAAAGCGGTATAATATAATGGCAGGGAATAAACACAAACGACAACGTCACAATGGGAGGGATTGGAAGCCCATTCCGCGGGTGGCAGCAGGGAACCAATCAACGGACGGTCAGGGGATCGCAAGAAGGTGCAAGGTGGTATTCACGATTCAGGGAGAAGCGCTAAACTAAGGGCGCGCAAAGACCACGGGGGAGGGGGAGGGGAATCTAAATAAAGAGGCAAGATCAGGGATCAATGAACGAAGGGAAAAACGTGTTACAGATAAAGGCATGACAACAGTGGCACCCACTGCAGGAGCATCGGCCAGTCAGCGGGCAGCCTGGGGGGCCAAGCCAGCAGGGCAGAAGCGCCGCCATTAGCGGGCTGGTGGGAATGGCGCTGGGGGTGGGAAAAGTGGGAGGCAGATCGCGCCCGGATGACATCAAGCGTCTGCTGAAACCGAACAGGCGCTTGCAGCTGGTCTCCCTTGCCCCGGAGGTCGCGAACACCTCTCAGACAACCACCGTAAAGATTTGCCCCTGCCGCACAAATATAGCCCATATATCCAGTGTCTTGTCACGACCAAAATAGCCCCCCTCTCCAGGCACACAAAGGGGTCTGCGACTCTGCGTCAAGGCGGGTTTTTTCTCCTCCGCTTTGTTGACGATGCGCTATTGCGTCGATGCTTGCCAGAAGCGGGAAGGAGCGACCCTGACCCAGCGGTTCCCCAGCCTGACCGGGGCCTGATTGGGTACCGCAATGGAGGAGGTGGCGGTGCCGCTGGCCTTAAAAAATTCCCTGGCTCCAGCCACCTGACTGACTGTGGCTTGTCACTCGCGCTCTCCCAAACAGGAAACCTCTTTACGCGCTGGCGCGTGCGCGCGCGTCGAGCTCGACAAGAAGAGAATTTGTTTCCCTTCGCTTTCAGGCCCACCTTGAATTTGTTGTCACTTGTTCCTCAGCAACCACCCCCATCCACCCCCAGTTCTTCCCCTCCATCCAACCCCTCCAGCTATACCCATCCATCCCCTCCGCTGTCGGTCCTCCTTCTCCAATAGTCCATCTTCCCCTGGACTGTCGCTTCACAGGACCGGCTCATCCATCATGTCTTCGCCAGCGCCCACCCGCCGTAGGGGTCGCCCTTCCAAGGACTCCTCTGTCTCCTCTCCTGCTCGCTCAACCCGCTCAACCCGCTCTCAACAACAAGCTCAACCCAGCAGTCCCCCCCCAGGAAGCGATGATCTCTCCCAAACAACCCCCAGAGCCTCCAGGAGGGTACGCGGTGAGGCTCCGGTCCCGTCATCCTCTCCCATGTTCTTCCAGTCGTCCCCGATGAAGGGGAACAGCAGCAGCGCAGAGACGCCCGATCTCAGAATGGACGAACCTAGCTCCCCCATGAGAGCGCCTTCCACTCTGGATGAAGGCGAGACAACCCCTCGGGGAAACGCCACAGCTGCCATGCGAGGTACGATCCCTTGAAAACTTCCACCTTGACACCATATGCTCACCCCCGACTAGACTCTTCCCCGATCCGATATGTGTCTAGCTCCAGTCCCACCCGTTCCATTGGCCGCCAAGCAGGCCGCTCAGATATCCCAAGCAGCAGCAGCGGGCTTTTTGTCTCCTCCCGGTCGAATGCCGACGGTCAGCGTGGCCCCTCTCGCCGGAATGACCTTCACTCTGGTGGCTTGGGATCCACTCCCAGTCGTCGACGCAGAATTTTCGTGGATGCCAGCGGAGTGCCCACTGCCGATGGCGAACCGCGCTCAGATGCGACTTTCTCGAATATTCATCCGGGCACATCGGAGGCCGAGGCCTTGGGTGGAAGCTCGACCCGCGTGATCTGGGGTACCAACATCTCCATCCAGGATTCCATGTCCGCCTTCAAGAACTTCATCTACAACTTTGCGACCAGATACCGACTGTGGGCGGAAGGGGCAACCGAAGATGAGACCCGCAGAATGGGCGATGCCGCCGAAGATAGAGAATATATCAAAATGCTGAACACGATGCGTGAGCTCGGTGTCACCAACCTGAACCTGGATGCGAAGAACCTGAAGGCGTACCCGTCAACCTTGAAGCTGTGGCACCAACTCCACGCATACCCGCAAGAGATTATCCCCTTGATGGATCAGACTGTTAAAGACGTGATGGTCGAGCTTGCCATCAAGGAGATGGAGCGCCAACGAACCCAATCTCGCCGGAATCATACCCACTCCAGAGATCTAAGCTCAGCTCCCGCTGTTCCCAGCTCCGACGCCATGATGAGCGACGCTGCGAGAGCTCCGCCCGCCGAAATTCAAGACCTTGTCCAGGAAGTCGAATCGAACTCGTACAAAGTCATGCCCTTTGGTCTCGACAGTACCGTTAACATGAGAGATCTTGACCCTGCCGGTATGTGACTCTTCCTGGTTATGATTCATCAATGCTAAGATTTATCAGATATGGACAAGTTGGTGAGCATTAAGGGATTGGTGATTCGGGCCACCCCCGTCATTCCGGACATGAAAGAAGGTAAGTTTAGATGTATTAATTTTCTACAACTCAAACATCTAACCCATACATGCAGCCTTCTTTCGATGCCAGATCTGCAACCATAGTGTGCAGGTCGATATCGACCGCGGGCGGATTGCGGAACCCACTCTATGCCCTCGCCAGGTCTGCCAGGCCAGAAACTCGATGCAGATCATCCACAACCGCTGTGCATTTGCCGACAAGCAGGTCATCAAGCTCCAGGAAACCCCCGACAACATTCCCGATGGCCAAACGCCCCACTCAGTCTCGCTCTGCGTGTACGATGAACTGGTCGATGTTTGCAAGGCCGGTGACCGCGTCGAGGTAACTGGTATCTTCCGGTGCAACCCTGTACGAGTCAACCCGCGCCAGCGCACCCAGAAGACCCTATTCAAGACGTATGTGGATGTTTTGCATGTACAGAAGATCGACCGGAAGAAGATGGGTATCGATGCGTCGACTATTGAGCAGGAGCTGTCGGAACAGGCTGCGGGTGAGACCGACCAGACACGCAAGATTTCTGCCGAGGAAGAAGAAAAGATCAAGCGGACTGCCTCCCGGCCTGATGTGTACGATCTTTTGTCCCGGTCCCTGGCGCCTAGCGTCTACGAGATGGATGATGTCAAGAAGGGTATCTTGCTGCAAATGTTCGGAGGCACCAACAAGTCGTTTCAGAAAGGTGGTAACCCGCGCTATCGTGGTGACATCAACATCCTTCTCTGTGGTGATCCGTCCACATCTAAGTCTCAGATTCTCCGCTACGTCCACAAGATCGCGCCACGAGGTGTTTACACCAGCGGCAAGGGTTCATCCGCCGTCGGTCTTACGGCTTATGTGACCCGTGATCCTGAAACCAAGCAGATGGTCCTCGAGTCGGGTGCTCTGGTCCTCTCAGATGGCGGTATCTGCTGCATCGACGAGTTTGACAAGATGAACGAATCGACGCGCTCCGTTCTGCACGAAGTGATGGAGCAGCAGACCGTGTCCGTCGCCAAGGCAGGTATCATCACGACCTTGAATGCCCGGACCAGTATTCTTGCTTCAGCGAACCCTATCGGCAGTCGGTACAACCCGAACCTCCCGGTTCCGCAGAACATCGATCTGCCCCCGACCTTGTTGTCTCGATTCGACTTGGTCTATCTGGTTCTGGACCGGTCGAACGAGTCGGATGATCGTCGCCTGGCCAAGCATCTTGTCAACATGTACTTGGAGGACAAGCCCGAAAACGCAAGCAGCGAGGAAGTCTTGGTAAGTCGAGAAGAAAGCCAACTGTGAAACCCTGCTGACCGTCATGACTCTACAGCCTATCGAGTTCCTCACAGCCTACATCACCTACGCCAAAACCAAGGTGCATCCTGTGCTCACACCTGCTGCCGGCAAAGCTCTGTCTGATGCGTACGTTAACATGCGCAAACTTGGCGACGACATCCGGTCAGCAGATCGCCGTATCACCGCGACTACTCGTCAACTGGAATCTATGATTCGACTGTCGGAAGCGCACGCGCGGATGCGCCTGTCTACCGAGGTGACGGCAGACGATGTGGAAGAAGCCGTGCGCCTCATCCGGTCGGCAATCAAGCAGGCTGCTACGGACGCGCGCACCGGTCTGATCGATATGGGTCTGCTAACGGAGGGCACCAGCGCCAGCGAGAGACGCAACCGGGAGGCGATCAAGCGGGGAGTGCTTTCGATGGTGGATGAGCTGGCCGGCTCAGGTGGTACAGCTCGCTGGTCAGAGGTCTTCCGTGTTCTGAACGACCAGAGCAGCGCCGGCTTGGACAACACCCAGTTCACGGATGCGGTCCGTGCTCTGGAAACCGAAGGCCTCGTCAACATTCTGGGAGACGGCCCGCGACGAAGCATCCGACGCGCCGGGGGCGCGCTTCCCTGAGCTGACCCGGAGACTACCTAGATGATGAGACTACGATGCCATGGACTTTATAATTTTCGGATCGGTGCGATTTCCTGTTCGGCACTTGCCTTGCCACTTCTGGGGGACGGTGTCTGGTGTTTGTTGATCCAGTTCCATACGTATACCGCAGAATCAAAGTATCAAAGAATTTAATAGACATTCAATGGATTTGTCTTGTGCAATCCCTTTTTTCTCTTGGTCTTTATCTTTCTCTTTCTTTCTTTCTTTCTTTCTTTCTTTCTTTCTTTCTTTCTTTCTTTCTTTCTTTCTTTCTTTCTTTCTTTCTTTCTTTCTTTCTTTCTTTCTTTCTTTCTTTCTTTCTTTTTTTTTTTGTTTGCCTCTCTTCCTGAAACCACGCAAATAGAACCCAGAACGGCTAGCCTGTCGAAACTGCACTGTAGCACACGCACCACCTAGCCTCTCCCTGTCATGCCGGCCCACCACCCTCTCACAGACTCACACGTCGCAGTGGGGTTAAATCTTGTCAGATCTCGCGTGCATGCGCACGTCCGTACGTACGTAGTATGTATGTACGTCAGAACTTTGACGGATTCGACCCGGTTCGGCTTCTCACATAATATCAGATACTAATGTAACGGCGATCCCTCAAGCTCCCACTGCCAGCAGATCAGACGCATGTCTATTTCCTGCAGGATCTGCCCCACGGGAACGAGCCAGCCATCCGACTGTGGTAACTGGTAGCTGGTACCTGGTACGGAGCACTTTTGAAGGAATCCTAGGCAGATCGACCGGACTACTACAGAGGACTACGGCGCCACCCGATGCAAAGAATAAATAAGGTGAGCGGTTGTGGATGTGAAAACGGTATTCTGACTGTATCTACGGAGTATCTCCGTAGTAGTTAAGGTACCTTAGTTACTGGTGAATACATATGGGTGTCAGAGGTAGGTGCCTGGACCAAGCTCCGAGGAATTTATTTGTATAACTAGTGGGTGTGCAGATTAGTAACCTGATTTGCTCATTATCATTCAAAGATCAGACAAAATGACTTGAGTAAGTGTCAGCGAAAGTCCTAAGTATATGTCTACTATGTACTGGGGAGAATGTGCAGATACCAATTATGTGAGATGCCCGGCGGTTGAGTGACATGACAAGAAAAGGTACAGTAGTATAGTAGGTAGTAAGTAGGTATGTAGTATGTATATGACTGTCGCCATATTAGGCAGGTGTTAATCTCAATCTTCCATGGTAAAATAAACATACCACAACGTCTAGATACCTAGACAGTCCAGCCCTGGTGAGTGGTGGTATCCACGATTTCAGGTAGCAATATACAAGGGTCCCCTGTCCTCTCCACGTAATCTTTCCAAGTAGATATATAGTAATAAATTACCGGAACCAAGCTATCCATACAGCTAATGTTTAGTTACTAGTTAGTTGGAAAGAGAACCGAGTGGCTCGAATAAAAGAATAACATAAGATGATGATAATAACAGTGGCGGTCGTGAAACTCGTAAATAATTTCTCTTCGGGTTTCCCGTGTTGAGCATAGAGTAGATCGAAGTATGTACGCACGCACGGTATCTAGACAGTAGCCCGTGTGCCGTGTCCTTGTGTCCTGGGTCCTTCATACCTACCTACCTACCTGCGGAAGATCCGATATTTCTGTCCTACTCCCTCTACCTATCTAGTGTACCTAAGGTAGTAGTGTCTAGGGCACACAGAACAAATAAATATAACAGTAGGTAGTAGTCCTATCTTCCGGGTCGTGGCGTTGAAGCCGATTGGATCTGGAGGGGAGACACCGGCGCACGTTGGCTGCCGGGGAGGTATGCTCCGTCGATGGAGGCCTAGCCTAGTCTTAAATAGAGGAACGAAGGCCTGGATAGATAGACTAAGTAGATATTCACCAGTCGATGTTCCTGCACGGTTAGCTCAACGGTGGCGTTAGGCTGCTTGACCGGGTGTTACATGTGCTGCAGGCTGTGAAACTAGTCAAAGTAGTGTCTGTGCTGGGCTGGATCGGAACCAGGGTGCCTTTTCCGAGGGTTGGAGTAGAGGGAGGGAGGCTGGCCGGTGAACCGAACTGAGGGTTGAGTGTAGTTAGTTCGTAGTTGCGCTAGACGGGTAAATTGCCTTCTGGATAGGAGGGATTATCCAGATGCCGGGTGAAAAGAAAAATTATTTCCAGGCTGGGTTGAGTGGTAATGTTGCGAATACCTACTTTATTCGGTTCGATATGGAGGATCTTGTCATATATGGTGGTCCATCTTACAGAGGCATGTGTATTACCAATGGGTCGGCAGATACACGGCGGTATTTTAAGTGATGAAATGACGGGGTGGGGGCTAGACCGAAAGCAGGCAAGCGGGAAACTGTTAGGCCAGCACCTGCTGAATCGAGTGGCTGAGAATGCATCCAGGCATATGGATCCCTCCCGGCCGGCTAGTGAGAGAAGCTATGGGTTTAGCTGGAAGAAGGGTTGGATTGACAGTCTAGCCGGCCTGGCCTTCAACTGTTCATGATGATGGTTATTATTCTTCTTTACTGTGGTTAGTTAGTTGTACGCGGAAGAATCCACTGGATGGATACGCCAATGGCAGGGGCTACCGGGACCAGCCAGGGCCCCCGATAGTAAGGGAGCCTTGTTATCGGGTCGAGTCACGGGTTGACGTCTTCTCGCCCCGGCGCAAGTAAGGTTAGCATCATCAGCTTCTCTCTGTCTGTCTCTCTTGCTTGCGCCCCTCCCCACTGTCTGCTCGCGACGCCTCTCGCCTAGCATTAGCATCGTTTTCTCTCCGATTAGGCCCTTTCCTGTCCGGGTCTCCTCTCTATCCGCTCGCCTTTCCGTTTTTCTCACACGACCGCCTGCGTTGCTTCCGCCATGAGCTCTACCTCCGCCGTCTAACAATCCCAATCCCTACCCCCCCCCCTCTCTCACCGATTGTCTCCCCCAAACCCGCCTTCGCCCCCCTCGCATTCTCCCTCTCTGCCTCTCTGGTCTGCTGCCACCCCCCCAAGTCTGTCAATTGAGTGATTCACCATGAGGTTCGTGACACCCCCAATCGCTCCTGCAGGGAGCTGGCCAGCTTACCCCTTCGTCTCACTGCCAGGTTCGGGGAACATCTCCGATCTTCCATGATCAAGGAGTACTACTGGTACTACATTGCCTACGAGGACCTGAAAAAGGCCCTCAAGACCGGATACATTGCGGAGCCCACCCCCGAAAATGCAAGGCCCGACCGCCAGCCCTGGTCCGAGGATGACGAGAAGCACTTCGTGACGCTGCTGGAGAGCGAGCTTGACAAGGTCTTCAACTTCCAGAGAATCAAGAGCGCCGAGATCGCCCGTCGCATCCAGTCCAGCGAGACCGAGGTCACGGATGTCGTTTCGCGCTTGGACAATGCCTCCACCTCTCGGTCTGATAATGCTTCAAACACCCGTTCTGGCCGGGCGCCGCCTTCCGACGAAGACTTCTTGCTGCTCGAACAATCCCTCAGTGACATCATTGCCGACGTCCATGACCTGGCCAAGTTCACACAGCTCAACTACACCGGTTTCCAGAAGATCATCAAGAAACACGATGTATGCATTGCGGGCCTGATTTGACGCTGTCCTTCACCGGGGAAAATGACCAAGCTGGGTGCTGACTGTTGGCTCTAGAAAGAAACCGGATGGCACCTCAAGCCCGTCTTTGCGGCGCGGCTCAACGCCAAACCATTCTTCAACGACAACTACGATGCGCTGGTCGTGAGGTTGTCTAAGCTCTACGACCTCGTCCGTACCAAGGGAAACCCCGTCAAGGGTGATTCGTCCGCCGGAGGGAGTCAGCAGAACTTCGTCCGTCAGACAACCAAGTACTGGGTCCACCCTGACAACATCACCGAACTCAAGTTAATCATCCTTAAGGTATGGAACACGTCTCTGACCAGCTAGCTCTCCATACTGCATACTGACTAAACCAGCACCTTCCCGTGCTCGTTTTCAACTCCAGAAAGGAATTCGAAGAAAAGGACGCTGCTATATCGTCGATCTATTACGACAACACCGATACCTGGGAGCTATACCAGGGGCGCTTGAAGAAAACAGAAGGAGCCGAGGCTATTCGACTGCGTTGGTATGGTGGCATGGAGAGTGACCAGATCTTCGTGGAGAGAAAGACCCATCGTGAGGATTGGACGGGTGAAAAGTCGGTCAAGGCGCGCTTCTCTCTCAAGGAGAAGCACGTTAATGCCTACATGGCTGGTCGCATGACGGTGGAAAGCATCTTCGAGAAGATGCGCCGGGAAGGCAAGAAGAGCGAGGAGGAAATCTCCAGTCTCGAGCAATTGGCGCGGGAGATCCAATATCGTGTCATCACGCGGAAACTGGTGCCCGTCAACAGATCCTTCTACCATCGGACCGCCTTCCAGCTTCCCGGAGATGCTCGAGTGCGTATATCTCTCGATACAGAGTTGACAATGATCCGGGAGGACAACCTCGACGGTCGCCAGCGCGCTGGTGAGAACTGGCGACGAATGGACATCGGTGTGGACTATCCTTTCTCTCAACTTCCTGCCGAGGACGTGGAGCGCTTCCCCTACGCCGTTCTGGAGGTCAAGCTCCAAACCCAAGCAGGCCAAGAGCCTCCCCAATGGATTAGGGATCTGACGGCCAGCCACCTGGTCGAAGCGGTTCCGAAATACAGTAAATTCATCCACGGCACCGCGACCCTCATGCCTGACCGCATCAACCTTCTTCCTTTTTGGATGCCCCAAATGGATGTTGACATCCGGAAGCCCGCAACGCGCAAGTTTGGTATCCAACGCCCCCCGGCCAGCACGACATTGTCTACCACGGAGACGCCAGAGGATGATGAATCAGACGACGAAGACGCAAACGAAGCCCGATGGGCGGAGGGCGTGGACAGAGCTCAGACCATCGATCAAGAAGCCCTGTTTGCAGAGACGGATGGGAATGCTCTTGACATCGAAGAGCGCATCGCTGCAATGCCACTCCCTGGAGACGAGGACTATCCGCTATACGACTCTGATGTAGAGTCCGTCGACTCCGATGAGCTGGAAGAGGCGCGCCGTGTTGGTGGCACATATTACTACAAGCAACTGGCAAAGTACTACGCCCACCAGACCGGAAATGCCCTGGTACACGGCCTCATGGCACTGATCCCACGACCCCGACCAACCAGCCTCCCTCCCCCCGAGCAAAACGGAATAGCCGTACTAGGAAACCAGCGAACCGTCAAACGGTTCCAAGCCCCCAAGGGCAAGCGTAAGTCATCCCTATTCCCCCACCCAGATCTCATAAAAAACCAACCCCTAACCCGGCACAGGCATCTACGTCCCAGTCCGCGTCGAACCCAAGGTTTATTTCGCCGCCGAGCGAACCTTTCTCTCCTGGCTGGAATTCTCCATCATCCTCGCCACCATCGCCGCCACCCTCCTCAACTTCGGCGACGACTACATCACCTTCGTCTCCTCCTGGGCCTTCACCATCCTCGCCGCCGGCGCCCTCATCTACAGCCTGATGCTGTACATCTGGCGTGTCGACAAGATCCGCAAACGCCGCGACGTCAAGCGTGTCTACTACGAGAAATGGGGTCCCACCGTCGTCGGCCTCGGCCTGGTGGTCATCATCATGGTCAACTTTGGTTTACGGGCTCGCGAAGCCTCCTTTTTGGCTAAGGATGGGAATCTCGATTTCGATGTTCCCCATGGTGGGGACTTGTGATCGGATCTTTTACTCATCCTTGTCCCAATTTCATTATTCGTTCATATGATACAACCTTCCAATCATCCAATCATCCTCGTCTTTTGATTATTAAAACCCTTGCGTTGGATCAGTAAGCAAGCAAACCGTCTCTCTGTCTATCAGCCTGCCTGTCTTCTAGGCTATCTTCCTCTTGGGAATGTTGGTTTTCATCCACTTGTTTGTCGGCGTCCATCTGTCTGCTTGCCCTTTTCTTTTCTTTCCCATTGTATGTCGCGACGAGAAGAGTGTATTGATTAAGAGTGAGTCAGTATCGAGTACCTGTACAAAAGCATGCATGAGCTTGAGGTTCAGTCTGAGTTTGTGTTTAAGTATATTTTAGTTTTATTTGTTATTTTTGCTTTGTTTGTTCCGTCCTGTTTATCAAATACCAGATCCTGCTCGTCTTGTCTGCCCTGTCTTGTCTTGTCTGTCCTGTCCTGTCTTATCTTGTCTGTCCTGTCCTGTCTTATCTTGTCTGTCTGTCTGTCTGTTCGTCCTACGATGATGATTTGATTACTCTGATGCGAGCTGGATATGGGAGAGTGAGTGCGTATGTGCTAGAAAGAGGAGAGAAAGAATTGGTATATTTATTTCTGGCGGTTCAATCAGTCAGTGTCACTACTACAGAATAAATGAAATCAAATTATAATTATGGTGATGGTTACGGTTATACAATTCGAGTAGAGACTAGGAGCATGATTTTGCCTGCATGATGCATGGTTACTTGCTTATTAGTTGATTGGTTGGTTGGTTGATAGATAAATAGTTAAGTAAGGCATGAAGTCATATAATAGATAGCTCGTACTAGGTATGGCTAGTAGTATTAGTTCATGGGTTAATGTTAACAACCGGATTAACCGTATCATCGAGACTGACAGCGTCCGGGTTCGACTTCTCGACTCCGGAGTATCGGTTCAGCCAGCCTAGGACCTGCTGGTGCCAGACGAGGCTGTTTTCTTGGCCGGTTACCCTGCATCAAGACATGTCAATTTCTGATGTACTTTCTCTTCTTTATTCTGTTCTATCAATGTCTCTCTTCTCCTTTTTTTTCTTCTTTCTTTCTTTTTGCTTTTGCTTTTTGATATATTTCTGCAAAGGGAAGGAGGGAGGGAGGGAAACATACCAATGATCCTCATCGGGGAAATTCAAAAACCGACTGGGCACGCCTCTCTCCTGGAGAACATTGAAGAGCGCGATACCCTCAGAGACAGGGACACGGTAGTCCTTGTCGCTGTGGATGACCAGCTGGGGGGTACTGAATTGGAGGACCCGACCGGGGCCAGAGGGATCCCAGTTGTGGTAGTTGTCTCGGGTTGTCCAGAAGGTTCCGTTGAACTGTAGTTTATGATAAGTGATACTGACAAGCCGAAGGCGGGAAGAAGGGATGGAGAGAAGAAAAACAAAACGCACGTCATGTTCAATAAACCACAGCTCGTCTGTAGCGATCATGGCGTCGCCAATGAATGAGCCGTCGTGGGAGACAAGAGCTTTGAATTTACGACCGAACTCGCTGCCTTGAATCCAAGTGATCATGTAGGCGCCATAGCTGGCTCCTGCGGCGACGCCGTTGTCTGTGTCGACGAAGTCGAGGTGGTCGTGGACGTATTGCCATGCTTTGACGAGGTCATCGTAGGGAGCGCCGCCTGGGAGGTGTAAGCATATGACTTATACTTGATTGTGTTCAGAGGAACGTACCCCAGTTGTTTTGGATCGCATCGGTGAGGGCGTCACCGAACCCAGTACTTCCTGTTGGGTTGGGTGCGATGACGACGTAGCCCTGGTCGGCGAAGACCTTGGGGTTCCAGCGCGTGCTCCACGAGTCCCTCCAAGCACCTTGGGGACCACCGTGGATGAAGAGTGCTAGAGGGTATGTCTTCGTCTTATCAAAGCCTTGTGGGTAGATGATCCATGAGTGGAGCTGACTGCATTCAGTATAATTGTGAGACGAAGAAACAAGGAGTTGACATACAGTGGTCCAATTGCCCTGGTAGTAGAACTCGTCAATATCAGCGGGTCCAAGTCCACTAAGCTCAGGGTCAATCTCGTTGGCTGATGCCAATGTCTTGATAACACTCTGGCTTGGACTTGCTGTATATACATTCCAGTTCGTCCAGATAGCGCTTCCAGTGACAAGAATGGTAGAGTCAGGTAGAACGTAGTGTGCGGACACAGAGCCACCATCCGTGAAGTTAGTCGGCTTGAAGTCATCCCCAGCAGTCACCGGAATGGAGAATAGCCTGGTTCGCGCCAGATCTTCGCTGGTCACGACCAGGTTGTCTGAACCGACCCACTTGACGGAGTCTGGAGAGCGATCCCAGTCCTTTGCAAGGCTTGGAATAGTCTCATCAGAACCAATCGTATAAACGTACAGCGTGCGACGGTCCGACTCATACTCTCTATCCGCCATCTGGAAATATGCCACCTTATCGCTCTTCGGAGAAAACACCGGATAGCTCGAATCACCCTCGATCCCTGTAGGCGTAGCAGCACTATCGGGCCCATTTATCGCGAACGCTTTCGCAGACCCATCATGCGGAACAAGATATATATATGACGCAGTATTATTAGCCAAAGGCAGCTGCGGGGCCTTGCTCTTGAAGACCACCCATTTCCCATCAGGCGAGAGGTCATAATCAGAATTTCCTCCGAACGGCGGGAATGGACTCTCTGCACCCTTGACCGGATTGACCAAGTTCTTCAGAGTCTCCGCACCGGTATACTGAGCTTTCCCGCCCTCTGCGGGCGTATTCTGCAATGTGCCCGAAAAAACAGCGTGAGAGATCGGAGTCAGCCAAGTATCCCAATGGCGCGGGAAGATGCTATCGTAGATGCGAGCGGAGCTGGGTAGCGTTGCTGCGAGTTTATCATTGTACACGGTGCCATTTGGATAGGACTTTCCACGCAAGATGTATCGCACGTCTCCCGAATCTGTCACGACGGATTTAATTCCCAGCAAGTTGGCTGGTAGGGACGCGGCTTTGTATCTGTGAAGTACATCATCAGCAAGAGGCTCCTCCACGTCGGAACTATATGATCTAACTGACCCATTGGCAAAGCTAGAAGTATCTGATATCCACAGTTCCACAGCCCCGGGGATCTGCGCATTGGTATTGTTGATATAAAGGACGGTGGAAGCGTCAGAGCCTAGCCAGATGACCTCCGAGACATGGCTGTCATTGGTAAGTGTACTGATTTCTCCCGACTTGAGGTCGATCAGGCTCCACCACGTGTGACTCGAGTGGGTGTCAAAGGAGTATTGCGACGTCGAGAACAGTCCGGTATCCTGAACCCATCAGCAAACCGCAGGCTACCCAATTCAACCGAGCATCGCAAAGTGACATACCCCCGATGGGTTAGGAACAACTTCGGATCTCCGTGGGGCGCTGATAAACTGGCTATACGCGGACGCGTTAGATGTTGACAGCAACACGGATAGGATAAATAGAATACTCACTCCGGAGTCAAGGCAGACACTGTGGATGCCGCAGCTGCGGCGACGGACAGCCACCGTAGAGCACCCATGTTGAGCAAGATAGCTTTGGATGTTTCACGGAGACCAGGAATGAGCGATGAAACAAACGGCAGCGTGACAGGGCGGATTGGTTATTTATGGCCGAAGTAGGACCGCATTCACCACCTGCCTAATCGGGGAGTTGCCAGCCAAGCAAGGGCGGAGTAAACAAGTCGAGCCCGCCTTGGGTTACAACGCCAAGGAGGCCTCATTCCTGGCCTCCCTCGGGGCATCTGGGCCTCAGGGTCATGGTGTGGTCATGGCGTGCTTGTCTGGGGGACTGACTATCTATCATTCGGTAATTGGGGTCCGGAGACAAGTGAAGGGTGATCATAATGCGTCTACCTAAAGGCGACGGGTAAACGAGACAAGGTGTCGAGACAGGGATATGCCCTCGAAGCAAGGGTGACATTCTAATCCGAGCTTCGTTCTCAATAAAAGCTTGGTAGTAGATCCTGTCCGAGGTCCCTAGCTGAAGATGAAACAGCAGTTGCGACGCATCAAAAGCTACGGATGGAATGTGCCCTTACAGAGGCACAGAGGCAGATCGGTCTAGTGCATTGTGTCGCTCAGAACCCGACACACCAAGGCGGTGATTAGAACAAGACATTACATGTACATATACTCCGTGCCTCTCATCCAATCCATCAGAGACATGCAGGAACCCAGATCCCTCAGTATTCAAAATCATCATCCACGCCCTTCTTACCTGCACTCTCCTTCTGGACTGCTTCCTGCTTGCGATACATCTCCGCCACGGCCCGCGTGGTCGTCGCTTGCTCGGGCTTCTTGTCGTCTCTGGATTTGATGAACCGCGGGAATCGAAGGGACACGCCCTTTCCGCCCCCGGTGGTCCCCATGAATTCATCCGCAGCCGCCTGATAGCGCGGACTGAGCGTTAGGTCCGCAGTCTTGACCTCCCAGACGAGTCGGGGTTCAAACCACACGTCGGGTTGGTCCTTGGGGACAGTCGAGTGAGAGTAGAACGGCTTGGGCCGATCAATGGTAAGAGGGGAGAGTTCTTTGTACATTTCTTCCAAAACGGCTTCCGAGAATCCCGTGCCAATGTTGCAGATCGTCTCATACGCCTGCGTGCTCGAGTTGTAGGCGGCTAGAAGGAAGGCTCCGTAGACCGAAGTCCGCTTGCCTCGGCCATGGTAGGCACCGAGGACTACAAGGTCGAGAGAGTCACCGACTCCACTGAGATAATCCTTCTTGACCTATTCTATGGGTCAGTAATCAAGTCCAAGATGGATTGATGTTTTGATACAGCGTGCTCACCTTGAGCCAGTTCCGACTACGTTTGCTGGGTTCGTAGCCACTTTCCTCAGTGTCCAACATCTTCACCATCAGCCCTTCACATGATGCCTTGACACTGTCGTCAAGCAGAGTCTGAATCTCGTCAAGTACATTGGTATTCCCGTATTGAGCAAATTGGAATTCGCCCTCGGTGACTTGGAAGGATTGGTGCATCAGTTCACGACGCTCCCGTAGACTCTTTTTAACTGTAGGCTATTGCATCAGTCAGCAGGCGAAATCATTGATGCATGGACAAAAGATATTACCTCTCCGTTCAAAAATAGCAGGTCAAAGGCATATATGCAAACTTTGACCTTGATATCCTCTGCTTTGACATCCTTCCTCTTGCGGGTCATAAGTTGCTGGAACGGCAGGACTTTCTTGTTGACCGTGTCCCAGGCCACAGTCTCACAGTCCAGTACAAAGCTCGTCACGCCCTCTTTGATCCAGCTGTCAAGCTTGGCTAGCACATCAGGGTACTTCTTCGATAAGTCTTCGGAGTTACGAGAGAAGATGGCGCTGAGGCCTTTGCTGTCCTTTTGCAGCGTGGCGGTCGCCCCCGGATATTGGTCGATGGAGTCAGGGGCGACAAAGTGGATCTGTGCTCTCTCACCATCGTATTTGTACTCGCAGGTGAATTCTTTCCCCTCAAAGCGGTCCAGCACCTCCGTGATAGACTTGGTTGGCTTTGCAAGCATAGGCTTGAGGGGAACACCTGGTTGCAGCTTACAAACCTTGCGCAAGTTGGACAGACCGTGCTCGAGAATGGCAGGAATGATCACCTCATATGATGGCAGTTCGCTGTACACGGTCTTCAAAGTCGCCTCGCCTTCCGCCAATTTCTCAGCGGAGGGGGTCTTCTCGCCGTTCGAAGCGGCCTCGTGCGCGACTACCGCCTGAGCAAGGGCGACAAGCACAGTCCTTTCCGCCAGTCCAAGTCTGAGCTTTCCTTCCAGGAACCGAATGATAAATTTGGCTTCGCTAGGTCCACCTTTGTCCTTGGTGATATCGATTCCTTTGCTTCCTTTGCCCGCCGAGGCGGAGTCAGCAGCCGAGAGGAGCTTCTTGATACCGGAGATCTTTTTGTCTTGAGAACCGTGACCTTGGACCTTCGCAATGGCGAGAAGACCCTCGTGCACGCCTCGGACCGTGAGGGGCTTCGGCTTGAACATAGTCGGCTGGTTGGATCGACTCTTGGCGGCAACCAGGCCAAGATCTCCGATTTCGTGCTGGTCTGTCTTGATCACAGCTAAGCTCCGCCCAGTACTCTCGCCAATGGCCTTCATGATGAGGGACTCGCCAATACCAAGCTCAATTCCTGCATAGTCCGCGGCTAATTTGTTGATCATAAGTTGAACCGTGGGGAGCAAATCATTAGGTGTCAAGCGCATTACTTGGCGAAGGAAGAGAGAGCAATGGGCCATGATGACCAATCGTTTCGTGGTCATCTCAACCAGTGAAAAGGTGGTACAGAGAGCGGCATATGGAACCGGGTCGCCAGCCTTCCAGTCGGGATATGGCTCAGTTCCGCTTGCCTGCAATGTCGCTTGGGCCTTCGCAATCTTTTTCTTTTTTAACTCGGGCTTCTCGTCATCATCCTCGCTAGCGGAAAGTGCTTCCTCCTCTCCTTCCTCCTTATCTGAGACTTCCAGGTCTTTCTCGGGTGTCTTTTCTCCTGATGCCTTTTCGATAACAGGCGGGGGGGAGGCCTTTTTAGGAGAGCGCCTTTGAGGACTCTTGGGCGGCGGCGAACTCTTTTTCGGGGTGGAGGTTGTGTCGTCTTCACGGGCAGTTTTACGGCGGCGCTTGTTTGCAGGCTGAACATCGCTGTCTTCACCTTCGCTGCTGTTCTCTCTCTTCAATCCATTTGTATCTTGGGGCTCTTCTTTCTTGACGGCCTCTGGTTTGGAGCCAACAGACTCTTCGGCATCATCGCTTCCGTGTCCGTTAGTGGCACGTCCATTGGCAGGCGCAGTTTCTTGCGGCTGTTCTGATTCAGTTGTATCTTTCTTCGTCTTGCTCTTCTTGTTGCCAAAGGCTAACGTGGTTTGCTTCTTGGGGGCGTCTTTCGAGTCTGCGTTCGAACCAAAGAATCTCCTGGAAGGGGAAAGGCACACGTTAGCGTCCTGCACAAGAATGGTAAAATGGATGCATCCGAGTTCTTGAAAAATTCAGACGCACCCAAGAGTCAACTGGGAATCTCGAGCATACCCCAGAGTAGCTTGCTTCCTGCCTTTCGAATCTGCCATTGTAAGAAATGCGCTTGGTGCGCTCGGACAAATGGTGCTGGAAAACCCCCTCGTCCGCCTATAGACTCCAAATCGCCCCGTTGGCGAGGTTAGAGATTGAGGGTTTACTTTCGATAATGCGCCGTAGAGAATTGAATGATAGCTGGTGGGAGCTAGAGCCCAAGAGATAGATCTCCTGCAAGGGTGTCGCAATAGTGGCGTAAGAAACGCGGAAGAATGAAGGATGGGCATAGACGTTATTCTAAACGTCCTTGACCCTAGAGGCGATGGAAATGCGGAGTTATATGTTGCGATGCTCGAGTTCCATAAATCAGGCACACCACTCGGTCGAGGCTGCTGCCTTCGAGCAGGCGGACGGGAACGCGACGTGACGTGACGCGAGATTAATTGGAGTCACGTGAGAGCCTTCCCGACATCGGCTGGGGGCTTGCGCGGTCAACTTCATGGCTTGCAGCTAACTATTATCACTGGACATGGCAAGTGCACCTCCAAAGCAATTGAGAGGTTTTAAATTTCAGACTTGAAAAGATACTACGCCGCATTCGATGCAGCTGCCTGCTGCAGCAAGAGCGGAGAAGGATTCTCAAACAGTGCAAACACCTCAGCACTCACCGCTCCGAACTGCGGGCAGAAAGCGGGGAAGTCAAGGCGGCGAGAGATTATCGATCATGGCTCCGCGGCTGCATCTCCAACTCTCGACTTCATCTTCGGTGCAGAAAGCTCAAATACCTCGGAAGGATTCTGATGGCTGAAGGGCCCTTCATGCTTTTCTTTCCAGCCAGCATCCAAACCCTCTGCCGATCATGGAGATGTCTCGTCAAGAGGCTTTCACTAAGGTACGAACTCCGCTGACGTCGTCATAGGCCGACATGCTAATAAGAGCCGAAGCTCAAACCACCATGCGTCGAGTTAAGTGCTGTGGGGTTGCGGTTTCGTGGGAACCAAGCAACGCCAAATGATGTCTTCCGGGCTCTCAATTCGCTATATATAGTGTTGGTTCAATTAGCGGATAAGGACGCGCTGGATGAGAAGCTAGCGGAATATGCATTCTTTCCACTATGCCATATCTTCAACGAAACCCAGAGGACCCCGGTCAATTCCCTTGAGGTGTCCGTCAAATGCTTGAGAATCCTTGTGGGGAAGGGATGGCGAAGACGGCTATCCCCCCAGATGGGCAAGCAGCTCATGATCTTGCTGACATTGATCGTGGGTGGGACACCGAATAAATCGGGTGAAACTCAATCCGCGCAGATTCGATCGCCGGAACTCTCCATTGCGGGATATGACTGCCTCTTGGTCATTTTCAATGCTTTGGAAGGACCCGTGGCGACAGAGACAGTCTACCACGAGATTGGCACCGCAACTGTCGTTGACCAAACGGTTTATCTTTTACTCGAAGGTGTTGTGGATGAAGGGTCAGATGAGCTTTGCATCTCTGCGGCCAAGGCACTCCAGGCGCTCTTTCAGCGCATCACAGATCGGGTGGTGCTGGCCAGCATCATGCCGCGGACAGTCTCAACTCTGACCAAAGTTATAAAACCGACGACTCAAATAAGACGGTCATTCAGGCTCCTGTCGACTTGTCTACAGATCTTTAATTATCTAGTGAAGATGGTGCTAAACGACCGTGCCTCAAAAGTTCCTGAAAAGTCGGCTCCATCCCCAAAGGCAGATGATCCACTCGTGCTTGACGGGTCTTGGTTGAAAGCCACGTCCACACAAATAAAACTTGCCCTCGCAAATGTTATCCAGATAAGGCGACACGACCGCCCTGAAGTGCAGGCTGCACTGCTTGAACTTTGCCTAATGATAGTGGAGGACTGCCAGAACACGCTTCAGGAGGCACTGCCTATCATTGTCGAGACTGTCGTCGTGTTAGCGGATGTGGATGAAAGTCAAACACCAAATGAGGCGTTTATGGCACTCAAGCATCTTGCCACCACTTATCATGTGGTGGTAGACTCTCTGAAAAACTCTCTCCACACTTGGGTTACTGCCTTCCCCAGAACAATGCAGAGCAACGATGAAACGGCGAAACAGTGGGCAGTCAAACAGATTTCAACTGCGTTTCAGATACTATCGCAGGTTCAATCGGGATCCGACATCCTTGTCAATAACCTGGCATCGGGAATATGCGATAGTGTTGCAGTCGCTGTCAATCAATCGACAAATGCCCTCCAGCCTCTAGGATCTGGTATCTCAGACAACCAGACTCTGGCAGTCCTCCATAATGGGAGTCAATCCTCCTCGTTTCCCACACTTATCTTGGAACATAGGAGCCAGCAAAAAACACTCGATGATCTGCGGTCCATGATTGTCAAGCTCAACGCATCTGAATCCGGAAATGAGATCACACGAATCATCATTAACCGAGTTCACCGAGAGCACGGGAATTCGCTCGTTGCACCCTTCTGGCTAGCACTGTCATTTCTCAATAGCAACACCCAACTCACGTCAGTATTCGACGACTTCATCTCATCAGATGAGCTTGAACCTTCAAGCCAAAATTTGACAAGAGCTAGCATGATTGAAGAGCTATACTACGTTTCATTGTCCATAATTAACGAACCGCTGGCCGACGAGCTCGGTGACTGGCGAGTACAGGCACTTGCCTTGGAAGTCGTTGCCCTCCAGGCACAGCAGCTCGGGGAGGCATTTCGTCCCGAGTTGATGGACGCACTATACCCTGTCCTTCAATTACTCGCATCCAGCAACCCGAGCCTTCAGAAGCACGCTATGACGTGCCTCAACATCCTTACCACCGCTTGCAATTACGGAGACGCCAGCACGATGATCATCGAAAACGTCGACTACCTTGTGAATTCAGTGGCATTGAAGCTAAACACTTTTGATGTATCACCATACCCGCCACAGGTTTTATTAATGATGGTGAAACTATGTGGGGTGCGGCTAGTCCCCTACTTGGACGATCTGGTAGACTCTATATTCAGCATCCTGGACATGTACCACGGATATCCTCGGCTCGTGGAGATGATGTTCCGGACTCTGGCTTCCATTGTCGAAGAAGGCACCAAAAGCCCATCCTTCCTCGCGATCGGCGATGGCACAGAAAACGCAGGCGTTAATCACCGCAAGAAGCAGTACGAGAAACTTCAAATGTCAACGCTGGCAAAAGACCTTGCTTATCGCAGAGCAAAACGGGCAGAATTGGCCGAAGAGATTGGCGAGGCTGACGAGATGATTTCGCATCCGAAAAAACCTTGGACCAGGGAGCCCGAAAAGGCCGAGCAGCAAGACCCAGACATCGACCCCAATCCAGACACCTTTTCCGAGCTGCTCAAGGAGCAAGAGTCCGATGAACCGCTCCCTCCACCCCGCGAACCCGAAGACAGCGAGAAGCCCTTAACCAAATCACACACGCTTCTTCTCCACATCGTCAAATCCATCCCATCTCACATGTCATCCCCCTCCCCATACCTACGCCGCTCTCTCCTCTCAATCCTCATCGACGTCTTCCCAACCCTCTCCCCCCACGAGAACAGTTTCCTCCCCCTAATCAACGACCTCTGGCCCTCCGTCGCATCCAGAATCAGCTTTCCCACCTCCTTCAGCGACCCCACCTCCTCCACCACCTCCTCAACCTCCACCACCCTCATCCCAACCCACGCCCCCACCCCCCCAGAAATCGCATCCACGCGCCTCAAAAAGAACGCCAGCGAATTCGACTTCCAGGAAGAAATCTTCGTCTCCACAACAGCCTGCAAAGCCATCGAAACGATCTGCAAATCCGCCGGCGACTTCATGGCCTCGCGGGTCGAAACCGAATTCCCGCGCTGGGAACGCCTGTACATCCGCGCCTGGGAAAAAGTCCGCCAGGACACCGACAAAGTCATCGAACGACGGGCCAACCACAAGCAACCCTCCACCTCCACCTCCGCCGAACAACCCTCCAATCCAGACACAGATCCAGATACATCGCTCTCCCTCCCCTTCACCTCCACCTTCACGCAATCCCTATCTCTCACTACAACCGGATCCCACGGCACCCGCAGCTTCACCCCCCACCACACCCTCTGGCGCGCCATGGTGCCCTTATTCGTTACTCTGCTCGCCCACGTCCGCCTCCCGCTATCCATGGGCGACAGGATCTGCGAGTTCCTTGGTGCGTGGATTGTCAGATACGCAGGACCGGAGTATTACTCTTCTCGCTCCCAAGTACAGAAAGACCACCCGACACCTGAGTCCGGACTTCCTTCCCTGCGGGTGGAGATCGAGTCGGTTGAGAGCGTGATCCAGGTAATGGAGACGTGGAATGCGGATTTAACATGGTTTATTTTCCAGGAGCAGAGGGCTCAGGTGGTGAGTTTGTTATCGTTGGCTAGGAGGAAGAGGACGACGGCGACGACCAGGATGAGTAGTGTTTCGAAGATCGTGGATTTGGATGAGGAGCCGTTGAAGGCGTGGTCTGTACCGGGGACGAGGCTGAGGTTCGCAGAAATGGTCTTTTAGAGCGGTGGTTGAGGGGATGTTGGGGTTGAGTTAAGTACATATAGGTTGCGTTTTAATTCAGGATAGCAATATCATGTGCATCAAAATTTGAGCTGGTTGGTTGGTTGGTAGGCTGGTTGGCTGGTGTCTTGAGATCTGTATGTAGAATTGGACTAGCACACCCTATTCTGAAGGCTGGGCTTTGAACTGGGATGGATCTGGTATGCCTCTCAGTAGACTAGGCTTACCTACCTACTACTACTACTACTACTACTACTACTACTACTATTCATCCACCCATCCACCCCGTAGCCCCACGGTATCTATCCCCCCTCATCGCACCGCTAATCCAAAAAAAAAAAAAAAAAAAGAAAGAATACTTCGACACCCCAGGTTCACAAGCACCCCAAGATACCCGATACCCCCTTCCGTTCTCCCACAAGCACAACAAAAACCCCAAGCATTGAAAATTGTACCAAACAAAGTCAAAAGATTATATATAAAAAAAGAATTACGGACAGGAAGGATTCACTGCTAGTCACCGAGTCAACTAGTGAGCACCACCAAAAAGTAAGATAGGTAGAGAGAGGGTGAGCAAAGGCATAGATAGCGGGAGATACACTGGTGGTCGCCCGCTTTTTTATTATGGTTGTGTTACTCTCTGGACCAATCAGAAGAAGAAAAAAAAGGCAAAAACATACAACAGAAGGGATTCGCTGGTGGTCACCCACCCAACTACTAACCTCCCGGCGTGTGGCTTAAGTACGGCTGAGCGGACGGGAAGCCCTGTTCTCCACACCCTATGGTCGTATGTGCTAAGTTGTAGGTAGAAGGGAATTATATTGAGAGGCATGTTAGAGATGTTTGATTGTTACATAGACCCAAGACTGGCTGCCTGGCGAGAAACAAGTATTATAGTTCCAGCCTTCAATTATATCCTGCAAGAGGCGGACTATGCCGTGATGAGCCACTACCTGACGTACTGCCTCGTAACCATGCCAGAATACGGTATCGACGGTAGCCCCGAGTAGTAGCCTTAGGAGGGTCTTCTCTCTAGTCGAGATGCAATGGGGTTTTGCTGGCCGCATCGACAATCTGATTGGCCCCATTTTCCAGAAGTAGTTGTGCTATACCTCTAGAATGGGCAGATACAGACACCTTCAGTGGTGATTCGCCATTTCGATCCGCGATGTTAGGGTCTGCGCCATTTTCCAGAAGCAGGGCCGTTGATATCGGACATTCCAAGAGAACCGCCTCTGCTAGGGGCGTCTTGCCCCAGATATCTCGGGCATTGACGTCCACACCTTGTTGCAACAGGAGTCTCATCATTGGCAGCAGGCCTTTTGTAGCTGAGAAATGCAAGGGCGTGCGTCCGAAATCATCTTTCGCGTGTGGACTAGCTCCGTTCGCCAGAAGTAGCTGTCCAGCTTCATAATCGTCCGAGCTGCAGGTTTTGATAAGAGGTGTGCAGCCAAGACGGCCTCTGCCTTCAATATTCGCTCCCTTGTTAATCAGAAATAACATTAACATTTCGTCTTTCAACTCCGCTGCCCAATAAAGCGGCACCCTGTGGCAGATGTCACAGAATAAATCCGGATTTGCTCCTTTCTCGAGAAGCATCAAGGCTATATCCACTGCTTTGTTCTTAAGGGCGACGCAAAGTGGCGAGCAATGGCACGGATACCTGGGATTCGGATATGCACCCCTCTCCAGCAGTAGGGCCACGACAGTTGGGTAGCCTTCATGCGAAGCCCACCACAACGGGCTTCTGGCTTGCTGGGCATTGACATCGGTGTTATACATGGTTCTGGAGTTGGCTGTCGTTGCTCCCTCGATATTAGCACCCATCTCTAGCAAAACAATCACAACCTTCATTTGCCCATGAGTGGCGGCGTCTGCTAAAGGAGTTCGACGACAATAAGTCTCGGCTTCTATGTCCGCACCCCATTCCAGCATCATCTTCAACACCCCCAAGTGACCATGTGACGCCGCCTGATGCAGGACTGTGCAGCCATCGTAGCGTTTGGCCCTAACATCTGCCCCGGCTTGAACCAACCGCCGGATTATACTTTCGTAGCCCTGCTGGGACGCCCGGATTAATGCACCAGAATCGTGTTCCCAGTTGCTGAACCCTACTCCTGGCCCCATGTCAAGCAACAGCTGGACAACTTCCTCCAGGCCATTCCAAGCTGCCCAGGAAAGCGTGTTCTGTTCATGCGCGTTAGGGATACGTAGCAGTACGCGAACTAGCGTATAGCCCCGATCCCAACGATAAGTAACAGATATTCTCTGCATGATCACCTTCATGGCGAGCCATCGGCAGGCCATCTTGGGAATACACTGTGCTTGATAAATTACGTCGTCGGCTAAGAGAGTCAAAGCTTTCCTTGTATCACCTTTGCTCAGGTTTTTATGATCGTGATCGTATGACTGATAGTCCGAGTTTCTCTGCTGATGGGTAGCATTCCGTCTCAATCTTTGTTAACAGAGAGAGACAGCGCGCGCGAGGAAGAAGAGAAGAAAAGAGGCGCAAGGGGAAAAGAAAAGAGAAAAAAAGGGAAAGGCAAAGTTCGTACGAGAATGGCCTTGACAATTGACTGTCGGTTCCCCGGTTCAAAGTGAAGGTGCAGTTTCCGGCAACTGCGACGGAGACGCAATGCATCATACAAATCATCCAGGTGCTGGTATGTCAATAAGAGAATCTCACTCGGGAGGTCTACCAGTCCCACCATGTTTGCGGGCAGGGAATGTTGCTTGGTGCCTTTGCAGGACGGGTATTCAGTGCTTGCTCCGGATGAAGGAAAGAGAAGTTGGACTTGAGCTTGAACCGTGACAAAGCAAACTGGTCTGCGGAGTCGTCGTAGGTCCCGCCAGAAGGACTATTCCCGGGCTTCATAACTGGCGGGCGATTCCAGCCGCAGCCCTGCGTGGTACCGGCAAGTACTTAGTAGTGATGCCTACGCGGGCAGCCCCACCAAACCACCAGTATTGCGGCGGTTAGGCAACCACAGGAATCTAAAGGTCAGCAGTAACGCCCGATAGAAGTAAGGAATTGGAAATTAAATATCAAGGTTTGGACGGACCATATGGCAAGAGAACGGAACGAGGCCGTAGGGAGGTGATGGCTAGGTACCCAACTCTGTCGGGAGGAAGAGGGAGGAAGACAGACGAAGAATGAAGGACCCGGAGGAAGAGGCGGCGCAGGGCCAGGCTGTCAGCTTACCATATCCGAGCGCGGTCTAAAATGAGCCTTGCACTAGGCCAATGGTGGGATTGGAAGCGGACATCATTAATAATGAAGATGATTTTGGGAGAAGAGGGAAAGAAAGCGGGGTTCAAGAGGGAGGAAGGCTTCACTACTACTTACCCACCTGGGATTAGTTTCACTGTCAATCCGACCGGGGTCTGTCTACGCAGAATGTCTATCAGAATCATACAAGCCAGATACATCGCCTAGTATCTTAGCAAAATCTGGGGTTCAATAATAAGGCAATATTCAATACTATATCTGTCCTATCCCCGCCACCTTCCTCATGAAAATCAGTCACCGAGTATTCTCCCTGCGTCATCTATAGCTTGTCGAACACAGCAATGGCAGCCTTGGCAGTGGACGTGGAACTGGCTGGATTCTGTCCGGTGACGAGTCGCCCATCTACAACATGGAAATCATCCCAGATCCCAGCTGATCGCTCATCTATTCACAGAATTAGCACCTCATCAAGATCACCAGAAAGAATTGCATCGGCACTTACACTGAGCACCCAAACGCGCAGCAAGCTCCTCCACCATCTCAGCGCCGAGACCTCTCAACTCAGACATGATGCCCATGGTATTCTCCGCCTCTGTCGTGAACCCAGTGATCTTCTTTCCTTTGATAATCGGCTCCCCAGTGGTCCGGTCAAGCAAGTTCGTGAAAATCGCAGGGCCATGGCAGACAGATGCCACGACGCCACCATTCGCCCAGACCTGCTCGGCAATGTTCTGCAAGGCACTGGCAGTTGGATAGTCCAGCAGAGAAGCATGGCCTGCGGATGCAAAGAATAGCCCGTACTTGGACCCGTCAACCTCAGAGGCTTTGGGCATATTGTCGAGTTTCTTGCGGAAGTCGCTGTTCACATTGTTCCAGGTGTCGAGGTCGGAGCCGTTGAGAAAATCTGGCTGCTGGGACAGCCAGTCTGGCGTGTAGCTGCCTGTCTCGGAGGCGAGGTCGACTTCGAAGCCGGCTTCCACGAGCGCATTGTACGGGTGCAATGCTTCGACGATGAAGAGGCCGGTTGTCTCCTTGCCACCGAAGAGGGTGGCACTGGCGGAGGTGATGGAAATGAGGGCTTTGCGGGCCGGCATGATGTTCAATTTGGATTTGTAGGTAGGTAGGTTGGAAGTGGAAGTTGTTGTCACTCTGGATATAATGGTAAAACCAGATGATGATGTTTCTTTTATATTCGAGTTTTGTGTTCGAGGCTGATGGTTTTCCGACTGGGAGGATTCATCTTCTATTTATACCAGGTGGGATACGAGCCGTCTCTTTCGGAGTTTCGCTTTCATCTGCATGTGCCTGGGTATAGTACATACAGACAGGCTCACCTCCCGGAGCAGACGGAGGGGGTGACGGATGGTAAGCACTAGAGGCCGGAGTTGCGGAGTGCGGCATGTTCGAGTGCCGGAGTGCCGGAGTCGATATAATCTACGCCCTCCCGCAACTCCGTCAACCCCCCCCCCAATTCCTCCCATACGAGCAACCGCCCCAGAAGACTACATACCATGGATTCTCAATCACGAGCCTCCCAAAGACGAGGCTCCGAGAACCAGCACATACCCCTCCATCGTCGGAAACGGGTTCAAGTCGCCAGAGCGTGTGGTAGCTGCCGAGTACGTCGTATCAGATGTGACGATAGCCAAACCCCGTGCTCCAACTGCGTGAGAAGTGGGAGCGAATGCAGCAACAGCCGTGCACCAACGGCATTTACCCTGGCACAAGCAAACCAGGAGATTGCGTCATTGAAGCAGAAAGTCCAGGAACTCGAAACGGAACTTAAACACCGCTGCAATTGCAATGGAGATAGAGATTCAGATTCAGCGGTTCACATAGGATCAACACCGACACCGACGGCATTGGCCTCGGGGTTTGCAGAAAATACCACTGCAGAGCAATATTGGGGGGGCGTACATTTCCGTCCTGCACGCTCCCACAACAGTCTCTGGCTCGGACCGTCGTCGCTGTACTCGTACATCCAACGTCTCAGTGGCTTTCTAAGTCTCAACTTCAACCATGAGCAACCCGCCCACCAACTCCTTCCCATCTCCGCAAGTGACAACAGACTTCTTGACCGACCAGTGACGGGTCCCGATCAGAGCCCGATCCATCCGCCTTTCCCTTCAACATGTACATCTCCATCCAGCAGCTGCGTCTATCTAACTCCCCTACAGGAGGACTTCTTCATCAACCATTTCTGGCAGACCTTCCATGTCTCACTGTTTCCGATCCTGGATGAGGCTCACTTCAAGAAGCATTATCAGAGCCTATGGATTGCCGGCGGCAAGGAACGGAAACCATCAGCCCTGGTCGATATCGTTGTTGCCATGTGCATGCAATATCACATTTCCACACTGCCCCTGGACTCTCAAACCGGTCTTCTCGATGGCAAAGACGCCCTAGTAGCCGGCCGATGGCACTACTGGCGCGGACAGACCCTGTTAACCTACGAGCTCGAAAGCCCCACACTATCCACCTTGCAATGCCATTTGCTCTGCGCAGTATACCTGTGCGGGGGATCTTTCCACAACATGATGGATAGCTCCGTGAGCCTCGCCGTGCGCACGGCATACATCCTCGGTCTCCACGTGGATCCTCCACCAAGCATGTCCACACCAGACCGCGAGATGCGAAGACGTCTATGGTGGGCGGTTTATCTGATGGACAGCAAAGCGGGGATGAAGCTCGGGCGACCCTTCATGCTCAGTGATTCCCACGCCACGCCAGCTCTCCCCAGCGATACCTTCTCGACCGCTTCAACATCCGGATCAACCTTCGTTCCCATCGGCGAAAACACCACCTGGCTGAGCTTCAACCTCCACCAAACCAAGCTCTACATGCGCATCCGAGCAGCCTACAACGCCTTCTTCAACAAAGACTTCCAGCTACAACCCGGCCAAACCATCTGGGATAACCCCTGTGCACTGCAATCCGGCGCGGAGGTCCTCGCCCAACACACCCAGCTCATCCAAGCCTGGACGGACAGCGTCCCCGATGCCCTCAAACTCACGCGCCAGAACAACGGCACCCCCTTCTCCACCGACGGCACCCGCCTAGTCATCGAACAATTCATCCCCCCCTGGCTCCAGCGCCAGCGCATCCTCCTCGAACTGACCTACCACCACCTAAACACCAACCTCTACCGCCCCCTAATCTCCTTCACCAACCACCAACCCCCCCTACCCAACCTACCCACCGACCCCATCATCACCCGCTGCGCCACCCACGCCATAGCCCTATCCAAACTCACCCACCAAATAATCACCGAAACCACCATCCTATCCGGCTGGCACGAATCCTTCCACACCCAATGGAACGCCACCATAACCCTAATCGGATATATAACGATCTACCCCTCCACGCCCCTGACATCGGAAATCCGAAACGCAATCGATCTCGCAGTCGCGGTATTCGAGCATTTCGGCGCGAAGTTCCCCGCCGCGGCGAACGCGATGAGAATCGTGCGCGGGCTCTGCGGTAAGGTCGATGAGATTCTCGCGCAGCATCGGAGCTGGACCCAGACCGGGTCTTGGGATGGTAGCAGCCGGGCAGCGATCCTCTGGGAGGATTCAGGTAGCAGTGTGCACCAGGAGACTTCTTCATATGGAAATTCGGTTTCTCAACCGCCCGTGGTAGATGGGAATGAGATCAGTGGCCCCTCAGAGTTGGATCTCTTGGGGCTGGCGCTAGATGTCGATTTCTGGAATGAGGTGTATATGCTCTGGCCGGAAACTGACTTAGACATGACTTGTTCTTCATAGGTTAATAGTAATTGGGGACGGTGTATGTACTTCTTGAGAATATCTAGCAAGATGGTTGGCTTAGGGAAATCTGGGAATATGATGATGGTGATGATCAGTAATGTTATGAGGTAATGCAGAGGCAAACGGGACTCACTAAATAGCTTATAAGTATTTTCAGGTGAAGACACTGCCGATTCTAACCACCGATACTTAACTGGACTCTACACTGCCGTTCAAGACCATAACTACCAAACTAGACCAGGAAGACCTGGGTAAAGGAGGCAGTGCGTTGATACTGAGTTCATACTACAAAATACTCGATTACAGTGAGTGCATCATGAGCGAAGAGGTGGTTGATTGATAACTAATAGTAGCCCAACGTTTCTTTCTGGTCTTTTCGATTTCAAACTTCAAGCTCAAACACAAGAACAGTAGGCAATCCTCAACTGTACCAATTCGAAATGAGTGAAACCAGTAGGAGCAGACAAAAAAAAGCAAAGTGCAACTCAAACGAGTCCCGAAACCATGCCCAGTAGGCAGACAGGCGACCGTACGAAGCTATGTCGCTGGTCTAGTCGCTCTCCTCCTCGCTCTCTTCCTCGCTCTCGGCGTTCTCGAGCCACTGGAGGAAGGGCTCAGCGGCCTTGCGGACCTTCTTGCTGGTCTGGATGTCGACGTACTTCTTGCTGGCCTTCGCGCCCCATGCCTTGAGGGTTTCCTCAGAGATGAGGTCGTGTTCGTAGTACTTGAGAAGAACGGCCGGGACCTGGGCAATCAGCTCAGGACGATCCTTGCCGACGAAACGCTCGGTGCCACCCAGGAAGGCCTTCTCGTGGCGCTCGGAGGTGATCATCTTCTTCAGCAGACCGGCACGAGAAGGAATCTGCTTGGCGATCTTCTCGTCGAAGATGGTCTGAGCAAGAACGGCCACAGTCTTGTGCTTGTTCTCGATTCCGTACTCCTTGGCCTTCATGTAGATATCCACGTCGCTGACGGCAGTGACACCGCCCTTCTCAGAAGCGGCGTTGAGAACCCAGCTACCAAGCTCATCATAAGCCGAAGGGCCATCAGCACCCTCTTCGTCGGCGTCCTCGAGGACAAGCGTGCGCTTGAGATCATCGGGAAGCTCCTTGGCACGAGCCTTGACGGCCTCCTCAGACACGTCGACGGCCCAGTCATCATCGTCGATGTCATCTTCGGCCTCGATGCGCTTGGCATCAGCCTTGATACGGCGAGTCAGCTCATCATCGCTTCCTGCTTCCAGGGCGACGTCGCCATTCTCGTCATCGCCGTTCTCGGAGTTGTTGCTATCTCCAGGGCTGCCATCTTTGTCGCCATTCGCGTCATTGTTCTTGTTTCGTTCGCGACGAGCCTTCTTGTCCTTCTTGTCCTTCTTGCCTCCCTTGGTCTGGATGTTGCGGAGGATGAACGTGCTCAGCTTCAGACGGGCATCGACCTCGGAGCGCTGTCCACAGGCCTTGCAGTCCAAGAAGATCTTTTCGTCCTTGATCACGACGTCTGTCTCGGGGTTCTTGCACTTCTTGCACAGAACGAACTTGGAGATGAAGCCATCCAGATAGTCCTGAAGCTTGGGGGCATCATGAGCGCCGTTGATGATCCAGCGATCATCGGTCGGCTTGGCGTTGGCCTGAGCACCCAGCTCGAAGCCAAAGTACTTGATGACGTAGGAGGCAGGACGGCTGAGAGACTGGGCGACGGAGTTCAGGTTGACGATGACAGTCTTGATGCCGTTGCCCTTGCCTTCAATCTTGGATTGCAAGCGCTCCATCTTGTAACGGTAGAAGGGATCGGAGACATCCCGGCGAATGTTGACAGTGGCCATGATGACGGTTGATTGAGTGAGGAGATTTCACGAAACTAAGCGAGAGGGTTATATTAAAAAGAGGCGGGAGGGATTCTGGACCAAGGATATCTTGAAAGAACAAGACATGCGTGGGATATTCCTGGTTGCGGAATGGTGGCGGTTGGGATCGTTTCACAGGAGAACGATAGACACAGCGAAAAGGCAGCCCGAAGCTTCAGCCACAGGACTTCGAATGTATGCTACAAGGTTTCGACGTGAAGCGAAACGATTGCAGCTTGAGCGGCAGGTGGTGATCGAGATCTCTGACGGAGGACGAATACATAGACAAGTTCTCGAGCGACACTATTTCAGTGGTTTTCCCTGGCAGGGTGGGGAGAGAAACCAGCGGGGTGGTTCTTCTGTGGGATGACACAAAGAGGACACGGTCAGCTTCGTAACACTGATGGAGGAATGGCAGAAGGACCCGGAACTAACTCACCAGTGGTTGGAGTGCGAACAAAATGTAAGATGGGGAACCAGCAGGCACGAGGGATAGCCTGAGGAGGAGACTTGACGAGACAACAGCGTTCAGAGCTGATGGATTGGAGATGAAAAGCCGAGAAAGTAGGATGAGTTGGAAGTGGATGGAAGAGGAGAGAGAGCGAGGAGAGGGAAGAAGACGAAGAAAAGGCCCAAACAAAAAAAAGTCCGAGCCGGCGGGCGCCAAGCCCTGGTGGCCTGAAAGGGGAAGGCACCGCCAGACTGAAATTTTCACTTTTGGCGGGTCGAGGCAGGCAGGCGCGACTCGAGCGCTGAGTCAGCAGCCGAGTTTGCCGGAGCCCCGGCGACTTCCCTTCCGGATTCACGTGCGCGCTTTACGGCTTATTATTCCCTGTCGTTTGTGTGTCACTGGGACTTGCTGGACCAATTTTTGGGCGTCCGCTTCACTTTCTCTCTCGTCCTCATTTTCTCTCATGGCGGGGGTATGAACTGCGCTGTACTATCTTTCAGCCTACAGTGGAGCTGCTGCCAGCCAACCGTTTCAGGACCACTGCCTCGGGTCTGGCTATCCCTGCACGGGCATTATTGACATCCCAATTAGGAAGGCGGAGTAGCCGGAAGGGGGGATGTGTGTAATATCCCCAGTGTGGTGTGCTCGCAGCAACCGGGGTGTGCACGTAGCGCCTCCCAAGAAATAATTCCATAATTTTTCCATCCTGGACCTGACCATTTGATATGGTAAGCCTTCTCGCTACATTTTAGAGCAATGTGGCCCAATGACCCAAGATAGATGAGGTAGGTAAATCCATGAGTATGGCAGCCCAGAGCCTCAGAGCCCCCTGACCTACTAGTATATCAAGAGTGGAAGGACATCTAAGCACATTGCAAAAAGCGCATGATAATCCGGAACGCATCAAAACTGAAAAAAGGAAGCCGACGAACAACAACAAAATCCCTCCTGCGCTCTACCCATTGCGCAACAACTCCAGAATCAACCTCAACTGAAAATTCTCCGCCCCAAATCTGCTCTCCAGCTCGTCAATGCTCTTTTCCACGTGACCGTACAAGACGCCCAGTGTGTCTGAGGTAAACTTCAGACTCCCGCTCTTCTTCATCAAGTCCAGGATGGTCTTCTTTTGGGCGTGCGTCGCTGTCCCGCTCACGCGCCGCTGCATCCAGACATTCCTCAGGACATAACTGTCCGGCATGGCTTGCAGGAGATGGATCAGTGGAAGGGAGAACTTTCCCTCCTCGAAGTCTTCGCAGAAGCCTTTTTGCTTGGTGTACTGTTTCTGCGGTTAGTCCAAACGCCACCGGAAACGAGTCTAGTGGAGAGACTGAGCCGTACCTCGGCGGAGACTAGATTTTGGTAGTCATCTCGGGTCTGGAAGTACCGACCAAGACGATTGGAGAAGTCGACGAGGTCGGCTTTGACGGGGCTCGTCGAGTGAAGGGCCATAAGGCGACAGAAGAGTCTGATCAGGCCTCCGGTTTCTAATGATTTTCGTGAGGCCCTGCTTCCGCCTGGGCTGGAATTGGGGGCTTACTGTGTTCAATCATCTGGAAGTACTCATTCACGGATGGACAGATGAGATTGCTGGTCCAGTAGAGGTCCATGGACTGGCCTACATAGAGATTGTGTAATTCCTCTTCAAGTGAAAGAGTCAGCTGCGGCCACTTGCGATTGGGGAAAGTATGACACACCGGTGAATACGACCAAGCTCCTTGAATCTCCCAGTTCATGGACCCTTTGCAATGCACGGATAAGCTGATAGTTGGCCGAGTTTATAGTCTGGCCGAGCCCAAAGATGGCATGGGTTGATGGCTTTCCCCGTCGGAGCTCCGACCCATCTTCCAAGTCATCGAGCCTGGCCGTTCAGTTAGACGTGTATAATTAGAGCTATGGGATGCGAAGAAGAAAATACAAACATCAGGGACGCGTTGTGGAGAATCGTGGTGATCGACTTGATTATATTTAGTTTCTCTTTCGGTACCCGAAACCAGACATCCAAGGCGTCAATTGCTTGCTCGCGGAGCCCCTTGGATGGAAGGGCCGTGATATACTCATATGGTGCCTGTAAAACCTATTCGACTCATTGCTCTAGTCAGCAAATACAGACACGGCCTGGCAAAGCGGCGGTGCTTCCTACCTTCGAGTCAAGATCCTGCCCGTTGCATGATTCCACTTTCACATCGTGGTCTCCGAGTTTGAAGCCCTCGCGGCCTACCAGATGCTCCTTAATAACAGCGCTTAGAAGGCTCGTATCGGCTTCGAGACTGTTTGCGGTTTGTTCCGGGACCGAGGCGGGCAGACTGGCATTTCCATTCACAGTGCGATCGGGCATCTTCACCTCCACCTGACCAAATCCGAATTCTCCGCCCTCAGGCTTGTTCTCCTTGGGAATGCCGTTCTTCATCCACTCGAGCTGGCGCTCACTGAAGGACGCGTTAGTGTAATATCTTGGGCTGTGCAGGCCCCAAACCACGTTTCCGCTCATGCTGTATAGGACCGACTCCAGGTATCTCATGGTATCATGTGAGAGGTCATTGCGGGCTTTAGCATCTTCAAAGATCTGCAGATAGTCTACCGTGGCCCTTTTAATCTCGTGACGGCATCTCTCTTGGGCCTCGCCTTCGGAGATCCCATGTTCTTCCATGGCGACAAAGATGAAGTTGGTGCAGTAATCCTTCCCCAGGGCGACAGCGCTCTGGTGCTCCTTCTCCCAAGAGACCAGATCGTTTACCAGCGCCATATGTAGGTATGCGGTGGTGGCCAGCTGATGGCACATGTCCAGTTCGTCCTCGGGGATGGTGATCGCTTGCGCGAAAGTGAGCAGGCCATACCAGAAACTGAGTCCCGGTTAGTCCAGTCTTTCCCACAACGGGGAGGGAAAGAGACTCACAGCGTGCCAACGTCATGGATCCGGTACTTGAGGTATTCCTCCTCCGACTTGAAGCGGCATTCCTCCTGCCGCCCGGCCTTGTCAAGAAACGTTGACCACGCCTTGAGCGACGTGATTGCCCGGTCCTTATCAATGCTTAGCATCTGCTTCGCAACGTAGGCCTGCAGCGCGCGCTTCCCGGAGCCCGAATGGTTGATGGTTCCGGTCCTGATCACTTGGTCGAATGCCGCTTTGAGATCATTGTTATGCTCGTCCCCCTGGCCTCCCCGTTAGCTTTTGCCTCCTGTCCGGACTGGGAGTCTTACATATTGTGCAATATCGGTGACATCTTACAGCAAAGGTGGCACCCGTCAGTACCAGGCAGAAAGAGAGATACAACATCGAAGAACCAACCGTCATGCAGAAATGCAAGCTCATTTGCATACGACACAATGCCGAGTCTCTCAGGAAGGGCTTCCGGAATGGCAATACTCATGCCGTTCCATGGGTGTCCCAAGCCACCCTTGTAGAGCCCCAGCGGCCCGATCAGCTCGCGCCAGTGCTCCTGACATCTCAGGCAATCGATCTCCTCAATCTCGGAGTTCTTGTGGTATCTCACTGTGAGGCCATCACACAGCCCCTGGGCGTCATAGGTTTCGGGCTGTACCACCGTGGAGAACTTGAACTCCATGTTTGGAGAGGATGAACGAGACAAGACAGTAGAGAAGTAGAAGGCAGAGATGCACTAGAATGAAATATCCAAGATTTGATTGAGATGGACTAGGTTTGTGCTGTGACATAGAGCCGGCAGAGAGACGAATGGTGCTGTATTTAAAGCTTTGCTCTTGCGAGGCACGGGCATCATATTTGGCCCAGCCAACAAGCCTCCATTTATGAGTGGCCATGGGCAATCTCAATCCTTTGCGCAGTAAAACAAAAAAAAAAAATACGTGCCCTTCTCCATGTATTTCCTCGGAGCCCAATATGGAGAGTCCATGCGGTGATATCCCACCAATTGCCCCATAACCCGCGTTTCACCGGCGATTTTCAGAATGCAGATTGCATAATCTGACGTTGTAACGCAATGTAACTTTTCTTCTTGCGGTTATGATCTGGGCTGGTGTGAATCAGTATACTTAAGACTTCATTGATCAGTGCGGAGGAGGAGAGGGGGTCCAGAGGGTTAGGCCAACTGCCGGGGATTGTGAATCTGCGCTCACCCGCAGCGTCTGGGAGCAGAAAGGAAAGTTTGCTGCTGTCATTTTCAGGTTTTTATTGGGAGTGGCTGGCTGAGAACTACAGGGGCCTCGGATATTGTATGCCAATACTGCATATGACACACCCTAGAAGGAGGGTCCAAAGAACTTATTTCCAAGACGCAACCATATACTATCTTAGTGGCCAGTCAGAGAGGCCGCGCATGCCATGCATGGTGGAGAATGAAATAACCATATCGGAAATGCGGAGCCCGATCAAAGGATGATCCAAGGTGTGACAGATATTTGAAACTCGTCTGGACAGGCCCGCATTCTCATGACCATGTGCAGTGCAGTGCTCCCATGTGTCGGCTGCTCCGGACAGCGCCAAATCAACGCACTTCCATGCATGAGATGATGAGCCCCGAGCCCGGCCCTAACCACCAGGGCGTTTGATTCCCGGACAGCGCAGTCTTTTGGAAGTGGTAGATTAGCCCTCAGTGGCCAGCATTTGGTCGACCTTCGGGCTCCGGTAAAGAGTCCTCGAGCGGAGAGAGATGTGTTGGCTGTCTTGGCCACCTTCCTGGAAGTTCTTGTTTGGCCACAGCGGTCTTCCATCCCCACGACTATGCACAGATACTGGCCGACATTCCCATGACCATATGCAGACCGACTCGAGGATCACCAGGGGATCAGGAACATGGGGGGAATTCGCCATTGACTACCAAGGCTGGCTGCCCCACGGAGGCCCCCATTGCCCCTCCCCACGTCTTCCTCCAAGTGGAGCTTGCCAGAGGCATATATTGTGTGTTGCTCGCGCACTAACTTCACGTTCCAGGTACCATCATCTTTGGTCGAACCCTTTTTGACATTATTTTCGGGCCGCAGAACATAGTACAAGATGACGGACGTGGTTAATTCGGCTCCCGTCTCTCCCCTTTTCCATTTCTACAGCACGTATGGGATATATGGTCTTCTTTCCGTCGTACTTGCCGTGTATACCTTGGCGCTTGTTGTCTATCGCCTGTATCTGCACCCACTAGCTCGATTTCCAGGGCCCAAGCTTGCTGCCGCCACGGGATGGTATGAGTTCTACCACGATGTCATCAGAGGGGGGATGTATATCCACGAGGTCAAAAGGATGCACAGAGAATACGGTATACAATTTGCATTTGACTTCCACTTCCACATCTACTTCAACGTCGATGCAAAAACAAGCTGATCCTCACATTCCAGGCCCCATCATCCGCATCAATCCGTATGAAATTGTGATCAACGACCCGGACTTCTACAACACCGTCTACGTGGCCTCCAACACCCGCCGCACGGAGAAGTGGACTACCCTCCAAGGGACGGGGCTTAGCGGCAAGGCGTTCTTTTGTTTTCTTCCCTCAAACCTTTCGTCGGAACTCGATATAGCTAACAGGACAAAGGCGCCATGGGAATGACAATGGGCCACGAACTGCACCGCCGCCGCCGCAAGTACTTCGATCCCTTCTTCTCCCGTCTCGGCGTCACGCAGATCGAGGGCATGGTCGTGGACGAAGTCAAACTACTCATCAGCCGACTCGAAGGACTCAGCAAATCGGGCCGTATTGTCCAGATGGAGCATGTCACCGCTGCGTTTACAGGTGATATTGTGATGAGGATCTGCTCGGAGAAGTCGCCTGATATGATACGGCACCCGGAGTTTGGCAAGCAATGGTGGGTTTTATCCCGATATCCCCGATGCAGCAGCAGTAGGAGGAGTGATGAGTACTCATGCAAGGCTGCAGGCATGAGACAATCCACACCTACCAGCGGCAGGTGCTCCTCTTCGTGCAAATCCCTCAACTGATCCCGTGAGTCAACATCCCAGCCGCCCCCCGTTCATTTCAGGTCTCTGCTGAAGCAACGTCCAGGCTCACCCAAATAATCCCCGCGGCGATCGTAACATGCTTGTCCCCAGGAGCCGCGGCATTCAGGAGCCTGCACCAGGTACGTCCGTCCCTTCCTAGCCCCTCCCACCCACCCACACTCGCTTCGCTAACACAGCCCGCCCCGCGACATGCATAGTACGCATTCAACCACATCACCGAAGCCAAAAAAGAAATGGTCAGCGTGGAAAAGGTGCAGCAGGAGGCGCGAAGTTCTGTCTTCCGCCACGTGCTATCCAGCGACATGCCCGAGTCCGAGCGCGAGACCGAACGACTCGCCCGGGAGGCCTTGCAGCTTTTTGGTGCAGGCACAGCGACTCTCGTCCGCGCATTCAGCGTGGTGATGTACTATATCCTGTCCGACCCGCACATGAGGGACCGACTCCGCGAGGAGCTGAAGGATATCATGGCGGGCTATCCGTCCAAGATACCCACTTGGCAGGAACTTGAGAGGTTACCGTATTTGCATGGAATTGTTAAAGAGGGCCTGAGGTACAATGCGTGGCCAATCCGTACTTATCACTTTTCTTTTCTTTTTGAACGAACGAGTTGGCTTACACAAGGCCGGCCTCTGCTAGACTCAGTTACGGTGTCATGCGTCACCTCGCCCGCGTCTCGCCCGATCAAGCGCTGCAGTATAAAGAGTGGAGCATACCCGCCGGGACCCCCGTGGGTATGTCATCGCATAGTCTGCACTCCGACCCAGAGACATTTCCCGAGCCGTCCAGGTTTCTCCCAGAGCGGTGGATGGACAAGTCGAACCCGAACATGAATCGGAACTGGGTGCCCTTTGCCAGGGGGTCGAGGATGTGTATTGGCATGAAGTAAGAGCTGCCACCATTACCTTACCTCATCTCATCTCATCTCACCCCATAGACTTTCCCCGCATTGGATCTAGTTCGTGGAACCACTTGCTAACGCGCACTGATATTACCAGTCTCGCCTTGGCTGAAATGTACTGGGTACTGGCTGTTATTTTTCGACCGGGCGCGCCGAGGCTGGAACTATTCGAGACGACCGAGGCCGATGTCGTTCCGGTGCGGGATTACGTGGGAGGGATCCCGGAATTTGGAACGAAGGGGTTGAGGGTGAAAGTCGGGTAAAGGGGTGTGCATGGAAGCCGGACTTCTAGTGTCCAGTAACGAGGGGCTGGTTTGAGGGTTGAATTGTGGTAGAGCATGTCTCGCGGGCGCAGCCAATCGAGATCGAGTGGAGAGAGAAGAGGGACAATAAACACCTGCAGCTTCGTTTGCGTGGAGTTGGATCTGCCGAAATTGATTATTCTGTACCAGATTAACCATTGGCTACAGTCCCAAAACGCAGCTTGCTGCTGGCTGTACCCTTTCTTCGCATGCGTTTAATACTCGGATGACTCGGAGGCATTATTTATTGGCGTTTCCAGCGAGCCAGTAGACGATTGACTGATCCCTCGACTCCGGAGATGCCTGCAATAAGCAAGCTTGAGAGACTCACGATCCCGCACTTCCGCATCACCAGCTTATAGAGAGAGGGGTGGCATACTGCATCACCCGTCCACCACCGCCAATTCTCGTTCGCGACAATCCCGGACCCCGGCACCCGGTGGCAGGATAGAACCTCCCATGTCTCCCTCCCCCCCAAGCCTTAATCCACGTCATATCCAGTAGGTGTTGGCGTTGATGTTGCGTTGCCACGGGTGTCCCGGACGTCAGTGCCCGGCCGGACTCGCCGGACAGGGAAAATAGAATACGTCTTTGATAGGAGCCAAAAAGTAAAGCGACTGCTGGACGCGTCGTCAGCTGCATCTGAAGTACCAAAATAATGTCACGACCCTGTCACCCAGCCACAGTAAGAGTAAGGCACTCGGATCCCGAGGTAAAGCCTCCGAAGTTCCTTGCTGGCACGGAAACAAACCAACCAACCCGGAGAACTGACCGGACGGGACCAAAGGGCTGGACGGAGAGGGATTACCGGGGGGAGAAAAAGTCCAATTGAGAGCTGGCAGATGTCGTCAGAGGTGGAGGTGAATGTGAATGTGAATGTGAAGGGAAAGGAGAAGCCGGGGCCATGAGGAAGGCTGGCTGAAAGAACCGGGGGGGGGGGGGGGCAACAAAGTAAAAGTGTCAGTCTGGTATTCCAGGCTAATCCCAAAAATAATAAAGTAGCTCACGATGAGTCGGCCTTGACGCACTCGACTCGATCTGTCATTTGCATTCACCAAAAATACAGAGCATTCTTCATCGGCTGTTTGCATTGGGCGCAAATCAAGTACTGCCGGCCTAGGGAACCCGCATTTCGAGGAATAGGGAGAAATAGGGAGACAACAAAAAGAAGACAGCAGGGTGGCTGTAGTAGATAGTAATGATGTGATAGAATATTGGAATTAGAGTTATTTTAGGCTTGGAACGAGGACCCACTTAACCGGCAAGAGTTTGGGTCAAAACTACGGGCGGTGGGTACATACCTGACTGAGAGTCCTGACAGATCAATAGCTTGCTATTCTCGATGGAGCCATGCAGATGGAAGGGCGCGAAGAGATACGTGGCTGTCTGGTAAGGTCGCTGATGTACTACTCCGTAGTTACGAGTACTTAGTACTAGTACTTGCGGTAATTACTACTTACAGCACTACTACTAGAAGTACTCTGTAACTTACTGTAGCGAAAGAAAGGCCTGCAGGCGCTAGGCCCAACGGGGACACCCTTGTCTCAATCCGGACTAGTCAGACGTGACCCAAGCCGTGGCTCACATCAGCCATCAGATCGGCTTCCAAGTTATTCTCGGTGCACTTTTCATCTCGACAACGTCGCAGCAAGCAAGCCCATACGATTCTAAAATCCAGCTCCGAGAGATCGATACAGCCATGGTGAACCTCCAAACTGTTCTCGCCCACAATGCGGCTCTCAAATCTCTAGCGCCAGGTCTCGTCGCGGTGTTCGGTAAGTCTACTCTCTACAATACTCTGCGAAAGCTGTCTAACATTCCTAGTCGGCGGCACCTCTGGCATCTCCCTATCCACGGCCGTTGCCCTCGCCCGCCACACCATCTCGCCCAAAATTTATCTCGTCGGCCGCAGCCAGTCCGCCGCCGACACTGCCATTGCGTCCATGAAATCCATCAATCCCTCCGCGCAGATGACCTTTTGCCAAGCAGACATATCCCTCCTCACCAACGTCGACAGCGTATGCGCCGAGATTGCAGCCAAGGAAAAAAAGCTCAACCTCCTCTTCATGACGCCGGGATATCTGACCCTGAAAGGCCGCGACGAAACAGCCGAGGGCCTGGATCGCAAGTTCGTGCTGCATTACTACGCGCGCATGCGATTCATCACCAACCTCCTCCCCCTCCTAACCGCGGCCGCAGAGGATGCCTCTGCCAACACCAATGCCAGACTGTCCCGCGTCGTCTCTGTCCTGGATCCGCACGCCTCCATCCGCGCCGGCGGCGCCGGCAAACTTGATCTCGCAGACCTCAGCCTGAAGCACACCTTCAGCCTCAAGAGCTGCGGCGCCCATACCACTATCATGGGTAATCTCTTCCTAGAAGCCATGGCGCAGCAACACCCGCGTACCTCTTTCATTCACGCATACCCTTCGGGGGTGGGCACGGGCGTGCTGCGTGAAGTGCCGGGTGCGCGCATCTTATCGCCTGTTCTGAGGATTTTGATGAGTCCATTCATGGTGCCGATTGAGGAAAGTGGGGAGAGACATCTGTTTGCGGCGACAAGTGATAGGTTTCCTCCCAAGGCTCAGGAGGAACAGACCCAAGAGGATATCGCGGTTGGCAGCGATGGGACTAAGGGGTCTGGTTGTTACTTGGTGAGTTGGGATGGGGAGGTGTTCCCGGCCAATAAGAAGTTAGAAAAGACGAGGGCGGAGAATGCAGTGCAGAAGGTGGTGCAGCATACTGAAGAGGTGTATAAGCAGGTGTTCGAGGAGGGTAAAACATATCCATGAAATGTCATCAAGGGACAGGCACTGGTTTGACTGGTCAGTGGTGGTAGTGGTGGGCGTATGACAGGAGTAATTTGTTTCATGATTACAGATCCTTGGGTTTCTAGCTTTTAGTTCCTATGCCAGTCTTTGACAGGGTAGGGACAAATATATTTTCATCAGGACTGAGCCCGGCTGACTCGGTGCCCAGGACAGGGCTGACAGATGTGGCTGAGGCTAGCCATCGATTTGGCTGATACTGGCTGATGAGAGCCACTGGACCCTTGCTGGCATGGCTCCAATCAAAGAACCTTGCAATGGATCGCGTTATCCATCATGTTTGTTCAGTTCAAAAGGGCAGTAACTTAATCTACCAGTGTTGCTCCTGTATTTTCTGCTCTTGTCCCCCTTTCCCCCCCCAACACCAACTTCACTCGTTTCTTCTTCGCCATAACCCTAGTTTCGTATATTTAATTACACTCATTAGTACCGTCAAGCTCGAGCCCCCACCCACAATCATGAATAGCGATCATGAGGCCAAAAGCCGACCCACTTCCAGCATAGAGAAGAGGGAAGAGGAGGTTCATCAGCTAGCCAGGCAGTTCACCGAGCAGAGCACCTTTTCTGCTGTCGGAGAAAACCCCTTTGCTGCGGGTGCAGGATCGGCCCTGGACCCCAATAGTGAATCCTTCAATGCTCGGGCATGGTGCAAGGCCATGCTGCAGATGCACACCGAGGACAAAGAGGCACATCCGCTGCGAACCCTGGGAGTCGCCTTCAGCAACCTCAACGTACACGGGTTCGGCTCCGACACCGATTACCAGAAGAGTGTCGGCAATGTTTGGTTGGAGGCGCTTGGTCTGGCAAGGAAGGCTCTCGGTCATCAGCAGCGCAAAATCCAGATTTTACAGAACCTGGAAGGCTTCGTGGAGGCCGGAGAGATGCTGGTGGTTCTCGGGCCCCCTGGGTCGGGATGCTCGACGTTTTTGAAGACTATAGCTGGAGAGACGTATGGCTTTCATGTTGAAAAGAGCTCTAGCATCAATTTTCAAGGTATGGCTGGCTGGGTTTGACTGCCTGCTGAGCGGGGCTCGTTGCTGATTCCTGTCAGGCGTGAACGCGAAACAAATGGCGCATGAGTTCCGAGGAGAGGCCATTTATGCCGCCGAGGTCGATGTCCACTTCCCCAACCTCACTGTCGGAGATACCCTTTTCTTTGCCGCTCGCGCCCGAGCTCCACGGCACATTCCTGGGGGGGTGGATGTGGCCCAGTATGCCAGCCACATGCGAGACGTGATCATGGCCATGTTTGGAATCAGCCATACCAAGAACACGATCGTGGGAAACGACTTCATCCGTGGGGTGTCTGGGGGAGAGCGCAAGCGGGTCAGTATCGCCGAAGCGTGCCTCAGCAGTGCGCCGCTGCAGTGTTGGGACAACTCCACGCGCGGTCTTGATAGTGCCAATGCCATCGAGTTCTGCAAGACCTTGCGCATGCAGGCGGGTATTAATAACGCCACAGCCTGTGTCTCTCTTTATCAAGCTCCTCAGGCTGCCTACGACTACTTCGATAAGGTGCTGGTTTTATACCAAGGTCGCGAGATCTACTTCGGTCCCACAAAAAGCGCAAAGCAGTACTTCGTCGATATGGGATTTGTCTGCCCCGAGAGACAGACGGATGCGGATTTTCTTACCTCTATGACCAGCCATCTCGAGCGTGTTGTACAGTCAGGCTACGAAGACCGCGTGCCCCGGACACCCGATGAATTCGCTGCACAATGGAAGGCCTCGCCACAGCGAGCCCAGCTTCTGCGGGACATCGAACAGTATAATGCCAAGTTCGCACTGGGTGGAGAGTTCTTGAGCAAGTTCAAACAGTCCCGTCGAGCCCAGCAAGCCAAGGTCCAGCATGTATCCTCACCATATACTCTGTCCTATGGACAGCAGGTGAGCCTGTGCCTGTGGCGCGGGTATCAACGATTAAAGGCGGATCCCAGTGTCACGATTTCTTCGTTGGTTGGGAATACCATCGTAGCCCTGATTATCGCCAGCATCTTCTACAACCTTGAGAGCGACACGAGCACCTTCTTCCAGCGCGGTGCTCTTCTCTTCTTCGCTGTCCTCATCAATGCCCTTGGCTGTGGCTTGGAAATGCTGACTCTGTACGCGCAACGAGGAATCGTAGAGAAGCACTCCCGATATGCCCTTTACCACCCATCTGCTGAAGCGCTTTCGTCGATGATCATGGACTTACCCTACAAAATCCTCAACGCTCTTATATCCAACTCCGTTCTCTATTTCATGACCAACCTGAGGCGAGAACCTGGCGCTTTCTTCTTCTTTATCTTCACCTCATTTATGCTGACTCTGACGATGTCCATGTTCTTCCGGTCTATGGCATCGTTAACGAGATCTCTTGTTCAAGCCCTACCCTTCTGCGCTGTCGTGCTTCTCGGTTTCTATATGTATACTGGGTTTGTTATCCCGACAGGGTATATGCTTGGGTGGGCTCGCTGGATTGCCTACATTAACCCGATACAGTATGGGTTTGAATCTCTCCTGGTGAATGAGTTCCATAATCGCGACTTCCCGTGCACAAACTATGTCCCATCGGGTCCTAGCTACGCGGATCTTAGCTCCAGCAACCGTGTGTGCTCCACCGTCGGATCAATACCCGGACAACCCTCTGTGAATGGCGACGCCTACATCCAGTCAGCATATGGCTATTACGCGTCACACAAGTGGAGGAATATCGGGGTCATATTTGCCTTCATGTTCCTGCTCGGGACCGTCTATCTAGTTGCTACTGACTTCATCACCGAGAAGAAGTCAAAGGGCGAGATCCTGGTGTTTCCTCGCGGACATAAGGCTCTGAAGAGCGGCAAGTCTGACGATGATCTTGAACGGGGCAGTGGCCGCAGCGTCACGGTGGAGAAGTCTGACCCAGACGATCTTGCCATGATCGAGCGCCAGACCGCGATCTTCCAGTGGAAGGATGTCTGTTTCGATATCAAGATCGGAAAGGAGAACCGCAGGATCCTTGATCACGTTGACGGATGGGTCAAGCCAGGGACCTTGACCGCTCTTATGGGTGTCTCTGGTGCCGGAAAGACCACACTGTTGGATGTTCTAGCCACACGCACCACCCTAGGTGTCATCAGTGGCGAAATGCTTGTCGATGGCAACCCGCGGGATGACTCCTTCCAACGCAAGACCGGCTACGCTCAGCAACAAGATCTGCATCTCAGCACTGCTACAGTGCGCGAGGCGCTGGAATTCTCGGCCCTTCTACGTCAGCCTGCTCATGTTCCGCGCCAGCAAAAGATTAGCTACGTGACGGAAGTAATCAAGCTTCTCGATATGACCGACTATGCGGACGCTGTCATCGGTCTCCCTGGCGAAGGCCTCAATGTTGAGCAGCGTAAACGTCTCACAATCGGGGTCGAACTCGCGGCCAAGCCGGCTTTGCTCCTTTTCTTGGACGAGCCGACCTCAGGGCTTGATTCTCAGACGTCCTGGGCCATTCTTGATCTGCTCAACAAACTGAAGAAGAACGGCCAGGCTATTTGTAAGTTGCTGATCGTGCATTCCTCATCGCCACTAACGTGTTCCCAGTGTGTACCATCCATCAACCATCAGCCATGCTGTTCCAGCGCTTTGACTCTCTCCTCTTTCTTCAAGCCGGTGGTCGCACTGTCTACTTTGGAGAAGTCGGCCAGAACTCACAGATCCTGATCGACTATTTCGTGCGTAACGGGGGCCCTCCGTGTCCTCCAGCAGCTAATCCGGCTGAATGGATGCTTGACGTGATCGGGGCCGCGCCTGGATCGCATACTGACATCAACTGGTTCGAGACATGGCGCAACTCGGCTGAATACGCACGAGTCCAAGAGCATCTCACCGAACTGAAACATGAGCGCTCCCAGCAAGCCAAACTAACCCGCACCACATCCGGCCAGACGCGCGAAGACAAAGCCAGCTACCGCGAATTCGCAGCTCCTTTCTGGGCGCAGCTCTGCGAAGCGCAAGTCCGAATCTTCCAGCAAATCTGGCGCTCACCCACCTACATCTACTCCAAGACCATCCTCTGTGTCTTCTCCGCTCTCTTCATCGGCTTCTCTCTCTTCCACACCCCGAACACAATCCAAGGCCTTCAGAACCAAATGTTCGGCATCTTCATGCTCCTCATGCTCTTCGGCCAACTAATCCAGCAGATCATGCCGCATTTTGTCGCCCAGCGCGCGCTATACGAGGTCCGCGAGCGGTCCTCCAAAACCTATTCCTGGAAAGTCTTCATAATCACCAATATAATCGTCGAACTCCCCTGGAACTCTCTCATGTCCGTCTTCATGTTCCTGTGCTGGTACTACCCAATCGGCCTATACCACAACGCCGAGCCAACGGGCGCGGTGCAGCTGCGGGGAACGCAAATGTGGCTGATGATATGGACGTTCCTTCTCTTCGCGTCGACATTTGCCCATTTCATGATCGCGGCGTTCGACGCCGCCGAGAACGCCGGAAACCTCGGCAGCTTTCTCCTCCTGCTTTGCCTTCTTTTCTGCGGTGTGCTGGCGACCCCGGCCCAGCTCCCGGGGTTCTGGATCTTCATGTACCGCGTTTCGCCGTTCACGTACCTGGTCAGCGGCATGTTGTCGGTGGGCATAGCAAATACGAAGGTCACCTGCGCGGACAACGAGTATCTGCACTTCGATCCGGTCAACGGGACGTGCGGCGAGTACATGCAGCCGTACATATCCAGTGCGGGCGGGTATCTTGAAGACAGCGCGGCGACGTCTGGCTGCAGCTTCTGTCCTATCGCGGAGACGAATGCGTTCCTGCGCAGTGTTTCATCGAGCTACTCGGACATCTGGAGGAACTTTGGCCTCATGTGGGTTTTTATTCTGTTCAATATCTTGGCCGCGTGTTTGCTGTACTGGTGGGTGAGGGTTCCGAGGGTCAAGAAGCCTGTTTCGAAGATCGAGTGAGTGTGATTGTTTATTGTTCGCTACTTGTCTTGTTCCTTATCGGTTCGATATACAGACATGTTCTTTCACAGGCCGTGCTTGGTCTTTAATCATGATGTCACTATAGCACTTCAACCAATGCCCTGCCCTATATAACTATCAATCATCAGCTTTGCATGGCATGACTCGATTCAAGTCCTGCAAAGACCCTCTATTCAGCTTTCTGCCAGCTCACCCAAATGCCGACGTTAAACAACCCCCTAACAACCACCCTCTAGACCTTCCAAGTTCCACAAGCACGGCTGAAACACAGACGTACCGTGTACACCCACCTGGTCTCGGACACCCCAGCGGTAGGAGCAACTCCTTTCCCTCTGACCATCAACAGCCTGGATAGAATCCCCATCAGGCCATTGGGCAATATATCACCACCGTCTTACATCCGACCCGCACACAGCACCGTATTGCTTAGCCCATAGCCCATAGCCCATAGCCAGGCCACCAGGCGAACAGGGCTGGGAATATACTCGCCCAGACGAGGGGCATAAAAGCCCGCGAGGCTCTCGCAGAGGGCATGCAGTTCAGAGCTCTGGCTCAATCCCCTCATTCTCGTTGGCAGGTCACCGCCATCAAATATCCACCCTGATAAACGTAACCACAATGCACTTCACCTATATTTTGCCGTCGTGACTGCCAAGCTGGCGGCGTCTCCGGTGCCAGCAAGCCCTGTTGCCGATCCTCGGCCAAATCCCGTCTCGAGGTGGCCCCGCGCGCCAGATACACGATCCACTGCACCGGCGGTCTTCACCCGGGTGCGCACTGTCTGGCGCCTCATTCCAGGTGCGACTCTTATGGCACGTACCTGGTTGAGGCTGGCTACAAGGTCAGGAAGGAGAGCGGGGGACTCGGACTTGCAAGACAGGGCAGCCTGGCGAATGCACTGATGAGTTACGACCAGACACAATCAATTGTTTTCGTACGTAGTCCTTGTGTAACGCTCCTCCCAAATCGGAAGCAATCAATTAGTCAGTAAATATCCCCCAAACCCTGATAGCCCTGTAATATATCACAGGACTCCAGCGATATAGCCCGCGGCGATGGTCTGTCTGTGAAACTCATCCTCCTCTCCTCTCCTCTCTATCCTATCAACCTGTCCATCAACCTGTCCATCAAAATTATCAAGAATCATCTCCTACCAACCATGCCCCTCTCCTCTCTCTTCCACCGCTCCCACCCGGACGAGCTCCACGCCCCCAGCTGGCACGCCACAAGCAACCGACCCATCGTGGGCGGAAAATACCACGACCCGGAGACCGGCGAAGTGCGCGACGCCACGGGACACGAGTTCTCGGGCCCCCTCCCGCCGTGGACATCATCATCACGAATCTCCACGAGGACTCGTCCGGCCGTGTGTACCGTGCTCAGCGCCCCTTTCGTGTGGAGAAGCTGCTGGGCTGGATTATGAAGGTTGTGGAGGAACGCAAGCTGATGCTGGATTCGGTGAATGCGACGCCGTATGCGATTCGCGTGGTGCTGGCGCATGGGCTGAGTGGGGAGGAGTTTGGGGAGGTTGCGGGGGTGATGGTTGATGGGGTTTGGGGGGAGAGGGTGGGTTAAGAGGGTGAGAGGTTGAGATATGGGGGTTCTGTGTGGAGGATTGGGGGGGGGAAGTGGGCGTGTTCTGGGTTCTTTCACAACTAGGAGAGTGGAGATATGGTTGGAGCGGGGTGGGCTTGCAGGGTGGATGATGCGTTACTACTTGCTATTTATCTATCTTCAGTGGTTATATATGCCGAGAATATGACATGAAGTCTCTGGGATGAGAGTTACTAGTAGTCTCCAAGTAATTTCGATGGGTCCTATGAATATGATATATATATACGTTGTACTATACGTAGTAGGGGAGGCGATCCAAACACACCCTGATCACTAAACACACACCCTCAATCACCACACATCCCTAAATAGGAAGTCAATAAGCGCATGAACGGGGTTAGACACGTAGTATTCCCTACGTGTCTAGGTATAGTACTTACTAGTAGTAGGTAGTCACGGTGTGCCCGCATTACTACCTCCCTGCATATGCATATATCCATTCCATTACCAAGTACGTAGCCAATAACCTTCCAGACTCACAGTGCGGCAGGTGTGCAGGTGCGGGGAACCTGTCTCGGAGACGCGCAATAGCCATACTGTATTTTTACTACAATGCATACGACATACGACATAGCGCGTTATATACACCAAGACTAGCGCGGTACTCGGTAGAAGAGCAGACTATCTCGATATAGCACCACTTCGTAAAAGCATCTACTAAAAAGCCTAGATTAGACTTACACAACAGTACTTCGCGCAGAAGCGCACGTTGGTATAATATGACCTGTGGATACTCGATCTGCTTGCCCTGCTTGACCGAAGAAAAGAATGAATGAAGGAGAGAAGAATGCCTTGATTAACTCACGGGGATCGATATAGCTATATACTTTGACACCTCGACATCAGGTTTTCTTCCGGTATTAAGACGTCGGCTATACACTACGATGTATAAGAGAGAGATTCATACACAGCACGTTTCTTATTGGTAATGGTAGTAGTAGTAGTAGCCATGGCATTGCTCATCCCCAACTCACCAGACACAAGACAAGGACGGTGGTCGGTGGTCGGTAGTCTCAAGCCCCAAAACAAAGTATGCAAGACAACACCCTAATATATTTCATTTAGGGGTGCTCACAGTGCGTCCGGCGGGCTGAGACGTGTTGAGCCATCCAAACGCGGACGCGCCTCCAATGGGATTGCTGGGCCACTGCTTGATGCTGGAACGGGTGCCGTCAGGCGAGCCTCGCGTCGACGCGGGCTGCGACGACACCGACGTCGACGTCCCGACGTAATCCGCCGCCGCAGGGATGGAGCCGCCAGACAGTACTGTGGTGGTATTCGGGACCGCCGCCCGAGAAGCGGATTTGGTGGGCCGCAAGACTTTCATAGTACGGCCGCGAGTGGACTTGCCGGTGGCGGAGGCGTTCGGGTCTGACTTGGTATCGAGTTTCCACGAGCCCCAGACGCCAGCGCCAGCTGCCTCCGTCTTGGCCGGTCCGCCGCTGATCTGAATGTCGAATGCCACGCCGGGCTTCTGGCCTCTCTGGACGTCGGTGTCCGTGGATGACTCCTGAGTGTCCGACGGACGGGTCTTTCGACTGTCTTCGGACTCTGCGATGGACTCTCGCGCAGACGCCGACGTGGATGTAGCCCGGCGGGAGAGGCTGGTCGGACGTCCAATCACGCCGAAAGTAGCGTGGCCGTTCGTGTCCGCCTGAATGTCTTTTTGAACCGGACGGGCTTTCCGCCCGGTGCGGGAGACATCCGATGCGGTGGACATGGACTTGAAGACCGAGTCATCTTCGGGACGCACGAGGGGGATGGAGATCTTGTTTCGCTCGTCGTCGACCATGATGATCTTGTCCTGGGAAAACAGCACGTCGGCGTTGTGGGAGCGGAGGACATCGCTTCCCAGGACAATCTGGATCGAATTGTCATCGGGGTCGACCTCCCGAACCAAGAACCGGATGGTCAGGGTGGGAACCTGATGCTCGGGGCTACTGGACCGCGAGGAGGCCTGGTGCACACTGGCCTCCGGGAGGTACATCGGAAGCTTAATGTACTGCACATCCCCCTCGTGCAGGACCTGGTCCTCCAAGCTGAACCTCCGTATCATCGGGTAGCCAAGCGAAGAGGTATAGGAACCAGAGCAGACGGCGGCGTACAGGAGGGAGTCGTTCGAGAAGTTGGTCGTCAGCCAGCACCGGATAATGCACGGTACAGGGCCGAGGAGAAACAGTCCAGGCGGAGGAATGAGAGGAGATCCGCCGACGGAGCTCATCATCCTACTGGTTGTCTCGAGACCCAGACTGTTGGTACGAGCCGAGTAGTGCGAGTGTCCTGACGAGCTTTGCCGCCCGTCCGATCGATGAGACAACGATCGCTCCGTCAGAGGATGACTGCCCAGCCCGCTTCCGGTCCTCAGCGGCAGCTCACTGTTGGATCGGCTGGCCTGGCCATAGTACCCGTGAATAGCGCTCTCATCGAACCGAACACTATTTGCCCTGGATGTACCCCGTCTCGGTTCGTCCTCGCTGTCCAGCCCCATCGTACTGACCGCGCCGTGCTGGTGCCCCTGATCAAACCCCTTGAACGCGTCCGCGGAGTTATGGAAGACCGGCTCTGCAGGAAAACCAGCACGTTAGTCAGACCCTCAACCAAATGATTGACTCAGGAAGACTATCACACACCTGTGGGTATCGTGCCCCCAACGGAGGTCGGAAAAGGCGACAAAGGACCCCAGACACTCTTCAACCTGGCATCCTCGTCCCTGCGCCGCTCGAGCCTCGCGATCCGCTCCGCCTGCTCGAATTGCGTAGCGTGAAGCTCCTTCAGCTCTTCAAAAACGTGCCAGATATCTTCGCGGGAGGCAAAGGGATACTGAGCATCCATATCCAGACGCACCTCACCGAAGATGCCTGATGGGCGACAAGACACACACACACACACACGCGAACGTCAACGGAATGAGAGAGACCTGTCTGCCAGTTGACCAACTCCTAACAAAGACGAAGGATGACGACTTGACCCCTTGTACCTGAACCCTGTTTCCTTTCCACCTCAGTCTTCTTCACTTCAGCCTGCTGCTTCCGCTGGCCCGCTGTATCCTCAAATCCTCCGCCCTCGTACTGCGTGACGGCCAAACGGCCGTCCCCCCGGTTTGCTAAGAACGAGTATCCGTTGATTTGCTGCAAAACATATAAAAAGTATCGGATGGAGGAGGGGAGAGTTGTCAGGACGGTCGTGCCACGGGGACTAGTACGGCGGCGGGAAGGAGGCGGAAGGCTTTTGGTATATCCGGACGGAGGTTGGTCGGGGCGGGTTGGGCGAATCTTCGCACGACAGCACCAGCGACACTTCACGTATTCGGGGGGTCAGGGGAGCGGGTATGGAAGAGCCGGAAGTGTGGTTACTGAGTCTGGATCGGTAACCAAGGAAGGAGAGCAATGTGGGTGCGTTATGATATGCTGTCGTGAAGGGGTTCGAGGGAGGCGAGGAATGGGGAGGGGGAGTGTGGTTCGGATTCGGATGGTTCTGCGAAGGAAGGAAGGGGAAGTTGAAGGGAAGGAGGTCGCTAAAGGATAGGCAAAGACGTTGGAATCGTGATGGGATGAAACAAGGTAAATCCTTGGAAGGCGCCAGAGGAACAATGAGGAGGGAGAGGGAGGGAGAGAGGGAACGGGAATGGGATGGATGGATGGGGGAGAACGGAGAAGAGCCGTCGGATCGGAAATCATGAGGGGATCACCATCCACGGCCGCACAGCCAACCAGCGGCCTCCGTGCGCTGGATCTAGACCGCTTTCATCCCATGGATGGATGGATGTCGGCTCCAGGCCATGCATGAGAACAACAGTACCTGGGGAGTCCCTAGTAACTACTAGTAGTATGTACGTCTATTCAAGGACCAATAGCCTGCTGGCTACGGTCACATCCACAAGTATTCTACCTGCATCTGTCCCCGTCCCCAAACTTTATACTGCGTCCCTCCCACAAGTCTATAATATGCCCATCCATCCTTTATTTCGGCGCAAATGCCCACGCCGGGAAAACATACGGAAGCTTGTCGGGCATCTGATCGGGCCAGTTCTCCCGAACAGTCTTCATGATCACATCAAAAACAATGCGATACCCATTCGCGGCCAAATGCAGACCATCGGTGAACAAGGTCGCGAACTTCTCGTGACTGGGCAGATCCCTCGACCCAACCAGAGGCTGACCCTCCCTCCACTCCACCGTCGCCATGAACGCGCTCCAGACATCCGCAACAGGCACGCCCAGCTCGGCACCAACTTCGCGAGCGGCCTCGACGTACTCCTTGGCGTGCGCGGCCGTGCGGGTCGGGTGCGGGTTCCCCTTCATGGCGTCGAACCCGGCCAACTGGTACTCGTTGATAGGGGGCGGGGTGATGATCATGATCCGGGGGTTCTGGGCGATGGTCAAGGGGTGTTGGATGATGCGCTTGAGGTTCTGCTTGTAGGTTTCCTTGGGGACGTGCTGCGCGAAGCCGGGGAGACTGGAGTCGTTGGCGCCGAACCAGATCGTCTGGGAGTTGTGTTGTGTTAGTCATGGTGGGGGACTGTGTGTAGCTCGTGGGTGGGATTCGGTGGCGGGACTCACCATGAGGCGGACATTGGCTTGTTCGGTGGTCGGGAAGCACTTCGGGAAGACTTTGATCGCGTGGAGGGAGTTGTATCCGCTGTGGGTTGAGTGAGGGTCAGGGGGTGTTGCTTTAGCTATGAGGGGGGTAGACGCACGCCAATCCGCGGTTTACCACATCCAGACGACGGCTGTAAGCTATTGGGGGTCAGTGGTTGGGAGCTATATCTGGGGGGAAACCGGTCGACCGACCATTCTGCAGCGCAGGGTGGAAGCCAAAGCCCATGTCCTGACCACAGGAGTATTCCGTGATCGAGTCTCCGAAGAGGAAGAACTGATCATAAGGCTGGTATGCCTCCTCATCGGCGGGCGAAACAGTGTTAGACATGTTGAAAAATCGACGGATTGTCTATGTGTATTGGGGAGGTGGAATTGGTGGCCGGGGAAAATCCACAGCAAAATGAAGGGAGGGGCGGGGAGAGAGAGAGGGGTCGCAATGAGCTCCGATAACCGATAAACAGAGGGGCGCGGCTGACCAGTTGGCGGGATTTGGTCCAGTTACTGGGGAACTCAATGGACGGAAACCGGCTGGAGTTTACCCAGAATTAAACACCAAACTAAGATTTAGCCTCAGGCATCGGCTGAAGTTTATCCACCAACGAGTTGCCGCTAGAGTCAGACACTCACTACTATTCGATTTAGATAAACTAACATCAGTTTGGTAGCCTGCATAACTTCATTCCTTGTGCAACGCTCTCCCCTGTCGGAAACATTTTCCGTTCGAAGCAGAAGAGCTTTCTAATATTTACAACTCCCTTTTCAATCCCCCATACTCTACATCCAGGCCAGCTACGGCTTCTTACACTCCCAGCTATCCGCAGCATTGATATCCCCGGTGCCCTTATACTGAGCCTGCGCGGGATGAACACAGAGCGGCCGTTGGCGGTACACGCCCTGCTGGGGATCCCTGTCATTCACGAACTTCGTCGCGATCAGCTCGTCCGGACTAGTCCCGTTCTCGACCCAATTCATCATGGCGAGGACAACGTCGTGGCGCGCGTCCTCATAACCGGGTACGCTATGGACGCTCCCATCCTTTCCGAACCTGGACGATTGGCCGTCTCCTGCAAAGGCCCAAGGGGCGTTCATGAGATCAGAAGTACCCGCGCAGTGGCTAGTGAAAACGTTAGCAACATTGAGCGGAAGATGAGGGATGTATTCTTACCCCATGCCGGGAACCAAGAAGAAGCGGTAGAAGTCATCCAGGTCGATTCCCTTAGGCTGGAGAGCCGCGGTGACCTGGTCATAGAAGTAGATGCTCGAGCCAGTGGCAATGGACCAGTCGGACCAGCCGTGGTAATGGATGAGCTTGCCGCCCTTGTTGTAGAAGGGGGAGAGATCGTAGTTATCGGCCGTGGCGTTGCCGGGGTTGAGCTCATCGGAAAGCTTGATCAAATCAGCATTCCAGTCCTCCCACGTCCAATTTCCGCCCAACTGAAGCATCCACTTCACATAGTCGGTGCCGAGGTTGGCAGGGGCGGCAACCAAGCCGCGCCAGTCATACTCGCTGGACATGGTGAGGTGAGGGAAGATGAACTTTCCATCTTCCACCCAGTCGCTATGAAGCTTGTGTACCGTCTTGACCTGCTGCGGGTTCAGGCAGGTTGATTTGTCCGTAGCGTCGTCGCCACACATGAGTTCCTCCGGTCGGAAATCACACGCAGAGGGATCCATGACCATGTTATCCTTCACTCCGTCCTGGGGATCACACTGGCGGATGACCTCCTGGGCTAGAAGACCGAGATGCTCGTTGGAGAGGTGATGCGGCGAGTCCGCAGGCGAGTTCCAGATACCAACGATCATGTTCCACAGCTGCAAGCGAGTCGTCCACCAGGCGGGAGCCCCAGCAATCACTCCATCGAAGTCATTAGGGAACATCTCGACCTCCTTCAGGCCTTGCTTCCCACCCGCGGAGCATCCACGGTAATAGCTGTAAGAAATGTCTTTGCCGTAGTAGTTCTCCGTCAGAGACTTCCCATTCACGACCGCATTGTGCATAGCCCGGTAGCCCCAGTTCTTGAGGGCTTCTTCGTTCTGGTAGGCCCATTCCGCGCCGGAGCTTTCGTGGCCTGTGTTGGTGGAAATAGCGGCGAACCCGTACCAGGCAGCATCAACCTATCAGTAGTAGCCTGTGATTAGCTTGTGGTGCTAAGCAGTGGTCGATATGAAAAACCTACAACAGAGCCCCAGCTAACGCTGCCAGAGAAACCGCCGTTTCCAGCCGTCCTAAGCCCATATTAGCATACAAGACACAAGACACCCTCCGACGAAACAACATACATGAACCTCCCATTCCAATCATCCGGTAGCACCACGCCCACACTATGCTGCGTATCACCGGGGAGGGTCAAATTGGCCTGGAAGACACAAGCGCTCCGGGGGAGAACAAACGACGACGCCCGGAAAGCCCCAGCATTGTGCTCCTTGGGGGGCGTGAAAGTGGCATCAGCCTGATAGTGAGAAGCGTAGAGGACCTTCGACCCCGCAGGAAGCAGCGTCTTGATCGAGTCCGGCGAGCACTGATATCCTCCGACCGAAGACCCAGGACCCGTGCCCGGAAGGTAGTTCTCCAACTCAGCCTTCCACAGAAGGATGGTCTGGAGGAGATCGAGTATCAGCATGTGGGATAGATTGACTCCGGGGTGGGGGAGTCCGTTCGTTCGTCCGTCCTTTTACTGTGGGTTGAAGACGCAGACCGTGCAGGCTGCTGCTATACCGTCATAGCTGGGTTGGCCTGCTGCCTGGATGCGATCTTTTCCGTCTAGCCGTTCTGGTCGCCCTCATCCGATAGGCTGCATTGCGTGTTCGCCGCTATCCCCGACCCCACTCTCGGAGATAAGCATTTCCCGATCGATAAAGTTCGTGGACACGAAGCTGGTCTTGCGTGCCCCGTATACTGAGGGTGGGAGAGGGATAATGAGGTATTTTACCCCTGCTGCGTTGATCGCTGATCGCTGATCGCTGATCAGACGCGGAGTGACTGGCGGCTCATAGTTTATGCGCGCTGTTGGTTCAGTCTGGGGTGCGAAACGCGGGGGAGCTGTTTCTGGGAAATATGGATCTGGGGGTTTCGAGACAACCTTCCCCGTACTCCGCACTTTCCGTTGTCTCAGCCCTCAAGGGGGAGACGGGTGATGGGCATCGGTGTTTCTGACGCGTGTGGAGATGCGTGCGTGGGGTGTGGAGAATGAGAGTCAGAGTGAGAAGGGACGATCTTTTCCCAGAAGGCTGGGATGAGCCTCGGTTGATGCGGAGATTGTTGGCGTCATGTCGACAGCTACCACACACCTAGGGTGGTCAGTCTTGATTGTTGAAGGCTTGGAGGATATATGGCGCAAATACAGCAAGCAGACAGCTTGGCTAATCTTTGGAATCTAGCTGATAATTGGAATCCAGACTACCAGACGAACGCACATTATAATCCCAACTGGCCGAGATCCCGTCAAAGAAACAAAACCCACAGCACATCTCTCCTCTACAGAATACAGTAAACAAGCAACATGCTCCGCAAAACCCTTCTCTCTATAACCCCTCTATACACACAAACAAATACAGTAAACCCCTCAATCCCCATCTCCACGCCCCAGCAACCCACCTCACCTCGCTCTTACATATCCACAACTTCACCCACCACCCACACACATACAAACAGCAAACCTCCCCCAAAGGACCGCCAAAAGTACGCCCCTCCCAGAAACCCACACCAAGACCCTCACCCCACAGCGCCATGAACCCAGGAGGATAAGACTTAAGCCCTGTGCCGTGGGACAGGCCACAGCGCCCACAGCTCGGGGGGGATTAAGTTTCGAACACGACGGTAGAGTAGCCCGGTGGCGCTGACTACACGACCGTCGGTGACTTGGCAGATGGGGAGTGGAGTGGAGGGAGAGAGAGGAGCGGCTGGTGTGTGTGTTGTGGGCAGTAGAAGGATGGTTGTCCTTGGTTTTATGGCTTGAAGGTGGACAAAATGATTGATTGGGTCTGGTAGTAGTGGTTTGGAGAGGTGGTGGGGTATAGGGTGATGTTGATAATGGGCTTCTAGTAATTTTAACATGTTGGAGAGGTAAGAGTTGGTCCTGTTTGCATATGGTCTAGATATAGCAAAGCTGTGAGTGTTGTATTGTAGCCTTCCATCCAGGAGCATTCTCCTCCTTTCCTCTCTCTTCTCACCAGATCTTGGCAATAGACCATCTCAAACAATCAATGATCTTGTGCCAGGATATTATCACGAATGCTATTGTCCTAGGGAAGATAGAAATAATAATCCGTAAAGGAAAGAGTAAGTTCATTAACTTCGCACTGTAATAGGAAGCTACGATTTCAGAGAGAATGAACAGCAAATCATTGCATAATCATGCTTAAAGCCGCTCATACGGATATGTACGAATTTGAATATATATGGTACTATATGATATTCCCATTGGATAATCCACACCGTGGTGGAGGAAGATAAATTCAAGCTTAAATCATAAACATAGTCATCATAAAATACATCACACTCAAGCACCGCGCCATTTCCTGCCAAACATGTGGAGGGCAACGATGGGCAAAAAGCTAACGGCAAAGATCATCGCGCTGGCAACACCGGAGCTGGCCGCGACACCGACGTTGTCGAACATATCGGGGAACCTGGTCAATGTTAGCTTTTTCTGTACAGTGTATAAGATTTGATGTTATTGGGAGAGCTTACCAGAAGGGACCGATGAAACCCCATGTCTGACGGACAAAGGTGATGAAGACACCCACACTGCCCGCGTCCTCGTGGTAGCAGTCCACCGCGTAGGTGACCAGCACAGTAGTAACAAGCTGGTTACCGAAGGCAGCGATGGCGGTGCCCACGAGCGGAGACACGACCCAGTGATTCGCGGAGGCCTGTTGGGTGCACACCAAGAAGACTATGACACCAATAATAGTCAAGGCTACTCCAGGGTAGCTGAGCCAGAGTCGGTATTCAGGGGTTAGTCTTTCTTGTGATTTGCGTGCACGGCGGGCCATCCAGAAGTCGGACATGGAGCCTCCAATTTGCTCGCCCATGATAGTACCGATGATAACTCCGATGAACTGAAGTCCCAGCTGTTCGGCGTTGAGACCAAACTTCACTTGCAGAAGCTGGGGAACCTCAACTGTGATCATGACACTGCCAAACAGGAAGATCATGGCGTATGCACACGCGGGAATCATAACACTAGGACGCGCGGCCATGGTCAAGGGGTGGAAGAACTCGGAGATTTTCAGCGGGGTGGGGTCAATCCGGCGAAGCGACATGTACTGCGCCTTGAAATCGGATATGCCCTCGGAGCTACCGCCAATGTAGCGGGTTTCGGGCCCGAGGAACAGGTACAGGATAAACTGAACACCATTGGTGATGGCCAGAACCCAGAAGATCCAACGATATCCGACACGGTATGTAATGAATCCGTAGATCAACGGACCTAAGAAGTAACAGATTAGTTGGGCGCTGCTGAAGCATGTCCGAAAGGCAGAACTAACCGACTGGAACACCCAAGGTAACCATCAATGTCCAGACACCCAGATAGCGACCTCTCTCTTTCTTGAAGAACGTTTCTGTGACGACAGCGCTACCAATGGCTGCTGCTGGGGAAATGAAGAATGCCGTCAACGCTCTGCATGCAGCCATAGACGCGTAGGTCGGGCTTTTCGCGCAGCCAATATTGCACACCAAGCTGAGGATAAGGGACAAGAGGAAAATTGGTCGACGGCCATAACGATTGGACAAAGGCTTCCAGAACAGGGGCGCGCCTCCTAGAATTGCAATTTGAAGTGAGGTGAGATAGCTGGCTCTCTGCATGGAGACCCCGAGGTCTTCAGCAATACTCTCATATGCGGGGATAATCGATGCCGTAAAGGTTGCCATGCAGGCGTGGAACGCGACGAGGACGAGGTTGGCAATTTTCTAAGAAGAGCCTTGCTGTCAGCAACCGGGCGACGGAAATTCGCTCATGGGCAGGTTCATACCTTCCAAGTAGGCCAGTTGTATGGGTCTGCGCCCGAAGGACTGGGGATGGGATCCAGATCTAAGGTTCCATGGCGCTGGAGGAGATATTCTCGGTGGGAGGACGATAGAGAGGCGGCAGCAATCTCGGCATAGGAAGAAGGACCCTCTTCCACCTTTTCGAAATATTCGCTGCTGTTTTTCTCCATGTGGGGCGGAATTTGCGACTTTGGGGAGGGAGTGGGCAGGACGTCCTCCGACATCTCGACAGTGGACATGGTGTCTGCAACCGACAGAGAAATCTTCCACAAAAAAAGGGGGCAGAGGTCCAACAAGGGAGAGAGGACACCTGGAGGTAGAAGAAACAGACTTTTTAGAGTCAAAGGGGACGGGTCAAAGACGGTTGTAGCCGGCCTGATGGAAAAGTTGGGGGATTCAGATAAGGGATGCGAGAGTATATAAGTGACACGGGCATTGTTGCTGCTTGACCTCGTCCGCGAGGTCCGGAGCTAGGGCCCTGTCAATCAGCACTAAGCGACAGTTAACCGCTGTTCTAGCTATCGCCACGAGGGGAAACTGGGGGTACGTACGTACTCCTTGCTAGCTATCTCTGGGGTAGTGGACCACTGAGAGGACGCGACATGTGGAATGGCTTGTGGGGAGAGCGTGGGGATCTCACGGCCCCCACAAACACATGTGCGCCACGTCCGGCATAACAGGACAGCTAAGGCGAGGGGGAGTGGCAGCTGAGGCATGGCCAGGGGCGTTCGTTGGGTGGCAAAGGGCCGAGTGACTCGCTTAGTGGGCCAGGAGGTGTAAGCGTGGAACGAAAAGTTGGAGAGTTGGAGTGCGTGTCGTTGTGTGGGGATGGCGAAGGGCCTAAGCGCGGGGAGAAAGGGGCTAGTCGGGCTAGTCTCCCCCGGACAGCCGGCATTTTGGATCGACTGGGGGTTTTCCTCCGGGGTAGAGGCAGGGTCGCCCGCCGGCGTGGAGACGGCGTCAGCCCCATCATCAAGCGAGGGCCTCAGCTGGCCGCCCGCCGCCTTTTGCTCCCCATTCAAACTTCCGAACTTCCCCAATCCCCCCTTCCCCCCCCTCTCTTTCGGAATTGAATGTACCTTGTACATGCTACCCCAAACCTCCCGTCCTCTTTCGATCTGCCAGCGCTGCTAAGCTCGTGGTTCCGATCCCTACCAAAGCTTGTTGTCGGAATTACTTGGAGGGACGGAAAATTCTCCGTGCGATGAACGATAACAGAACACAATGATACAAAATTGAGCGGGCCTACCTTTCCCCTTCCAGCCATCCGGTCTGCCCGCCAGGCAGGTGACTGGTTGGGAGGCGGACGCACAGGCCCCGTGGCGGCGATTGATACTGCGGAGGACGGGCCCCGGCGCCGCACATTGGCTTACGTGCTGCTTACCCAGGAATTATGCGATCTCTCGCTAATTCTGCGATGTCGATCATTCCTGGGATGCGAGACGTGTCTGTCTTCCGGCCCGCCTCTGGTGCAACCTGACCTCCCATCTAGAAAAGGCTTATTCCATCCAATCGCTGATACAAATATCAGATACAGCGAGCCTCTCCCAATGGAACTTTGGAATCAACGGATGCTTGGACCTGGGATACAATAAAGCGCAAAACGAGCGAAAGTCGCTCGAGACCAACTCAAGCACCACGGCAAACTCTGAGCCCAACGAATGTCTACCTTACCAACCAGCTAGTGAACTCAAAAAGGTCAGGCAGGCCCAGTCGCCGCGAGCATCCGCTGCCGCATATCACCGTCCAATTAGAATGATGGCCCCATCGCCGTTAACAGAAAGGTTTCGGCCGAGGCAACGGTCACCCAGACGATTGAACGCCATGCCTCTGTAGCAATGAACGCTAGCGTGCCAGACACGGTGATTGTGGAGCTTGGTTGGATAACGGAAGCCGCTTTTGGGAACATAGACGATCCAGGGACCTCGTATCTACGTTGACAGCGACTGGTACGGAGTAGAGATGGACGAGGATCCCGCGATCTGTAGATAGGCGTCCACAGTTCCGTGCCTAGAACGCCGGGAATCCCGAGGTTTCCAATAGTAATCTGCAGGTTGAAGCACTGTGGATAATATCTGTGGCCTGTCCTCGCTGCTCCGTGACTTGCAAGCAACCCGTGTTGGGGAACATAATCTCTCAGTGTGACGTTTGAGGGGATCTGGACCAGTCTCCAAATGTCAGGGACCGTTATCTCATCAGCTATACCGATGCCGTTGATCTTGAAGAATCAAGCTTTTTTTGTTTTGGTCGACGTTCTTACAGATCGAGCCACAGTTGGTAAGATAATCAACAAACGCCCCATGGTGACTGCCGAGTCACATGGGTCCAGCTGCCACAACTGCATGGCTTCTGCCGTTAGTTGCATCTAGTTGGCAGATTCTTCCGTCCATATCATATGTATCGGGTACATTAAAGCTGCTTGCAGTGTCTTTTATGACCATGCAAGTATAACAGGGCCTTGAACTGTAAGACTTTCTTTGATAACTGTGGCTGAACAAAAAGTGGTCATGTACACGGAGGTATGAGATTCTAGAAAGTATCACCAGCAAATGGGGAGGTTGTTCTCTTTCAACTAAGTCAGAGTCCACTACCATATAGTTTGCTCAAAGTAAACAATCTACAGGCTAAGCTTCCCCCGTCACTGAAGGGTTCATCCTGCTATGTTCCTGCTCTTATATGATATTCACATCTATATTCCTGTACATACTCATATCTGTCTTCACATCCGCATTCATATTCTAACCCGCCCGCTTCCACTCAGTACTATTTATTACACTGTTGCTCTCTGACCTTCTTTGTCCTATCCTTTCTATATCCATCTCACCCAGATATCCACCAATACAGGGATAACCGTTACAGTTCAAGCTGACTTCCACATATGATTGAGCACCTGTTCCACAAAATACCGCTTGCCACATGACCCGCCGAATATTTCGTGTCTTACTTCAACAAACTTGGCTGATTTGTTGACCAAGCCTACGAGCCGCAGCATCCCCTGGATTGTGTACACAGCTATTCTCGAGACCAAAATTCCTCAGAGCTCCTCATGGCAAAGGCCAAAAGACGTCGTGGCATGGCCAAAGCTAGAGCCCAAAATGCTAAAAAGAGGAACAGGCAACCGGAGGCCCGAAGGCCCAGACATCTCCCTCTACAACGCAAACGAGGAGTTACTGTCTCCAATCCAGTCCCTCCCACCAAAGTACTGGATCGCTCCATATGATCTCGAGGATAGTGATGTATTCCCCTTGCCCACACCCAGCTTCAATGATTTCAAGCCAGATCCTTATTTTGGTGGGTGGCACGACGGACATGACTCCTATTATTAGAAGACAGTCCTTTGTGACCCACGCATCTTATGAACCAGTTTACATCAGGACAGACCTGAGCAACTACTGTTACCGGTTGGTTAATATGGAAGGCAAGTTGGTTCCCGAGGAGAAGTGTCGCTTCAACCCAGACACCTGTCGACAGTTAGAATTTGATCGCGCAGTGGTTGAGTCCTTCCGCGACTACCTGACCCGGCTAAACCCTCAATACATACCTAATCGGTATTCGCCCACAATACTGGAAGTAATCAGGATCTGCGGAAATATGGTCTGGGAAAACTTGAAGATGTTTGAGGTAAAGGGGTCGCTTGATTCCCATTCCAACTATACGCGACGGATGGATGGTCGGTCGTGATGGCTGTGATCTCATTCTTGCATCAATCAAATAACAGTATCTAGAATGATGATAATCCTAAGGAAATAATAATATACAGATCCCAAGTCCTGAATAAATAGGTATTGTTCAGTTACCAACTTCAGCTACAACCCACAATCCAGAAGAGTCATAGTGAGTTCCCAGCTGAGGTGATGAAGAAGGGGAAATTTAAGATGTCGTCATAATTATGAATACTTCGACTGTTTTTCTAGGCTACCTCGCCAGGGGTGAGGCCCCTCACCTCTCCTCCACTCCTCCACTCCACTCCACTCCACTCAAGTATCGCCTCGAACCAGATCACCAACACAGTCCTACTGTCACATATCAACTCTTAGGTGCGTTTCAAAGGCAGCTCGCTCCCATAACCACTAGGGTATTGGCAAAAGATGAAATCGATAGCAACTAGGAAGAAAACGCGCATCCGTTGTATGACACAGTGGCCAGTTCCTTATACATACATCCCACACAACAAAGTACAACATGGATCCCGAGAAGCCTTGTCAAGTCTTCTACATCCGAGAGATATTGGAGATGATTCTGCTAAAGGTAGGCATGCGCACGCTCCTGAACTCGGGGCAACGAGTCTGTCGCTACTGGAGAGAGCTCATCCAAAACTCCTCTCGGCTTCAAGTTGTTCTGTTCTTCAAGCCATCGACCAGAAGTCTCCGGCCGGGTCGGATCCCGGTGCTCAATCCGCTGATAAACAAGACACACTTCGGAACATACTTCGGCAGACAGTCCCGTCTAACGGAAGAGGATATTATACACATGCGCCCCGAAGCCAGCTGGAAGCGCATGCTCATTCGACAGCCTCCGACATCCAGTGTCGGCATATGCGAGTTTCAATCGGCAGATCCTTTTGATTCCATGCTTTCTAAAGTACAGCTTGTCCCCATGGATGATGTTCTTAGATTAGGCCACTTGGATCTCTTCATTCCGCCCCCCGGTGATTTAGAAGCACCGGACGCCACACTTGTACACACCCATTCTGGCTTATTGGGGGAATGTGATGTTCTGATACTGACGAGCCGCTGCCGCTTTGTTGACAAAAGCCCACGCTTAGTGACTACGCTTGACTGTTGGCTGGAGTCAATGCGTGGTCGGAAACCTGCTCACCGGGAATGGCTGCGGATCAGGAAACCCTGGCACTGGCCTCAGCCTCGCAAATATTTCATGATAGATGTTGATTGGGATATGTTGGATTGATTGATGTTTTGGGTAGATAGAGGAACTTATTCCTTTTTGTATTCTACCCAATTACAGCACTACTGGGTGACTATTTTGGGTCGCCGATGGCCAAATGGCCATGACTGCGGAGTCAGAGGTTGGCCTGATGTAGACTCTTGACCAAAAGAATCACTTGCCGAATCTGGAGCCTGACCATGTTGACTCTATTTCAAATAGTAGCAATATTGATGATGAAAAGTATTATCCACCTACATCCATATAGCACCTTTTTGCTGTATGGTGGAATGAATCCTGAAAGTTGTGTCAGCCTACGTAATATCTAAGTCTAATATGCCCATTTTAGCGACCAGCCTTTTTCATTTCTTTAGATCTTTGCCTAATAAACTAGATCAGACTTAAACAAAGATGAGATATTATTATCAGCTATACTGCTGTAAAAATTCCTATTTAGCTGCTAGCACATAATCAATAACAAAAGAAATAATATATTTTAACTAATTAGGACCCTAATCCTATGTTTATTACATAGATAATATCACCTCTTCTATATTATTATTGAGAATTATTGATAGTATATTAGAGTCAAGAGGATGATTTCGCAGCCAGTCACTGCAGGCGGTGGCACCCAACCATGCTGACACTTTTACTGAGATGTTATTCGGTGCTTTGGTTCCATACCATGACCTTTCAGCACAAAGTCCTATATCTTCAGCTCAGTATTCGAGGTATATCCGCCTAAAAAGCCCCTATCAAAGACTCTAGTTGCCAGGAAGGTTCCTATGGAAGGTAGGGGGCTATAAGCTTATGGAACGTTATTTACTGGTGCTGCTCCCTCTCTGAATCTCGCACTTTGAGGTCAATGCTATCTCTGCAGTGAGGATATGGGTTGTTTGGGAAAGGCGATTATATAAAGTCTGGCCGATACTTTCCGGTAACTTCGTAGATATGGATAATGCCCAATTCCTTGTTCTTTTCCCATGGGGACTTGCACAAGCTACATCTAAGATAGCATCCTTTGCCACGATATGGTCCGAATATGAAGATAGATGGCACTGGTCTGAGCGTTCTGACACTTATTGATTCCAGTGACAATTCGGCGTCATTTGCCTTTGAATCGGAATCAAACCGAAAACCATCCTGCAGCCCCGGAAAAGATAAGCAACAGTTCGGTACCGGAGTAGGTATGGTGTTTTATCTGTTTAGGTTCCTTGGTTGATTCGGGGACACCCGTGGTTGCGTCAACGGCGTTTGTTTCAAGTTATCGGGTGCGGGGGATGAATGCATAGATATGGCTGACTTGAGACCATTGTTGTGACAGGTCTTACTTTGGTTCCAAAGTCTGCCGTCATGTGGCAAAAAATGGTGAATTCTGGTCGGCTATCCGCCTTGATAGTGGATTGAGATCTTAACTTGATGTGCCTGAAGTTTCCGTATGCGGCAAGCAAGTTGATCTGTAGAAGATAGATAGGCGACATGAACAGCGGCCGTTGGCATTCCATGTAAGCTAGTATGTTGATCTATAAGATCGACTGGAGCAGATACGTCATGTCTAGTGTCCTTCAAACCATGTTCCTAAGCACAGCATTCGATTGGCGACTGGAAGATGGGCTCTGCTGCCGTCCGCCACTGCAGAATGGAAGTACCATGCAGGAGATGCACCCATCTTTCCCGAGATAAGTAGTAGGGGTTTAGGAAGGTTTGAATAGTAGATGGGCCGTGCATATGCAAAGGTGGAACCACGTACTATATAAGCTTAAGGGCTTCATGCGGGGGTTAGTGGCAACGCCGACCTTTTTAGACAAGTAATAACATCTGGAATCTAGATGGTGGCTTGTCCTAGAGGATCGACATTCCGTCATAGAGGCAAATTGAACGGTCGGCAAGGCAACAAAGAGCTGGCAATTACGTACAGTGAGTGAGGTGGGTGCGGGGCTACCATCATGTGTGCTGTATATGTCGGTGAGAGTCCTCCGACTCTGACATCGGGTAGATATGGATGGGCACAGTATGACACCAGCTCTCACTATGGCTAGTTATCACACCGACCAGTCTGGCGACCCTTGTGTCATACCCCACCTGCGACGAGGCGGACAGTCCAAGTTCGCCCCCCGAAGTTCATGACATGAAGATCATTCAACCTAACCATCTGGGTGGACAGAACCGGTTTAGCCGTGGATGGAGAGACGGCTCATGGAGGGGTCGGAGGGGGGTCATGCACTGGATGGCAGCATTCCCAAGAAAGGCGGAACGTCTGGGGTGCAGCGGCTAGTCGGTCCATCCGGCACGCTGATTGGGCTTCACCCGGTAGAATAATGGCATGTTACACCGACCATCTATCGTGACTCGACACGTGCCCAGGGTCAGTTCCCCCCGCGGACTCTGGATTCTTTATTTATCTGATCACTGATGACTGACTACTCGCCGTCGTCACCCGTGGCTGTCCGGCTGTCTCGCAAATCAAACCCCCTACTATGGACGGTCGGACGGGGGCGGGTGGTGGCCGGCGACTCACAGGGACCACTCCGTTGTCCGATCGGCGTCAGATGATGCGCGCCTTTAGCCCCGTCTTGGTCTCCCCCTCGGTGGACCTTTGAACGGTTGAACCTCTGCCATGACCGCCTCAAATGTCGTGCCCGTCGCTTCCTTCACCCCCCCCCTGCTGCATCGCTTTTCCATCCGATCTCTCTTGCGGAGCCTCGATCCTTCTCCTTTTTGAGTGTTTCGGTCCTGTGTGCGTATCTGTCCACACAGCTGCTGCTACTCCTTCTAGTGATTAGCGATACCCCTGGGCCCGTTACTTATCTTACGACCCGGACTTGCGACGGCCGTGTTTGTTTATCTCTTGCTCGTCATTTCCGCAACCTCACCGCCATCGGGCGTTTTTTGAGGCCCATCGCACAGGCGAAGACCCCACTGCTCGATTTCTTGGTTTTGGGGCTTTGGTTTATAAGGTCTTGATGGAAATGCGTCTTGTCGAGGGTCGGTTTTTTCTTTCTTTCTCTCTCTCTCTCTCTCTCTCTCTCTTCTCTTCTCTCATCCTCCCTCCTGGGTTGTGTTTGGGGACCTCGGGAGTGGCTGGTCTGACCTTACTTCCAGGCTACCAACATTAAGTCCGAAGCTCTCCTGCTTCATTAATCTCCGAAAATGCCTCGCTCAATCCCTCCCAATTTCCACGTCGCCATCCCGGAACCAGACCCCCAGCCAGCCGGGAATGATGGTCGAAGGACGGCCGCGCGAACAGCTCCCCCCTCACCTTCCGCGGTCCGACGAACCCATAGTCTTCTCTCGGAGGTTCAAACCGCCCATGAGCCCTTAGTGCCTCCCGTGGAAGTCAGCGAGACAACAAGCCTCCTCTCGAAACCCCCTGACAACCGGCGCGGCTTGTCGTTCCGGTCATACACCAATCTGTCTGGGAATTCGGGGTCCGACACCAACTTCAGGCACACCTTGATGGCGGGTAGTATCCGTCGGTCCCGACATCATAGCCGAGCGAACTCTCAGGCCATCCGCTTTAGCCGGCGGAGCAGTTTCGATGCGGAACCGCCTGAGAGCATCGCTCCCTCCGCCAAAGATGGCATGGCCGCGTCATTTCTCGATGAACGAAGCTGGTATGATCAGTTCACATCCACCGACTGGGTGCACGACAGTATAGCCGATGGGGCGCGTCTTCGGGAGCTGCGCAGGCGGAAGGATGTTCGCGGTCGCCTGCTGTCATGGCTTGATGGTTCCCAGGGTTGGGTCCTGGTTGCTTTGATTGGCTGCATTACAGCTATCATTGCGTATTCTGTGGATGTGACAGAAGAGTTCTTTTTCGACGTGAAGGAGGGCTTTTGCACCACACGCTGGTTCCATAGCCGTCAAAGCTGCTGCACAGGTGGCGACGATTGCCCCGCCTGGCGGTCGTGGTCCCAGATCCTCGGGCCAGCAGACCTGGATAACCCCTGGGTCGATTATAGCATGTTTGTTTTCTGGATGGTTCTCCTTTCCGTCATCTCGTGCTTCCTGACGTTGCTCACGAAGACCGTTGTCCCGTCTTCTGTTTCTTTGACAACCCTGGATGAAAATCTAGGTGCTTCTTCGTCGCGAAGTACGAGAGGGCACAACGGGGTCGGAAACTCTCCGGGATCTGAATCCAGCCCGCAAGGGCTCGGTCCTGCCATTCCCACGCGTCCGGCCATGGTCTACTATTCAGCAGCAGGAAGTGGTGTGGCTGAGGTCAAGGTCATTAACAGTGGTTTCGTTCTGCATGGTTACCTGGGCTTTAAGACTTTGCTGATCAAGACTATCGCTCTAGTCTTCAGCGTCTCATCAGGTCTCAGTCTGGGCAAGGAGGGTCCCTACGTGCACATCGCGACATGCGTTGGAAACATTTGCTGTCGCATTTTCGACAAATACAACCACAACGATGGAAAGAGACGTGAAGTGTTGAGCGCAAGTGCTGCGAGTGGAGTGGCAGTGGCATTCGGATCGCCCATCGGCGGTGTTCTCTTTAGTTTGGAGGAAGTCAGCTATTATTTCCCGCCAAAGACCTTGTTCAGAACCTTCTTCTGCTGTATCGCGGCAGCTTTGTCTTTGAAATTCCTCAACCCCTACGGCACGGGTAAAATCGTCCTGTTCCAGGTCCGGTATCTAGGCGACTGGGAGATGTTTGAGATGGTCATCTTTATTTTCTTGGGTGTACTTGGAGGGGCTCTAGGAGCTCTGTTCATCAAAGCCTCTAGTCTTTGGGCTCGGTCGTTTCGACGAATTTCAATTATCAAGCGCTGGCCAATGCTCGAGGTTGTCCTGGTGGCCATTCTGACTGGTTTGGTTAGCTTTTGGAACCGTTACACCAAGATGCCAGTCTCCGAGCTCTTGTTCGAGCTAGCTAGTCCCTGTGACCATGAATCCTCTTCGCCGACCAGTCTGTGTCCACGTGAAGATGGCATCGGCGAGATCATCCAGTACCTGCTGGTGGCTTTTGTCATCAAGAGTTTCTTGACCGTTGTGACATTCGGCATCAAGGTGCCTGCCGGCATTTACGTCCCGTCCATGGTTGTCGGCGGTCTCATGGGCCGCATCGTTGGCCATGTAGCACAGTACTTGGTTTTGAAGTATCCCACCTCTTTTCTTTTTGGAACGTCGTGCCCAGCTATTGCAGGCATGGAATCATGTGTGACCCCTGGAGTGTACGCGATGGTTGCAGCGGGCGCTACTATGTGCGGTGTGACACGTTTGTCCGTGACGCTTGCTGTCATTCTCTTCGAGTTGACCGGCAGCTTGGACCACGTGCTCCCGTTCTCCGTGGCTGTTCTATGCGCCAAGTGGACTGCGGACGCCATCGAGCCTCGCAGCATCTATGTAAGTGGCCCCACATATCACACCGCAGTTGAGTTTACTAACGGATGCAGGATCTGTTGACCGATATGAACTCATACCCATTCCTGGACAACAAACTTCAGCCAGTGTCGGATGCGCAGCTCGGAGACCTGGTTCGGCCCGTTCGCTCCAGTCGGGTCATTGACATCTCGGGCTCGTCGTTTGTGCCTGCAAGGGAGCTGCGTTCGAAACTCCAGAACCTGCTTATGGCGGGTGAACTTGATGGAGGGCTACCGATTCTGCGACATGGCATTCTGACGGGGCTAATTCCAGCACCCGATCTTGAATACGCGCTTGATAACCTCGGGGACGAAGAGAACACGCTATGCTTGATGAGTCTGGACACCTCGTCAGTTATTTCCGACAGTGATGACGAGGACCGTATTGATCGGGCGGACTTCAGCCGTTTCATCGATCCGGTACGTAACCCAAAGCTCCTGATCCCCTCCACGAAGCTGACCGTTCGGCAGTCACCTATTGCCTTGGACATTCACTCGCCAATCGACCTTGTGTTCCAGTGTTTTGCCAAACTAGGCCTGCGCTACCTATGTGTGCTGCACGATGGCCAATATGCCGGCTTGATACACAAGAAGGCTTTTGTCAAGTACATGAAGGAGCACGAGTGATTCTTTGTGCACTGTTACGAAGCATTTAAAGTTCGATTCCTACAACACTCGTTTGGTGAAGTGTTGTTACACGTGTTATGACTACTAATCCAGCAGGATCAGGCTGCATGGATGCGACGCGCATGATACTCCGCATGCTTGTATACTAGCAAGGAGTTTGCTTTTCTGTTTTTATACTTACTGTGTATTTTGATGGTTGTTTCAGCGAGAGCATACTGATTTATCCAGCATTGCTAGGGTGGCTAGCTGACTTATCTAGACTGTACAGATGTCTATTGACCTGCACATAGAACATAGATAGCGAGTCTGCATTGCATTGCAGATCTGTATATGAATTTTTTTTCTTTCCATTACTGGTATACCTACCTCCCTAGCCAACAAGACGTACGCCCGCGCAGTCTTTATACCCCCATATCTACCTACCCACACTTCATCCCGTTCCATCCCTCCCATCCTAATCCACCCTCTCATACCCAACCATCTGAATCCTCACCTCGCCCTCCTCCCTCCACTCCCCCGTGACCGTCTCGCCCACCCACTCCGTGACCTCCTCCGCACTCGCCCTCCTCCACCCCCTCTCCTCCAACAATTCCCGATCCACCGGGAAAAACGTATCACACTGAAACACGTCCCCATTTTCCCGATACCCAACCTTCTCCACATTGGTCATAACAATCCTCACCCCCGCGGGCATTTTCTCCCGCAACGCAGCCCCGTATATCTCCGCGCCCCCAATCACAAACATCTTCCCCAGTTTGTCGGCGTATTTCTCTTCCAGGCCGGAAATCGCCTCCTCTAGTCCGGAGCAGACCAGCGCGTCGGTCTCTGGCTCTGTAGCTCCAGCACCAGCACCAGCAACCGCCCCAGCAGATGAAGATGAAGATGAAGCAGAAGAAGAAGAAGACGCAAGTTTCTCCCTCCTCCTCTCCAAATCCTTCCTCACCCGCTCCCCAACTCCATCCACATCCCTCGTAATCACGGTGTTGATCCGCTTCGCGAGCGGTCGCAGATTGCCCGGTACGGAGTCGTACGTCTTCCGGCCCATGATGATCGCGTTGGTGGTTCCGGGGCTCGGTGGCCGGGATGTCACCCGCGCGAAGAACGTCATGTCGGCTTTGATGCGCGGCCAGGGGAGCGTGCCGTTGAGGCCGATGCCAAGGCGGATTTGCGGGGTGGGCGTGTTGGGGATCGGGATTGGGGTGGTGGCCACGATGAGGGTCAGCGGGGTTCGTGAGGGAGGTGGCATTTTTGTGGGTGGTTGTGGTGGTGGGTATGGAAGTGTGGGGATTATGAGGTTGTGAGGTTGTGAGGTGAGGAAGGAGAATTTGATAGCGATAGACCTAAGCGGTGGAAGAAGAGGAGGGGGGGGGGGAGCTTTATCCGGTCGTAATGATCTCCTCCTCCCACAACCAAACCCCCCCCCCCGGTCGCCACCGACGGGCCTCTCCACCACGGGCTTTTTCCAACCCATAATGTTAAAAAAAAAAAGAAAAAGAAAAAAGTATTGACCTTCGATAGTAATCAATTGGGTATCTTCAACAAATTATAGAATCATGCGAAGTACGCGCCCACATATTTTTACAGATCTCTAATGAAGAAAATAAGAAACGCCCATACCAACGCCCATCTAAAGTCCCATCCATCCAACCAACCCCGAAAATGCTCCCGTACGCCGGCCGACCATCGTGTTTACTATTTAGTAGCCTTCAATACCCCCCCCTCCTCAATCGCCTTCTGGATTGCCGTAGCATCTCTCTCCAGCTCCTCCCGGCGCTTCACGTCCGTCGCGTCTTCGCCAAGGGTATCGAGTTTCCCGAACAGCCATGTCTCTTTCATTGTGCGGGTCAGGGCCAGGATGTCTTCTGCGGCGCGGACCTGTGGATCCAGATCCGGATTGTTTGTCAGTTGGGTTGAGCTCGGCTGTGCTGTTGTAGAATAGAGTAGAGTAGGTGGTATGTCACGCACCAATGCAGTCGATTCCACGTCGAGCTGGTATGTCTCGACGGCGGTGGAGGCGTGGCTGGTGCTTTCGGTCTGGGTGGGTTGGGGATGCGGTTAGTAGTTGCTTGGATGTTGTGTCGCGGGGCACGCGGCGATCGTGTAAGAGGGTGAGTGTTTTAGGAATGGAACGCACTGTAGCCGTAGCCATTATGTTCTCGAAGCGTTGCAGGAGCTGGGAGATGTTCGTGTTGATGCGATCTGCGGAGATAGTTGGTTAGCTCGCGGTTGGGTTGTTTCGTGGGAGGTGCAAGGCTGGGTTTCGGTTTCTGGGAACGGGAATTCTCACAGTGCAGCGCTTTTGATGACGGTTGGGATTCCATTTGGACGGTGTCTAGTGGATGTATCCTTGTCTTGTCTTCGGGGTGTTGTCTGCAGAGAAGGATTGATGTGATTGATGGTCTTGTCTTGGGCTTGGGATGCTGCGGTGGGCGGAGGATGAGCGGTGGGGTTTACTGCCGGCAGTATGGTTTGATAATGGAATGGATTGAGTGGGTTGGGTTCATAACGCTACTTTGTGGACGGTGGGACATGATGTATGGTATGCAAAGTTGCGGGTATTTACACTCGGAAGTAATAATGAAAACGCCAAAGGCCAAAAGCCGCGCCATTCGCGATCCCAGGTCGATGTCCTTCATTTAGCTGCGTCGTCTCTGAAACAAGCTGTCGCAACGGCCTTCCCTGCTTACATTGTTGATCCAATGTTCTCGAATGTTGGCTTTCTATTTGCGTCAAGCCAGTCGAGTGTTGGCCTCGGTGGTAGCCACAGGAGCGTGGGAAGAATTGCCGTAAAAATGATCGAAGGTGGTGTGAGATGCGCCGTTGATGCTCATGGAATCTGTATCGCCCGGCTATAGGAGTTGCACGTTGGACGTGACAACCAACTCAGCGAACGTATTTGCCCTATGTCACGTCAGTGGAGTCCAAATAGTCCATTCGCATTCGTAGCTTACCATGAATCTCTTGTGGAAGTCCGACCGCAGCAGATCCTGAAACACTTGGTTAGCACCGTAGATAGGACCAGATCCAACCGTCTTACATTGACAAACTCCTTGCCTCTCTTGTCTTCAGTGCCACGAGCCTGGTTCTTGAACACGACGTCGTCGTCCCATCTCCGCTTCATGTTGAATTCCTGGGAGTTGAGCAGCGGGTTGCCTCGAGCGATGTCGATTTCTCGTTGTTCTTCCTCTTCGGCGGCACGTTCGCGTTCCTAGTAGCCATGAGTAACCCATCGCCGCACAATTCCGGAGGCACGTACCTCTTTTTCCTTCTGCTCGAGCCTCTCCTTCTTGATCTTCTCCAGCTCGCGCATCAATTCTGCCGCTTCATCCTCTTCGTCGTCACTGTATCCCGTCAGCACCGCATTACGTGAATACACGGCAAACTCTGTCTGACCTGTCTTCATCACTGCTATCCTCTTCCGACCCATCAGAATCTGCATCTATATCTCGGGTCTCCTCCAGTATTCGGCGTCGCTTTGCTTCTGGGTCCTCTTCCGCTTCCTCCGCATCACCATCGGGCGAAGGCCCTTCCAATTGGCGCTTAGGCGTAGCGTTCTCGAGCGCGGGTTCATTCACGGGGACACCATTCTTCTTGGCGAAGTGAGAAGCCTCAGCCTGGAGCAGCTCGGCGCGCAGGTCGCGTTGTTGGGATTCGGCTTCGCCTCCCTGTCCCGATTGACTTGAATAAAAAGTCAGCGGATATCGCCGCGGCCTGCCAATAACCTTACCGAGTTTTCAGGTGTGTGTAAGCAGGCAGAAGTCGCTGGTGGTATGCCGGGCCACGGAGGGCCTCTTTCCCTTGTGCCTGGTTCAATCAGTTTCCGAATGCTGGGCGGGTGATCAGAAGTACGTACGGGGTCGAAGGTGGGTCTGTGGGCTATAGAATGTCAGCGCAATGTGCCGAATAAATCTGGAAGGAGGTAATCTTACCGGTAGTCATGGTGGCTATCCGTCAGGCTTGCTTTGTTGCTGGTAGTTGGCACTCCGAGCGAGGATGAGGATCTGATAATGATCGCCGAGACCGCGGCCTCAGGCTCGATTCTGAGTCAGCCGCCTTCACCGCCTGCAGTCGATGTTCCATCATTGGCTCCCGCAGGAATAACGTTGGCCCGCCGTCTCGATGACGATGCGGCATGCAGGAAATTTCCCAGAGAGTTCGTTTTGACCCCCGCTGGGGCCCGCCTCCGCAATCATGAACAAAGAAGCACCGCTCTCCATCTCTGAGCGCGACTTCATCCTCAATGCCCTGCGCGAGGATGTACGGCTGGACGGTCGAGCAGCCGACCAGCTGCGTCCGTTGAATGTGACGTTCGGGGAAGAGTATGGACATGTGAAGGTGCAGCTCGGCCGGACCAGGTAGGTCGGATCGCTTCCATCGGGCAGCAAAAGCGAAACCGACTGATATTTCGAATGTAGTCTTATTGTCCGAATCTCAGCGGAAGTTACGAAACCACACGATGACCGTCCGTTTGACGGTCTTTTCACAATCGCCATGGAGCTAACTGCCATGGGCTCTCCCGCTTGGGACAATGGCCGGTATGGATGTCGATGAAGATGCGCAGGAGATACCTTCAGCTGATTCGCTTTTTTCCTCACACAGGCAAGGGGATCTCGAAACATACGTCACCAACGTTCTGGACCGTGTCGTTCGCCATTCCAACGCCCTGGATACCGAGTCCCTCTGTATCGTGAAGGGTGTCAGTTGCTGGAGCATCCGTGCGGACGTTCACATTACAGACTACGACGGCAACCTGATTGATGCGGCCTGCATCGGTATCATGGCGGGTCTGCAGCACTTCCGCCGTCAAGACGCCGTGGTCAAGGACGGCCAGGTTATTGTCTACGGGCTGGATGAACGGGTTCCTGTTGCGTTGAACATCACGCACAAGCCACTCTCCATCACGTTCCACACTTTCGACGAAGGGAAGAAGGTTATCCTTGACGCAACTCGGAAAGAGGAACAAGCATCTGAAGCGGATGTGGTGATCGGCCTAAATAACGCGGGTGATGTCTGCTTCATGTCGAAGTTCTCTGGATCGGGCGTGGATGCTATGGTCTTTGTGGATAAGACCTCTGTGGCGCTGGAGAAGGTGAAGGAGATTAATGCGATTATTGACAAGGCCTTGCAAGCTGACCTCTCGAAACGTGCCAAAACCGGCATGCTGGAGGAGTCGCGAGCGGAAAATGATCGGCAACCGGAGCTGGAAGTATAGCCAATATCGTTTAATGAGCCAAGACAATGAATTAGACCTTGTGTATGATAGTATCACAGGCGAACCTGGGAGATCGATGAATCGGCCCAAGTAATCAATCCTGTACCGTAGGTCAGCTCCCGATTTCGTACAGTCCGTCGATTGCGGGGGGTGTCCGTCGAACGCGACCCTAATCTTATATCTTTTCGTTTAGACTGCAGATCTGGGGGATCTTGTTGAAAAGTTTTAATCTGGTAGAATTATATTCTGTTAGCTAATAGGCTTCGTCAGTATTTCTTGTATTTACTGTGCGTGACCTAGATAGCTTCAATAGGTTCTACAGCTTGATTCTGCCTATGAGACTCCGTACAGTTTTATCATCATACACAGAACAGCTCTGCTTCCAATAAGATGCTTTTTCTTACAGGTATCATATTACCTTCTTGGTTGAGCGCTTCATTTTACTAAATATTTTGTAGGGCAGTTTACAGGATATCTTAGCAGATGCCTTCTTACACCTCTTCAGGCACCTTATAAAAGTACGAAAACAAATTACAATAAATCATATATCAAATTCTGCAGACACAATACTGAAATTCGAAACAAAAGATCGATTTTTTCCGATCGCCGCCGCCATCCTCCGCCGTAGCCTGGGTTTGGTTTTGTCACTCTGCCATGGTTATCACCCGTGAGTCGTGGAACAGATGGGAGAAGAGTGAATGGGCCGGTGCCTAGGATCTTGTAGCTCTGTTGGTTCATATAATCCAAGCGTGTGTATCGGGATGGTTCGAATTCCCAAAGAAAGAAAGAAAGAAGAAGAAGGAGAAGAAGAAGGAGAAGAAGGAGAAGAAGAAGAAGAAGCAGAAGCAGAAGAACAAGAGAAGAAGAAGAAGAAGTAGATAAAGAAGAAGCAGAAGAAGAAGCAGAAGAAGAAGAAGAAGAAGAGTAGAAGAAAGAAGAAGAGGAAAGAATGTCACTTCATTCAGCGGCCTTCTCCCTGAGCTGACAGAGTCCAAAACAAGTAAAGCGACCACCGCAGGTACAGGGCCGTGGCTTGTCCTTTGCATAGTAAATATCTGGGAACTTGGCTGAAGCGTCGAAACGGGTATCCCCCACCTCCAACTTGGGATGCGCTTCTTCGACTTTCTTTTCGATATCTTCTCCAGTCTCGTCTTCGTGCTCGAGTCGATAGATCTCCCGGAGTTCCTCTTGATACTCAACATCCCCCTCGTCCATCTGTCGGCATGTCACCACGAGAGGCCGGAGAATCATCACCGGTTGCGGGCAATCATCATCATCATCATCATCATCATCATGACGGGGCTCCCTCTCAGGACACCCCTTTTTCTTGACCCGGTTCTTGCAGTGCAGATAGGACCCGCACCGTGCAGCATCCAGATGGAATTCGAAGTTCGGATCCACCCTCCCCATGTAGACTACCAGATCGATCGCATTTCGGTAAACGTCGACCAGTTCCTTGTATCGTTTCTTGATTTCCGCAGGGTCGGTTATCTCACGCATGAGGATGTGCAGCGCCTGGCACCCCTCGAGCATACCGGAAGCCAAGCGACGAAATAGGGGTTCCTGGCTCTCCTGCGTCCAATATGTGACCCTCCAATCGTTTGTCTTGGACGGGACAGACTGGTTTAGAAGTTGGATAGTCGTCTGTCGCCAATTTCGTGCTCTTTCCCCATCGACTACCGAAAGAATAAAGCGTTAGCCAGAGCACCTCGATCAGGCGACTGAGTTACATACCTCTTGAAAACCTCTGCCAGAGCTCATATAGCCCCCTTTTAAAGACGGGAGGATCCATGCTTGACTGGACAGTGGTGCTATTCTCCTCGAGCTCAATATACGAGAATGGGTTGGTGATCACAGTCTCATAGATATGCTTCGTGATCACCGCGGCCGTAAGATTTCTCAAAAGCGCCTCGTAATTTCTATCGTCGAGGCTGGCCTCTAGTTGATCCCAGTCATCGTATCGACAGAATCCACCAAGGTTATCCAAGATGACCCTCTTGTCGCTTGCAGTCAATGCTCTGGGGAAGTTTCGATAGTGGAGAGCCCCAGTACGTGCTCCAGCTGAGACGCTGGAAATGGCACGGTCTAGCATTTTATCTTCCTCCGTGAAGCGACCCAAAAGCGTGTCCAAGTTAATCGCTGATTTCCAAACGAGAGACTGCTTTAGGTTTCTGTCCCTTGGGGCTTTCGTTCGAGAAGACAACTGGAAGTCCGCTTCATGAATTGACCGTTAGCTTAGTTTCGGAATCATGGGCGTCGTGAGTGATGGATTAGCAACAACGCTCTTGGAGGCCGCCTTCTGAGCCAACCGAGAAGATCGTCTTTTCTACATGAGGAGGAGTTTTATCGGCAGTCTGCAAAACTTCCATAGTGCCGCATCATCTGTATTTTGCCGAGAGTTTCGTGATAGCCTGGAGGGTAGTCATCCCCTGAGACAGCGACCATGAGTGTACCCGGGGGAGAACTTTCTATCTTCACCAGGTAGGTTGTGGAAAAAGGGCTGCAGGTGTCGTGGAAAATGTTGAACTCGCTTGGACCCCCTCCACCATTGCCTTTGCTTTGCCTTTGCCTTTTCTTTACCCATGATGAATCCACCTGTTGGGTTGGCTCTGTGTTGTTGGGGAGCAGGTTTGCTAGAGAGACACAGCTCTTCAACCACCCAGAAAAAGTGCTCATGGTGTATTTATTATGAAAGATGGCCAGACACACGCGGGCGCAGGGGGAGCGATCGGGGCAATGGATACGAGCTTTGATTCAGACGCAACCAACAACCAAACCAAAACAAAGATCGTCAAGCTGGCGGGGCATACTTCTTCAGAGGCACGCAATTCTTTCAGCCGCGCTGCCCACCATTCTATTCCTTGGTCGGGGCTGATGGGCTGCGGAAATAAAGAGAGCCCGGGTGCGTGAGAACACTCATCCACCCACAGCCACCATATCCCAGGGAACATGGTGAGTGGGCTGAGCGGGGTGGTAGACAGGAAAGAGATGAGGTGGTTGAGGCCCTTCATGAAAGGATAGTCTCATGTTTGCACTCACTAAACTATCAACAGGCGCAAAGGAGTTCGGTTACGTAGATCTTTTTTTAGGCTCTCTCTTGATGAGAACAACGATAAATATTTCTCTTTCATAGGTTATAAACTATATTATTACTTTGATCTTTTAACTAGAGATAACCAAGACAATTTATATGTGATTAATATTAGCACCCACTGCAGTGTGCAACACAACACCACCAGCCCCCTCAGCCCGCTAGATATGCAGTATATAAGACGCCGTGCATACACGCGTTTAAGTATATCTGACAGGTACGCTCAGTCCATCCACGTTTCGGATTGGCAGCCTGATTGATACCTGGGGCCGAGTCGTGTGGGGGCGGTTCAAAGATTAGCTTGGAAGTTGAACCCCCCGCTTTCCACTCCGTATTCCCTCCTCAATCCTCATTATGTCCTGGGCCATCTGCTTGTGGCCTTGGACGTCTTAAGCGATTGCGAAGCAACTTTACCTCTAAATGCTGAAATGGAAAAAGCAAGGCCGTCTAAGCCAGCAAGCATCCGGGAGCGTTCGAGAGGGTCGGCACTGCCGATCATACGGAGTACCTAGTACTTCTTATCTCTGTCCGCAGGACTGACACCACGGCAGAGCTCGACGGATCAAGTGTGATGAAACACCTGAGAAATGCCGGAATTGCACATCAACGGGAAGGGATTGCGACGGCTATGAGATACATCGCCTACCTCACCTTACCAAGAGGAGTAACTACCACCTGGTACTTATCCCCGCAGGTCACCACCGCCGCCATCCCATGGTCAACCACTTCCGATGAGCGCCGCTGCTTCGCATTCGTTCAAGCACACACAATTCCAGATGCCCTCAGCTACCATGACTCTCCGCTCTGGCAGCAGCTTATCCTCCAGATGGTCAACAGAGAACCAGCGGTCTGGCACGCCATGGTGGCTTTGGGAGCAGTGCACCAAGAGGTCGAACCTAGTAATCTCGGCATACCAACCACATTGGAGTGGATGGCCATGGCACAGTCTACACGGTCGTTTGAAATTCTGCGTCGACGCAACCCGCAAGACCCGCTGATGGGCGATGTGACCTTGCTCTGCTGTCTGCTCTTCATTATGAAAGACCTGGTGCGACAGGATTACGATTCCTCCCTCCAGCATCTTCGTGCAGGTTTGCGTATTATCCGAGAAGCCTCTGCCCGGGGCTCGTCTCCTCGAGAAACCCCACCAGTCTATTCATTCTGGGCGACGACATTCCGACATCTGGATTCCCAGATCGGCGTCGAGGGCCGGGCCTTGTGGGGCGATGGCGGGCTTGAAGCGGGTCCTCCCGCCGCGAATCTATGGCAGTCCCCTCAAACAGTTGATACCATCCAAGAGGTACGACATGCCTTGGAACCTGATTTCAATCGGTTCATCAAGCTTGGGCGCCGCTGCTGGAAGATGTCCCGGCACGAGATCTTGTCTCAATCCTCGGAGCTGTATCTGGAGCAATTCGAACTCATATCGCAGATCAGCTGCGCCATGCAGTTTTTCGAAACCTTCCGTGCCCTACGGTACGACGGCCCCAGCACCAAAGACAAGCGAAGTGCCGATCTGCTAGAGCTCTGGGTGTCTTCAGTGTCCCTCGGTACAAGAACATGTACCATTCACTACGACCCCACAGCGTTGCAGCTCTTCACCCCACAATACCGAGCCCTCTTTCGCAAGGTGCAGCGGTTTATCGCCGAGCTCCCCGAGCGACCAACCGTGACGGTCGATCTCGGAGTTATCCCGTTGCTCTTCCTAGTAGCTGAGGGGTGTCAGGACTTCCAGGTGCGCTGGCAAGCCCTTCAGGAGCTGCGAGACTGGCCGCACCAGGAGGCCCCGTTCAACTCGGAGACCATCGCTTCATTTTTGGACGAGCGGCTCAGGATCGAGCTAAGAGCCCGAATCCGGTCAGAGCTGACGGAACGTATGTCATCATCATCATCATCATCATCATCATCATCATCATCAAGTCAACAGGGCAAGCCTGCCGATGACTTAGAATCCCATGTGGAAGAGCTGCTACGGAAACAATTAATGATGCTCACCGGCCGGAGGCGGAATTCTCGCCCCCGCAAACGAGAGGAAAGAAACAAGGCGGAGCTTCTCTCATACGCTCGTGTTATCGTGGACCTGTCGAACGACCACTGGGGAATAGCTTCTAAGGTAACAAACTTGGGGTTATAGATACCATAATTGGGGCCGTTTGTTTGCCTGTTGACTTCGCCATCTAGCCCCGGCCTCGGTTCTTTTTGTTGACGTAGTCAAATCTGGTATTTTGGTCTCTCGTCCGTAAAAATACCCCCTTGTCAGTACTATATGCAACAAAGATTACCATACTTATAGTGGTTGTTGCTTGTCCAAGTTGTGGACTTAGGGTTCTTTTTGCAACTGGCCATAGTCCTACGCCGTGAGTTCGAATTACAAAAAGTCATAATTGCATAATAATGTAGGATATACTCTAGTTCATACCACGTCTCATCAGTTATCGCCGCAAGCTCCGTCTCTCGAGAAACATCAAATTTCAATGCACCAACATCAATCATGCGTCCTCTGGCTCTTGTGTTGGAACCGGAGCCCCCCTCTTTTGCTTTATCCAGCGCAACGCGAAGAAGCCGACCACAATAATCAAAGCCGCGCCAGCCACAGAACCGACCACGGCGCCAACAATGGCACCCTTCGAAATGCCGCCCTTACTCTTTGAATCACTATGCACCTGTCGTCAAGTTGCCCTGTGTGAGCAGATAGGATGTGAAGACATTAGCGGCATTCCAGGTGTTCCCGAAGGATGGGTCATTGTTGTAGGTGCTATTGCCCCAATCCGACCCACAGACAGTCTGGTTGCTCGAGCCATCGCATTGTTCCGCCACTGCCACGGCCGTGTCCTTCAGCAACGGGACAATTTGGTCCGCCATGTCCGGGATCAAGTTCGCCACGGATGCAAGACATAGCGCCAGGAACCCTTTGAAGGCAATAGAGGGGTGGTTGGCCACACTGGCACTTCCATTGCCGACTTCCACCAGGATATTGTTGACGAAGAATGTGTCCAGCGTGCTATTCAGCAATCCCTCGGTTCGGGTCCTCCAGGTGTCCGATCCCGTCTTGTCCACTCATCAGCTATCGTTTCATATGCAGAAGCCCAGAGAGGCGATGGGGTGGAAGGGGACGTACCACGTTATACATATGTGCCGCACCGCTCAGGTACAACCCGTACGCATAGGACCAACGCGAGGTATCCACCGCCGTGCAGGTCGAACCATTGACAGTCGTCGTATTCGACACCATTTGACTCACCGTCCAGTCCGTTGTATTCACCATCCCATTCTTCTCGCTCCACGACCACGCATTGTCCGCATAATTAATAAAGGTGCCCTTATTAGGAGGGAAGGCCAGCGCGATGCGGGAGACGAGCTGAAAATACGCTCCATTGCTAAACCAGTCGAATTCCGTTCCATTCTTCTGGCTTTCGTCGTCATACAGCCCGCCGTCGCATACCGCGCCCCGGTTGATTATCATATCCAGCTTATACCCGACTGCCATGGCCCAGAACACCCACGCCGACTTTTTCCGATCCCCCGGGAATGGGAAGTCCACGTCCGCGGCTGCCATGGCGGCGAGGCCCCATGAGACGTACTCGCTGGTCGGGACGTCGGCTCCCTTCCATGTTGCGTTGAAGACGCTTGTCTCTACGCTCTCCATGCGCATGAGAATGAGGCTGTTGTAGGTGGCGTTGCCGGTGGCCGACCAGTAGGGGATTAGCGACGAGTACAGCATTCCCTCAGGGTAACCAGAGTCGTTGATGGGACTGAGGGTCCCGTCTAAGACGCCATTGACGAGTAGGTTCTCGAACTCGACTGTCGCGGACTTTTTGATTGTTTCTGTTCACGGGATCGTGTTAGCATCCTCTCTCCTCTCTCCTTGTGCCAACCGGGAAAGCGCCGAAAAAGAAGATACCATTGTTGTTGATATTGAAATCAATGGCCGACACACACCCTGCCAGGAAGAGGGCACGCCAGGCCAACTGTCTGAAACCCATGCTGAAAGACTGATGGTGATAGTGAAGCAACCTTAGCATCGAGCACGATGAGAGCAATAACCCAGAATTTGCCCAGGAAGCAGGCCATATAAATACTACTCAGGCTCGTCCGAATACTGCAGCCTGACGCATCTTTCTTCCTAGCAGATATGGCCATCTAGCACGACCACACGAGACCATCCAGTGTTTGATGATGGCGGCTGCCTGGATGTTTGTTTCGACCCACATGGTTCATAGTAGGGCAATGGGGAGAATGCTGCTGATTGGCCAAGAGTCGCACACTTTCTGGCAAGTTACCTTAGGAACCGTCACAGGGAGCTGCTAATAGCCTAACGAAGGATCATCACTTGAGAGTTATATCTATATATAGCAGTTCTGTTGAAGTGAGGTTGGCGGGATCTGCCGCCGTGTAAACAACATCAGGATGGCCATCTAGTATCTCTGTGGCCCAACTCCGCTCAAAACATTGGATGATTGGATCAATACTGTGTAGCCTGAGAATTAGCGTCGATGTATGGAGAGCTCCGGGTCTCTTGTCATTGCTTTACCTTGTTAGGCAACCATCAGGGTTTTCAGGGTTCTCCCGCACGGACAGCAATCTGTGGCGCGCTTGGTTATTATGGGTTCGAGGCAGAATGCCTCTCTAAGCAAAGTCGTGGGGTTCAAATCAATCGGCTCTGGACATGGCGATGACCCGAGATACATCGATAGGACGGAGGAATCGTAGTAATAAGACAACTGAAAAGTCTATCTGTTACCTAGGTGATGACTGAGGAGGAGGGGGAGACAAACTGTGGGCTCGTTACTCCGTACTACTAGTAGCGGGGCGAAGGGGGCCCTGCAGCAGGCACTAGGCCCAGCTGGGATCAGCGGTCTATCACATGGTAGTAGTAGTATGTAGATGTGCTGGAGCCTGGATGGCGATTGCATAGACGAATGCCTCTTGCATAGACGAATACGCTACAATACGTGACTCGACGCAAACGCGCAGGTGAACCATCGTTGGGACACGTGATCGCATGGATTGCACTGGACACCGTGAAGGTTGTCGTTCTTCCTCAATATTTCCTCTTGACTACCCTGTTTCTTCCACCTATACTTCCATTTGCTTCATGGATCCTTTTCTGGGGCATGACCGGTGCGATGTTACCGACGGAGATTCTTGATTCATACTAAGCTGACCACCATGAAAGGTCTTCATACTGGGAGGTATATGCGAACTGTGGGATTCCAAGGATTCTGCTCATCGATCTAACTCTCTACATCATCACAGTCAGTAGAGCTTATGATTTCATCCTAACTTGTCCGGCTTCTCCTCCTCGAGCACCAGATCTTTACCCATGGCGGATAATGCATCCCGTTTGAGTGCCAATATCGCGGGGAAATTGCGGCCCTCATAGCAACCAGGTTTGGTGACATCCTCGAAGATAACCTGGGAGACCCTGAGTGAATTTATGGGCAGGTGGTGAGTGAAGAGGCCTGGATGTCAGCGTCCAGGTCGGGAATGCGGCTTCTGGTGATGATTCTGTGTCTAGTGGTGAGGAATCCTCTGCAGAAGGAATGTGGCTCAATACGAGTGGCTTTCAGGCTGAGGAGAGTCAACTCATGTCCCAGAAGCTCGGAGGAGAAGGCAGCAGCAGCTACATTCTCGTTGCCAGCAGTCCATTTTGCCCATCACTCGACCCCATATTGACGATGGTTTCGGAATTCTGAGCGCGCATGAAGTGGAGAATGGGGCGGAGGATACAAAACTGCGAGAAGGCATTGATATTAAACTAGTCGAGGATTTCTTGGTCGCTGAATGCAGAGGTATATTTACCTACCTGGATTCATCCACGCGTCCTCCTTAGATGATTATCGCGTTGGTCACTAAGAGGAATACTGGTCCGACATTGGAGATGGCATGGTCGACGACTATTTGAACTTCTGAATCGTTGGCCCGCACATCGATTCAACTGGTAATCACACCCAGTGGAGCCAAATCATACAACCCCTCAGGTTAGAAATCAGTGCGAAAGATACAAGAATTGGATGAGGAAGATGAAGGTCTCATTGGCTAACAGCGATAACATAACAAGTAAGTCTACCTACAGCAGCTTCATATTCAGGAGTAATTCCTGATACTCTTCTGGGGAGTCGATAGTCGATACCAAGTGCTGACAGTTGATTATAACTTTCAATAGAATATATATATGGCAACGTGAGAATCCCCCAATCTCATCGTCGAGCGTCCTTCTCTGAGAGAAATTCGACCAGCTGTCATTATTCTAAGATATTCTTTCTACAGTAATGGTCGATGGAGTCGATGCGTCGAACGTCGTTCAGAAACTTGATTGTCGTGTAGTCTTGGGCCTAGCTCAAAATTTAGGCCCAGGCATACCACAAGGACATAGAATTTCATCAATAGACCCATATTTATGCATTCTTGCTTCCGACCCCGCAGAGTCTGGACATAGTAAATTTCTATGCACAGGAACCTCGGTGGCAACTGGTCGCACCGGGTGCATTCCGAAGCGCGAGCGCTGCCGAAGGCTACGGAGGTACGGGATGAACCCGACACACACCATTGACTCATCTATCAACTGCCAGTTGAGAACTAGTGTGCTCTACCCAGGCTAGTACTTGGATTCGAATTCCTTTTTAGCGGATTAGAACAACGAACCTAAGCACCCCCTGTTCTCACCGGGTTCAATCACAATGCTATCCACAATTGCCGCGCTTGCGGAAGCACATCCCATTCTCAAAGCAGCGGGCACCATTCTAGCATTCCTGACCGTGACATTTATCAATATCCAAGAGACATTAAAACCAATTGGCAAACGGCGCGGACCAGGCGGTAAGCGTTACAAACTACCACCTGGCCCGAAAGGCATTCCTATATTCGGAAATCTCCTGTCCCTGAAAAATCGGACTCGCAATGAAGATCACGTTGCTGTAAGTCAAGCCAGAGTAGCCTGATACTATCCACGGAAAGTTACTGACTCGTGTGTCAAAGGTCAATGAAATGGCGCAGTACGGGGAAATGACCACACTGCATCTTGGGTCGAAAACACGTGTTTTGCTTAATAGAAAGCGCGTGGTTTCTGAGATTATCGCGAAGCGGGGATCTCTCACTAATGAGAGATCTCCCATGCCGATTGCCAGTGGGATTGTGAGTCGCCATGGACGTTCCCTTATCTTGCCTCCGGATGGGTGGACGGAAAAGAGACGAGCGATGCATTCTCTATTGAGTGGAACGGCTTTGAAGCAGTATGGTGCTTGGCAGGAACAGGAAAGTGCCCAGATGATGGCGGAGTATCTGTATCAGCCGAAACGGTGGTTTTCCCACCACTATCGCTATGCGAACTATAAGAGCTTGCTTCAGTTGGGTGGAAACTGAATGGTTTAAGTACTTCCCCTCAACTGGACTGAAAAATGAGCTAATCCTAGGCCCACTCATACGCCCGCGGGGAAGATGGATACAGCCTCGGATGACATGGGTTCGCTTTCAAACAACATGAATACATTCCCGGATGAGACGAGTCCTCCTTCCCCCCCCATGACATGACATTCCTTTCGGATGACATGTGAACACCCTCAGATAACATGAGATGCCGTCGGAAGAGATAAAGCTGCCCTCAGATGGTCTGGAATGGTCGACGGGAATGATTCCGGGACGGGTCCCTTGACAGCATCAGGTGACCTTCCTCCTCCCGGTTTTAGACTAGTCTAGAGCGAAATCAAAACTTTCTGCCGTATTATCAGGGACGGGGACGGGACGCTGAACCATGGCCTCTCCACCTATAAGCCCGCCAGCAGACCAGCCTCTCCAAACATTACATAGGGAGTGCACAACTTGATTCTTGACATGATGACCCAGAAACTCTCGTCTTCTGATATACCATCATACAGCCAGATTGCCTGTATTGGTGCTGGTTTCTCAGCTGTGGCTCTGGGCGCAACCCTCCAACGGTGGTATGGGTTTGAGGATATCCACTTTTTTGACCGACACCCCACCAGCGGTGGAACATGGTACATCAACTCTTATCCTGGTAAGTTGGTCTCTTTTCATCTAACACTGAATAAGTACTCAATTTCTTCCGTTTAGGCGCCGGTTGTGATGTTCCCAGCGTGCTTTACAGCTACTCCTTCGAGCCCAACCCCAACTGGACCAAGCTCATGCCCTCAAAGGAGGAAATCAAACAGTACCACGACCATGTCTTGGAGAAGTATCGCCTTCAACACAAGATGACCTTCTCAACAGAGGTCATCGGGAGTGTTTGGCGGGATGATGCCGACCGATGGCTCATTTACCTACGCGATCTCCAAACCGGGCGGACGTTCACCCATGAATGCCAAGTTCTTTTCACGGCGACTGGCCTGCTCGTCGAGCCTCGTCCTTGCGATATACCCGGGGCTGAGGGCTTTCAAGGAGCAATTTTTCACTCAGCGAGGTGGAATCATGATGTTGATCTAGAGGGAAAGAATGTTGTTGTCGTCGGAAATGGATGTAAGTCCAGTCACCATTTCCCTCGCTAGTGTGTTAGTTTGATCAGTTGCAAATTAGTTTGTTTATGCTTACTTCATTTTATCCAACAGGTACTGCTACTCAAATTGTGCCCGCTCTAGCAAAGAAAGTGAAGTCCCTGACTCAGATCATCCGATCCCAACACTGGGTCTTCCCAACTTCCAATTTCACCTACGGACCGTTTCTCCAATGGGTCTTCCGCCACATCCCTTTTGCACTGAAACTACATCGATTTCAAATCTTCCTGGTCGCTGAAAATAGCATCCGGTTGTTTCCCATGACGAAGGCTGCAGCAAGACTCCGAGAGCAATGGAGGAAGAAAGTCGAGAGTTATATGCGTGCCACTGCCCCGGCAAAGTATCATGATATCCTTATTCCGGACTTTGAAGTTGGCTGCAAGGTCTGAACTCCTCCAGCTTCTGAGGATATACTATATTATTGGCTTACACCTTCTCCAAGAGACGAATCTTCGACTGCTGCTATCTCCAGTCGTTGAACAACGACAACGTTGTCCTGACGGACTCTAAGATCGAGAAGATCGTTAAAGAAGGAATCCAAACAAACAGAGGTATCATTCCCGCCGATGCAATTGTCCTTGCAACCGGCTTCCAGACCAGCAAGTTCCTACCCAACATGGATGTTGTGGGTCGCGATGGGAAAAGCCTCAACGATCACTGGTCTGAATTCGGGGGTCCATCGGCGTACAATTGCTCCGTCATGAATGGGTTTCCCAATTTCTTTATGCTACTTGGTCCGAACGCAGCGACGGGACATACGTCTGCCCTGATAGCAGCGGAGAAGTACGTGTTCCCTTTTCGGTTTATCACCGCTCAAGCAATTATTCAAACAAAATCAGTTGATTGATTGCTAACTCGAGGCCATATAACAGCTCTGTGAACTATGCGCTCCGTATTTTGAAGCCCGTGTTGGAAGGGAAGGCCTCTGCCGTGGAGGTCAAGCAGGATGCGGAGCGTGACTATATCTACTGGGTTCAAGATGCCCTGAGCAAGCGGGTGTGGAACGCAGGTTGTGTATCGGTAAGTGCCTTTATCTATCCTGCAGAATAGCAAAATTCGACACAGGCCGTTCTTAACAAGTTGTCAAGTGGTATTTGAACGATCGAAGGTGGAACTCTATAGCCTATCCATGGACCCAGGGCCACTACTGGTGGCGCAGTCTGTTCCCTACTTGGTCGGACTGGAACATTAAGGTCAGTTTGCTTTGATTCTGTCTCCAGTGTGAAATTGAGTTACTCACTGTTGATGGTTGTGGATTGAAGAAAAAGAAGCCGATCAAGCCGTTTATCCCATGGTCACGAGTCTTTGTCGTTCTTCTGTTTGGTATTCTGGGTAGCTGGGTGCTGTATACCTTCAACTACGCGGGAAGTCTGCAGTTGGGCGGTCTTTGAAGGCTATTAGAGTTATGATGAGAAGATTTACATCTCAATTTGTGCTATATGGATATTGCCTAGATTGCCATCAGTTTACTATGAGTTTTTGTCTCTTTTCACCGTATCTGCAATCATGTTGACGATTCATATACACGCACTTCTTCCTTAAATTATGGCATGCTTTCCATTTCCAATATACCTTTTGTGTCTGTTTAATGTTCTACCATGGGCCTTATTGGAACACTCAAGAGGTTTCGCAACTAACTTATTCCTTGCACTCATCCCCATGATCCAACCATCTTAGTTAGATGAAAACAAAGCCTTAGCATTCCCGGAATAGATCTTCTTCCTCAATTCCTCGGACAACGGGTATTCATCCAGCGCCTCCCTAAACCCCGCAATCTTATCGTTATGAGCGTACGGAAAATCAGATCCTGCAGAATTCCTGTCAGCGGGAATCATTCAACCAGTTCCACGAGTCCCCATTCCCTACCGTATAATATATGCTCGTACGGGACAAGACTCAAAAGCAAAGCCAAAACCGCCGGTGAGCTCGAAAGAGCCAAGTCGAAATAGAACGACTTAAAGTCCTCTACCATCTCTTCCGGACTAGTCGTGTAGGGCTTATACGTCGCCTCGGGGGACTTAGTAGTCGTGGTAAGACGAGAGATCAAGTACGGAAGCGTTCCCCCGGCATGCGAAAGAATGACCTTGCAATCCGGATACGCCCGCTTCGTACCCGTCGTGAGCAAATCGACAGCCGTACGGGTCGTTTCATGCGGATAATCGATCGCCGGCTGGGGCAGCTGGGGGTTGACGCGGTTCGTGTCCGCCGGATGAGTAGGGTGGATGAACACCACCGCTTTCCGGGCGTTGAGCTCCTCCCAGATCGGCTTGAAGGCCGGATGTCCCAGATACTGGTTTCCGGGTCCGTATCGCGTGAACAGGGTGACTCCTTCTGCGTGGAGAACGTCCAGGCTGTGCTGGATTTCTGCGAGTGTTCCTGCGGTGTCCAGGAGGCAGGGTAAGGCCGCGAAGAACCCGAATCGCTCGGGGTTGGTGTCGCGCAGGCTGGCGGCGTATTCGTTGGCTTGACGTGCCAGCGCCCGTTGCTTGGATGCATCCGGGGCGATCACTGCGCCTGGGGCTGTGAGCGACAGAATGGCTTTCTTGGTCCCGTTCTTGTCCATTGATGTTAGAGAGGCTTCCGGTGTCCAGCGCGGAGTTGGCCACCCCGATGGGTCGCCGCCGGCATCTTCGACCGCTGGTTGGGTTGGGTTAGTATATGGCATCAGATGGAGTGTAGAGTCACCGGTTGGGTTCTAACCTTGGGCATAGAATTGCGGGACAAAGTGGTGGTGTGTATCGATCTTAGACATCTTGGGTTTGGACCTGGACAGTGGTGGGATATTCCTTGACTGAAATGGTCTGATGGGAGTGGAGGAGGCAGGTTCTTAAGTTCATACAACTGCCGAGTTATCCGGTCCCTATTACGTTTAGTTGAATGCCGAATCTCTTCAGGAACCAAACTGCGTAGAGGTCATGCCGCTTTTCCGAGCAAGATTAAGCTCAGTGCTAGGGTTTGTGGTCGGGTCTTCTCGGAGGTGTACATTTCTTCGCACCTAACTAATTAGCATGTTCCTTGTAGACCGAGAAGGTAGTTATACACTGAAAAGATTATAACCCTCGTGGATTCACTCTCCGCTCTCTATTTTTCAAATTCACATCATGATACCCACCCCCCTTTTGTTGCTCCATCACATTCTGTATGGAGAAGTCGGGATGATCCCAAGCCGCTCAGGCCGCCCCGGAACATTCCCGACATGAATCCCGGCTTTGAATCATTCACAACTTACGGGAGAAACACCTGTCATACCACTCATAATCATGGGTGCCGTTAAACCCGTTTCATAACTTGCTTTCCTTGATCAACCAGCCACGACCTCCCAACACGCCTGTCAACCATGCCCGACAAACAAGGAATCCTACAATGCACCCAAAGTGCGCACCTCCCTTGCCATCCTAAGCTTCACCAAAGCACCGCTGTTTAAGGGAGAGACGAACCAATCCCATTTCCCGATGCCTCTGTTGCACGTTGACACTGTTGTGGATGCGATCGTGGATGCCCTTGCTAGTGGATTGAGCCGGAATATCTTCCTACCGGGCATATTTAGTTATTCTGCGGGTTTGGTGAGTTCATCTTGTTCTATCCATTTTTAGTGCTGTCTTTAACGGGATATATCGTAAAGCGAGGTGCCCTGAAATGGCTGCAGGTTATGGTTAGAAATGGCTCCAAGACCTTGAAGGTGGATTTTAGAGGACGGCAGAAGATCGATCCTATCACTGGAAAACTGGTTTGATATCGATCCGCTGCACGGCATGTCAAAGTCTGATTTATGACCACTGCGGGAAAGGAGAACTCCCAAGCTGGGTCTCACCTGAGGGGGCTTGATAGGGATTCAGGCTTTACTTTCGGAATACTAGCTACTACCTGGCATTCAGATTACGTCTTCATATAATATTACATATCATACACCCTATAAGCAACCCAAATATACCAGTGATCTTCTGGGGTCCTCGAAATCTTTCAACAGGCATGCTTACTTAGGTAGATGAGACCAGCAAAATTAAGTGACTTGATTAGATCGCTAAGATAAAATATCCATTAATTCTTTCTGATATTAAATGGCTCGCAAGCGATTATACTTAGAAGATCTGTCGTAGCCATAAATATTAACAATGGCGACCGTTATAGAGAAGGCGCAGGCCAATCGGGTCATTGGAAACAGCAGCTGACGAGCCAAGGTCACGAGCTCAATGACACCTTCAGGCGAACCTCGCACAGAATCTAATCATCCGATGGTTTGCGTAATTCATCAAAATGATCGATGTACCTGAAATGGCATCATATCATCGCCTCAATGTGATTCCTGGTATTGGTATTCCTATTCGGTGGAAAGCCAATGTCCACCACATACTCATCCACCCCGGACGGCACCCGCATCGACGCAACATCCACATTCGTTGTGACTGTGATATTGACCTTCCCGCTTCCCATTCCGAGAAGTTTTTCTTCCGACCCTGTCAGAGTCGCGCCAAGTTCCTCGAGACTCGGCGGTTCGGCCCGTGAGATGCGCGAACCACCATTCTTCCGGTTTTGGGCCCCGTCCGAGCGGGGTTTGCTCGAATCTGGCAGCTTGTGAGAATCGTGGAAGCTGTTTGTGAGGTTGGGGACGAGAGTCCCCAATGCGGGAAGATTCGCCACCACCATGCCAATCTCGATCTCTATCGCGGTCACAATGACCATTCGACCCATTACCCATGTGGTATCCGAACTCGTGACAATTTGTTTCTGGACATAAAAGCGACATAACAGCGTTACTAGCGACAGGCCGCCGAAGCAGATGGCTCCGAGAGTGGCGTGACGCTTGGCATTCGTTTGGAGCTTCATAACGGTCGGGATCGGTAGAATCATGAGAATGATGTCCATGATGACATTCTGCATTGTTCAATAATTGATCAGTCTCGGCTTTCCCAGGGATTCTTTTGGTCGGTCTCTCGTACCAGTCCGGTTGGAACCATCAGAACGACATAAGTTCCGATGCATTTCGCGTTTGGATATTCGCCCGGATAAAAGATAGCCTCTAGCGGCCTGCACTGCAGAAAGGCGAGTAGCCAATTGGCGATGGTGAATAGGGCATTCAAAATCATGGCGCCGTAAACCGTGTTTCGGAAAGACCTCTGTGGAGAAAGCCGGAGATAGGACACGAGGATGGCCTGCTTGAGGGTCCAGTGGACGAACATATAGATGACATCCTCGATGAAGAACCACTGTTTTCCTTCCCTTCAGTCGAGGATCCGGTGAGCTAGGTCAAGAATTCCGTACCTTGATGATATTTTCCCACTGATATGTGGATAGCTCACGAAGATGTCTAATTTGGAATCCGGTTTAGGCTCCAATCTCAGCAATTGTGGCATTGGTAAATCACTTACACTCCACTGCCATAATGAAGCAGGGTGTATAAAATTGCTTGTTGCATTCCATTGATACACTAACAGCCAACAGACAAGAATCATATGTCAGTTTCTGGTGAACAAAGAAAAGTCTCATCTCATGTGGACACTCACCAACAGAAAGACGGCAACCAACTCGTCCCGACCGAAGAACTCCAGGCGCCATCGAGAGTACAGACGGAGAATTATCGAGGAGGTACCGATTGCAAACGCGACAGAAATGATCACGTAGGTCAATTGCTGCAAGTTATCTATCGCCATCGCACCGACGCGAATGCAACACGAGGTCCACACCAGGCAATTACCTCTTGCCCTCTGCACTTGAGATCGATGGGTCTCTAGTTCCGTGGAGTGGAAATAAGGACTGGACAGTTCATATTTATTTGACCGGCTGATCTCACGATTTTAATTTGGCGGGCCTCTTTCAGCCGGATGCGCCTTTTGCCCTGGATCGCACGGGTTTTGTATCGATCGGCCAGGCTCACGGATTTCCAACCCTGCAAGCGCCTTGACTAGAATGAAAGCCAGCGCCCACCTGTCTTCCTCGTTCATCCGGTCCTTCGAATCGGCTCCGACCTCAAGATCCACCCCGGGCGGGAGTTCCCTTCCTAAACTTCCTAGAGGATCCGCCGGTGGATCAGTCGTTCAACCAGCCACTGGAATCGCGCCATGCAAACAAGCGAACAGCAGTAGTCAGGAGTTGGTGGAGATGACGGCTCACCGTTCACCGTCCAGTCCGGCCACGATGCTGTTTCAGCGAAACTCCCGAAGCCGGTCCCTTCCTTTCGCCTTTTCTCCAAAATTCCGGTGACACCTTCTGTTGTTTCCAAAGTGGGGAACACAGCTGGAGGGCTAACTGTCACATCTGCCGATGGCAGAACTGGTTGTCAACCGAGGATGTGCCAACTAACGGAGCTGTGGGAGAAAAGGCTGTCTCTTACATCCTGAAACGCCCCAACATCTGCACTATCATGGGTTCGTGTTTATCTTTTGGGGGGGCTCAGGCGCCTCATGAGACTATTCCCACACAAATGCGAGTTCCGTTGTCATTTATCTTGCCAGAAACAACCCATGCTAGTCATGAATTGGATCTAGCGGCATTTACCACAAGATTGGGGGTTCTTCGCCACCACAACATCTTCTGAACGGATTTCCCTGTCGAAAAACACCTCTGCGCATCTCTTATGTTCTACCCCAACGGAATTGGCATACTTGGAACTAACACAGTTCTCAATGTCCAGGTTGTTTACAGAGTGGCTTGGAATGTATTTGCAACTTACACCGGCCTTATCTCTGACTGTGGCACCTATCAATCGCTCTCCGACCGGGTCCGTCTCTTCCCCGTTTCGTCCAAACGAAGGCGTTTCCACAATGTCTGGCCCGTGCCTAGCGGAGGTAATATATATACAACACCGGTTGGAGATCAAGAAGCTCTACTCCGTAAAGCTCGGAGGTTTTGTATTCAGGCAGGAAATGTTACAAAGGTTCAAGATAAGGCTATGACGCGTGGAACGAAGGCTACATAAATGGAAGATCAGACCCGGTTATCACGGAGACCCCTTTTGCCTTACCAGCTACATTGATGGGGCTGGCGTTACCCCGGAAAAAAGGGTTACATGTTGACAAAGTTTACATTTCCGGAGACCACTTCTTCGTGGTTAATTGGTCCAGAGAAGGTTTCCGGAGAATTATTCCGAGCCAAGAGGAGAGACAGATGCGCACGCTTGGAGCTCCCTTCATCCCGTCTCAGTGGATAACTGACTTTAACTATTGAGGACATTTCTAGTGGCTGCCAGCTGCTGGTACATACAGTTTGGTCCATACAACTGTCCTGGAATACTGGCCATACTCAGTCTTGTCAGCTGACGGGGCGATCCAACTTTGGGCTTTTGCCTTGTGAGACTGGCAAGACATTTGGGCAGGAGGTCTTGGATAGCCAGCCCCACTGACAAATTCCAGTTTCAGAGCCATTTAATTGAGCCTTTCAAACAGGATGGGTTGACTATGTGCACACGTGATGTATATTGATGTGCATAATGGTAAGAGTAGAGATTGGAGCCAACATCGAACCTGATGCGTACCGTCTCGGGATACCATGCGGCTACACTGTCATTTGCTGAATGTCTCTTACCATGCTCGTGGGAGAATGAAGGATATGATGGCTACTAGAAATAGGAAAGAGAAAGAGTAAGCAGTCCTACAAACCGTGGCGCAGTTCGCGGCTCTCTTGGTGTGGGTATTGGATCCGTGTGGAAGACAATGGAAGTGATAATAGTAGCATACCCTAAGTTACGAGCACATTTTTCTGGCTATTCCCTATTTAAGTTTACTCTGTATGGACAGTTAGCGTGTAGCTTGTGTCTGACCTGTTCCTGTACCCTGCCTCAGGTATCTGCAGGCATTCATGAGGCATCCGCGCGACACCAATAAGGCATCAATCAGGCCATCGAGCACGAGTCGTACGGGGTAACGTAATTACGTCAATACATCACAACACCAAACCCAGACAGGCAAATCTAACCTCATCAGGCGACGAGTCATACCGTCACGGGTCATCCTCTCCATCATCTGCCAAAACTGCCAGCCCAGCAGCTTCCCCCCATTTCCCTTCCCTCCTCCCCCATCATTACATTTGACAGGATCACTGCAGTGGCCTAGATTACTCTGAAACAGTTTCAGATGGACCGGGTCAGACCGTTCCCACCTTTCTCGTGGGCAACCCAACAACAACCCGCACTCTCCTCTGGTTCCCTCGCACCTCTCTTCTGATCGGTCCGACAAAGAATCGTGTTGGCCCCAGCCACTGGCGGTGATCCAACGCTAACTCTGATTAGCCTCGACGCCTTTGCGCAGCACCTCTCGACCTCCAGGCAGTCAGAATTTCTCCCTCCATTTCGCCCTCCTCCCCACCTCCCCGTTGCTGACTATCACCGCTCGGTCGCTGGACCAGTTTCTTGTATCTTTTGATCGCGTTCTTCCTCCACCGTCCTCGGTGTCCCTCTACTCCGTCCTATCCCGGCCGATCAATGCTCCAGGGGCATCTGTTTGTCCGCCCCAAGCGTCATGGCCAGCGGTAGGCCTCCCGGACTTCATCCAGCCGCTGGCCACAATGATGAACTGCTGCTGGATGAGTCGGCTCCCATGTACAACACGGGGCAACGCCCTCCCGTCAACGATGACCATCTACTGCAACAGTACGACATCGACGACTCCGACCACCCCCCTCAACAACCGCGTCCCTCGGTTTCCTACGACCAGTTTGTCGGCGGACAGGTGCCGCCGCACTCCGGCGCCCATGCGACGACCGCGCATCCCCCGGCTCAGCCCGGGGGCTACATGACCGATCCCTACGCAGGAGCCGATATGTCTCGCGCCTACTCGCAAACCTCCGGGTTGAGCAACTACCACCGCTACTCGCTCGATGACGAATTCGACGATGACCGCTCAATGCACGGGTACTACGACCTCGACTACCAGGATGACCATCACATACAGTCCGACAGCCGCGTCCGGCAGGCGAAGGAGCGAAACAGCATACTGGGCCTGGGAGGCGGCTTGGTGGGCAGAGCCAAGCACATGCTAGGCATGGCCCCCGAATACTCGGAGATGGATCTCCCCCTGACGGAGTCGGGAGCGAGAGCTGCGCGGTTGGACAGTGTGGATGGAGGCGCGACTGGGCCCCCGAAACGATCCCAAAAGTCGGATTTCAAGTTCGGGTTTGGTCGCAGAAAGGTCGATCCATCCACCCTCGGACCGCGCATGATCGTTCTGAACAACCCGCCCGCCAACGCGGTGCACAAGTTCGTCGACAACCACGTCTCAACTGCCAAGTACAATGTCGTCACCTTCGTCCCGAAATTCCTCTACGAACAATTCTCCAAATACGCCAACCTGTTCTTCCTCTTCACCGCCGTCCTTCAGCAGATTCCGAACGTGTCCCCGACGAATCGTTATACTACCATTGCTCCATTGTTGGTTGTGTTGTTTGTCTCCGCTATCAAGGAATTGGTTGAGGATTATAAACGAAGAGCGTCGGATAAGGGATTGAACAACTCCAAGACCCAGGTTCTGAAGGGCTCCGGATTCCATGACACCAAGTGGATTGATGTGGCTGTCGGAGATATTGTGCGTGTCGAATCGGAGCAACCGTTTCCGGCTGATATGGTTCTTCTGGCGTCTTCGGAGCCTGAGGGATTGTGCTATATCGAAACTGCCAACCTGGACGGAGAAACGAACTTGAAGATTAAGCAAGCGATTCCGGAAACTGCGCATTTGGTGAGCCCTGCGGACCTCAGTCGGTTAACCGGACGTGTCCGATCCGAGCAGCCAAACAGCAGTCTATACACTTATGAGGCGACTGTGACCATGCAGGCCGGCGGAGGTGAAAAAGAACTGCCTTTGGCACCGGACCAGCTTCTCCTTCGTGGTGCGACTCTCAGAAACACGCCCTGGGTTCATGGCATTGTTGTTTTCACCGGCCACGAGACGAAGTTAATGCGGAATGCGACGGCGACACCGATCAAACGGACTGCTGTGGAGCGAATGGTCAACATCCAGATCCTCATGCTGGTTGGCATTCTTATCGCGCTTGCTGTCATCAGCTCTGTTGGTGACTTGATAATTCGCCAGACCGAGGCTAGTAAGCTCACGTACCTGGACTACGGCACTACGCATCCGGTCAAACAGTTCGTCCTCGACTTGTTCACCTATTGGGTCCTCTATTCGAACCTTGTCCCTATCTCGCTTTTCGTGACGATTGAAATTGTCAAGTATGCGCAGGCATTCTTGATCAATTCCGATCTTGATATTTACTACGATAAGACAGATACCCCGGCGACATGCAGGACATCCTCCTTAGTTGAAGAGTTGGGCCAGATTGAGTACATCTTTTCTGACAAAACAGGAACCTTGACCTGCAACATGATGGAGTTCAAGCAGTGCTCAATCGCCGGTATTCAATACGGCGAGGATATTCCTGAGGACCGGCGCGCTACAGTTGAAGATGGGGCGGAAGTAGGCATTCATGACTTCAAGAAGCTTAGGGAGAACTTACAATCCCACCCATCGGCTGGCGCTATTCATCACTTCCTCACGCTTCTTGCCACGTGCCACACTGTTATTCCGGAAAGGTCCGACAAGGAGCCTGGGAAGATCAAGTACCAAGCCGCGTCTCCCGACGAAGGCGCTCTTGTCGAGGGTGCTGCGTCTTTAGGGTATTGCTTCTCTAACCGGAGACCTCGTTCTGTGATCTTCACCGTAGGCGACCAAGACTACGAATACGAATTGCTGGCAGTCTGCGAATTCAATTCTACAAGAAAGCGGATGTCAACAATTTTTCGCTGCCCTGATGGGAAGATTCGTATATACGTCAAAGGTGCGGACACTGTCATTATGGAACGCCTCAACCCCGACAATCCTACTGTCGAGGCAACCCTGCAGCACCTGGAAGACTACGCTTCGGAAGGTCTTCGGACGCTCTGTCTGGCCATGCGTGAGGTCCCCGAGGATGAGTTCCAGCAGTGGTACCAGATCTACGACAAGGCTGCGACAACCGTCGGCGGAAACCGTGCTGACGAGCTCGACAAGGCCTCGGAGCTTATCGAAAAGGACTTTTATCTCCTGGGAGCCACAGCCATTGAGGATCGTCTGCAGGATGGTGTGCCGGACACCATTCATACCCTCCAGACGGCCGGAATCAAGATCTGGGTGTTGACCGGTGACAGACAAGAAACCGCCATCAACATCGGAATGTCGTGCAAGCTCATCTCTGAAGACATGACGCTGTTGATTGTCAACGAGGAAACCGCCGAGGCCACCCGCGACAACTTAGCCAAGAAGCTTCAAGCTGTTCAAAGTCAGGGTACATCCGGTGAAATCGAGGCATTGGCTCTGGTAATTGATGGTAAATCATTGACTTTCGCTCTTGAAAAGGACATGGAAAAGCTGTTTTTAGACCTGGCTGTCTCGTGCAAGGCCGTGGTGTGCTGGTAAGTGATCATATCGTTTTTTCGAGGGCCCAACTAACAAATTATAGTCGTGTTTCTCCACTTCAAAAAGCCCTCGTCGTCAAGCTTGTCAAACGCCATCTCAAGTCGCTACTTCTAGCTATTGGAGATGGCGCCAATGACGTGTCTATGATCCAGGCCGCCCACGTTGGTGTCGGTATCAGCGGTGTCGAAGGTTTACAGGCCGCCCGGTCTGCGGATGTTTCCATTGCTCAATTCCGCTACCTGCGGAAGCTTCTACTCGTGCATGGTGCATGGAACTACCACCGGATCAGTCGCGTCATTCTGTATTCTTTCTACAAAAATATCGCGCTTTGTATGACACAGTTCTGGGTCAGTCCTTACCTGAAGCCTCAGGCATTGATATTCCCGCTAACAATGCATAAAGTACTCTTTCCAAAACGCTTTCTCTGGTGAAGTCATCTACGAATCGTGGACCCTTTCCTACTACAACGTCTTCTTCACCGTGCTTCCTCCCTTCGTCATGGGTATCTGTGACCAGTTCATTTCCGCTCGATTGTTGGACCGCTATCCCCAGCTGTACCAGCTGGGACAGAAGGGCGTGTTCTTCAAGCGACACAGTTTCTGGTCGTGGGTCTTCAACGGGTTCTACCATTCTCTCGTGCTTTACATTGTCTCTGAGCTGTTGTTCCTCTGGGACGGTCCTCTAGCAGATGGTAAAACATCAGGTCACTGGGTCTGGGCGGAGACGCTGTACACCGCCGCCTTGGCCACGGTGCTCGGGAAAGCGGCCTTGATATCCAACATCTGGACCAAGTACACGTTCATCGCGATCCCGGGGTCGCTGATGATCTGGCTGATATTCCTCCCGGCCTACGGTTACGCGGCACCGGCGATCGGCTTTTCGCAGGAGTACTACGGCACGATCCCCGTGGTCTTCAGGGACCCCACGTTCTACCTGATGGCCATCATTCTCCCCTTCATCTGTCTCCTCCGCGACTACGCCTGGAAATACACCAAGCGCATGTACTACCCGCAGCACTACCACCACGTGCAGGAGATCCAGAAGTACAACGTACAGGACTACCGTCCGCGCATGGAGCAGTTCCAGAAGGCGATCCGCAAGGTGCGCCAGGTCCAGCGCATGCGGAAACAGCGCGGCTACGCATTCAGTCAGGCCGACGAGGGCGGACAGATGAGGGTTGTGAATGCTTACGATACCACGAGGGGAAGAGGACGATACGGTGAAATGACCAGTTCCAGGGCTCTGGTATAATGATGATTGATTGACTAACTGACTGACTTGACGGATTGAAATGGAACTGAATTGAAATCTTGCGTGTATTTTCTCTCCCTTTTTCTTCTTCTTCTCTCATTCGCTTCTCTGTAATTCTTATCTGCCCCCTCCCCCCTCCCCCCTCCCCTGTCTCATCGTGGTCCTTGCATCGGTCGAACCTGCCTTGCATTTGCTGGCGAGGAATGAAGTCCATTTCTTTATTGCTTCTTGGAGGCTGGCTGGCTTGGTCCTTGCTTTTTTTTTTCTTTTATATATGTTCTCGATGAGTCAATGTGAACTGAACCAATGCCGATTTGGTCTTTGTTGTTGAGTTTTGGTGTGGTGTGGTAGATGGTTCATTAATAAGTGCTACTAATTAATGACCTCATGACGGATAAGTAGGTAATTTTCATCCATAAATCTCAACCCTTATGCCAACCTCCTAGAAAGCTATACTATACTATATACATACTAGATACCCAAAGGAAAAGAAGCATGACAAGCAGCATCATCATCATCATCGAGTACACCTCTCCTCCGGCCTCCTCCATCCCACCCCCAATCCCTCCATGGCCAACCTCTCCCTCTCCTCCCACGTCTGGCCCGCGCCCTCCAAATCCACCACCTTCCCCCCTGTCCCCCTCTCCCTCACCCCACTCGAATCAAACTTCCACCCCCGCGTCTTCTTCACATACCGCCGAAGATCGCGCTCGAACGTCGTGTCCCCCGTCCACCCCAGCACCGCACACCCGACCGTCCGCCACGGCGAAACAATAATATCTACCCGCCGGTGCGGGTTCGGGTTGCGTTTTCGTTTCTGGTGCTGCGCTTCTTCTCCTTCTTCTTCTTCCTCCTCTTCCTCTTTCTTTCCCTTCGCCTTCTCCTTCTTCCTCTTCTCATCATTGTCACCATCATCACCGTCATATCCCCCAGAACCAGCCTCATCCGACTCGTCGTTACGATCATGACCACAACCAGACTCATCATGGTCAAGCTCATGATCATCAAAATCCGGATCTTGCCACACAACCAACGCCTTATCCAACGTATCGAACCCCTCTCTGGTCCCTGCATCGCTGCCCCCATGGTACGGTAACGTCTGCTGATCACGACGCGAATTCATCATATTCAGCGCAAGCGTGTGCGTGATCCAGCCCTCGGACTCTAGGCTCGCGACCACATCCTCGATCAGGTTCTTGGTTACGCTGTCGGATGGGTGCGTGAGGATTAGGTCCACGTCTTTGCAGAGTGGCTTTCCGCGACGGTAGCCGCCTACGATTGCGCATTGGATGGGTTGGGTTTTGGTTTGGGTGTTGGGGGATGGGGATGGGGATGTGGTTGGGGGTAGAGCTTGAGGTTGAGATTGAGAGGGAGAGGGAGAGGCAGAATAAGGACGAACAAGGTTCGCATGCCGGGCAACAACCTCTGCAATCCTCTCAATCTCCCCCCTAGGAATTCCAGTCAAAAACTCATCATAATATTTCAGCCCGATCTGCTGCACGCGAGAGAGACGCGTCCACGCATGTTCCACCAAATCGTCGAGAGTCGTCCACCCATGCGTGTGCAGGAACGAGTGTGCGGTTTTCGGGCCCACGCCCCAGATATTGGTGAAGGATGCGAGGGTGCGCAGTGTGGAGTTGGTGGTGAGTTCTGTGGCGGCGGCGAGGGTGCGAGTCGGCGAGTGCAGGAATTCGTGGAATAGGTGCGCGGTTTTGGTGTCGCAGCCTGGCAGGGTGAGGATTTCGGAGGCTGAGCGGAGAGGGTAGGGATAGGCCGCGATGGCGGCGATGGAGGTGCTGTAGGCGCGGACTCCGATTTCGTCGAGTGTGAGTTCGCGGATTTTGCGGATGGAGAGGAGTTGGGTGATGAAGGCGGAGTTTGGGGAGGGGGGCTGGAGGGGCGTCGAGCGGAGGCAGGCGTAGATGGTGTTGTTGGTTACCCAGGTTGGGGGGGTAGGGGGGGTGGAGGGTGATGGGGTTGTGAGGGGGGTTGTTTGGAGGTGGTTGGCTTGGTGTGGTGGTGGTGAGGTCTCGCTGGTGGTGGTGATTGTAGGGCGGCGTCTTGCTTTGCGCGTTGGATGATGTCGGTTGATTTGATCGTGGTGGTGGTGGCAGTTGGCAGCGGGTTAGCTGGACGGGGGATGTGGCGTGCCTGGTATATAGTATATGGTTTGATGGGGAGGAGCTCTTGTGCTTTGAGGCATTGGTGCAGCCATTCGAGCTTGACGACGCTGATTGTGTCCGATGACGCTATTGGCGGTTGCGAGACTGTCGTAGGTGAGGTTTTAAGATGTCGAGAGGGATCATGTCGACTCATCATTCCATCTTCTTCATCTTCTGTTTCCGTGCTGAGGTCAATAATCTCGGCCTCTCCGGCAGATATCTCTGGTTTCTTCGGTACATCGACACGCCGCCGCTTCGTTGGCGGTTCGCGTCCACTGATAGGGATGGGGATGGGGATCGTTTCAGTCCAGACACCGCGGGAGCGCAGTTCCAGCGCTGCTCGCTTCTCCTGACTGATTTTCCCCAGTACCAGTCTGGCTTCGGATATGTCGTAGGTCAGACGTGCGTTTCTCTTAACCAGGTCCTCTTCTATCTCGTGTAGAGATTCCAGACTGAGATGAGTCGGGAGGACAAATATAGGCGGGAAAGATGAGAAGTCGGGACAGGCTTCCCCCTCATCCTGTGCAGGAGAGCCGGCTGTATATTCGGACATGGCCACGCTATACTCATCGGGCGATATACTATAGTTATCATTGAGCGTCTCTAAAGAATTATTGCCATCATGCTAGACAGCTAGGAAGACCAGACATTGTTGTCGACGAATGTATACGAGCAAACAGGAAGGCTGCAGAGGTTTTCACTCCGAAATATCAATTGCACGGCGTCATCCACGGGTGCCCTCCCCGCCAAAGTCAAGACTGCGATGGAACGACGTCAGAGAGTTACTTATTATGTACAGACCAAAGGAGGATGCCGACGCCAAGCCACGGGCCGCCGAGTCGCCGACACGAGCCGACACGTGTTCTGGTCATGAACATGAATGAACATGAACCAGCAACCAACCCAATATCAATATCTGGTTGACGCATATCCTAGTATAAATAACCCATAACCCGATGCCCATCCTTTACTGAGGAAAGAACCCAGCATAGTAGTCCCCCTTCCCCAGCGGAACCCCCTCCTTCCGCAAAATGCCATACGCAGTGGTAAGATGGAAGTAGATATTGGGCAAGACAACAGTATGAGCATATGCAGCACCGGCCATCTGCACCTCGATCTTGGGGCCCAGCTGCGTAGTCTCCGCTATCTCGCTGCGCTGGTTGACGACGTCCTTGTCGGCCTCGCGGAGCGCTTTCTGCACCGTCTCAATACGCTCGTAAGATTCCGCAAACGACGCGGGGCTGCCGCCGAAGGCCACCGGGTCGCGACCAGTCAGTCGGGCGACGAGGTTCTCGGAGAATTGCGTCGCGATGCGGATTTGGTCGGTCAGTGGGTACATGTCCTCGTGGAGACGGGCCTCGAGCAGTTTGTTGGCGTCGGGGCGTTGCTCGGCTTGGTGTAGGATGTGGGATAAGGTCTGGAGGAGGGATTGGACTACCGGGATTGTTCCGTCGTAGAATGTGTGAGGCATGATGGTGGTGGTATATAGGTAGTAGGTAGGTACAGTAGGTAGGTTGGGGTAGGTGTTTTGGAAGTTGGATGGAGATGTGAAACTTGAGGACAAGCAGGCCTGGTTCTTTTAAGTTGGAGATGCTACGTGTCCTTACAATTCAACTGGAGCAGGAAGGCTTGCAGTTATATAATTGGGAGACTTTCTTGGTCTAACTTGGTGAAGTTAGGTGGGAGGAATACTAATACGGGGCCAATCTGCACAAGGCGATCCTGTAAGGCTTGGACGGGTCAATTGTGACAGGAATGGTTTCAACTCGTGTTCGTTTTGCATGAGTGGAAATGACGTGATATTTAGGTCCATATTGTCAGATTCCATGCATTTTCAGTCTATATTCCCCTCATTTGGACGAACTTAATATCCTTCAAACTATTGATGTTGGCAAGTTCGCGCGAGTCGCACTGACGTCACTCTACTCCTGTTCTGCCTGAGGCAGCCAGCCAATGGAGGGGAGGACCCCTCATCTAGCCGGCGTTTTCCGGTAGTCGCGGGATTTCCCGACGTTGCGATCGGGCGCAAGACTGTAGAAGCAAAGCAGCATATTACTTCATCAACACAAAGGTTATCCGATAAATACAGCAAAAAGGCTAACATTGATCTGTCTATCTTTTAAGTCCACATACTTGCTGGAAAGAAAGCCCAAACTTTTGTATATCATCGAAATATCAAGGGCTACCCAGCGTATATTCGTAAATGCTAAGCTGCATCCGTCCATCGTTATATCTTCAAGAATACCCTTTGGCACAATCAGCGGTGTAGATAAGCAACGCCTCAAATAGCTTCAGCTTATCGTGAGGGCCCGTCCACAGGTTCTACCGTAAGAGACGTACTCCCCTTACCCGCAGCAGCGCCATAACTGACCGTAGGCGCGGTGGTGCTTTCCTCGTCCAATATCGGCGTATCTGGTCTCGCTGCAGGAGGCTCGTCGCGATAGCCTTCAACATCCGTGACAATCGTTCTGCCATGCCTTCTGGCAATCCATCTTCTCCAGGGTTTATATGCAACCACGCTGAGGCTGCCGATGATAATGAAGCAGCCGCAGATGCCACCACCAATGGCGTCATAGTAGTCTCCGGCCACCTGCACGCCATCCCAAAACTTGCCCGTGGGGCTGGCAACATTCAAAACCAGAGTGAGCACCTGGATAACGCCGATGACTATGGCCACCATCACTGTCAGGCATGTCAAGACGATGGAGTAGTAGAGAAACGCCACGGGGTCGCGGTGGTTTTTTGATGGCTCAACCTCCTGATCGTCCATAAGGAGTGCTGTGGATGATGTGTCATCTTTGGGTGGGAGAAAGTTGGTCGCAGGTTGAACGTAGAGAGAGAGCATTAGTGCTCCATCAGTCGTGTCAAGGAGGCACATTCCCGCTGCATGAGCGTTAGCTGACTGGGAAGATGCACTACATGTCTTGGACCGTCAACTTACCCGTAAAAAGGACAGGAAAGATCAGGATGATCCAAAAGTCGGTGCCCTTTGCAGCCTCGACAGAAGAAATTCCAAGGAGTGCAATCTCAGAGGACGTGTCAAAGCCAAGGCCAAAGAGGATTCCGAGCGGATACATTTTCCAGGGTCTGTGGTTTTATCAGTATGGTGCTTCTGGTTTGTACGCTAGCGGGCTGTCTCACCTATCAATCAGCTTGAACATGCGTTTTAGCACCGAGAACAGCACGCCGCCTCCCTCGATCTTCCAGATCTCATCTTCATGGCCTTCCGGAAGATGCAGCACCTTCTGCATCTGCTTATAGAGCTTATACAATATATACGCATTCATAAGCCCCAGTAAGATCAAGAAAGCGGCGCTGACTGAGGTGCCGATGATACCACCGATGGTGCTGAAACTGTCAAAGCGATCGGAGATGGCCGCAGCCGTGGCTGCGACGACGATTGACGTGATGATCACAATTCTGGTAGGTCTTAACAGCGAATCTCGTTGCATGGTTCAGAAACTTACGTCGAATGTCCTAGAGAGAAGAATGTTCCCACAGTGACGGGCTTTTGGCCCGTTGCAATCAATCTTCGGGTCATCAAGTCGATGGCCTAAGGAAATCAATCAGGACAGCTTCTTAATACAAATATCAATCGCCTACCGAGATATGGTCCGCGTCAAACGCATGTCTCAACCCGAGAGTGTAAGAAAGCACGGCATTGGACACTAAAGATCTAGAGGAGGTCAGCCACCTAGGAGGGGCCCTTGGTTTTATATCACAAGAAATACATACGGGTAATAGCTCTGAAGAAAACTGTCAGTCAGGCCACGGACCTAATGATCAAGGTAACCACAAGATTGGAAAGTATTCTGACAATGAACATACAAGCACAATTCCTGCAGCAATCCACACCACGACATTGACAAATGCAATGAACAAGATAATGGCAATAGCCGGTAGAGGAACCTTCTTAATCCCCGGCAAGCTACCATGGGATTTTTCTGCCTTTTTGATGAACGTCTTGAGCCTCCATTTGCTTTTCGGGGCGTCATTGTGGTCGTTCCCCGTCGGGTCCTGGGCCGGATCGGAGTTGGGAGGGGTTGAGTCCCGCATGGTTGAGGGGTATGGCAGTCTATCCTGTATCTATCTCGATTTTGTTTCCCAACTCGGCCTTCCACTGTCCACGGATGACCCAGGATCGAATGGCGGATTTATCTCCAATGAGTGTGTGCGCCGTCAATCTCCCAAATAGCGGCGTCGGGTGTGGAGGGAGGGGAAAAGTTGATAACGCGGGCATGCGATAAGAAATTTAGACGGTCGAATTATCAACGCCAATATCCATGGATCCGAGTCGACTACCTTGGAGACCGGACCTGAGAAATTTGTTACGTATCTGAAGGCTGATCGGTCGACGGTTGAAGTGGATCTTCTCGCTTCCCCACAGGGTCTTGTTGCATTGCAGGATTCGGGCGTCGGGGAGGCCCGGGGTTGGGGGATGTTGATGCTTCTGGAGATTTTTCTTGCCATGCGAGTAACTAAAAAAAAAAAGATGCAAAAACCTGCATTCGGAGGCCGTCTGAGATCAGCTCGACATGTTCTCTTCTTCCTTGCAGGAGTGTTGCAGCGGTGCAGCGAAGCAAACAGTGACGCCAGCTCCACGTGACTCCCCGTTATCTGCAAGCGGAGGGCGCCGACGCAACTCCAACGCCCCTCCAACAACTCTCCTCTACTTGTATCAACCCTGGTAATCTAGGTGATGATTAGTAAGATAAGATAATAAAGATCTGATTCTATAATACTGCTGCACAAGCAGGTAGAATATATGGATATAAAATTAGATAAAAATAAAATATATATAATATAATACAGAAGTAGCCGAGGGATAGGATAATAGTAACAGGCCGAGATTAGATCAACGGAGCGGCGGAATCCAAGGCCACCACTGGGCCAAGCCCTCCTTCCAATCCAATATGTCAAACCCAGTATCATTCAGTATCATTCAGTATCATGCCTACTTAGGTGTCTGGACACCTTTTCAGCCGAGTGGTCTTTTTGGTCTGTCAGAATGACAGGCCAATTGGGAGATACCCATTCCCGATTTTTTTCAACCCCGTGGGTCGTTCCCATAGAGCCATGCCCCCCTAGCGAGTGGTCACTACGCCCAGTTGGCCAATTTGCCGACATCGCTCGGATAACTCCACTCAACCGGCTATGGCTGGCGGGTCCGATGAAGGGTGGGGTGTTCAGCATTCCGAGGTTGGGAGCTGGGACCTGATCGTGTCGGTTAGCATATCCGGTGTATCATGTTGGTTGCCAGTCAGCCTTACCCTGAAGTTTCAAAATGTGAGGGCATTCCGATTGCGAGATTGTTTGCAATAGCCGTGCATTGTGCCAGGCCCGTGGGACCTTTCGGGGAAATTTTGTCACCGCTTGACATCAACCAAGCGATAAAACTAGTCGTTCACGCCGCAGCCATGACAGTGGGTGACGGAGTCCATTTCGTCACGGTCGCCTTTGCCGTGGGCAAGTCGGTTTTGAGCATATTCCACTCATTCCGAGTGATAGGGGTGACATCCGATGCGGACAGTGGGGTCTTCGGTCCGCGTTTGGTCGGCATCATGTATCTCGTCGGAGGAGGGTTCTGGCGACGAGCTGCCCGCGCCGCGCGAAGCGGTGACTTCCGAAGAGAATGCTCAGCCTTTGGTCGAGGAGGGACGATGATACCCTCTTGCTTGTATTCCTTCTGGAAAGAGGTGGCCACCCGGGTCAGAAGGTCGTCGGGTACATTTAGCTGCTCATAGACGCGGTGGAAGAAGGCCCTGCTGAATGGACGGCCATGGAAGTCTTGGATGGTGCGGTGGAGGAGTTGTGCGCAGGATGAGATGTATGATTCTTCGGGGAATGTTCCTCGCTGGGAGAGGATGCATAGTCTGCGCTTGAAGGTGTAGATGCGATCCAAGTTCAACAGAGTCAGGCCTTCCCGGCTGAAGATCACTTCGTTTTGCATGATCGACTGCTGGATCAGGTAGTCGTGGGCTTGACGCTCGTACTGGCTGCGGTTGAGGGCATCGGTCCAGCTTTGGCCCAGAGAGAATTTGCTGGCCCCCTTGGCTACTGTGCGGTACATAATCCGCCAAGCCGTTGCATCCAGGGGGGTGATTGGAATGACAATGAGGTCGGACGGTTTCCCTGTCGGGTAGGGCTTCCCACGACCGACGAGGAGAGTGACGTGCATCATCTTTTGCTCCAACTTCAAAGAAATGTATTCAAGCGCGGGAAGTATGGAAGGAGTCAATGTCTCTGAATCGAAGTTGAACGTAGGAGACAGAGGAGAAGAGATGATCTCGCTTGTGAGACTGCGAGTGGGGGAGCTCGGCACATAGACGCCCGTGGGGCGAGGCAGACGCATGACACCCATGGTGGTAAGTATAGGGGTGAGAAGAATATCTGATCAACAATAGAAGAAACCAAAATGGCTGTGGTCAAACCACTAAACCCCAGAGATGCTGGCAGTTGTGATGGTGAGAAACACGGAGGGGAAAGGTGCCTCGTCGGAAGGAAAGATGGTGGTAATAAATCTTTCATCGGCCCAAGTCAGACTCCAAAAGAGGGGTAAGCCTGGTGATGGAATGACACCAAATCTTTTTGATCAACACTCTGTAAATTAGTGCTGTACCACCCCCTCCTTGGTCTATTTTGGGATTTCTAAGGATAGGAAATCACCCGGCTCGGAGCGCACGCCGGCCAGTCAATGCCGCAGGCCGGAATCCGGGGGGGTGGAACCCAATGGGCGGATCGATATAAATAACATTAAGCGCCCGCGGTGTGCTGTGTAATGGGCTCGTGCAGGCACTTATGCAGGTTGAGCACCGTGCATGGAAGCTGACTGGTGGACTAAATCATTTTAGCATCAATTAGCTCGGTTCAGGTCAGGCCAGGTACCCAGTACGAAGCACATCCTCCATCCCAGGTCACATCGAAGACCCTCCAAGGCTGACTCCAGCAACGGTTGAAATATCCTAATAGCAACATCATCATTTTCCAACATAGGTATACTCATAACCAACACCGCCTCGGCTCTGAGTTTTCCTCGTATTCAGTCCCATCTTCTATCCAGCATTTCGCCCACCCATTCATCCATGCATCCAACCCCCCCCCCCCCCTCCTTCTAGCCGCCCTCATACTCGCACAGCGCTCCGATAATCACGCGCCATAAATCTCCGAGGCCTGTACTACCTGTTCAGCTGGCCCCCACCTGATAAGGACGTGCAGGAACTATTGATATCCTGCAGACGCAAGGCGGTATCATCCCCCCTCTGAGAGGCGGCTTCCAGAATGGCGTTGTGATAGTTCCATTACCCCGCCTAAGGCTGCCCACGGGCATGATAAGTTCCTTGGCAGGATTGGTCGGGAGTGTGCCATGTGTACTTACTGTCGTGGAAGGATTCACGAACCTCCATGTGGACTGACGACGCTGCCACCCACCGTAGCCGACGGGCGTGATTGCATTTGATAGCGCGGGCTTGGGGCTCTCGGGTCCTGAGGCCGTTCCACTAGGCCCGTGGAATTACCGCCGGGGGGGTCGTCGCTTGCATTAGACAGTCAATAGTTCCATTCTAGCTGCATAGGTTGACGTCCTCGGGATGTCATGGTCGGGGAAGTGGGCGTTGGAACCGGGGTGATTAGCCGTTGGGTTGATAGCTGTGATTCCATCGCGGATGCACGGATGGGCTAATCTGGAGACAGCCTTCTTTAATCACGGCGTTCTTTGTCCGCTTGTTTATCTTATCCGGGCTTCAGGGGTCTAGATTTGACCGCTAGCTGAGTTCCAGTGGGTCGGCAGACAGACCGAAGCCTAATGCTTATGGCGATCCGGTCGGATTCCTCTGGGCGCCGTTTATCCGACTATTTCTGAAGGGTTGTAAGAAGAGTGCTGAACTTTTGGTGAGGGTCACTCAAGAGGCCGATCCCCATATCTAAGTAGTAGGGGTTACTCAGTCCACTCGTCGGTTTTTTTCGTGCTGGCGTTCTGGTAGAGAGAGTCATTCTGCTATTCCGTTTCTACGGCGGATCCCCCTTGGTACAATGCGAAAGAGGCTCCGGACATTAGCAAAATAAGTGCCGCGAGGCTGGCAAGGCTGGCCTGGATATCCGTAGTGCTGGCAGGGAAGGATTAGAGCTAGAGCTACCTGCATACATCGAGCCAGCCACCATCGGGCGCAGATAAGAAAGAAAGACGATGTCTGCCCCAACTACCACCGGAATGAATACCTTAGAAGGAATTCGCACGCTAGAAGCTTCGGGAGCAAAAAGAGAAAATTCAAAAACAATGACCAGACTGGGGCTCGATCCCAGGACCTTATCGGTGTTAACGATACGTGATAACCAACTACACCATCCGGCCAATTTGTTGAAAAACTCCTCCCTTTAATGCTTTATACGCCAGGTTTAACTCTGAGATCGAAAAAGTGTGGTTGATCGAGAGGTGGACCATGGAAAGCTGGCCGGAGAGAGATCTGGCTCCCCTAAGTAATGTTGTTGAAGTAAGTATTGTATCGTTGGCCAACATGATAGGTGAATGGACAAAAGATAAAATAAATAGTTCACGGAGCGAACATCATGAGAGTGCATACCAATGCTAACAACCCTTTCAGAATACGATACATCATAAAAAGTCTCCTCTAAAATATCATACTTCTCTCGAATGCATCCATCAAAATTTCCGCCTTCCTGGCGACCTGCCTGCATTCTTCGCCCATGCCACTGCTTTCTTCTGCAGCCGGCTTGAAACCATTTTTTCCAGAATTGCCACCCCTGCAAGGAGAACGAGTGGTCACCAAAGTATAACAGTCCGGGCTGCCAGCCCTGCATATCCTGATGTGGGTCAGGGCAAATAATGTGTTTGAAAAGCTCTTGTCCATCCCAAAGAATGTACTGAGCGGCAGCAATAATATGTTGATCCTTCATGCCCTCGAATGAGGAATCCCCGGGCTCGGGCCTTTCCTCGAATGCATCGCGCATTGTCCAGATGGCGAAGTCGGGGTAATGGCGTCTAATGTGGGTGGAGCCCTCGTGGGCAAATAACGCATTCATATTTGGCCATTCTTCAGGTTCCTCTTCACCTGGACCTACGCTCATGATGTCAGTTAGGCTATGGATATCTCGAACAAGTTCAATGCGCTGGCTGACCAGTGCATGATTCTGTTAGAGATTCCTTGAAACTCTGGCAGCGTATATATAATCCCTGTATTACTGTGTCTGCTGACAGAAAATTATATTGGATCTTCAAACTTAACATACATCTGTACCCGGTCCACTTGTAAGCTTAGGCGAGCGCGAAAGCTCGGGCAAGTTTGATATGAGACGGGCGATGGTATGGTATCTGCTGTGCAAGTTCCAGAATAACCTCACCAACATCGTAAACCTTTGTTGACAAAGTATGGTCTGGTATAAGCGGCAGAATCGATTGGATTGTTGATTCAAGTGACAATTCTGTGTTTGGATGGAGATAATCTTCAAGGATGTGAAAAATCTTTCTATCACTGTACTCGGTGATTCCGGCGGTTTGATATGCGTAGCTCCCATGGCTGGACTCTCTCTCTGCTGGTGAGCGCGTAGTTACGTTTAGATCTTTGACAGCCTGATCCTGGGTCTCTAGGCTCTCAAGCTTTGGCTTTCATGATAACATAGCAAAAATGGAGGGTTGGAGTGTAATAATGATTAAGCAGGCATGTTCAAAGTTGGGCGGGTGAGCGGGGAACAGAAATCTAAAATAAGCGATCAATTCACTGTCAAGGTCGGCTTCTAACCGCCCTTTAAGTCTCAGGCCAGCATTGGATGCCCCAGGAATGACACTTGCCGCCGAGACTGTGTCATGGATTTGGACATTCTTCCAATCAGTCATGAAACTAGTGAAGCCCTGTCATACGGGTTTATCAACCGCCCGTTCTTTGGGTGACACTCGATCTCAGGACCTCACAGCCAGTCTGTCGACCTTTCCAATAGGACGAGCACTTTTTACAAGGTTATCGCGCGGGTATTATACCCTATATTCTAATCGGAGTTTTCTGTGTTATTTTTGGATCATCCCACTGCTTTTACATGGATGGACATGGGCTACAGAGGTATTAATACCGAGCAAAAGGGCAGCGTGTAAGTCTATTCCCATCCGCTTTGCCTTGCATTTTTCTTAGACATTTGTACCACTCTTGCGCTTCTGTTTAAGACACACCTTTCATAATGTGCTTTTCTGATTGATCCCAATCACCACCAGTACCATCGCAGCCAGTAGAGAGGACAGCGAGGCGGCGAGTACAGAGACATCGGACTGAGTCTGAGCCAATTGGAGATCGTCCAGTAGACCCGCGTCCAGTGAAGGTTAACTTCTCATCCGAGAGTAACTCGTCATCTTCTAATGTATTGTATCTTCAGGCCTACCAAGTCAATCGACCCGTGAAGCCCCCGGTGCCGAACATGCCAAATATCCATCAGATCCGCCTTCGTTCCAGTGTTAAGGCAGTGGAGCAGCTGAGGACGATGGGTATCGAGCCCTACTTCCACTGGGTGCCTGGCCACGAGGGTATAAAGGGCAATGAGAAGACCGACGTCGCGGCCAAAGAGGCGGCGGAGAGCATGAAGGTGCCCGAAGAGGATACTGTCCAACTCGCCGCGGCTGTCAAATATATTGCGCGCTAGCTGACAACTGATAAGTAGAAGAAGTAATGAAAATAATTAATAATAGCAAAGTCTATATAACAGCTAATGCCGGGTCTGATAAAAAGGATACAGGATCTATATCAGGAATTAGTCAAGCTATAATATACTATATGCATTTAGATATAAACAGGGAGAATTAGCTTGAATTACTTTCTCTTTAAGATGAAGATAAAAATGTTGAATTACTGCGGGTAAAAGAGAGACTTCTAAATATTAAGATATATTTACTAGAGTACTTAAAATATAAGAGTCTTAAACAAAAATCCGGAAAGTAACAGATCAGGGTTCAAAAGAGCCCAAGAAATTTATAGATCCCGCATCTTTGGCATGTCTACTTGAATTGTAGTTGATATACTATCATTTTCCCAGGCATATATATATGTCAAATATCCCAAGCCCTATTATATGGCTCCCTCTGTTGCTCTTTTCTCTTTGACTCTACTTGGTCTCTTTGATCTATACTTCTCTCGTTTCATGATGTTCTATGCATTTTTTTGGGGCTTGGTGAATCTCTGTCTCTCGTATAGCCTGTAGATCTGTTTATAGCAGCTGCTGCCTTTCTATTTGAAGTATGGACAACTTCTGATTATGAAAGTCACGGATGTAGTAAATTATATCTTGCTGACTATGCCTCCATGGAGGGGAAAGTGACACCGAACACCTAGCCATGGCCGTCTACCACCATCAGCCTACGCCATTTTCAAGGTGATCGGGGTGGTAGAGACAATGATTGGGGTTTGTTTAAAATCAAGTTGTCTGTAGTGAAGCTCAAAAAAAAAGATGTCCATTACATCCAAATCCACTCCGTACCAACAGAGACCGTTGCCGGCCACTACTGGACTTGTGGGTCCAGGATGAACGGGAAACAAAAAATGACCAGACTGGGGCTCGATCCCAGGACCTTATCGGTGTTAACGATACGTGATAACCAACTACACCATCCGGCCAATTTGTTGAAACATGCCTCATTTTAATGCTATATTATCAGCAACAACTGTGCCCAACATCAACATGGAGCTAGACAAGCCTACTTCGACATCTTGCCGCGCCGGCATGCTTGCTATACTATTGGACCACTGCATTAAGTCCTTCTTTTGTTCTTTCATAAGGAAAAAACAAATTCCAGTATCAGCACTCCTGGATGTATCATTTTACAATCCATTCTGTGTTGAAAAAGGGTTGTGTTTATTATAGTACTGCTTCAAGTTTGTTCTCTTTGTCCGACAGGATATATATATCAACTCCAATACTCGAAGCCACGGGTATTCTCACATCCTGCACCACCAATATAGCAAAGACATACAATGTCATCACCGAATCCAGTAGATTCAGCACACAAAACACAGAGCGGCTTGCTCAAGTTGATTATCACACCAGTTCCATAATGTCAGATGAACAAAGTGTTGAATGTCCCGGAGACAAAACTTTCAGCCAAAAATGCCCACCAGATTGCATTCATATTATTACGGAGTACTACCCTTGGTCCAAAACCTTGTCTGCCTAGTTATATATAGAAAAAAAACGAGCTTAATGGGGATTTTATTTAACAATGCGCGGTATGTCTTCCTGAAGCTACGGCTGTTTCTTTTGTCGGCATAATTCTGCAGTCAGCCAATTTATGCTATCCCAGTCATCTCCATGATTCCTTGGCGCACCGCTTTATCCCGAACCACCCACTTAAGTACATATTATTATTGAGTTTCGGAACCAAACCAACCCACGGTCGAGTTGAAGCAAGATGGGCAGATTATTCTGCAGAATACCCCGTATTATGCATCAAAATCTAACCCAGGACCAGGAAATATATTATTACTCATTGTGTCACGGTCGTCCGCGATCCCGATTTCCGCGAACAATAAGATAGCAACTACAGAGATCCAACAACCTTAATTTTCCGATTGCCATACATCACGATGACGGCGATCGAACCTCTTCCAAATAGCCTTAGATTATGTAATCAAAAGCAGAGGCGTTTTTCAACAAGTAGGCCGGATGGTGTAGTTGGTTATCACGTATCGTTAACACCGATAAGGTCCTGGGATCGAGCCCCAGTCTGGTCATTTCTTTTTTGGTTTTTCATGGTTTTGGGATTTCTCCTGGAGTACCATTTTTACTCTTTTTTTTTTGGTTCCCCCCTCTCTCGCGACTTTTCGCGTGGCAGCCCTTATTCACTTCTGTGCCGGATCAATCCGGTTGGATGGATGACTAACTGAATTCACAAACAATATTACGGCTCGGCTTGCCATACCTGCCGTGATGATGGTAGGGGTATCTCTGGACACAGCAGTTTTCAGTGCCTTTTGATGGGCAAGGAGATGCTCCACAGGGGAATGCTCAATTCCTGTGACAAAGAATCTAGGACGATGAAAGACCACTCACCTACTGTTCCCTCTATGGAGCGGAGGAACTCTCACGGGAGGGACGGCATTCTGTCGAGAGAAAGTAGGATGCCACCGAAATCTTTTAGTGACAATATTGCGGATGACTCGATGTCGCTTGCTTTTTCTCGAGTGGCAGTTTTGCTGGAAGTTGCCTTTCGGCGGCTGCGCTATCGATCGCAGTTGCTTCTGGGGGCAATGAGAATGATACCAACAAACAAATCCTCTGAAGTAGGTTTTCGAGGTGGTGAAAGCAATACCAAGACTGTTTGGTTTCAAAGCAGAAAAGACAATAATTCAAGGCGTTAGCCTTAAGTTTGACGCGGTCTCTCATAGCGTTGGTATGATGATAATGTCTTTGTTGGGAACTTGCAGATATCTTGATGCTTCTATTAAAGGCTCGGAAACAGCATACCGGGGTTCAGACAGAGATCTGAAGGTCCCTTCAATGAGGAGATAGTCGCTTTTATTACCGTTACTGCCATCATGTGGAATTACCTCAAGTGGCATGGACATCAGCAGTAGGTGGCTGCCTGCAGAGGACATTTTAGAAGGCTACTGTCTTTTCTAGGACCGTGAGGTTTTTTAAATACTAGAGCTGCTGAACCCTGGTAGTTTTTTCACATCCCAGAGCTTACCTTCCTATGCTCGGGGGCCATAATCCGCCCTGTTCTCTTGACTCCCTTAACCCTTTCTCGTTACATCGGGTAAGCTGTATCTCTATATCGTCTACTATCACTTCCTCTATCTTGCGTACACCACGTGGGTAGCGGAAAGATGGTCGCCCAGAGCACTCTACTATATTGGCTGTTGTTGTACAGCAGTGTGGGTCCTCTATCAGCTAGCCATGCAAGAGGAGCCATCAAATGGAACGGAGATGGAGCAGAACAAGCCATGGCATCCGAGCGTGTAGGTGCAGATTGGGATAATCTATTTTAGAAAAAGGGTAGGATGGCATGGTTTTACCCATAACCATCATAGTCCCAGACGCTATAGAATCGGAGTCAGCGTCCGACATCGTGACTGCTGCAGGATTGAGCATAGAGGTACCGGGGCTGGAATCACTTGCGGCATGTAAGATCGCCTATTAGCTAATATGGCATGCCTAATGGGGGCAATATTTCGGTTCCTGAAGGAGGACGCCGGGTTGTGTCATATCTAACATGTGGCAGTATATAATCCAGATATATTATACTATATACTTTGGGAAATAGCACGCTCGCTTGTGCTTTCAATTGTGTGTACTACTCTGAGAATTATCTATTACTATAATTGTAAATGCAAAAGAGTGTCGAATCCCTACTAGTAGGAGATTCGGTCCAAGTGGAAACAGTAGAAAGTGCCCAGCGGGGTATGAACAGACATAGGGCGAGGCGAGCAAATGCATACGGTGCAGGTCTGCATTCGAATGCTCAGGCCTCAGATTATTTCTCACCTATCTTGTCCTCACCTGGGTCTTCGGTCTGTAAGTTGCTGTTCATGATAGAAGTGTATCTTGAACGGTATTTTAACTGAGGCATAGTAAAAGTCGAATTTGTGATCTTACAATTGAATATCGGGGAAATTCGAGAGGGCAAAAGTCAAAGGGAAAAAAATGAAAGTAAGTCAAATAGCAAAATATGACAATTATGTGGCCTCCCCCAAACCCCTTGTATCCCATTGTCTAAGAGAATGAGGGAATACAAATGATGAGCAGTTGGTCCATAACGGGAACTAAGATGCGCGGGCAAAAAGAAAGCTTTGCTCATCAAGTGACAGAGCAATTGAGCTGTGATTCTAACCAGTATATTCATATTTTCCCTAGATTTAAAATACTCGGCCAAAAATTTAATAGGCAAAAAAATGACCAGACTGGGGCTCGATCCCAGGACCTTATCGGTGTTAACGATACGTGATAACCAACTACACCATCCGGCCAATTTGATGACAGGATGCTTCATGTTTGACATTATAAGGATAATCGTAACATTTTAAGACTACACACTACAACCGTGCATTAGAGGCGGAAATTATGTACACAGTAGATGGAGATCAATGTAGCCAACATGCGAGTAATAAATAGTGTGGATATGTGGATACCCCACTGCGTCCTTATCGCAGGGATAATGAATCGCGCGGGCCACTTTAACTGAGGTTACCAATCAATGCGTGTTTTCGATGCCAGATGGGATGCAGCTTGACGATTACCCCATATAGTGATAAACAATGTACATCATTAGCAGCTTCATGATTACCCCATGCAGAGACATATGTTGTAGATCATTTATGTCATATGAGTATTCCACTGAGCCATAACTTGCGGGATGGTATTAGAAAAAACCAGGTAGTGTGAGTTGCACATCTCGGTGTATATGGTTCTATGACTATTTCCTTGAACAGGCTTGTAGCGAATACTACAAGTCCTTGTATAACATGCAAGTACATCAGTTACCACAATGCTTGTACTTACTGGATGTTATGCTATCAGTAAAGGTACTGATCTAGATACTTATTTGTGTGTTTTAATTTTAAACCAGTACCCTGAACTTCATAGTAGGCCGCTGGCGGAAGTTACCGCGAGGTTGTGGCCAGTTGTGGCCAGTTGTGGCTAGTTGTGACCAGTTGCATAACAGTTCCTAATAGTTGCTGACTAAAATAAATAGTAAGCATCCCTATTATACTGTATATAATAGTTATTACACTATTTTGAAACTATATTTAAGAAAACAACAAGAAAGTAACTGTTTGAAGCTTATTTTATAATTATTTATTATTATTAAAAGCTTATTACTTTTCTATTTCTAATCTATCTACAAATAATTATATTACTATTTCTTTTTTTTTATAGTAAGTAAGTTCTCCACAGGTTATTCACTGAATCACTGTTACCTTACTGTCAATTCACTGTCAATTTACTATCAATTCACTGTTACTTCACTCTCTTCTTATATATATTACATCTTTCTCTCTTCTCATTCTCTCACTCTTTCTCTTCTCTACATCACTCTCTTAAGTTGTTTCTGTCACTTCCTCCCTCCCTCTCTCTCAATCTTTTACTATCTCTCTCCTTTACACTTCTTCTTCACAACTAGACCGTCATGGAGAAGGCTACCAGCATCAAAATGGCAGAAACGCCCGAAACGCCCGAAGAAACAGTCATCCATTGGTCGAGAGGTGAGCTGAAATGCTTTTGCAGACGACGCAAGGAGACAGTACTAATATGGAAGAAATAGGTAACAAACACAGCTTAGAACCCTCCTCTGCAAGCAACAATACAGCAGAGGTGACAGCGGCACAGGAGCTGGCCAAGAAAGGCAAAAGGGGACTGCTGGAGTTACTGAAACTCAATTCCGAAGACGACTGGAGGGAGTGGTTAGTGTCAGACTTAGTCAAACCGTACTGGCTAGAACTTTGGGACTATCTGGCGAAAAACCCGACTGCTAAGCAGAAGCGCGGAGCCGGGCTGGCCCGGATCCAGGAGCTAATAATTAAAGGAGAAGCACGGGGCGTCGCGAAATACAGCCGTCGCCATGTCGAGAAAACCGGATGGGATCTTAACGAACACCTCGCATACTTCGTCCATAATGTGAGATCGGAAAACACGCACAGACGGGGGGGAGTGTTCTTTCAGAAGAACCTCCCTGAGAACATCATGGACACGGCAATATGGACTTTGAAGAACATTCTCATACAGATGCATAGCCCGTCGCAAATAAATAAGCCAAGTGGCGGAAAGGCGATTTTCGGGGAGACCCTGCCAGGTAAGAATTCGGGAGCATTCTGGAAAAGGCTTTCACAGCTGACTCCAGTGATCAAAAAAAATGATAGAGTACAAATCCATCAAAGTGCACAACACTAGGGCGCAGCAAGCGGCCAAGGCAGGGGCTGATTCCGCAGCTAAGAGCAAGGCGGACCCGAAGGAGGTACAAGAACCAGAGTCAGATGGAGAATCATCGCTGTCATCACTTGCAGACACAACCGAAGATGAGTTCCCGGGTCCGTTGGGGGCACAGCAACCACGGACCCAAGTCTGGGAGCACGAGCCGTTGAGTGACCGACAAAGGCTGATCCTCAAACGGCAGTCGGAGACCTTTGATCTTAAAGATCCGTTTTGGGCCTATGCTCGCATAGAAGCCGCCCTGCAGTTATCAGGCCCTCAAACCATAGCACAGGCAGAGGAGATGGTCGCGACTGCTGAGAGTGCTGAAAGTGTGGAAACTGATGATGTCAGTGATACCACACCAAGAAAACCCAAGCGCGTCAAGAAAGCAGTGGATATGAGGAAAATGCTGGACAACCGCGTTTTCGAGTCAAGCGCATACCAGACCGCAGAGAATCTCCAGTGGTCGTTTGATACCAGTACAGATGCAAATGATCTGCTCATCCAACCAACATTGGAGGATTATGAGAGGATCTCGATGCATGAAAAGTGGCTAGACGCCCAGGAGTACCAATTCGATAATCACGAGGAGGCCTGCAGGAACCTGGGTATTGTTGATAAGGCGAACCCCCGAATAAAGGGCATGCAGCGCGGGCAAGAGCTGAAATTTTGGCAGCCGGTCTGCATCAATCGTGTGGCTGAAATCATGAGACTCGATTTGCTGCGTGGCGCCATCATTGCTGATGTTGTCGGCGTTGGTAAGACTTGGGAGGCCGTTGCATTCCTCTTGCATGTGAGTATTCTTCCAGAGATCGGCAGAAGGCTTTTGCAGCTGACACAATATAGCAACTAAACAAATTTAAGCACAAACATGCTGCAGCTGAGCAAGACAAGACAGAGCCTCCAGAGGGCCGTCCTGTGATTATTATTGTCCCACCCCATCTCATCGACCAGTGGATGGACGAGATAATGTCGATAACTGAGGAATTTCAGGTGTTGCTCTACTATGGTGATGCCCGCCGCCAGGTGGGAAGCTATATCAAAGACAAGCTGACAAAAAAGCACGAGATCTTCAAAGGCGGGCTCGAGAGTGCACGTACTATTGTGGTAACCTCATACCAGACATGGGAGGCACGCCATGGCCCCAAGC